AGGCCGGGTAGGTCATGTTTTTCGTGTATGTGGCATACTGGATCATAGCCTTGAAGACGTCCTTGGACATATATTTCAAGGCGTATAAGATCTTGAAAGAATCGTCCGGATAGAAAGCGCTGTCGATGCGAAGCTTTTCATTCACTGCGAAGCGTCATATCGAATAGAGGTCAGCATCGTTCTCGTTGTTATCTAGGGAGAAGGTCGGCTTCTCTTCATGAGGGCGGCCAATGTCGGTAGCTGCAGTTTCAGCAGTGCGTTGGTGTTTAGAATGCTGAGGTTCAGAGCGTCGGGACTGGCTGCTAAAACGCAAGTTGTCGTGCAGATTGCCAAACAGATTGTCTTTCACACTTTGAATAGGCTCTTCGGCTCTGTAGCTATCTTCATCCTCAATGGAGACCCACAGGCCCCGGGGCTGAGAGGTCTCAGGCTGTTCGGGGGCTCTGGATTGCTTGGGGAGCTCAGGTTGCTCGGTGGCAGCCCTCAAGTGGGCGACCTCCTCTTGCAGGTGAAGAACTGACTGGCCGGCTTCCGCGAAGTTCTTCTTATAGCGCTCGGCGCGGGCACCCTGCATGTGAGCTAGTGCTTCGGTCTTGCCTTTCTCCGCTTCATGGGCTCTTGCCTGTTCTTCAAGGAGCTTAATCTGCATTTTCAACATGTCGACTTCCATACTGTTGGAGGGTGTTTCTGTGGGATGGCCAAAGATAGGGGCCTCAGAAGGGCGTCCAAAGAGAGCACGGGGGGCTTCAAAGCTGCTACTTTCACCGACATCTCTGCGACCCAATGTAGGGAATTCGAAAGACTTTCTCTTGCTCATATCAATATTGTCAAGGTCGAAACGGGTACTCGAAATTGGGGCGGTCGCGATAGGGGTCGCTTCCGGTTCTGGCTGGGTGCTGGCGAGGATGGCTTTTGCAACGACTTTTGCTTTTGCTGGCTTCTTCTTTACAGCCGTGCTAGGAGTCGGAGGTTCAGCGGGCTCGCCGCGGCTCCTAAGGGAGTGCTGCGAGGTCACGCTGTTGGCTCTGCTCGAGGCTCTGCTGGTAGGGCGATCCATCCTAAGTTCTAACGGGGTCCTGGTGGGGTTCTGATAAGGTTCTAGAAGGGTTCTGGAAGGCTTTGGCGATGCCAAGACGGTGCAAACAGGTAATCAAGTAAAGAATCAAACAAGGAATCAAACGAGGTTCAAACTGGTCAATCGATGCAGCTTATTAGTGTAAGGAACATAAACCATTGAACGTAGGTATGTATTAGCAAAGAATAAGCTGCATGGGTTGCAGCAGCTGGGTGTGGGCAGAAGCCCCTATTTATGATACTGCCTACTACCAACATGACTGCCAGGAATCGGGAGATTCCTGGCGGGAAGTTCCATACGGAGGGATCCTACCGGCAAGTTCCTGGGAACAAGCCGGAAGGTTCCTGACAGACTGATTGAATAAGTGTAATATCGCGGCCAGCAAAAAGAATATTAGTCATTTTTTGTGCATCTGATGGCTTAAAAGAAACTTCACGTCGATCTAGCGATAGAATCCATCATACAAGCGATTCTTCTTCATTTTGAGTCATTTTATGATTGTTGGCGCATATTTTTGAGCGCGAAATTCTTCCGCTAAGTCGACGACTGAGAGTTTCATGGCAGATATGAAAAACACGCGCAGCTTCACGAATACTGCGAATTTCTTGATTTTTCAAAACAACAACAGCAAGTTTAATTCTGTTTTCCCGTTCTGCTAATTTTCTTGAATTTTGATGCGCTTTTGGAGGCATGATTGATGGTTGAATTAGGTGAGGTTTTCCAACGCGTCTAAGTTGCGGGCGGTGTCACGTTCGTTCGTGTGTCACGTTCGCTTGTGAAATACGTTAACGTATTTCACTACCGAGCGGCCACCCCCTACCGAGCGGCCACCTCTGTATTCCCATAGAAAATGGCTATTTTATAGACTTGAATAACACAACCACAATATAATCCTAGAATCTATATAAATATTATAGTATATAGGTAGGTATCCTTGGTATAAAAAGAGTTTTTTTTAAGAATTTTAAATATTTTTTCAAAGCCTATATAGTTACCTTTGTTATAAAATACAAAATTACGACTGTAATTTATATTACCTAAATTATTAGGCTTTATAAAGACTTAACGATAAAATTTATACATTATACGAAGTATTATAATATATAATACTAATTCCTAAACCTTGAATAATATATTGTGGTTGTGTTATTCAGGTCTATAAAATAGCCATTTTCTATGGGAATACAGAGGTGGCCGCTCGGTAGGGGGTGGCCGCTCGGTAGTGAAATACGTTAGTGCTTAATCTATGCTTATTAAACGGTAAGTCGTAAATTCTGCTATATTTATCTCTCATTTATTTTGTACAGATAGTTCGATTACTATAATAGATAAACAGCTTTCAAGATTTTTGAAATTATTAAATTATTATGAATAATAACACAAGTACACACATGCCATAAAAAGTTTCTATCTACAGAGAAGCTACTTTGCAATGAGAACAGAAAACCCACGTGCCAAGGCATCTTTGAAGACCAAGTCATGCGGTGCCACCCCTATTGATCTTGTAACTAGGATAGAAGACAAAAAAAAATCGTATTATTAAAAAAAAGCTTACTTGAAAATTATGTAAATTTTTTGACCTTAAGATCTGATAAAACAGAAAGGATATGGCCAGGTTAATCAATATTGGATCGCTTGAAAGCTACTTGTACTGGGATCTCTGTTTGATATTTCCTTCTGTATTCACAGTGCACCTACAATTGGGTCAACTCCTTAACATATAATTCTTGTTTCCTAAAGTATTCGCGGCACCAATAACTTCAGCCATATTGCTGTTGTCAGCGGCCCGGGTGAGGTTATAGTTAAAGACCTTATACATAGAGCCGGTGACGGTAATGGAACCGGAATTAAAGAGATATCAGGTGAACCTCTTATGTATACGGCCTAAATTCTACGGCTTATCATAATTACTAGATATCTAGTATACGGAAAGAATTACGAGCGTGCCTAGGTCGTCACACAGATCATCTCCAGCTGAGACAGTCAACTTGGTTTGATAACAGCAGAAAAAGTACAGATATAGAAGACATGTTTCGCAGACTAAAATCGTGCACCAAGTAAGTAAAAGACAATACAAACACTTGCGGCCTATGTATTATGGTATAAGGGGAGACAACAAAAGCTCTGCACAACTAGGATCGCAAGGAGAGAAAGATAAAGCTCTTTTACTGAAAGTAGGAGCCTTTATCCTCTTCCCTTTATCCTCTTCCCAGTTAGAAACCTACCCCTAACAATTAATAGAAACTTGCCATCCGAGATTGCACATACTGTGCAGAGTTTCGCTAATTCCTATTTAACGACCCGCCAAGTAATACAGGAATCACCATTCATACTCACCTTTTTGAACAACTAGACCGTCTTAGCCTTAAACTTCAAGCCCACAGATGCAATGAGAATCTGGGACTTTTTTCGGACAGTGACTTCAAGGCTCATAGTAATTGAGGCTCCGGGGGCATAGAGTACGTTCTTATTGAAGACCGGAACCTTTTTCTCCGCTTTCCCATCCCACTCTTGGGTATTTGGCGGCGGTTCTGGAGGTGGAAAAACACCTCGGCCATTAGTGAAGACTTCCAACGAAATAGAGGCGCTCCCTCTTGGTTGTTCATCTTGTTCAGTTGGTGGAGCTAGCGATATCTCCCTAAGTTGCATCTTTTGATCGCTTCCGGGGGTTATTGGGGGTGGTAATGCAAAAAAAATCGATATCGATTGATCGGCATCAGTGTTATTCCTAATTATAATAGTGCCCAATCGCTCGTTTCGTTCTAAAGTAGTTTGGTTATTCTTAATAGCATCCGTATAAGTGCTAGCAGGAACAGCAATATATTGGTTGTCGTTTGCGTTCATTGTCGGTGGAGTAGGCGGTAAACTCAAGACTGAGGCTGTAAATCCTTATAGAGACCTCTATTAGTTCATAGACAAAGGCTTTAATTAAAGAAGCATCATTCTTACAATAGTCGGGAAAGCTTGGTAGACCAATAAAATGGAAAACGGAAATATCAAAGAGTTTTCTTGGGTGTTGAATAGCCGGATATTGAAATGTATATCATTGAGTCCGACAAACACTGCATAGAGTCCTTAGAGCTCTGATATATGATACTAAGTGGAGAGTTTGACAATCTATATGCGTCATTGAGAGCAGTCTATGCATCATTAAGAGCAGGCCATGGTGCGGTATTAATGGCTGTTTTTCCCGTTTTCATACGAATATGATCAACTGAAAACGTCTAGGATCACGTACTCGGAGAAGTAAAGAAAACTTTTATATCGTGTCGTCATTGGCGAAGGTCGTATGCTTCATAGGATGTTGTTTCCGTTGGTTTCAGTTGGACAGCAACGTAGCATAGGGTCAGCTTCTCATCTCAAAAGAGGGTCCGAGAAAGTGAAAAGCACAAGATGAAAGTTCTATTACTACTACACATACTTTTCCGGTTACCCACAATAATCACCAAGAACTGTGCAATGCAACGTTGGACAGTGCCATTAAGTTGGGGTAACGGCCCGTAACCGTCCGCCTCCGTCATCCGCAACATCCGCTCGTCCTCTCATACTGGGGCTCCTCATATGTCTTAGGAGATATCGTTGACGTAGAGACTGATTCCCGGTATATCGTATAAGCAGTAATAGCACATAAAAATAAAGGATGTTAAAAAGCGGCTTCTACCACACAGCTCTAAACTCCTATACATGCCTGCTTGATATAACTCCACACTATTTCTTAACAGAGAAAGTCCTATTCAAAATGCTTCTGGGCCGCTATTTTACGGCCGTTATTAATTTCTTTGGCTTCCCGTCATCCCTCGGACCACAGCAGGAGGTCTTAGATCATAATATACCTCCGGTCCATCATGATATTCATAGTTTGGAATTTACTCCTCCTGGTGTGGGAGAGTTAGAAAAAGATGCAATCACATGCAAATATCCCAAGATGGTGGACTACGAATTTGTGAACAGTCCGCACGAGAGAGGACAGTGGCTGGCGCATAGAACCGATACCGCAGAAAATTTCGATATCAACACTAACTACGAAAAGAAATGGCCCAAGGGAGTTCTTCGCCAGGTAAGAATCTACGGCTTAGATACTCCATCTAAGAATTAACACAAATAGTATCATATTACCATTCACGAGGATAAAGTGAACCTAGACGGGGAAGACTTCCCTCATGCAAAGCTTATCAACGGCCAGTGGCCTGGACCTTGGATTCGTGAGTTATACGATCTACTTTAGAAAATCACAGGAGTTTATTAGGCTAATAAACTCGCTGCACAGAGGCATGTTGGGGTGATGAAGTCCGTTAGTATTAATATGCCTTGCATGCACCTTGTACTATTACTAACTGAAGTTTACAGAGGTGACGGTAACTAATAAATTGACTTATAATGGTACTGCAATCCATATGCACGGGATTCGGATGCTTGATAGCCCCCTTAACGATGGGGTACCTGGTGTCACCCAATGCCCTATCCCGCCAGGTGACAGCTTTACTTATAATTTTACCGCGACGCAATATGGGACGACTTGGTATCACAGTCATTATAGCCTACAGTATACGGATGGGGTGCTCGGTCCTCTTACGATACACGGCCCTGCATCGGCCAATTTTGACAACGCGATTGATCCGATCATCTTGGGGGACCATAATCATCGCAGTGCATTTGAAGATTATTACAAGGAGCAGCTTGCGGGCAGCAAGCCGGGTCGCTTCATTCCAACAATGACGAGTATTTTGATTAATGGCAAGGGTACGTTTGCGTTGCTAAGTATTAAGCTACGAGCTGATAATATTGTAGGCAACTACGCCGGTGTCCACCCAGAAAGACTATATACTAAGCATGTAGAGCCAGTAAGGTTCTATCCTAGTGAGATTATGAATGAACTGTTGCTAACGATATCAATAGGGCAAGAGGAAGATTCTAAGATTAATTAATACATCAACGGATTCTACCTACATATTCAGCGTGGATGGCCACGAGCTGCAGGTGATCGGAGCGGATTTAGTTCCCATCCAGCCATATACAACTACGCAGATAGCTATTGGAATTGGTAAGCGTAAATGAATCAGTATTATTTCCTGAGCTCACCACACCAGGCCAACGTTACCATGCTATTCTGCATACAAAAACAAACGAAGAGCTGAATCACGATGGAGCATATTGGATTCGAGTCCAACCGGCCGCCGGATGCCATAACTTTGAGACCATGCCCGATGCGAGACAAGGAATCCTCTACTATGGAGACAAAACGGCAGAGCCCCCCATTCCCACCACAATTGCCCATCGCTATAGTCCAATTTGTCGGGACGAAAAGCAATTGGAACCAATCCTCGAATGGAAGATTCCCGAAATACCGAAACAGATCGACAAGACAAAATTCTTCAATGCGACTGTCGCGCTTGATAAATGGCTTCTTCCTAAGGAGTATGAGAATGATCCAAAGGAAAAGCAGAAGGTGAATGACTGGGAATTTCTGGACGACCCTGCTTACGTAGATTATATGGGACCCACAGCCTTATACCCAGACGGCCCAGGGGGGGACGGGGAATACCCCAAAAATGCCGTTATCCACAAGGTCAATAGTCGTGGTAGTGAGGAGGATGATTGGCAATACATGCTCATCATCGGCACCAATAGCTGGAAACCCACCCCCGGTGGGAGGCGCCAGACCCCCGCAGCACACCCTGTAAGCGAGGCCCGAATCTTCCCTTTGTCTCTTTTATAATTTTCTGGTCGCTAATTCTCTTTACAACTCAGATCCATCTCCACGGTCACGATTTCGCGCTTCTAAAACAGTCCAAAGTCCCGTATAACGATACAGATTGGCGTGATGGTCTAAACTATTTTAACCCGCCTCGCCGAGATGTTGTGCTTTTGGAGAGTAACGGATATATCGTGATTGCCTTCAAGACAGACAACCCTGGTTCTTGGGTCATGCACTGCCACATTGCTTGGCATGCATCAGCTGGGTTGGCTATCCAAGTCTTGGAAGATGTTGACAAATTCAAGAATCTGCTGGAAAATAGAGAGAAAACACCGGCGTGGCAGATTAGGCAGAGGGGTAGAACATGTGACAACTGGATCCGGTGGCAAAACGATATAAGCAAGCACCACGATCCCGCGGGTCGATTCCAGGATGATTCTGGGATTTAATCGGGAGAATCCTCTTCTTGTTATCCGCCTCACTTGAATTGGTCAAAGCGCATTGACAAGATTGACAAGAATTGCGAGAGTCAAACTTATCCAGGCCCCGTCGACTCTTCTGCTATAATGTCTAATCATGCTCACTTTACCAGTTCAATCGCTTTACATGGTCTTGGTGTCGTATAATTAATATGCTATGTAAACCTATTACAATATTGTCTTCTCCTACTGGCACTACAAACTCCGGACGGTTGTATCATGTATCGCCCGGAGAAGCAGGCTGCTTGGATACTGACTACTCTTCCGCCTGTTCAGCTTGATACTGTGACGGCGCATTTCGAGTTTTTAATCCCGCCATAGTGTACACGAACGCATCCATCAACGTGGGCAATAATCTCAGACAACACGAGCAGCCATGGGATTCGAATACCCTTTTTGCGTATATATTGAAATGAACCCCTTGTTCGGAGTACTGGTTTCACTACTTAATGAATATTACTTATGGCTCGATGCTCCGTCGCCCCCATGTCCGGTCGCACTTCAATGCGAGGAGTCTCACCGTCTTCACGGGAGCATTATGTCATTGCACGGCAGCAAATAGGACTCTTTCTGGAGGATAGGTTGTATCCGTTCAAAATCGCTCTCGTGAAGCAGGCGCCAGGGCACTCTGGGGACATTCCACTGGCTATCGCAAGCGAGTAAAGCCCTACCAGCGCTGGTACATGGGTAGCCAGTGAGCCAGGAAGCGGAACCCTTGGATTGATTTCTGTGGCCGCGGAACTAACTAAGCAATTACTTCATCACCTTGCTCAAGTCTAAGATCGGTGGGAGTCGGAAATTGATTTTCATGAAAGGTAATACTTCAAAGTCAATGGCGACAGCTCCCTTGATTATGGACTCTCGCGATGCTGAGTGAGCGACGTGAGTGTTAAGCAAGGGGTGGGCGTGGTAGGGCTAAGTCGACCTCGTGACCTCTCCTCCCCGTCTTCGACTCTCTTCTCCCCGGTCTTTTGTTTCCTGGCCGCCTGCTTGCGTAATGCTTTCTCACTCAACATCCAGGTGCTACTATCTATAGCTGGGCTCGGTCCGCTGAATGCCTAATCATCCAGGCCAAGGCATGCACGCTGACATCAACGACGAAAAGGCGTCGATCCCGAGAACACCGCGACTCCGCTGATTGGCACGACGCCCTCAGACTCCGCTATAGCGGGCAGCCTTATGAGATGGCGGCTGACGGGATTACACGAGATATCATGTTTGCCCGTCCGAGCTGCCCGTCCGACTTGGACAACTGTCTTGACGGGGGGACCCTTCGGTCGGCCTCATCCCCCGCCGCCAAAGCCAAAATCAACGTTTCACCGACTAGTGATCTTGGCAAATGGCGTATATGAATCAATCTATTCTTAGCGCACGGACACACTGGGCACGAACCCCGACGATTGGTGGAAGGTGGACACGAACGCCTATAGACCACGAGGCTGAGAGTCCAGCCGTCCAGCCCGCCGGTTTTTCATTTCTATCTCGCCATAAAGGTCGCTCGATTTCCGCCTCTCCCCACTTTCCAGAGCCGCTTGTCCTGGTGCTAAATCATGGGAGGGTCGGCTTGATTCTCATATATTCGGACGGCTTCCGACTGCGGTCTTCTCTGCTTCTGCTTTCTTTGAGAATGGACCTCCCGGTCGCTGTCGCGAGTCTCTTTAACCGCTGAGCACAATGTCGTCCGGTCAACCAGAGCAATTTCCTCTCCCATCGATTTCTCGGTCGTCTCATTCGCGTTCCGACCGCCCGACAACGTCGTGGAATCCATTCGATCCGATTTCTCCGTCCGATCGCTCCTACATCCGCTACGAACGGGCCCAAACGCCGAACGAGGAGGAAGATGTCACGTCGTACGCAGGGCTGGGGATCAACAGTTCCACGCAGCGACTGGTGTCCAACAGGGACAGTCGGGGGCCAGAACAGGCGACTCCGACGAGTGATCTCTTCTCCCCAGGATTCTCGGAGCAGCAAACTCTACGGTCGCATTACTCCAGAGCATCTTTTGTCGACAGTGATTTTAACGCGACCAAATGTTCCTGCAAAAAGCGAGTGGTTCAACGTCGGTGCTCATGGGTCCCCATAACCGTGTTGGTGCTGGCCATCTACTCAACCGTTGTATCGGGCATCTACTTCTTTGTGTCCTGGTTGCGGCCGAGATATGGGCAGTCGATCGGTACGGATGGGGGCCTTAGACCTTCTACCGCCAGTCTGCTCAGTGCCCTATTTGCCAAGACGATTGAGCTGGCATACGTCAGCGTTTTTGTCGCCTTTCTAGGGCAATTCCTGAGTAGGCGAGCGATCAAGAAAGGATCTAGTGGGATCACCATCTCGGATTTGAGTATGCGGACATGGATTATGCAGCCAGCGTCGATGATCATCCATTCCCAGGCCCTGCGCTACTCGGCGTTGACTTTGCTGGGGATGCTCACTTTGACGGCTACCATTGTCGCCATGCTTTACACTACCGCTGCCGAGGCACTGGGTGAGTGCGCAACACTTATCGTCTCTAACTTTACTGACACATTCACTTGACAGTATCACCAAAACTCCTGCAAGGTCCATATGAGGACCGAACCCTGACGGGAAACATCACCGCCAAATTTGCCTGGCCCGACGATATGCGCAACCACTGCGAGACGCTGATTACAAACGATATCGATCCGGCGGAATCTGAGCTGGATCGAGGAAACACCTGCTTAGAGCTTCAACACGTCAGCCAGGCATACCATAACTACCACGCATACCTTTCGAAATGGAGCAACCTCGACTCCCAAAACTCGTATGCAGCATTGGTCCAGAGCGAGCGACCGCCGCCGGTGGGAACGATGTTCGACAATACGACCGTGACTGGAGCTTGGATCGACCAGACAAATATCACCGACTTGTCGAAGCGCTACGGGCGCATGGTCATCAACGTGACAGCCGCGATGCCTCATGGCGGCGTGGCCGGTGCAGTAAACAACCCCCAGAACGGGTTCCACCGGCCCAGGATCTCATCGGAGGGCAACTTCGATCTCTCTGCTCGATTGCCGTCTCCGGCAGTGAACGTTCTCTGCGCTGGCATGTCTAAAAAGGAGCTAAGCCCGCTAATTTATGATATGTGGCCACACTCACACTTCAATTCTGACAACTGGACCGTTGACCAGCACAGTGATGTACCGACCTATCCATCCTGGCTCAATCGCACCGTTGTCGACGATCTCTTTCGATGGGGGGAAAAGTACGACGCACGTCCACCCATCTTCGGTAAATTGCCTGAGGAATACAACACTATCGTCAACGGCTCTGTCTACTACGGCGACTCTCTCTACCTCCTCGGCCACGTCCCCACCAACCGAACCCCTGAATATGTTCTCTGCTCCATGAAAGCCAAGCTCAGCCCTCGCTGCTCAACGCACTACTCCGCGTCCATTCGTGGCGCCTCCTTTGGCACGGAATGCGACAACCCTGATGACAAATGGCGCTATGATCAGGCGTACCCCGACGCGCCCGACGGCGCGTGGGACCCTGATTGGAAAAACATCGCTCACTCCTGGGCCTTGGCCCTGAGTCTCAACACGGGCATCACCAACGGCCGCGCCAGCAACTCCCGCGTCCTCATGCAGCTAACCCCCAAGAACTACACCCTTGACCCAAAAGTCCCCTCCATTGCGGAAGCTTTGGCCGTCATGGCCGGCAACACCCTCATTCTCGGCTCCACTAACGCCCCGTTCGTCCACTTCTGGAATTACACCGACATCAGCAAGGAGCCGAAAAACGCAACCGTCCCTAGCCCCGAGCAGCAGTATTTCCGTGCCTCCGTAAGGGTCGTCGGGTATCAGTCTAGCTACACTGAAAAATGGCACTACGTCTTCTACGTGATACTGGGGCTGGCGTTTATCACCAGTGCCTTCTGTCTGGTGTACATGCTTCTCATCAAAGGGCGGCAGTTGACCGACTTCACAGACCCACAGAATCTGTTCACGCTGGCAATGAACAGTCCGGCTACATCAAAGCTGGACGGAGCCTGTGGAGCCGGACCGCACGGCGAGCATTTCAAGGAGAAATGGTTCGTTGGTATGGAGCCCGAGGACGAGCATTATTATATTCGAACGAAGGCAGAGGAGCGAACGCCGCTCATCCCGACGGCGAGGTTCTCGATGAGGTCCATGGAGGCAGAGGATGTCATGAAGCCGGTCACGCCGGCTGTAGAGGAATATGAGAGGGTCTCGTCGAGACGAGGCTGGTTGTCGCGATGGTACTGAACTGAAGCTGAGGACGTTCAGATGTGCAATTGTGGCGTTTGAGTGGCGCACAGATAAAGGAGACGAATGAGATATATGAATGTGTTATCTCTAATATTTCATCTTAATTTCGATATCTTAATTCTATATTCCTACAGCCCATTCAGAGAGACTTCCCTACGAGAGTAGGAGCTCTATAGCATTCTCCCTTGCTCATTGAATTATCGGGCTGACTCTCCTTTACCCATCTTTCCCTGTGCCTACCTTTGCTTCACACTCCTCCCACTCAATCATTTCATCTTTCCCTTCCCTCCCTGCATACTGATCGTATAGGTGTGACTGGGATCAACTGTTTGCCTTGTTTGCTATATCCTCCCGATCAGGCTTGGCGCATTCGTCGGACTGTTCACTTCTTGGCGTCTCCCACTCTTCTGTCCACCTTCAACCTTCAACCTTCGTTGCAGAGTGACCCCGACTTTTTCTTCATCAAGTCCCTTGATATTGAGCTCGTAGTAAAGCTTTTTTTCATGCTCGAGGCTTTCACCTTCATCCACCATAACCAAATGATGAAAGTCCTACGACAAAATATATTTTTGCATTCCTAGTTTGTCTTCGCGTGATCAGAGCGAGTCTCAAAAGAAAGAGCTAATAGTGAAGAAGATACGCAGGGCTTCGCTACTAGAGGTTAAAGGGAGACTTCCCCACGGTAGCAACTACACCGACCATTTTTCCATTCTGCGAAAACAATATGCGCACATAAGGAGCGGACTAAAGGAACTCCCAATTCAATCAACTATTACGATCTCGGTGATTCCAGATCAAGCAATCTCATCCCAAAACGCTAGTTACCGAGTATGTGCCCAAGATGTGATAGATGGAAAAAGAATCGCCGACGCCAGCAGTCCTTCCATAAATGCGGGGTGACCCCGGTTCCCCGCTTGACGATCTTGCTGCAGACCGAGGGACAAACACAATCCATTGCTAGCAGAAAGACAAGGGTGATCTCGGTATAATGATCTTTGTATGTGTTGTAGGCAGGTCTTGACTTCGGCCTACATACCCCCGAGCAAAGAGGACTATTTATTGTTTGCATACGGCGGTGTATGTCGATGATGGGCCCTTCCAAATCTCTAACAATCGGGAAAACGCATTTCCAATATGTTGGTCGGGAAAATTGTATCTTCTTTCTATATTCTCGCTGGTGCAGTTAGTGCGGTCGGGGCTCTGAACACACACAATACGCACAAGATATGTAAGGTCCGGGCTGGAGGATCAGAAACGATTGATGATGCACCAGCTATTCGACGCGCCTTTCGGGAATGCAACCACGGGGGGAAAATCGTTTTCCAGAACACCACCTACCATGTCAACACGGTACTGGAAACCACGGGGCTAGTCGACGTGGACATCGACCTTTATGGAACTCTTTTGGTACGCTTTCTATTTCCACGCTTAATAATCTATGCTGATAGCAAGAAAGTGGGGAACGGACATTCCTTACTGGCGCAACAATTCCCTCCCTGTCGGATATCAAAATATGTCGACGGCCTGGGTGATCGGCGGTAAGCATTTGAGATTCAATGGACATGGGCATGGAACATTTGATGGAAATGGCCAGGCGAGTAATTATCCGATAGTGTCAAGGGCTATGTCACTAATTCGAAGGCAGGCCTGGTATGACTTCACTGCCGGAGAGTCAAACCTTCCGGGAAGGCCCCATGCTCTCACTGTAGCCAATACCTCGGATTCCGTATTCCAGGGCATCAGATTTGTGCAGAGTCAGATGTGGTGAGTAGTATCGCCTGAAAGTCCAGGACATTCGATAACGCCAAAATTGCTTGCCAGGACATTGTCAATCATCCACACCCATCATACATTGTTTGACTCTATCTATGTGAACAACACATCAGCTAACGAGAATTCTGCGCGTGAGTAATCCAAAGGCCTCAAGAAAGGGGGATTCCGCTGACCATGCCACATCACAGACAACACGGACGGAGCGGATACTATCTATAGCTCCCACATCACATTCAATAACTGGTTTGTGGATAACGGCGACGACAGCATTAGCGTGAAGGCCAACTCCACCGATATCCTGATCACAAACTCCACCTTCCATCGCGGTCTAGGCATCGCCGTCGGAAGCATCGGCCAGTACAAAGACACTTTCGAGACGATAGAGCGGGTCCGAGCGGAGAACATTGTTTTCGATGGCACCTTGCATGCGCTATATTTCAAGACCTGGACTGGCGAGCAAGTGAGCTATCCACCTAATGGCGGAGGAGGCGGTCTTGGCTGTACGTATCCAGCTTCCATCGTGTCGAGAAACATTTCATCGGACTGATACCTGGCCAAACAGATGCCACCGACCTCTCATGTTCCAACCTGACGGCCCACGACCTCAGGGGCTCTGCATTTTCCATCTCGCAATGTACCTCATTCTCGGACGCAGTCGGCAACTGCACCTCGTCCAAATTTGAGATTGGGAACATTGCCGTGAACGGAATTTCGGGAACTACCAAGAAAAACACCGTAGCTAGCTTCCAGTGTAGCGCTGTTAGACCATGCAGAAATATCGCGCTGGAGGGAGTGGATCTGGTACTGGCATCGAATGGAACGAAGGCTGTCGACTACCTCTGTGGCAACGTGATTGGAACAACAGGTTTCAACTGCACCGGAAAGGCCTGTGAGGGAAAAAGCGCCACTGGGGAATGTTGAATATTCTCGCTGGCACCTTCCCCTTCTCCAAATCAACTTAGATGAATCTGTATGAAAACCGAGCTATCACAGGCTCGTTCGGTTGAGATATTGAAACATCTGAACGGGTCCTTGGCGCTCCTTGGTTTAAATTACTTCTTCGTTTTTCTCTTCTTCGTTGCTGGTTCTATTGCCAGTAAGCGCTTGTCGGCGGAACTATTCAGCCACTAGCTACCTGTGTGGCACGAGTGGGTTTCAACGGTATGACTCGTCCACTGAGCTTGTCTGGTGCAACACCTGTTCTACAAACCGGAAAACGGACACAGGCGTAACCGAAGGCACCTGTCGATCACTATGGGTCGGCATTTCGATCCCCTCCAATCGTACGACAGAATTATATTGAGCCTCTCTCAGAGGCGTTGCTCAGGTGTGAGAAGTATCCAGCAATCCGAGCAGTAACTTGGGTGCAACATACCTCAGGTCCGGGTAGATATCAACATGGTCATGAATTTTGATGGCTGAAAAAGCAACTTGCTTGCTCAACATCGACCACAAAACAGCAATCTCGCGCTCAAGTAGACGGTGAGGTGAGAATGGATGAGTTCCGGCCTGGACCGGTGGGTTTCCATAGATCTTCGATCTTGGCGTTGTCGGACGAGCGTGCTGCGCCACGATTCCCACGCTAACAGCACACTTGTGCAGGGGCGCGACGGCAAACCCTTCTACTGGCAGGTGCATATGACATTCTTGCTCAGGTCGCGATAATCACGGAGCCAGAAGTCCCATTCAGGCCATCAATCAGGGCGTCGGCGTCCATCATCCGGCGAAGATCCTTTCTTATTTCATCGCGGCGGGCTTGACGTGAAGAAGCAAGCCCTAATAAGGCCAAGACCGGTGAGAGAAGAAAACAGAAAATGTGGACCGCGGAAATGGGGCCTGAAGACACAGGAGAATTTCCTAACACCGTAAGAGTTATGGAGCCGGCACATAGCTTATTATATTGGCTTGGAGGCTAGCTCTCGGTCTCGTCCATCCATGGCGACTGATCAACCCCACGAATCCCCAATGCGGAAGACTTGGGTCAATTTCGGGAGATTGAAGTCTTCTGGCCGTTTCACGTTTATCCCAGAATTACTCCTTTGGGCAAATATCGGAGAAACATGTTGAAACGAGCCAAGAGCTTCAGTCGAATTTCCGCCAAAGGCCATGGAGGAACAGGAACACTGACGCTGGATAGAGTCGGTGAGAAAGTCCCGTCAACTACGGCCACCAATTCCTATAAAGCCGGTTGGCCATCTCGAGGAAATTGAGAGGAAATCATCCATCACAAAATCGTCCTTCTTTGTTACTACACTCTGCGAGTGAAACTTTCCTTGCGGTTCTGGTAACCATATCTTTCCAACTACAAACCCCTCATATCAACCCATCCAATACCGCAATAATGGTTCAGAAGGCTGTCCTCCTTTCCCTCCTGGCCTCCACGGCCCTCGGTGCTCTCAACAAGCGCTACACTTTCCCTCTGCCCGAATCCAAGGGATCCGAGACCTTCGATGAGCCCTACGAGATCGGCGAGGGTGAGGTCTACGACGGAGGCATGAAGACCTTCGGCCGTGGTGTCGAATGTACCGGCCAGTCGGAGGGTGGCGACAGCGACGCTGTCTTCTCCATCCTTGAGGGCGGTACCCTCAAGAACGCCATCATCGGTGCCGACCAGATCGAGGGTGTCCACTGCCAGGGTGCTTGCACTATCGAGAACGTCTGGTGGGAGGCCGTCTGCGAGGGTATGACCATCCGCCATCTTTCATTTTCTCGAACTCGCAACTAACACAAATACACTCTAGATGCCCTCTCCCTCAAGAAGGGTACCGGCCCTTACAAGATCATCGGCGGTGGTGCTCAGGGTGCCGAGGACAAGGTTATCCAGGTAAGCCTCCTAATCTCCCGCACACACTAGCCCCCATTTTCACGCCTAGCTAACTATTCTTGTAAAAAATAGCACAACGCTGAGGGTGAGGTCTCCATCGACGGCTTCACCGTCTACGACTTCGGCAAGCTCTTCCGCTCCTGCGGAAACTGCAAGTCCATGTCCGAGCGCTCCGTGACCATCTCCAACGTCAAGGCCATCTCCGGCAAGCTCCTCGCCGGTGTCAACGAGAACTTCGGCGACAAGGCCACCATCACCGACACCTGCGCCACCGACGTCAAGGAGACCTGCACCTCCTACGAGGGCAACGAGAACGGCGACGAGCCCGAGGAGATTGGCAGCGGTCCCAGCGACTCTTGCGTCTACACTGACCCGCTCCCTGAGTGTTAAATGCCTCGTCTTATTGTATCGGGTGATTGGGGATTGAGAATTCAAGATACATAAAGCCATGTGTCTGGGCACATGCTGGCTTGGTCGCTGTGGTTGTGGGTTGGATGTCGCTCTTTGTGATAACCAGGGTTTTTTTTACATTCTTTACTAGTATATATAAATAGTTGTCTTATTGGATAATAAAATGCAAGGCTTATCAGCTTCGAATGGACCTTTCACAGTAATTAGCTCAGGCGACAAGTTCACATTTCCTTCGCACATACACTACCGGTTGTGAGTCAGCCATGCGGTGGAAATAAGACTTTCTCAAAAGATATTCGAAAAAAACGTGTAGATATCATTATGGATTAAGAATCCGAGCATTATAGACACTGAACTTGAACCATACTTGCCACTCAATCAGGAACTTGAATAACGAGCGACCCAATCCCCAACATATCACATTCACACCATAAAGGGCCAAACCCCGACACGAAAATAAAAAATCCACCTAATTAAACCCAAATCTATTCACCCCAACCTACTAACTTAGTTCAATCTAACCCTCCCTCTCAGCCTCCGGCAAACTCTGACTCTTCGTAAGTTTCGGATTGCGAATACACAACGAAAATGCAATCAACGGCACCGTCAGACAAATACCCGTGATGCAAAGCAAACGCTGCGTATGCCGGTACGCCAACACCACAGCATCGCGCTGTTCCGTGCCAATCGGGTTCGAGGCCACGAAGGTGAACGGGTCGCCGAAGATGGTGGACGCGAGGGTTGCGTCGCCGAGTTGGGAGGTGAGTTCTTTTTCGAGCGTTTGCCGCCAGATGGCGCCTGCTATTGTGTTGCCGATTGCGCTGCCGATGTTGTAGGTTGCGAGGTAGAGACCGGTTACTACGGCGAGGTCTATTTGGGGAGTGGTTAGTGGGTGGTTGGAGGACTTGGGGGAGGAGATGGGGAGGAGGGGAGGAAGGCCTACGGTTGTGTTTGGTGGCGGCTTGGATGCTGGCTTGCGCTGGGTAAGGGAAGAGACCGCCCGCTGGGGATGGGTTAGTGGATGGTTGCTGGTTGCTGGCTGCTGTTGTTTAGGAAGCTTGTGAGAACTCACCGATACCGAGAAGGATCTGACCTCCGATGATGCCCGAGTGACTGGATCCGCTGGATCCGCCGCGGAAGTGGATGAGAATTCCGTATGCGACCATGAAGAGACAGGTTCCTGCGACAATGAAAGGTTTCAATTGTTTCACTTTCAGGACGACGAAGCCGCAGATACAGCCGGTGATGACGGAGGCGAAACTATAGGGATGTTAGGTTGATCAGGTTGCGAGAGGTTAGGTCGACGAACCTATAAAGAGACGTGATACGCGTCGCACTCGTCACAGTCTCGTCAAAACTGACGATCAACACGGTGTACAGAAATTCTCCCTGGATAACCCACGCTGGTGGATGTTAGTCGCTATCATATAGTCATTGGAAACAGACATACCTAGGTTGAGCATCATCGCGATTCCAAGAGCTCCCCATACAGCGCGATCTTTCAACAACTACACAATGTCAGTACTTCTTTTCAGGTAAAGTCAGATGACGTGCACCCACCCTAAACGGAACCATCGGATATTTGCAAGTCTTCTCCCAGTACACCCACGGCGGAATGCAGAAAAGACCGATGATGAGAGGTGCGAGGATCTTGGCCGTCTTCCACTGATCAGAAGAGCCGCTGGCAAGAGTGAAAGGGACCAGAATCAGAGCCAAGATAGCAATGAGCAGAATCATCCCCACCACATCCAGATACCAGAACAATTCGGTCGAAAATTTACGAAAGCCGATGATCTGGAGCGTGCTGCGATATGCCTCTGGATTGTTTCTCTTGGCCTTCCAGTGTCCCCAGAATAGAGCAGCGAAGAGAGGAATCGTGCAGACTAAGACTTCTCGTCAGAGAACTCCCAATATTCGGACAAGCCCAACATACCTGGGAAGATAATGGCAAACATGCCAATACCCCACTGCCATGTGGTAACCTTCAGCACGGAGGATGTCACGTTTCCGCTAATCCATGTGTTGATCTGATTGTGTGAGATAGTGCATCGCGCGCATGATCGGAGATCTTACTATGAAAGGCGTCGCGGGGATATAAGAGAACAGCAATCGGGAGCGAAGGGAGGTGACGTCGCCAATAAGGACTTCAACGAGGAGCAGACTGCCAGTGTAACCGATCTATCCAGAGAACTGTCAGCAAAAGCGCAAATAATACGGCTTAGGTCCACAACTTACCTGGTACAATACTGCGCCGGCACAAAATGTGGCCATATTGGTCGCAGCGGCTTCGACCACCGTTCCTGGAGAGGTCAGACCCAGCCTGCAAGGCACAAAAACCACACATACCCAGAGTGTAAGTCACTACGCAGAACAGAATGAGTTCCACGCGACCAAATACATCGGCAATTTTGGCTGCAGTCGGCTATTTATGTTAAAGTCAAATTAATCGAGCATCGACGATTCGCGTACCTGTGCAGCAACAGCGATAACCGATCGCAAAACATTAATCGTGGCCAGCAAACTATGAGAACCGAAGTTTGCAGTCGCCAGGGGCTTGAGCCAGTCAGTCCGTCGCAACTCATTTTAGCAGCAATAAAATCCAAGTCTCACCTGATACGTGTATCGGACCGTGCCATCAAGACCATAAACGTAGGCCATCAAGAAGATACCGCAAAACAGAACGATGCGATCTACGAGACGAAATTGCGACGAAATGGCCTCGATGCGTTTGACGCCGGAATTACCGGTAATGGAATCCTGATCAGAATCCGAAACCACGGCATCCTGAGGGTATTTCCTCTCCGAGGGAGGGGGAGTCAACGACATGACGACAGGGAGAGAAATGTGAAACCGAAAACAAGCCAGGGATCAAGTCGAAGAAAAAGAAGAGGAAGAAATTTTCAATTTAAATAAATCCCACCCTAAGGCGAAAAAAAGTGAGCGAAACAAGACATCAGGCCGTGATGTCTTGGCGAAGAGCGGCGCCATGCAATTCATCTTATCTGATTAACAGATGTCCCAGTAGTGACGGGCCCTTCTCGGAGGAAAACGTAAAGTAAAACATCCCACGGTGGATCACGCCGCCAACCAGCATTCTCGAAAGCCTGTGAACCAGCAAATCAAGCAAGGGAAGGGTGGGCCGAGGTCGGACGATCCTCGTATTCGTCGGTGGTGGACGGACAGACCGTGGCTAGATGTTGTCTAGCGAGTGCCAATATCTAGGCACCGCGGAGGCAAGGAAAATTTGGCTGCTCCAGCTGACAGCAACAATGTAGCACATTGTAGCAATTCCCTCCAACTGGACTAGTAGGGGCCGCCATTCCAATAACACGCCACTGGTTCCTTGGAGATTTCGGCGCAGTCGTTCAGCGAACCCGATAAGCCGGATGCGTGCGAGATTGAGGCTTAGGGATTGTGGAGTACCTCGTCGGGCGTCATAAGCCCGATTCAAAGTGAGGGTAATGGATACAGCTAGGGATACCCGGGAAGAAGATTGGAAGCAGAGCGATGTTCGTGATGGAAGGAATGGATGGGAGAGGACGGAGGAGTATACCCTGTTTGCATGATTTGCACGGTTTGCATGCCTATATGTCACGTGATTTTGCGGAGCACCAGCCAGGTCACGCGACATTGTGGGGATCTGGCTTGATGCCTCAGGCAATCATATCCTTCCACCTCTTCTTCCAATGCCTCCTCCGCTGCTCCTTTGAACTATTTAATGCATGGGAGTCGAAATTGGCTACCATAGCTCTCAGCAGCCCACTACACTTCCTTCCACGCGCGCTCATCATTGGCATAACATGCAGAGATCGGAATAGGCTGAGGAATACCCTGAATCTGTACGCTGACATCCTGATTCGGCGCAGCAACAGGCAACTTGAATCGTGGATCTAGTTGAACCACGACAGATGCCAGAATCGTCTCATTTGAAGGACAAGTCACTATCGATTGCCCGAATCCTCCGTCTTGACGGGCTCCTATCGCATCTAGAGCATAGCGGAAGGAGCCAGACTCGGTCGCTTTCATCGCTTTCTTGATGTCTGAGATCGCGGTGGTTACAATGCCAACCGATAGGATGTGCGGTCTGAGTCAGTTCAAGTCCCCAGAATACATCAAGATCTTCATAGCAAATCATAGGACACAAACCTGTTCATTGACCTGAAGCAAACTGCAGCAGAACTAGTGACGCGAGTGGGCGTAACACATCCACTACATCCAGGTTCCCCTCTCGATGATGCATCACAAGATGTCACCATACTTCCAGCTCAGCTTGAAAGTCAGCGCCACTGCGGAGCTGATCGAAGTATTTCGTAATGTTGGAGCTGGCAGCTGCAGCTGAGCTGCAAGTAGACATGCATATCTGCCACCAAGGCGCATGACGGCCGAACCCGCACAAGGCTACTCTTGCGTGGACATTTCATACTGAGGGTGTTCTCACAATGCAGCTGACATGCTACGCATAAATCTATGCATTAATGACAGAGGTATGATGCTCCAATGGCAAAATCGTACTTTGGCACAGCCAATTACTGTTCGTTGTTTGCTTTGCCGGAGTGGCATCGGGGCTGAACAGGGCCGTGGGCTGCAGTGACTTGCATGATGCATGCGAACCCCTCTTTTTTGGACAAAATCTCAATGATCGAACGGTGTCTCAATGATTCAAGGACAGAGGATGAGAGGTATAAGAACCTGTTTGATTCGCAGGTTTAGTGCTTAGATCCTCATTCAAATCAGCTTCATCTTCATTCTTCCAGAGACAAAAGCATTACAAAAGTCCCCAAATCAAATTCCTTCAAGATGTCCACCCCATACAAGCCTCGAGAGCCCATCGTTCGTGACCTCAGCGATTTCATCTATCGCACCGAGAACCGAACCAAAGCCTTCCATGACGCGGTCGCCTCTGCCATTGACCCCCAAAATGGCGGAGCGGACGAGATGAAAGACGAAGGAATCCAAACCCTCAACGACTACTTAGAATGGGTGGACAACCTGCTGCGATGGGTGCCACGAGTCGACACGACCGGCGACGAGCTACTCACTAAAATTCTCGTTTTCTACTGGGTCTTTGACCAGCCTGCTCTCCGCGGCCTGCAGACCGAAATCCAGCCGCAGAACTCCAACACCGACCTCACCTGGCTGTCATATTGGCTCGTGACATTTGCCCGTGAGCAGGGTAACTTCATGAACTCGCCCCAGTCGGCTGCTTCCCTGTACTCGTTCTACATAAATGAGGAGTACAAAAAGGAGGCGAGTCTTTGGGCAGAGCCCAAGACTGGATGGATGTCTTTTAATCACTGGTTTGCACGCGAGTGGAAGGACATCGACACTGCTCGTCCTCTTGACGGCAAAGGCGACGATAATGTCATCGTCAGCGTGGCAGACTCCATGTATGATGGCTGCTGGCCGGTTGATAACGGCGACGTCGTCATCACCATCGACGCTAAGTCCGTGCAGTGGCCCATCAACAAGTTGCTACAGACCACCGCGACAACCTTCAACGGGGGCAACTTCATGCATGCCTTCTTAGGACCCACCGACTACCACCGCCAACATGCCCCGGTCAGCGGCAAGGTCATTGAGGTCCGCAACATTCAGGACCAGGTATATCTTCAGGTGGCCAAGAAGAAGGGCGGCAACGGGCTGCGCGGCGATCGGGGTCTGACTCGTGACCTGCATGAGATCAACAAGCGCCAGGCAAAGCAAGGAAAGCAGTTCTTTGCGCTGGACGCGCCCGACGATGCCGGATACCAGTGGTGTCAGACCCGTGGGCTGATCGTCATTCAAACCGAGAAGTATGGCAAGGTGGCGGTCCTGCCTATTGGTATGGCGCAGGTTTCTTCCGTAGTGTTCACGGTCAAAGAAGGGGATCAGGTTGAAAAGGGTCAGAATATCTCGTACTTCCAGTTTGGGGGATCGGATGTGGTTGTTGTGTTTGAGAAGAGAGTCAATTTCCGAAGTGACCTCGTGCCCGGCAAGACCAAGCTGAATGTGAGGAAGGAATTTGCCACATTCACTTGAGCTTGAAGATACGATGGAAGGTTTTGGGGTTTTGTATTTGCAAATTGATCAATGCTGTGGTTTCATATTCTATCTTAAGTCGGACCAGCGTCTTAGGTGTGATGATTGATGGCTATCATAGTGTTGTGGTATGGTCTAACATAGTGTCCATTTAGCCTCCAAGGGCTTGGCTTGATCACTTTACCGGTTCCTTTGTATGGGCTGTGCATTGCTCCACTAGAGGTTAGCGAACCCTTGATCTTGTCAGCTTGACTTAGGGTTATGAACTTCAAATATCCATGGATACTTCTAGGTACAGTACCTTAGGTACTCGGGCAGCGTATTATCTGGTAAATACTGTATCGGTACAGAGACCCTGCTGATTAATGATTTTGCCAAGCGCCATCGTCACCAATAAACACATTTGATTGGATGAGGTCCCTGCCACAAAATTAAGTTATGGTTAGCGCGTAAGCAGCCTGCATTAGCGCCGGGAGGAGATCAGGCATCTACACAGGATCTTCCTAGTTAGACTGTATCTTTCTCATGCCAAATTCGGGGCACTTAATAGAAGCATATACACTTAGACGACCTGATTTGATTCTACTATCGTACAAAGCTTCTGCGTCCCTCTTCTATTCAATCCATAATTGGTACAGATTGGGTTTAATCTAAACCCCCGACTACTGGGAAGGGCACAAGGTTAGTTGAATGCAACAGCATAAAAGAAATTCAATCTACCTTAGTTGGCAAGGTTGTAACAATGGGTCTAGGAGAATATGAATCCCACAAATAATATACCACCCTAACCCCCTTCTCAATTCTTCCTCCCACAATATTTCCGAGTTCTACGACCCAGAGTCACCTTCCCCCCGCATCCAGCAACTCCCTCCCCTTTCTCACAATCCGTGCATTGTCCGTTATAGCCTCCTCGCCCGTCCCATCAACCACCAGATGCGTCATAAACGTCCCTAGCTCTTGTACCTTCACGGACCAATTCTCGCCCAACAACGCCCCAATCGGCGTGATCGTATACAACCATCCCCCTGCCCCGATTTGTCGAGGTACCACGCCGCCCGGCCTGACGATGAAGGTCTGCCAGATGGATCTGTGGGCTTCTGCAAAAGCTAGGGCGCGAGTTTCCAGTAGACCCTAAGGCAATAAGTCAAATAATTAGCCATACACGCGGTATGAACTTGGCAGTTTGCCAATAACTCCAGCGTGCAGTCCCAGGTAGGTCGGAGGATATTTGTATCAAATGAATAACGGGATGGAATATGTATGTAAGTCTGTACCTACCTTGATCTTCCTCGGCTTTTCCAAAAACCATAATCTCTCTTCTTGATTTTGTCGCACGAATTTCCCGCTTAAATGGACGTATCGGAATCGCTGCGCTCTCGGCTTCGATTTCGCCTCCGCCTCTAACACTTTGCCCATACTTTCTATGAAACTGAGTGGGTATTCGAGGTCCGCTGTCATGCTGCCGGTCGAGGTGCCCATGGCCCTGGTAGTATATCATATGTCAGTACATCAGCCATGTGCTGGAGAGACTGGTTTGTAAGGACCACGCTATTTAGGTATGTACATCCATCCATCCATCCATCCATTCATACGCACATAGCATGGAATCAAAACAAGGATAAACTCACCAGATCATCCCCACAGCATCCTTATGCTCCCGTAGCACGTCTTCCGGCCACATGGCGAAATCTCTAATTTTCACGACATCTAGTTTCGGGTTCGATGATACTTCAGCCGGGAGGTCTCGACGCACGAATGCCACGACAGATGTGATTAATGGGTGCCAGAGACATTGGAAGAGGGCTTCGCTGCCGATGGAGCCCGAGGCGCCGACGGTGAGAACTTTCATGGTGGCTTTTTTGAGCTGATTTGCTCTGTTGGGGTCAGTCAATGGGGGATTGCTTGGTGGCTGGTAAGGTACTTGCAACCGCCTTAGGTAGTACCTATGGTAGTATGTTTGTATGTATCTGGTCTATTGTAGCATCAGAAACAAAGAGACAGAGAAGGATTCGATTCCACACAAGGTATATTCAAGATTGCGCAGTCCAAACCGGTTGAAGAAAATGACTCCAGCTGAATTCCAGGGGAAAGGGGGTCTTCTATGACACTACGCCCATCAATCAGGTGGTGAGTCTTTGTCTGAACCTCAACGCTATCTATGGGTCGATTGCGCCTATTCAATTGGGTAATTGGCTATAGTCCACAGTGGCTCAAGTAAGACACCTGATCCTGCCGCTGTGGCTGCCGTCAGCCATTTCCTTAGTATGTAAGCCATCTCGTAGTCTAAGACTGGGGACTAACGACACATGCGAAGACAGAAAATCCACTCACCAATTGATGTTATTCGACGCTTACTGCCTTAGGGAATGTCCGATATTACAATTAGGCCTGGTCAGCACCTTATGTTCCGGAATATAGTGGTGACGTCATCCGTCTGTACCAATTGCAAGCTAGAGTACAATAGTAAATACCGATTGATTTTTGGTTTCATACATCATACGCCAAGCCGAGTCGCTCAATTGCATAAGTAGTAATCCAGTGGTTTTGGGCGTTTGCCGTTAAAGGTACCGAAAAATCATCTTCTCCCCGCGACTCGCCCGCCATCGGTTCGTCGCCTCCATGAGCCCGCCACACCCGCGCACAACCCACGGCCACTTGCGCAGGAACTGCTCCGTGACCTCCCAGTTGGCCGGGTCCGACGGATCTCCCCACACGAGCATACTACAGCTCTCGTTCGACATGTCCCAGAATCCCATGATATCGATGCAGAGCTGCTCGTCGTCGAACGTGTCCCCCGCAGCGACCAAATTATCGCGCATGCGCGGATGCGGGAAGAAGTCGAGCCAGGGGTGGTGGGGATTGCGGCGTTGGAGGGCTGTCGGGCGGAGGTTGATGGGTAGGTTTGTGTCTTCGACGAAGCCCGGTTGGAGCGTGGAGAAGGGTGAAATGGCGTCGTCGTGGAGCCATTCCATGTCGTGTTTCATGCCGAGGGTCGCCATTATTGAGCCGAAGGCGCGGAATACGTTCATTTTACTGAGGGTTAGGAGGTGGTCGGAGGCAGGGGAGCCGATGATGTAGCTTTCGTAGGCGGCTTTGCTGAGTTGGTCGAGGAGGAGAGAGGCTTCGTCTAGGCCGATGCAGCGGCTGGAGATAGTGAGTGTTTGCGAGGAAGGTTTGGCATTTCGAATGGATAGTGTCGTGCTGGTAGTGGGCGTAGAGTCTGTGTTGGATGAGGACGAGGGTGAGGTGTTTTCTTCGGAGCCGGAGGAAGTAGATATTCGGTTAACGAGTTCGGATGATGGAAGTTTGATGCCTTGCCGCTGCGCTTGCTTCCTTTTTCCTGTACATCATATCATGGTGTTATCACTGATCTATATTTTTGTTTCAATTCACGTTACAGAATGGCGCATGGATAGGCAGGTGAACTCACGATAGGCGCGCTGGTTTACCCGATTCTGCCTCCGCCTGCGCTCCTTCGGATCTGCCAAGCCTTTCCAATTATCAGGCTCGACATGTTCGCGCGGAAGACTCTCCAGCTCAGGCGAGGTTGAATTGTCGCGTTTCAGAGTAGTCAGGTCGTCGGTGGCCATGATGTCAAAGGGAAGCGGTCTCGTTTTGTAGAAAAGAGGCGGGCCGTCGGGTGGGCTTGACGCTACTTATGCAGGCGGCTGACAACGCCAAGTTTGGGTCCGGAGTTAAGCGGTCGTTTGGTGGCGGTGGATCTGCAGTATCCGTCTCGTCATTACTTACCGTACGTCTGTCTGGAGTATATAGAAGGTCGCTGGTCACCGGTGACCCTGCAGCTATTTATGGTGAAGTCTGTGAAAAATTGCTTGCGTGGCTCATTTCTCGGCATGCCTCATTCTCCAATAATCAGGTCGAGGAAACCTTGCTGCGGTCCACTAGAAGCAGCTATGGCCTGTTTTCGTTTCTTCAGCACATCCTAACGAACGACATCATGATGATCCACATGTCTTGCGGATCGTGCGCGGAGATAACGGCCGATAGACTATATTAATTATTAATAATAGAGCTGCGCAGCATTGAATGGCACCATACCTCTCTTTCTTTCTTTGAAAACTGGGTCGGCACAATGTCCACCTAGTCGTCGACCCTCGTTGGGTGAAATTCCGAGCGCTGGATTGTGCACCTGTCAATATGATGGCAGCCAAGTAAAGTGTGGTATCCGAATTGATCCAAAAGAAGACAAAATTCGCCGAGACATATCCGTTGATTCTCTAGCGCTGCATGCAATCTGCATAGTTCATGTCTGTTCCTCATTAGATCCTCCAATTACGCCTCTGTTGACACCGAAACATTCGCCCTGTATGCAATGGGTACTCTTCAATGTCGTGCTTGAATTGACCATCTATCCCAAAATCATTCTCGTCACGGTCCTGCCTTTTGAGCTTCTCGCTTCAGCGAGTCAAACGTCTGCATTACCGACCTGCGGTCCAGACCCTGTGTCCCCATACTCCGCATTATATACGCTCCCTCCCTATGTCGAGATTTTACGATCTGCTTCCTCGTCTTCGATTTGACTGCCGTATGAAGACTCTTGCAAAGTCCATGGGCAGGATAAGCCACCAGGCCCAGCGCCGCTATGTGAATTGATTAGCGGCTCAGTCATAAAACTTTGCGGGCACAAAACATACCAGACGGCACCATCGTCGTAAACCCAATCGTCCCTTTCATGATACCCTTCGCCACGCCGAGGGCTCCTTCGTCCGCACCTTTCCGAGGCTGGTTCCAGATACCGGTGAACCCCTCGCGCATGTTATGCGCAAAGTTCTTACCGCCGGCCAGGGCCCCGGATTTCCAGTCCCGGACTTGGTAGTCCTCCACCTCCTCGCCGTATAGTCTTGGAACTGCGCGAAGGCCCTCCGTTGCGGCCAGTGGAATGTCAACAATAATGCCTTTCGAGTAACTGCTGAGTAATTTTCCGAAACCCTTGGCTCCCGCTGTGACTGCTGCTCCGCCTCGGTGCCAATTCGTTCTCTCCTCGTTGGTGTCTGGCGCCGGTGCCGCAGACATTGGCTGTGATCCGTTTAGGTCCTGCATAGATCGGGATCGTGTGGGCACATGATGCGCGCTGGTGGATCGCGACGAACTAGGTCGAGTCACTTCTTGGTATGGTTTGAGCAGCATATCGGTTGTGGCTTTTAGCATGTTGGTTCCAGTGCCGATCGCCGCTGACGTGGTGCTACTGAGCGGGTCGAGTCTCCGGTTCTGAATGAAAATCGGTCGTGCTTCAAATCTGATGTTTCAATTAGCTCAGCATCTCCCTTTCAAGAAGTAGTGGTACGCACAATTGCAGGTTCTTTTGTTCTATCTTCAGATGGTCCATCAGCAGCTGTGTGGCTAATTTTGATAGGCGGATAGGCTTCATCGACGACCTCTTGTAGGCCCATACAGCCGGCTGATCGGGCAGGATTTGACAGCGCATTACATCCACTGGCAGATTACGATGGAAGGACTCCACGGCCCGCTTCACCCCAGATTCTGCCTGCATTTTCATACAGATATCTTCCGCAGCCTTCAGTGCACGAGGCTCAAAGCAGTACTGAATGGCACTGGCAAGACCCTCAACGGTTAAGGCACGGTGGTGAATTGGCAGTGGACCAGCACCTGAAGCGGCGATCATGTTGCCCCAGAAAGGCTGGTCTCCAAAGAAGGGGATAATCACGGTCGGTTTCCCAAACCGCAGGCCACAGGCGGTTGTCCCGGCACCACCGTGATGCACAACGGCAGAAACATGTTGGAAGAGCCATTCGTGGGGGCAGTCTCCAAGGTAGAAGATGTCGTGTGACGAAGAGCCGCCTAGTTTGCTCCAACCGCGAGATATAATGGCGCGGACTCCAAGGCTTCTGACGGTTTGTTCGAGGATTTGGGTCATTCGTGGGGGGTCGTCGATCACGATACTTCCAAATCCGATATATACTGGGGGTGGTCCTTGTCTCAGGAAGGCGTCAAGATCAGGCGGCGGTGTGTAATTGGGTGGGTCGCGAAAGAAAAAGCCGCAGACATCTGCAAAGTTAGCATTTCATCAGCCTGGAGGGGGATACCTAGAAAAGAATACCAATATATGACGGCCAGTCTGCAGGTTTCGGCAACAGCGCAGGAGACCAGCAGTATGTGAAGGGCACTTTGAGTGTCTGCGCCAGATTCGGTCCTTCTCCAGTAGGGACCGGTTCCAAATCTATCGTGGCTCTCCACTCGTTGATAACATCACCAAGTCTACCATCTGTTAGCACGTCTCTCCCATACATCGGGAATTCACCGACCCCTGCCACGTCATCCATTCCACAATCCCATAGGATACCGAATTCGCAAATTGAGAATTGTTCCCCGAGTACTTCAGATTCGCCAACGGATGCGGATACGCCGTCGTCGGACTCCACGGCATCGTGAACATCAAATGCAGCGGAATCCCCAGCGCCTGGGCGCAATGCACATGCGCAAAGCTCGGCGGATTTGCGATGATCGCATCTGCCACAAACGGGGTCTGTGTGGCCGAATCATCCTCTATACAGGATCTCCAGCACCCCTCCAGCATCTCCGCCACCATCAGCCTCTTCTTTTGAATATCGCCCGCCTTCAAGCTCTTCATCTTCGGGATCAGCCCCGGGTTCTTCACCATGTAGGCCATCAACTCCGCCGGATCGCCACCGATCGGATAGAACTCGAGCCCTGAACCCCGCACAAACGAGTCGAAAACATCATGCGTCGCTAGACGCACTCGATGGCCGTACTTCTGAAGCTCGTTCCCCAGCGCAATGAACGGCTGCACGTCGCCTCGACTGCCGACGACCTGGATGACGATGTTCAATTTGATCCCTGGCGCCACGGACTCCGTGTATTCTGGCGGAGGGAGCAAAACGTCCTCTTCGCTGGGCCATTGGACGAATTTCAGGGCTGCTCTGCACGCTCGCGAATTCAGATCCACCTCGATTCGTCCGTCATCTGTCCAATCGCGACTTGTCATTGACTGGATCCCACCAAAACGCCATCAGAGCCATCAGAACACGCAAATCATACCTTGAACCACACTATTTCCCTCCGGCGCCATCAACTCATACGGCGGTGGGGTTTCCTCGACCGAAGGAACCATGAAGTCATGTCCCTCAGCCTCTTGATATGGGAGGTGACTCTTAGAAGAGGCCATGATACGGGTACGATGATGTGGCGACCAAAAAAAATCATGATCCCAAAATCCAGGGGGAGGAACATCTTTATAGGTGCTGCACCCATGGAACCCGGATGGGTGGATGGATAGTTCCAGACAGCGAGCCCTGGTTGCGCTGTTGCAGATCGTGGCAATCCAGCCCGTACCCGTATCCGTTACCCGATCAGTCTAAAAGCGGTGGGGCCCACCATTGCTTTTCTCGGTCTTGGCGGTCACTTTCTGCCTGAAACTATTGGCAGATTTAGCCCTACATGGCCTCAATTCTGTGTGGATTCAAAAACTATTAGGAGGCGCTAAACTTAGAATTTTCCACAGGTTTGGGGATAGTCCGCTTATGCAGGAGTCTAATTTAAAGTGATACGAACGACTCGTTTCTTCCTTCGTGCGGATCTTCGTTTATTCGTATTCGGTCGCTGCCTGAAAAATACTACGGTGGATCTATAGGTACGGAGGTGTGGACCAAAAGTAATCGTGACTGCCACTAGTAAGATTCACAGCCAAGTAGAAGGATTTTGTAAAATCATATAACATTTATGTGATATATCCTTATATTCTATACCTAGTTGAGTAATTGATCATATTATAAAGCTATTTAAATTCTTCTCTAAGCTAAAAAGGTTGATTTGAATAGTAAATAGAACTCTTTTAGATAATTATTATGTAAAATTATAGGCACTAATATGACCCAAAAAAGGTGTTCTTATATGATATCTCACAAATATGAACTACTCTTTACCAACTCTTTCTGCTTGGCCGCGAGCATTACTAGAGGCAGTCCGATTACTTTTGGTCCACACCTCCGTAGTAGAAGCAGGTATACGAGAGCTACGTGCACAAATCAAGTTCAAGCATTCGAGGTCGGTGGATCATATGTCATTCGTGGGATGGGTTCATATCGACATGCGACAGAAGGTTGATCTAACCAGGAATAATTCAAAAACCAATACAAAAGGTCTCCAAAATCCATCATTCTTCGACTTCACGCTCATCGTCTTCAATGTCGTAGTCTTCGTCACTTTGAGGGTGCTCAGACTCATCGCGCTTGCCAGGGAGTCCGCGAGACTAGCAGGTACCGCCATAACATTTCAGATGGCGAGCGCAGTCCTTGTTCGATCGGCAACGGGCAAGCGGCTTACCGACAACCTGACGCTCACTGATGTCCTCGTCGTCTCGCTTCAAAGCGTTGAGACCACGATACTTGCAGATGCCTCCATAGCACCGGTATCGGGGAGGACAATCATCCTTGGACTTGCAGCGGGGGGGATATTTGCTGGCAAGAGCCAAAACATCGCGCTCAAGGATCGTGGTATCTTCATCACGCTTGGGAGGATTGTGGGGTGGACGGTACTTGCAGATACCACCGTAGCACCGCTGCGACTTGGGGCAATCGTTGTTGGATTGGCAACGGGGAGGAGGCTTAGAAGCAACAATCTCAATTCCGAGCCCAGCGATAGTGTCGCGCTTCGAAAGGTGAGGAGGGCGGTACTTGCAGATGCCTCCATAGCATCGGTTGTTAGGAGGGCAGTCGTTCTTGGATTTGCAATAAGGGGGGTACTTGGATCGTTCGAGAATGCCAGTATCTATATCCACGTCGTTAAAGAATGTTCAAGTCCCTACACAAATCCAGCAAAGAGAGCTTACCAGACTCGTCATCGTCGTCGGTCTCGGTCTCAAGGTCCAAACTTCTCACGCATTTGCCGTTCAGGCAGCGTCCAGAGGCGCATGTAGGACGGGTGGCACAATCACGGCGCTCACATCGCTTGTTCTTGCAGGCATAGCCGGCATCGCAGTCCTTGAATGTTTTGCACCTTTTGGCTCGGGTAAAAAGGCGGGCTTCAGGGTCATCAATGTCATCAGCGTCGTCAATGTCGTCAACATCGTCGGCGCCAGTCTCCAAGTCAGCAACTTCACGCTTAGCGAGAAGCTCAGAGTCAGTCTCAACGTCGAGGTCAGTAGCATCGACGTTAACTTCTATTTTTATATTAGTTACTCAGATTTGGCTGTGGATATCAGATTAATGAACTTACCTGTATCGGGGTTATCGTTGATGCTCTCGTCGTCACGCGTGGAATGAGGAAGCTTAATAGGGGTTCTACAAGCGCCCCACGTGCACCTCTTATCCTTGGGGCAATCGTTGTCGCTTTTGCAGGTCTTCCTGGCTTTAGAAACAGCCGTTCCGGGAGTAAGGAACCTGATAACGCGTCTACAGTTGCGCAAGATGCAGGTCGTATCCTTGGGGCAGTCCTTGTCACTGCTGCACAGCTCCTTGGTTTGGATATGCATCTCTTCGTCGTCATCCGGATCTTCATTGTCATTCGCCTCTATGAGTTGGTTAGTGACCTGGGAAATTCAAAAAAAGAAAAAAAAAATGGGGGGGTCAAGAGAGGAAGTACACACCCGCATCGACGCAAACATTCTCAAGACAGACACCGTTGCCACAATCAGCATCTTTCTGACAAGCCAGGTTGACATCAAGCTTATCGGCCTTCAGCTCGTTCTCAAGAGGTTCAGGACCTGAGTCATGGTTAGTCTCATCATGGGTCTCAAGACTTGCAGCAATATCATCGTTTGGAAAATTTGAAAAACATCTGCTCATCGGTGGGTTCTCAACCGTCTCAAAATCGGAGTTAGGTTCGGTCTCATCATGAGCCTGCAAGTTTGCAGGAGGGTGATGACGCCTCTTGTAACAGAATCCATTGATACATTTCCGGTTACGAACGTAATCTGAATCAAAACGGCATTTACGGTTCTTGATCTCACCGGATTCAGAAGGGGCTTCAGGCTCAGCTTCAGGCTCAGGCTCATCGCGAGTTTGATGGCCCCGATATTGACAGGTGCCATTTTTGCAGACTTTGAAGAAGTTGACACAGTCCCTTGAGGTTCTGCATTTAGCGAGTTGAGAAGATTCAGAGCGAGTGTTCTCAGTAGCGACTGTCTTCGTCAGTACTTATCATTGTGGAAGGAGAGAAATAGTGGCTACTTACTATCGACAACAGCGGCGTAACAGGCCAGAATAGAGACCAATATAACGAGCAGGAAACCGAGGAGCTTCATGATGACTGCAGCCCAGATGGCCTGGAGTCAATGAAGAGGAAGGATAGGGTGGGGATATTATTCAGGGTAAAGATGCTAAGGTTGGGGGTCAATGGAGATGAGTAAGATGGGTGGGAACATGAGAAGAGGAAGGTGAGAGTGGGTGGGAGATAGAGGGTTTAAATATAGACGGTGCGGTGAGGAAGCAATTTTCTGCCCATGATCAAGATAGAGATTTCTACCGGGAGTTTCCAGCCGTAGTTGTGACGGTCGGTTTGGAGTATTCACGTTGGACTCTGCGATAGTGGGAAAGGAACGTCGGGAAAGCTTCATTCCGGGGTCTAGACTGCACGCTTTGGGGGCTATGCAGTTACAGTATATTCAAGACCAATTACGAGGATTATGGATTTGGATCTCTCCGTCAACGACTGGAATCTGGATTCACCAGGGCTCACGGTTTTAGTTCGCACTTGGATATGTGCCGAGGTTTGCACCCCATGGCCACAGTATACGGTCACGTTGGCGCAGTCACACAGTATGATGTTGTGATTCAGTATCTTTGTGCAAGAGACATTATTATGTGCAATGCATCTTGTCTAATGCTATGTGCCGCGCTGTCTGTATCAAAAAGATAGTTGGATGGTATTCCCTCAATCCAGGCTTTAAGTTCAACTATCAAACTCTCAGAAGGGGCTTTTGTCCGACTTTGAAAGATACGTTTTTAGTGCCGAATTGCTGAGATGAGATTGAAAGCCCGAAAGCATTAGTGCTCGAACCTATCGCCCCATGCCGTCCCAGGCTTATATCGATTTCTGGGCTCTAATATAGTAATGTACATGGCTGCCCACTTCATCTGCTACGTTGTAGCTCTTCGAATCCCAGCTTAGCCCGGTGAGGTAACCGGGCAAGATCACAACTTGCAAACATCGTCATCTTCGTCGTCATACTCCCATCTTTCACACCCATACGGATCTTCAAGGCAAAAGTCATCGACACCGCAGACCATCCTATCCAGAACGGCAAGATTCGGCGTACAACAAAGGGACTTAAACCGAGCATCTAATCCAAGTTGTCAGCAAAGACTTTACACTTTCAGTCAAACAGAAGAGATAGTGGAAGAATATACCAATACAGGACTCCCCATCGCCTCCAACAGGATTGGTTCCAAGGCTAACCTCACTCGCCGCGCAGTTCGCATCCACGCAATCGCCGTCGCCCACCCAATGACAATTAATGAAAGGCAGTGGAAAACTCATTGGACAGCAAAGGTCTTCACCAGGGTCGTATACCGGACGTCCTTTTTTCCAAGGTATCCAGGGATTCCAGAAATGGGCGACGCTGACGTAGTCGTGGGTGCAGGGGTATCCACTATTTCAGCATCAGTTAGAGGCAGCTTGATGGTATGGGCAAATACAGATGCGATGCCTGGGCTAGTTGGACGACATACAAACCAGGAGTGGAATAGCACTCGGTAAACATCTTCCTGTAAAGTTGCAGTGGGCAGCATAGTGCTTTTGATCCGGCCTCACAGCTGCTCTTCACGTTCTCGATAGCGGTGGATTCATCCCACGTGGACTTGGCTAGTTGAACGGTGCCCGTGAAACATTGTCCGTGGCAGCCCGTTGCTGAACCACTCCAGAAGCAGTCGTCGAGGTGGACTTCTTGCTCGATTTCTGGGGGACAGCAGATGGGTTTGCCGCACTTCGGTGGCATTTATTAGCTAAGTTCAGGGCATGACAAGAGCTGTGTACATACAAAATCACCTTCACAATCTATCATATCATATCTGACCGTGATATATGGTGCGCATGCTGCATTGGGGTGACCTGCTTGACGAAAATCCTCGCCGATAAAGCATTTCGCTCCTAGGTTTGGGATCGCATAGGAGGAACGCTCGAGCCTACCTGATCCGCTTAATGGCTCTGTTGTACAGATTGCGTAGAAGACGTAGGTCAGAATGGCAATGCAATTATAGCGCATGATGTCATCTAAACATATTCCAATATGATTTTCCTGAATTCTCTGCGCGGGATTGTGCGAGAGAGATCATGAGAATTGAAATCCCTTCTGGCCCCTTTCGGTTAAAATAAACTATTAGACCGTTAGACAGATCGCGTGGTCGACGGTTCCTGAATCAGAGATCTAGACCCGCTGGGTTGGCGCGTCTATCCTGATTTCGGCCTCCTTGACATGGACTATACAGGGTAGCTGGAAATAATATAATGTTTCGGCATCTCGAATACTCGTCATCCTTCAGCCAGGGATATCAAGTGGTGCGCGATCAGCCACACATACGTCGGTCTTGGCCCCCCGAGATTGATTAACGTGCATCATCGTGCGTGAGAGCGCAGCCAGTCAGCGGCCCCGATGGCACGGGTGGCTGCCATCGACGTCATCGGCTTTTCATCTACTCCGGTGTGTATATAAAAAGACCCTTCTTGCTCCATCTATCGATCATATTCAAACCTACTACATACCGCATACCACTCCAAACCACCACCTCTCAGGACATACCTCTCTTCCTCCTCCACCTCGACCACACATAAAACCCATACCCAACAAATCAACATGCCAAACAACGCCTTCTCCTCCTCCCAAGATACCGGCGTCACCGGGGCCGCCAAATTCGTCACCTCCACGCTCGGCAACACGGTCGGCGGCGTCTCCCGCACCGTTGGCGGAGTCACGGGCGCAGCGACCCGCGGGACTGGGGACACCGTTACCGGGGCCACAGGCAGCGCGGGCAAGCCCGTCGGCGATGCACTCGGGAGCCTCGGGACTGGGGTAGAAGATGGAGCGAAGAGGGTTGCTAGGGGTGTGGAAGACGCCGGACAGTGGCGGTGATTTCGCTCTAGGGTTTGTGGATAATGATGTCCGAAGGGCGCGTATATTTGTATGGAAGCAATTGGGACCATTGGATACCGGGGCTGGAGGCTTTTTGTTCATTGATTGTTTTTCCTGTCTCATGTTGTTATGACTTCTGCGTTCTATACTCTGGGTGCGTTATGAATTTACGGCTTCAATGACGGACTGTTTCTCATCGTATCGATCAATAGTAGGGGTTCGATAACCCCAAGGTCAACAACAGTCATAGAACGCTTTCCACTAGAGCAAGGAAACATGAATTAATGATGGACCAACCGGAATCTAAAGCATTTTTAATGGGAAAAAAAGAAATGCTCACACTCGGATTCGAACCGAGGATCTCATGATTACTAGTCATGCGCTTTACCAACTAAGCCATGCGAGCGATTGATGTTAGAGGGCTGATATTTTGGCATTATAAGACAAAACTACAAGACATCTTATTACCCTAGGTCGCAATACCTTCCGCAAGGTCTTTGTCACTTGCCTTTACAAGAAATCATGTTTATCTTCAATCAGGCTAAAGTCTAGGAATACTGGAGGATATCTTTGATAGGGACAACGTGTATAACGCATGGAATTGCCGATGAAATATGACATTGAGAATGATTTTATCCGTGTTTATTGCAGGCCTTCTAGAGTATATATTTTGTCCTCCCGAGTGTACAATTTCCATCGTCTCATTTTGATCCCGTGGCACCCAAAGCTCACTCCTAACATTTACTTATTGCCATGACTTATAATCTACATGCCGTCACACTATAAGTCATACCGGGAACCTCCAAAGACACAAGACAAACAATCAAGCTCCAGGAACATCGCGAAAGCCTTCGTTGAGAAGTTTCAGAGCTCGTGGGAGGCATTTAATATGCGATAAGAATTTAATATAATACGAAATGATCATGAACTGTACTTCAATACATATATTTTTGGTGTTTCCTCTGAGCATGACAACTACGCCCTAAGTCAAAGCCTGTTCAGAGTAGTTTAACAAGATTCCAAAATTATGTATGACCATATGCCCTTTTCTTCTACATACAGTATATACATCCCCAGAGATCCCTATCCACCCTACAATTGCTTGTTCGCCATACATCAATGTCGGTAAACCGTGAGGCCAGTGGGTATCTGTCCAGCCCTCCGCTGAGACTATCTAAGGTGAAAATTCTCTCTGTCTTTTATTATTTCGACCCAATCGTCCAGACTAAACATCCAATGCATAAAATTTGCTCTATTCTTAACCTCCCGTGCAAATACATAGAATATAGTCTCCCGATAAAGACCTAGGCACCTGTACCTATTTATGAAGAGTATCTCTGTGACCTATCGCTAGCTATTTTACTAGACTGCTGCGCGCCATGTAGTAAGTTATTTATCCCGAAGACCGTTAAGATACCCAATATTCTTGGCAACCCACGTACGTTTGCATACTTTTTACCCTGGCAATAGCAGGGGGAAAGTTTGTTGTCGAATGAGCTGACACAAGGACATATAACCAATCTACGCCCATAGCAACCAATCAGCTCGCATGGCTTAGTTGGTAAAGCGCATGACTAGTAATCATGAGATCCTCGGTTCGAATCCGAGTGTGAGCAATTTCTTTTTTTTCGTTTTCCCCATTTCCTGATCGATAACTCTTTTCTTTTTTTTCTGGACCTGCCAAAAACAATTTTTTGGTTTCCTTTGTGCGTTTTGTTTGTCCAGGTGTATTTGTGGCTTGCAGGTCGGCGTCATGCGTGGCCTCTGCACTCGGTACATACATCTATACCCGTTGAAAGCCACCCTTGGATAGCTCTCCTGCTAGATCTAGCCAACTATCTATACTCAATGCAAATACATCATCCCTTTTCATATTCCCTGGGTCATCGCTTACCCAACTTACCTGTATCTGCATCATATCCATATTCGTTCTTCTTTCGAGTATCAACGCGCGAATCCGAAGCAAGGGAAGATTCTACCATAATTAAGGTGCTTGAACATCTAGCGATCTTAACCATGAACACCGTGAGCGTCCCAAACAGCGTTGGTTTAAGCATTACAATTTTACAATACCTGCGGTGCACACTGAAGCCTCATTGATAGAAATGGTTTATACATTCCGTAGTCATTCAACGGTGGGGAATGCCAACACAAAGAGAACAATGTATATCACTAGAAAGTCTTTAGACACAGAGGTCTATGAAGAATAGATTGTATAGTTAACACCGGTATACATACCTCCACTCTTGAAAGGGTAAAAGGTTAGCGATGTTGTTCTAAGGGCTGTTATGGTGGGAGGGCAAGAAGGAAAATGTAGAGATATGGAGATAGATATAGAAGATAAAACTCGAATAGCCCAAAGCTGGCTTATACATACAGGTGCATACAGTGAAAGTCTTTTGATATCGGTAGGCCCTATGTCCATCTAATTTACTATTGAGAGCGACACCAAGGAGAAAGTATCGACTGTCGCCAGGATCTGTGCACATGAAGCCGAATCAGGCTGCGCATTTGCTGCACACGGTATTGCCGATCCTGGTTGAGCTCAAAAAGGTTTAGTCACACAAATAGATATGAGAATCATCAGAGTCCGAGTCGACCTGTAAGGGATCCCACACAAAAGAAACAATACTGCCAGAGGTAATATAAAAGTGGGGATCTGATTCAACTCGAAACAAATATCGGTCATCCTCTATGTGCGCAAGTCGAGTTAGTTCCTCGGTCTTCTTGACCATCACGGTGACGCCTTGGATATTCTGCAATGTAAGGCGGATCGGAGGCATGATTGAATCGTTGACACGTTCAACGTGCTGCGTCCGACGTATAAGTTGGCGAAGCAGACTCGACACACAAGTGTATCCGCTCAGAACTTGCTTCATTTCGCCAAATCGATACCACCGGATCAAACGAGCTGCGTCCTGCAAGGAAATCTCGTAACAGTAATCAATCTTGAGGTTGTATGCCTCTACAAGCATTGTGCGATAACGTGAGATATCAACCCCGATATCGATGCTACTTACAAAGTCAGCAGATAGGGTATGAGCCACCGAGTAGGGTTTGCCTGGATAGAGAGTCAGAAAGAAGTCCTGGGAGTCACGGTGAATGGCTGGGTTCAACTCATCAGTCTCCAGAGGGGCCTCGTTGGCTGGAGCGAGCTCGTACCTTGGCAATGTTACGTGAGCCTCAGAGGTTTCGGTGTTGGTGAGGATGAGGTTGTGCTCAAACCAACTAGTTCCATATTTGTCAAGTGGAGTGTCAAGGACAAGGACTGTGATAGGTTTTCTGGCCAGAGGAGACAGAGTGGCTTCCACAGTAACAGTAAAGTTCTTTCCGAAGTGGTACTTGTAGAGAGTGGTAGATGAAGTAGTGATTGAGATATCGATCTGTGGCATCCCTGACATAGTGAGTCGGAAGTCCAATGATCAATTGCGTTTCGATAACTTCTCCAAGATCCTCTAGAGCAGTACGACTGCAAGAAAGGTGGACGAGTCGGCCATCCAAGCAGTAGCAAGATGGTAGAAAGAAAGGAAAGAAAAAACGGGTGGAAAATCGAAGCCGCCGTTGGTGAGGGATAAAGAGGCCTTTTAAAAAGCACATTTCAGACAATAGACCCGTTGACAGTCGGGGAATTCCAACTATTGTATTCTAGCAAATACAAAAACGACGGGTAATACCGATCCAATATACCAGGGACAATCAGGTCTGATTCTGGCATTGTCTGTGGCAACTGAATCGGGTTGAGTAGAAAACACTGGAGTACTATGTGAAGTTGCAGTGTTTGTCTGTTCCTCCGGTGGAGTGGTAACCAGAAAGAGAGGGAAGCCGCGGACTGGGAAGAAGAAAGGTGTGATGAAGTGCAGAAAGTCACCTCTGCTAGTTGGGCCGTTTGGCCTCATGGCTTATGATGTTGGGCAATCACGGGATTTTTAATTGAAGCGATCCAGGCCAGAGTAGTCTGTGCGGAGACAACTGGAGGTGTATATAATCTCCACTACTGTTGCCAAATTTTCTCCCATATGTCTGCCAAAAGCAAATCAGTAGGGGAAGGATATCCAGGAAGCATGATATATTGATGTGTGATAAACCTGTTCAGGATTTGGACTAAGTACAGCTTTCCTGCTCAGTATGCGGGGGTGCAGAACGGTAGTTATACCAAAACATGACGCTGACCTGATGATTGGTGGTAAGCTGGGAACAATATTCGGCGACTAACGACTCAATAAAAAGGGTATCCAATATCCCAGCTCCACAAAAATATATATAGGCCATTTGTACAATTATGACTAAACGTGTTATTATTTTCCTCAACGAAGAGTCGAGGTTTTCGGCTTCTGGGCATAAACAGCAGTACCAGGAAGGTAGGCATGGGTTTTGTAGTCTCGTAGCGAAGCACGCATTTGAGCCAAAAATACCTGTGCTTGCTCAAATGACCACTGCAGTGTGGAGGTGAGAAGCCGCAACATGAATCCTTCGATTCCGCCATGTAGTCGAAGTTGATTCCAGCGGCCCTGAGACCTGTTAACGCGAGTCCACAAAAGGAGAGGATGCAACCCACCAGATCATGCAACTTTTTGTTAGCACTCCACCTACACAGTATAGAACGACATATTAGTGAATAAGCATGGTGCGAAAGTTCTCCTGGCCAAGTCAGACGTACCCGTTCATGGGCCATTTATACCCAGTCTCAACCACCCCAACGAATCCGGCGTTCTTGAGACGAGCGGAACTCTCTTCCCAGATGGTGAAGCTTTTACCGAATTTTTCTCCAGACTGCACCACTGTCTTTCCCCATAGATGATAGAAATGATCGGGGCCCATGCTGCCATCGTCGCTGGTTGGCTGGACTGCGTGTTCTACTACCTCGATGAAACCACCAGGCTTCAGACAACGCCAGCATTGCCGGAAGAACCCATCCCAGTCTGGTATACAGCCAAACATCTCGCGCACGTGAATAAAATCAAATTGGTTCGACGCGTACGTCCAAGGTAGTGTGATATCGTCAATTTCGAACACGCAGTTAGGGGGTACAAATGTGGGTTGGATGGGAGAAAGATCGACACCGGTAACGCTAGCACTGGGATATTCATCGGCCATGTCACTAGAGAGGATGAGCAATCTGTAGTGAAATCTCAAGTAGAAGCTCCAAGACCTACATAGCCCAGACTCCAGTACCTGTGCCCACATCGAGGATTTCCTAGGAGCGCCGTTCTTAGCTATCATTTGCCATCTTGGATATCCGGTGTCGGTCGCGTGATGTTATCAAATCCCGAGCGGCAAAGTAGAAGAAGAGGAAAAGTTGATACCTGCGGAGAGTCGATAGGAGCGAGATGCAACTTCCCGTCCAGGGTTATGAGGTACATGTGATGGGCAAGATCTTGAAATTCGTTCGCAATTTCATCGTTCGGGCCCTACAAGCCAAGCGACATGAGCGTAGAGTCGAGTCGCGTCGAAGAGAAACATACCCAGTAGGCGCCATCGTGATAAGAGTGATAGCGACGGCCAAATTCGTACCGATAATCCGTGATATACGTCGATAAGGTCTTGGTGTCGTCACCTAGTAGAGAGTCACCGCTGAAGGCGGAGTCCGAGTCACCGTATCCGTCACCCTCGGCATCGTGGGAATCGGCGGAGGGATGTTCTTGGGCCTGCGCGACCGAAGAGTCGAAACGGTCGAGACGAGAGGGATCTTCATGGTATGGAGAAGTGGGCATTGTGGTAGCGGCGAGTGGAGATCAAACGGCGGGATTCTCGCATCAAGCAAGAGGGAGATCGGGAGGGTCTAGGGACTAAGTGGGGGGAGGGGGATGGTGTGGATTTTAAGGGTTCTGACCATTGAGCCATGAAAGGACGCAACAAAGAAGAATTAACCTAGCATCACTAGTAGCGCCATTGAATCTTAATCGAGGGGTCATCGGGGCATAGGGAAGATGAAGCTATGGAATGGAAGTGAGATGGACCGTTCGAGTCGATCAACGCATTGGCGCAAACGGCGGGAAGTAGCGGGTACCTCGATCCTCGCAGACTTGCCTTGGGGGTAGGAGGTACCGGGTACTTGTCGCGTTACCAGCACGGGCCGGTAAAATTACCGGAAGCGTGTCTGAGCAACTTCCTAATGCGGATTAGCTCCAACGTCCTTGTGGCTGCCTCGACTCTCAGGCCGCGATTCTCAGGCAGGCCAAGACTTGCCCTTCTCCTCCTTCTTTCTTTCCTCCTATCTCTTGCCCTGTCTTTGAACCGTGTCTGCTCCACTTCCGGCTACCGACGTCTTCCGGTGTACAATCCTGGCTGGAACATCATGTCCCTATTGGAGAACCTCTTAGTCTCGCCGAGCCCGTTGTTTGTCAGTTGGCTGTCAAAATGTCCTATCACTCCAATCAGATGTCGGCTGGAAGTGCACTATCATCAAGCCTGTCGCATTATGCCCCTCGTGGCAGCATTGCCAGACGGCCAAGTTGTACAGGCTTAGGGTGATGGCATGATGGCTCATCCCGCGTCCAGACTGATGATCGGCGGCCGACGCTGACGAAAAGTACTGCTCTAAAGCCGGATCTCCGAAAGAGGAGTTCCTCGATTGGTAGGGTTTTGTTTACCTTGTCGGATGTCTCATGGTGTCCTTCGGCCAATATGGAGTTGAGACTGGATTCGCGCCCCTTGATGCCCTCCTCTTGCCTCTTCATATCTCTTTTCTCCTTCCTCGACTTGAGTGACAGGAAACATTCCAACCATGGAGCTTTTTAAAGAGACTCTGAGAGCCCTTAAGGGGATATTCGGCGTTAGATCTTCCATCCTCGAGCCAAAGTCAGACACGACGGTTTTGATTGTCGGTGCAGGTAATATCCCGTGAAATTTCGGATGGAAACGTTCAATCATTACTGACCGGGCTGTCAGGCTCGACTGGACTTGCATTAGCCCAAGGATTGAAGAAGGTGCTCACTAGTTTTCCACCAAACTGTCGGAAACGATATCTAACAAAATATCTAGCTCGGAATCCCATGTATCGTCCTCGAAAAACATCAAAGTCTGGATGCACAGCCCCGGGATTGGAATATGGGTTTGCACTGGGGAGCAGAGTCACTAAAGTCCCTGATACCAGATGAATTGTGGGCGCAGATTCAGTCTGTCCAAGTTGATCCTAGTGAGCCAACGGCGGAGTATGACTGCCTTAATTTTCTCAATGCGCAGTCGGGTGAAACTATGGCGACCATCCCGGTCCAGTACTTTTACCGACTCCGTCGCTATAAGCTTCGATATCTCCTGTCACAAGGCATAGATATTCGATACGGCAGAACCATGCAGGCAATCGAGTACGCCGAAGACGGGCGGCATGCCACCACGCTGTGTGATGATGGCCAATCAATCACGACGAGACTAGTAGTTGGTACAGATGGTGCTCGTTCAACCACACGACAGATTCTATTGGGTTCTAGCGCGGGTCGCATTCGATATCTGCCCTACTGTGCAACATTTGTGCAGGCCAGTTATAACGCGGAGCAGGCCCGATTCCTCCGTGCGTTTCACCCGCTCTATCTCGCTGGGATCAATCCCGCAGGTTACTTCTCCTTCTTCGGTCTGCACAACGCGGAAGATCCGGCCCAACCGGAGTCGTGGACGTTTTTCTTCTACATCTCATGGCACTCCACGTTGGAAGAACAGGAGGACACCGCGGAATGGACCAATGCCCAGAGACTGCAACAAGTCAAGGAATTTGCCAAAACATTTGCAGACCCCTGGAAAAGCGCGTTTGAATGGTTGGAAGATGACCACCAAGTTTGGTATATGAGCCTGACCGACTTTGACCCCGGTAGCAGGGATCATCGTTGGAATAACCGTGGCGGTTGTGTAACTCTCGCTGGGGACGCCGCTCATGCGATGACTTATCAACGTGGTCAGGGCTTGAACCACTCTATCACCGACGCTGCCAATCTTGCCAAATGCATTCGGGATTTTGTCCAAGGCCGAGTTTCGCAATCCGAGGCAATCGCCAGGTATGAGAATGAGATGATCAGTCGCGCTGGCGGGGAGGTCTGTCTGTCAACTACGAACACCGAAATGCTGCACAATTGGGAGAAAGTTTCGAGTTCCCCCGTATTGAATTCTGGTCTCAAGCGAAACAACACCGCTCATGTAGGATGACGACGGTCTCGTCTGGAGTACGTTTTCTTTTTGTGCCTTGAATTTTCAACCGCATGTTGAGCACGTTGATGACGTATGAGCATCCGGCAAGTATTGATCGTTTGACACGTCGGAGTGGATCGCGCAGTTAATTCTGGTACGATCTGCTTACTACGAGATAATGGAATGCATAGTTGTGGATATATACTGAGGAGCTAATATAACTGTCATCTATACATTGCTATCCTGACCTAACTAGTCCAAGAATTTATCATCTGAACTCGGCATACTCAAAGTCCGCAGGTACCAAACAGCGCTGAAGCTCTCCAAAAGCATACAGTCCCAACATCATGCCTGTGAACGGGGCTCCAACAGGAATTGAAGCCTCCGTCATCGTTCGGTTCTTGACTTCCCCAATCCAATGAGTCATACTCTGGTCGTCATTTACACCGACTTCCTTGAACCCAAACTTGTATGCATCTCCACACTCAACCACAAATATCACGTCAGAGGCAGAACTGGCTAGTTCCAAGTCGACTGTCTCCCCCTCCGCCGGTCGGAACCTTACTATACGAGTGCCGTCCTGGCCCGTGGGAGACAGCCGAATTCCGATGCTGCTGTAAGTGAAATAGTTCCACCATACAGTCGTTCCCGCCTCTGTTTGGACTGAAGTAGGACGAAACGACAACCGGGTCTCCCACGTGCAGTATCGGTGTGTCTGTTTTCGTAGGAATAAAGTCGGGCATGCCGGGACAGAGAGAGTGTAAGGCCCTCCGTGGAGACGAAGATACCCAGGTCGCTCTGTCAGAGAGTACTCAGTTTTGACCGGAGTGTCTGTTCCGTCAGTCTGATGTCAATTAGGTAGGTGGAGTCACACCCGAGACCTACTTTTCCTATACCATCCCAATTGCAATGAGGAGCTCGAGAAATCATCCTTCCACGAAACAGGGTGTTCGAATGGATACAGCCTCCGCCCATCGACCTGCAGCGATATCTTCTCCCCACCATTGAACACAGGCCAATCGTCGACCCACGTCACAGGCACCAAGAAGGTCTCTCGACCTACATCACACACCAACTGATCAACACGCTGGGCGCCCCAGCATAATAGGGGTCAGACTCACCAAACACAGATTCCTCCCACCGCCCATCCCTCCTCACCGGCCTCACCCCCAACAGAACAGCCCACCACTGGCCCTGCGCATCCTCCACTAAATCGGCATGTCCGGTATTCTGCACCTCGTCTTGCACCCCATTCCGCCATAGCGGGTTACTCGGACCCAGCTCCCACGGTCCAAAGGGACTCACCGCGCTGCGACTCACCCACTCGCAATGGCCGCTCTCCGTGCCTCCTTCCGCCGTGAATAGGTAGTAGTATTTGCCGCGTTTGAAGATATGCGAGCCCTCTGCCACGCCGGAGGAGGATTCGCGAATGAGTTTCGGCTCGGAAGTCGAGTTGCCTGTTGCGAGGTCGACGGTGACGATGTGGATGGCAAAGTCTTTGAGATTGGCATTGGGAGTGCGAACGAGTTTACGGTGCGTGGACGATAGGTACACTGTCTCGTCGGAGTCCCAGAACAGCTTATCAGATGGTCTTTAGCCATTTCCCCACATATCGGCCTCTTCTGCCAGCTCATTCCCCAGAAATACACGAGTGGAGAGAATACATACATCCTGATCGAACCCCACCTGGTCAAAAAACACCGGCTCCGACCAGCTCGTCTCATCCCAAATGTCTGTCGTCTGGACATAGAAACCCCTCGGCCAGACCCGATCGTCCTCCTGCGGTCGATACCGCGAAAAGCACGCCGCGATGATGTAGAACACGCCGTTATGGTGTCGTAGCGTGGTGGCCCAGACGCCGCCGCCCGGCTCGGGGGTCTGGACCTGCAGCTGGCTGGGCCGCGTTAGGGCGTGGCCGATCAGCTTCCATTGGATCAAGTCTGTGCTGTGGTAGATGGGCGCGGCGGGGAAGTATTCGAAGGAGGAAGTGACGAGGTAGAAGGAGGAGTCTACGCGGATGATGGACGGGTCGGGGTTGAAGCCGGGGAGGATGGGGTTGGTATACATTCTGGAATGGATTGACTGTATCCTGTGGGGTACAGCTGATTTTCCTGACTATTCAGTAGTTCTCATGTTGGTATTTATAGTAGGGTCCTTCAATATGGACACAAGAATAATATAAATGATTGGTGGAAAATAAGCATTGCGGGGATCCGGGGAAGGATGGAGGGGAAATCTACTTGTTCTTTGATCCCTTGCTTCTATCTTATCTCCATCCACCCCACTTCATCCCCCTCTCCCCCTTCTCTACGACGATCTACTCAACAATGCTACCCTCCAGTGCCTCAACAGCAAACATCATCGTCCTGCTGCTCATCATAACAGCAAGCCAGAGCCATGCCCAAAGTCCCACCCATCATCGATTTCGAGGGTGAGTTCCACCCCGCCTACTTACCTATCCCCGCCGGCCATGGCTCACGAATCTGTCATTCATATCTGATACGACTGTCTATCTCTGTAGGGTTCCACTCTCCCGACCCCAGCCTCAGATCCACCTTCCTCACTCAGATCCGCCAAGCCTGTCAAGACCACGGCTTCTTTCAGATCATAAACCACGGCATCCCGGACGGTATCCAGGCGGATATCCTATCTCAGGCGCGCGATCTGTTTAGTCTACCGGTGGAGGTGAAGGAAAGGTATAGCATGGGTTCGTTGCCGGTAATTCTTTCCTTTCTTCTGCTTCGACAAGAACTTCACCGAAGCAGAAGGAATAACCACAAACTGACCCAAACACGGGTGGAACAAATATGATTAGACACCGGCACCGACAACCGCGGCTACGAGCGTCTTCGCGCCCAGAACTTCGAGAAACGCGGCCTAGGCGATCTCAAAGAGGGCTTCTACCTGGGCAAAGACCTCCCCGTGGATCATCCATCCGTGCAAGCGGGGAACTTCTCGCAGGGTCCGAATAGATATCCGGCTGAGATACGGGATGCGGATGGATTTAAACGCGTCGCGGATGAGTACCATGAGCGTATGTCTGTGTTGGCGGGAGAGCTTATGAGCGTGGTGGCGCTGACGTTGGGGATGGAGGAGGCTTCGTTTGAGGGGTTTTGTGAGGAGCCGGTGGCGATTTTGAGGTTGTTGAAGTATCCGGCTCAAGAGGTGCCACTGGAGGGGAAAGGGGAGGGGCTTGAACGAGGTATGAGAACTTGCGTATCACAGCCTTGGAGGTGGCGATTGATGGTGTTGATCTGGTCTAGGTATCGGCGCACACACTGATTTCGGAGCCATCACAATCCTCCTGCAAGACGATAAAGGAGGGCTACAGGTCTGGGACCGCGAGTCCTCCGAATGGGCAGATGTGGTGCCCGTGCCGGGAGCATTGGTCGTCAACCTAGGGAATATGATGATGCGGTGGACGAACGATCGCTACTTATCGAATCTGCACCGCGTGATTAACCACAGCGGAGAAGACCGCTACAGCGTTCCGTTTTTCTTCTCAGGAAACCCGGACTACGTGGTAGATTGTCTTCCGAATTTTCAGGATGATGGACAAGAGGCCAAGTATCCGCCAATTACGGTGGCAGAGTGGATGGGGGCCCGATATGCGGATACGCACGGGAGTTCGAAGGAGAAGGGGATGGGAGAGTTGTCGGGGGAGGCAGCGGCGGCTATCGGTTGATGGGCCTCTTCGGCGGTCCTCACCTAGATACGGGGGGCTGTTCGGGAATGGAGAAAGCCGGGGGAATGGATATTTACGGAGTATGGAGCTACATTGATTGCATTATTGGTTAGTACGGAGCCAAAGGTCTTGCACTGGGCTAGGCGGACCGCTCACATGTGAATGTGGATTTCACATCATGCAAAATGTGAAATCCTTTTTTAATGGGGTCTGTCTACTCCATAAGTATCTACTCTCAAAAGCTGGTGATCATGTGAATTGGGAACCTCTCTGGGATCCAAGCACGTGCGAAGAAGCGGTCATTCGAGCGTGTTTCTTTTCCATCCGCGTGGCTTTGAGGTTTCCTTGGCCGAGGGAACGGGTGGTTGCCACCCGGTCCTTGGGTCGAAGACCACGTTGATTTTATTGTCTTAGTTAATCTTGCATTTTCACTCTTGTAAGATTAGGACAACCAGCGAGGGATTGGCTAGGTCATCAAAGGCTATGGTATCCATCAAAGGACGTGCACGGGTGTCAGTAAAGGACAGGTCTCTCGGTAGTCGTATCGGCCGAGAGAGTGGCAACTATGACTTTCTGCCTCATCTCGATTGGAAGCAGCCAAACGAGAATAAGAAGATCAGAACAATGCCGAGGACCGTCAATTAGGAAGAAAAGAAGAGAATGCAGGATCCCGGACTGATCGTTATCTGATAATCGCCGGCCAATTAAGCTCGACGCTGGTGCTGCACGATGCCGATTTCGGGGCCATCCCTGTCGGATGCCTGAGGTGTCGGAGGTGCCTAAGAGATGGCTCGGCACTGTTTCTCCCGTACATCGTAGGGTGCGGTTTATATGGATACTGTCGTAATTTCTAAGAGTAGACTAAGGCCTATTATGATGTTTTGTCGGGTCATGCTGAGGAAATCACTCCTAATTCCTGAATTCTAAGCTCGGCGTGGACCTCAGGCATCCAGGCCGCCACCAGTTAGCCGAGGCTTTTTCCGCATTAGGCAACCCGCGGTCACCCTCGGCCTGACCGTCTCACTCGTCGCCTTCTTCCTTCCCCGTGGAGTTCCTCCTATAAGTCTTCATCTCTCTCCCCCATCCCCTCTTCCCTTTTCCCACCCACTCTTCTTTTACACCACTCATCTCCACTCCCACAACTACCAAAATGCCCTCCCCACCCCCCGCCTGGGTCCAGGCTCTCAAGCCGGCCGACCCGCAGGGCTCCGAGCTTCTCTCGCAGGAGCGTGCCCAGTCCAACGTCAACGTCGACCGACTGGGTGAACTACTACACACCAAGGAATTCCTCGACCGACAAGACCGTCTCCTCGCCCTGCTCCAGGCCGACCCTGTTTTCGACAAATCCCAGAACCACACGCTAGGTCGCACCGAGCGGATCCAGAAGTCCCTGGGCAAGGCGAAGCGATTGCAGCAGTTGGCCGAGAAGCACAATTGGTCGATGGAGGAGTTACATGCGGCGAATGAATTGCTGGGAGAGCCGACGCCGTATGGATTGCATGCGTCGATGTTTCTGGTGTGTTTTTTTCCCTCTCTTGTCTTTTTGTGTCACTTTGCTGGCTTTCGGGTTTATGGTTATGTGGCCGTGGTGCTAACGTGTTCCTCCGATTCGATAGGTCACATTGCGCGAACAAGGAACCCCCGAGCAACATAAACTTTTTCTGGAGCGGGCCCAGAAGTACCAGATTCTAGGATGTTATGCGCAGACGGAGCTGGGCCACGGCTCGAATGTGCGTGGTCTGGAGACCACTGCTACGTGGAACCAAGAGGATAAGACGTTCACGATCCATTCGCCGACTTTGACGGCGTCAAAGTGGTGGATTGGGTCGTTGGGTCGCACTGCAAACCATGCGGTCGTGATGGCGCAGCTCTACATCGGCGGCAAGAACTACGGTCCTCATCCGTTTGTCGTCCAGGTCCGGGATCTGCAGACGCATCAGCCTCTGGAGAATGTCTATGTTGGAGATATTGGACCGAAGTTTGGATACAAGTGAGTTCGTTGGCAATTAGGGTTGATGGCCATGACTGACTGGCTTTAGTACCATGGATAACGGTTTCCTGCTGTTTAACCATGTCAAGATCCCCCATGTGAACATGCTGGCTCGCTTCTCCAGCATCGACAAGGAGACTGGCAAATACCTGCGCCCTGCATCGCCGACGTTGGTGTACGGAACCTTGACCTGGGTGCGCTCGAACATCGTGCTTCAAGCCGGTGGCGTGCTTGCTCGCGGTGTCACCATCGCCACTCGGTACTGCGCCGTGCGCAAGCAGTTCCAGGACCGCGATGCCAAGGGTAACGTGGGCGAGAACCAGGTCCTCAACTACAAGATGGTCCAAGTCCGTCTTCTGCCTCTGCTGGCATCTATGTATGCACTGCATTTCACCGGTCGCGGCATGATGCGGCTCTACCAGGAGAACCAGAAGCGCATGAATGCGGGTTCTCAGCCCGGACAGGACACCCGAGGCGCCGGTCCCGAGCAGCTTCGGGCTGGTGCCGACCTGCTGGCGGATCTCCACGCCACTTCTTGCGGTCTGAAGGCTTTGGCCAGTACCACAGCCGGCGAGGGTCTTGAGATCTGTCGTCGGGCCTGCGGTGGTCACGGTTACAGCAGCTACAGCGGTATTGGGCCGTGGTACTCTGATTACCTCCCCACTTTGACCTGGGAGGGTGACAACTACATGTTGACTCAACAGGTTGCGCGATACGTAAGTTTATCATTCACTTACCTCTGTATCCGAACCATCACTAACAAGAACACAGCTCCTGAAATCCGCCCGTGCCGTTCTCGCCGGTAAAGGCGCCAACAACGACACCTGCCAGATCCTGCAAACCTACCTCTCGCGGCGCGACAAGGGCGCCTCGTTCGACGTGCTGGAAGTCGACAGTGACATCGTCGCGGCCTTCGCCTGGCGGACGGCTCATCTCACCTTCGAAGCCCTCAAGCACCGCGATGTGGAGAAGCGCTCGTGGAACAGCCTCCTCGTCGACTTTTGGCGCCTCTCGACCGCTCACTCGCAGTACCTCGTCGTCAAGAACTTCCACGAAGCCGTCACCTCGCCGCATCTCACCAGCGCCCTGGACCCGGAGACCACGACGCTCATGCACCAGCTCTTCCGTCTCTATGCGCTGCACACGCTAGAGCGCGAGGCCGCCGAATTCTTCTCTTCGAGTGCCGTCACCACTCGCCAGATCTCCTTGGCGCAGACCAACGCCGTCATGAAGCTCCTCGACGACATTCGGCCCCACGCCGTGCGTCTCGTCGACGCCTGGAAAATCCCCGACTGGCAGCTCGACAGCAGTCTTGGACGCTATGACGGCGAGGTCTATCCGGATCTGTTCCGCAGAGCGAGTCAGAACCCGGTCAATGATCTGGTGTTTGATCCGTATCCGTGGAACGAGGCGGTGTTGAAGAACGCGCCGCCGAAGAGTAAGCTGTGATTTTTTGCTACTATCTTTGAGTTACGATTTTTGATTCGTGTCTACCTTGCTTGTTGGTATATGATTCTTTTTGTATGATCTGATTTATGGGTTGGGTGGCGCACATTCATACATATACATACATATATTTAGGTGGTTATAGATTAGATGGAATCTATAGACTAGATTATTGCTCTGTGGTGATCTGTTTACGTTACTACTTTGTATATTACCATTCACTTTAGGTTGACTTGTGATAGTAGATTGTTTAGAAAGACTGGTGCATTGAAAATGATGTAGTTGGATGTCATCAAGATCAACCGAAGGTCTTGTCTTCGGACTTCAGCAGCCGCTTTTGGCTTTGAAGATCTCGCTAGTATATACAAAAAAATTCATGGAACAAAAAGGAAAGACAAAGGGGAAAAGATAAAAAGGGCACTTAACAGGCCCATAGTACAAGGATAGTAAAACAAGGGAAGATCCCCTCAAGGGCCACAAAAAAGAGAAACAACAGAGGATGCCTCCAAATCCGCAACTCCCCAAGAGAAATAACCAAACTGACCCTCAACAATAGAATCCCAGACAACGAACCGGAGCTTTCCATCAGGCTCAAGCTCACAGAAAATCTTCTATATCATCCACCGTGTCGTAATGGGGATCCAGTCCCCCTCTAATCGGCACTTCAGCGGCCGTCGTCTTCGCCCAATTTTCCAACTCCTCAGGCTCCAGGAGACACTTCAAGAGAACCTCCCTCGTCGCCAAAGTATCCTCCATACAGCTATGCCCCTTTTGGCCCTGCTGTATATAAATCCCCAAAAAGTCCTCCGCGAGGCGCTTCAACGCCCACTTCCGTCCACAACCCCCTCCCAACTGCTCCTCCACGGCGATCTTCGTGACAATCGCCGTATCAACCACATTGCGATGCACAATCTTCAAGCACCGCAGATCATTATCCAAACTCTGCCCCACGAGAATGGTATCCTCATCGATAAACTTGAACAGCCGCTCCCTGGCGGCCCGCCATCCCCGTACCGTCTTCCCCTGCGCTCGGAGCTGCTTCATAATCGGCCAGCTCATCCCACTATACTTCGTCTGCCAGTTCCAGACACGAGGGATCGGAATCACACCGATGTCGATGATCCGTTCACCGGTTACCAGATCCACCGCGCAGAGCTGTACACACTCTGGGCCTTCTTCCGTCAGCGCCATTTCGCAGTCTAAGGCCACTGCGAGACGCTTGGGCGGCCCGCCGTGGTTCTGACGCGCCGGACTCGCTTGATAGGCACCGAGTGTCTGTGTGGGATATTGTTCCCCAGCGAGCGTGGACCACGAGTGGCGGTTTTGGTCTAGTGCTGTGATGAGCACGTCGCGCTTGTTGCCGATGAGGGGGCCGGTCCAGTCGAATGGCTTCGCTGGAGGAGGTGAGTTGGTGTTGGTGGGGATGATGGGTTGAGCGGCCCCGTTACTTGAGATATGCTCTTCTTCTGGAGAGCTTGAGGAGCTGTCGATGTCCAGCTCATGAGGCTGAGAGCCCTGCTTGTTCCAGGGATCTCGCTCGTTTTGAGACGTGCAGGTGCAGTTACTGCTGCTGCTGCTGCTGCTGGTGGTGGTGGTACCACGAGGAGGGTTTATGCCCTTGCTGCGCACGCTGTTCGCCCTGAGGACGTCTGCGTATAGAGTGCCGACCATTTTGAATGTGGCTTATAGATGTAGAGATGTGGAGATGTGATGTAGCTCCTGCAACCAGCTTGGCTGGTTGATATTGTTGTATCGAGCGAACGATAAAGAGAGGTCTTTACTTGTTGTTGTTCGAGTCTTCGAATCAGGAGAAGACACGATACTTGAGTGGATAGATAAGAGACGAAGAGAAAGGATCTCAGTGTGAGATTCCTTTATATGGATGATAGATGCCTGTGCCTGCTATTGAGGCTTTGAGGGCTTTTGATAATGGTTGTATATCTTAGTTAGGTGGGTTTGGATCGAACTGGATATTCGCCAGACGAGACGAACCAGACTCAGACAGATAAAGTAGCTTGATAGAGTACTAAGATAGTTGCAGTTAGATGAAGAAGATAGATGAGATGTTTCAGTAAAGGAAGACGGACAGCTAAGATGGTCAGAAGGTGAGTCACATTTAGGCGAAAGTTACTGCCTATAAACGTCAGAAATGCGCAACGGAAGTGTGTTCCGAGGTCATGGGCTCCTATCGCTATATAGCTAGACGTAGATATGTGGTCATGGAGTGCCGAACCTTCGAGGTTATGTTTGGTCGGGTGGACGGCCTTCATGATGATCGAGTTAGGGCTAGGATGGCACGGTATCTAGAGTGAAGGCGACCGTCAACTTCCTCTAATGCAAAGAGCGGCTATTCACAAGATATTAGATAGTGAAGTACTGATAGACAGAATAGATTAACTTGTTTTATTGTATTCAATTCAAGACGTCGACATGAGATTATGATTCACTGTGGTTCGCCACTTAGTTCACTGCTAGCACGAAGAATAAAAGAGATGTATCCTTTCCAGTCAAAGTCCCCAGTGACAAAATATACGTCAGATCATTGCGTTTTATTCCGCCTCAACCTTTAACTACGGCTCTTTCCTATCTTTGTTCTACCTGTCCCACTGCCTACTTCCTTTCCTAACCCCCCCACCCAATATGTTTGGCTCATGATCAGCCATCAAACTGGAGTATAGCACCATATCGTATACTATCAAGATATGGACATTTCTTGATATAAATACTTTGGAATATTATAGATTGTCTTGTGGACCGGAAGTAGGCAACCGCCGTCACAAAATGCAAACGTATATCTGACGTCGGGTGCGGTTCCCCAAGACAGCCAATAAAGCGTAGCAACCAAATCCAGCTGATCCTTGTTTGTGCCTTCCATTATTGCACTATCGATTTTGCAATCATATTTCTACTTATTTTTCAGTACCTGCTAATCGCCACCCATTCATCCATCCGTAGTCGAAGGATAATATCCCCACTGACTATCGCGGGAGATTCCGGATTCATACACCTTCCATATCGGGAAACAAAAAGATACATACTCTTTCAACCTCTGATCACTAAACTGGTTTAGTCGTCAACTACTGGCTTCGTATTTCGATAGTTACCTACATACCCAGGTACCTTTCCATGTACCAGTACGAATACAAGGGTCTACAGCAATAGCTAGATGGTCCCAGGCAAATAGCTTCCTTTACTTAAACATCCTGAATTAACAAATACGACCGCCAGAATGACAACCAGTGATAGAGACTTTCACCAGATACTAAGTATTATAGATTGGACAGCCACAAATACGAAAAGGAAACCGAACGGAGTGACACAATATCCGAAGGTCGATGGGGTATTGCAGACGCGACGCTCTTCCGTATGACGGCGAATCATACATGTTCTCGCTATTGTTATAGCTGAATGTCGGAAACGGCCTTCGGTGTTGACCTGTTTTGTACCAGCGTCATTCGAAGGCGCGGCGGAAAGAAGGCAGAAACCATTGACCGTGATTCTCTTCGTACGCTTCCTTGGAATAAGTTTTCAGCGTGGCAAAGAACTCCACGATGGTAGGTACAGTATTTTGACTCCTGTACCAGCACATAACTACTTAATTCGGCGCGTATGATGAAAGGATGCGTTATCCATCAGCACGAATTGTGGCTCCGACCGCCTCCCACGGTGCTGAAGAAGCTGCTCGATAACCAGTTCGAGGAATATGGAATCATGCAATCCGCTGAAATCATGAGACGGAATGGTACCGTCTTGAGCATATGGAGACAATATGCATGGATGCTGTTGGCCTGGAAGATCAGACAGGGGCGAATCGGACCAAGACAGAACTTATGAAGGAGACTATAGTTAGATAGTTCCTTGTTCTCGTATCCTTTCTCCAGACTTGATGCCTTCATTCAGATGCACACTTGATTCGACCTTCCTCTTAGCACGTAGAGATTCGAAGGAGAGGGGACGTTCCTTTGCTTCAGCCTTCGCCTTTGCCTCCATGTCTGCTCTTTCCTGTATTATGAGCCTCTCTAGCCTGGCGATGGCATTGTCCTTGACAAGGTCCTCCACTTGCGCCGGTGGCGGTGGGGTAGGGTGCTGTTGTACGTAGTAAGGAAACCTCGGTGCCGAAGGGCCATGGGGAGGAGAGTAGTAGGGAATGCCCATTTGTATGGGAACAAAAGAGGCGTAGGATGAAGAGGCAGAGTAGTGCCCGGGGTAAAGATCCGGTGGTGCTGGATGGACGCAAGAAGAAGAGGCAGAGTAGTATCCTTGGAAAGGATGTGGTGATGCTGGATAGGCGTAGGAAGAACGGGCAGAGTAGTATCCCTGGTAATGAACGCCTGGTGGTGGTGGTACCGTAGGGGTGTAGGGGGAACAGACCGGCGCGGAAGGGTGGAAAGGATTGTAAGCGGACGTAGAACTCGGTTTTGATGCTCTCCCAACTTGGCTGGCCAAGGGGGCCACAGAACAAGGGTGAAATTCCCGTATGTTTCCGGCTTTGTATGGTACGCGGCCTCGCCGAAGACTATTCTTGATGAATTTGGGAGTAGGAGGTAGCTCTGTCACGTATATGCTGATATTCTTGTACGCAAATTGATCTGAGTATGAAGATGACAAAGCAGGTGATGTGCCTATTTTCGAAAGGAGTTCGGGTCTCGGACGGATATAATCAGTTACTGGTGGTCGGAAAGCGACATCTCCCAGTGCTGGTGGTCGGAGAGGCTTTGGAAGTATTTTGTATGACTTTCGCACCCAGGCCCCGCAAGATGAACTTCCGCCAATGCATAATGATAAGCTTCAGAACGAGACAATTTGTAGGGATAGCGTACCATAGTGTTCCTGGGCTGCCCTGAACGCCAGCATTAGCAACCGATTTAGCGGAACACCCAAGTCGCGGACAACGTTGGGATCCAGAGTACTGGCCAATGACGATAGCCATGGTGATTCTCATCCCAGGCCTAAGGCGAGGGTGGCTCATTGCATTTACCGGAAGTGTCATCGGATGCATTGGGTCTGCGGAACGTTCGAAAAGCTCGTATTCTCCGGCAAAAACTTTCCTTCTGCCCGGTCCTTTGCTGAATTGAGCTAAGATTATAGCTTCGAGAATCTGCTTGTATATCAGCAAGTGGAAGTGCGGGCATTTCTTCCTATACTTCAAAACCTAACTGACGTACATCCCAATCAGACTCAGAGGCAATTGGAATGACGTTTCCAAGAGCGTTCTCGAAACGGATAGGTTCTTGCACCCATGTAAAGCGGGAGTCTGGTGGACTGGTGATCCTTTTCGCCAGAGCTCGGAGGGCATTCGCGAGCTCGTCATTTGAATCCCTAAAGAAAATGAGTAGGTGTACACCGTCAATTGCAATCTTAGTGCTTGCTGGAACTCACCATACTCGATCTATAGTCTCTCGAAGCTCTTCTGCCCTTTTATCCATTAAGGTAGAATTGTCTCTTCGCTTCTCGATCAGTGCGATTGCATATTCATTCCGTGAACATAGTTCTCTCAGGCAATCATTCGCTCGCGACGTAGATTTCCTGTTCTGATCAGCGACGCTCTAGATTTGAATATTCTTAAGGACGCACAACGAAGCAGTACTCAATTCCAGGTTGATATAGCCTACGTGCGCCATCAAGTATTGCCTGAGCTCCGGCAGGTCTTTTTTCACAAGCAACTCCCACCTTACCATCCTTGGTGCTGCTTTCAATTTTGACATTTGACTCTGTGTGCCAAGGCTGTCCTCGAAGGGTTTAATCTTCGTGTGAAAGCGCTGGAGCGTTTCGCAACAACTGAGAGATATGAATTTGAGCGCTTGGACCTCATGGGGAGGCGTGGCTGAGTTTGCCAGAAGGTCGATTTGTATAAGCGCACGCTGAAGGCCGACCAGCTCGGACTCAAGTTCCTGGAACTGCTCCCGAGCACCGCTGGTGCTGCGAAGGCAGGAGACTATAGAGACAATAAGTTTGACGGCGCTGGCGATGTCTCCGGCGCTCCATCCAAAAGACATCCTGAGATCCTTTTGAATCCTAGCCGTCGTCTTGTTTCTGGGCCAGAATTGTTGAGTCGAGGTTCAAATGTCGTCTGATGAGAAGACGGAAATAACTTGCACTTTGGCCAGACCCCGCTTGCCAGGTCGCACAGTATCATGCTCAGCCACAGTCAGTCACCTCAGCCTCGCAAACAAGCTCTCCGCAGGGCTTTGACTGGCCATAAGCCACTTAGACTGGGTACCTAGACCCAATGAAGGGGTGGGTGCTGCGGTAATGTCCAATGGACAAAGTCGATATGGAGAACCACTCAGGGTACTTGTATTAGTGACTGACAGCTCAGTATACTTTGCTATGTTGGCTATCCATAACAGGTGTGCTGCGCTTACTGTGTATCATATTAATAATCATCTTACCCTGCTAGAAATCGATGTTTCGTGCTATTTGTGGTATTTTAGGGTGTTTGTTGATGCCCGAATTGAGACGTGTTTGGGATGACGTCACGTCATCGTGGGCGCATGGTTATTTTTGGTCAGAGTGTCATGTGATTAGGGCCTTCAAGAGCATCACTGTTCGGGCATGGAAGCCAGAAACGGCTGTCACTGTAACAGGAAGATCCCGTGTCCCAAGACGTAATATCCAGAGACGAACGGTCTGATTTCGAAGCCTGTGGCTTGAAGGTCAAACGAAGAAGACCATCAGAGTGAATTGTCGTCTCTGCATGAGGTGACGGGGTATGGAAACAGCAATAGTGTACAACGGCAGTAAGAAAAAGATGTGCGTAAACATGATATTAAATAAATACATATTTGAAGGTAAAAGAAGAAGTGCATCCAGTATGTTCCTCATATACAGTACATTAATCAGCGTCTATCCATAGAAGAACGATTAGGCAGATTTGGCGGAACGGCGTTCCCACCCGATGACGGTCGGTTTCAAAGGCCCCGAGAACAGAGACGAATAGTCCGTTCCGGGCACGCCCTTGCGGCCGTCCACGTTGTAAAGACGCACGTTACGCACCATGGTGGCGAGAATAACGGTCAAGTTCACATAGGCGAATTTCTCACCGATGCAGCGGTGGCGGCCGGCGCCAAAAGGCAGGTAGGGGCTGGAGGTACCCTTGGAGACGGCGCCGTAGCCATAGTCAACGACGTCCTCCTCCTTGTCCTCCGAGGGTGCCTGGGTTTCCCAGCGGTGGGGGTCCCATTTCATGGCGTTAGGGAAGTATTCGTCGCTGATGGCTGTGACGATGGGAGAGGCGAGCAGGACGTGCGAGGTGGGAATGACGTAGGGGGTGCCGGGGACGGGCATGGGGTTCTTGACCTTGCGCATGAGCGAGTGAATGGAGAGGTTGATACGGAGGGTCTCGCGGATGACGTTCTGGTGCAGCGTGAGCCGCTCGAGGTCCTTGTATTCCAGAGGGGGGAGGGTGCCGTCAGGACCGACGGGGCCGAGCTGGGCCAGCTGTTCCTGGTACAGTTCCTCGAGGACTTCGGGCTGGGCGGCGAGACGCAGCATGATCCACGAGCCGACAGATGCGGAGGAGTGCTGGCCGGCCATGAGCAGAGTAATCATCATGTGCGCGATCTCCTTATCGGGCACGGGGGTTCCGTTCTTGTAGACGCAGTTCATCAGGTTCGAGATCATATCCGATGTGGCGGTAGCTTTCTCGCCAGTGGCGCGACGCTCGTTGATGATGTCCATGTAGATGGCACGCATGCGCGCGTGGGCAGCGTCGCGCTTCTTGTTATGCGGCAGGGGAGCCCAAGGCAGCATGAAGTTGATCGGCGTGAAACCCTGGTCTAGATCGTGATAGAGGTCGGCGAATTCGGAGGTCAGTTTCGAGCGCACTTCCTCGCCCTGCAGGGCGCGCGCGGCCGTGAAGATAGTGATTTCAGCCATAGCAGAGGAGATGTCAATCCGTCCCGAGGAGCCATTGAAGTTGGGCGAGGTAGCCAAGTAGTCGACGGTTTCTTTCTCGATAAGTGGCACATGCGATTCCAAAGCGGACTGCGTCAGACCGAATTTGACGAATTTCTTCTGCTCCATCAACTTGGAATTGGGGCAATCGTAGACCACGTCGGAGCCGAAGACGGGAGTCGTCAAGGGGCTGTAGACCTCCTCCGCATTGACATCTTTTAGTTTGCCATTGAGAATGAATTCGTTGCCCTGAACGCCCAGGTAGACCGTAGTTTTGCGACCGAGGAGAATGAAGGTGAAGATATCGCCGTGCTAGTGGGAACAAGAGCAATGGTCAGTTCGAGAGTTGTGCGACAGAACGGGAGGGAACGGCGCACCTTCTCGCGGCAGTCGAAGAAGAATTTACAGGGGTCCATTCCATAGCTGATGGTATTGCCCACAAAGGGAACCCAGTGAAAGACCAGTGGGGGTTCAGTCTTATTCAGTCTCGCAAAGAGCCATTGATAGACCAGGTTGAGCACAATGGACGCGACGAAGGCCAGGAGCCCGTAGGCCCCGATGGTGGCCAAGGGTAACATGGCTGAAAGAAGAGACGGGAGATGATGCCAGATGGAGAAGCCAAAAGAAGGGATTAAAAGGGATAAAATAAATACAAAAGAAGGAGAAGAAGCGAACGAATGTGAAGAAAACAAAAGGACGAAATTAAAGCAAAAGGGAAAGGGAAGGAGACCAGGTGGGCTGACAGTAACAAATGGCCGGCCTGTGATGGGCCGAGTCCATCAGGCGATCGCCTTTCAACCCCTGCCGAGTATTGTTCGGAGTCCGTATCCGCTGTCGAATACGATAGTTTCCCATACAATTCGAGGTACCAGAATGTATCATGACAATACCGTGGGTCCTCCACACGCTAAGCTTCTTCGAGCAAGCCATATCCATGTTATGCCGGAACTGACCGCCTTTGCACGGGATCTCCTCCCCGCAGATCTAATCTATTCCTGGACTAGTGTCTTTCCTCGAAGATCACAGCCTGAGGCAGAGATTTGGATCTTTATTCTACTGAGTAGAAAGTATTCAACATTTCTATGCCTGCACGACACCACTCGATGTATCAAACTTGCAGAAAAGTAGCTCAGCCTTGAAAATCCACTTCCTAGCTGAACCAAGGTGGTGACGTTGAATTTGTAGATCTTTCTACATTTAATGAACTCAGAAACCACTCGAGGTATATTGTCGAAACGTTCAGCATAACGGCTACATCGGTTAATCTGTACTTATTTCTCCATTCCAATTCCGTATCTTCCTGTTCCAAACTACTCTATTCTATATGTCTGTATTCCGTCGAGTTTCTTTATGTTTTCTGCACGCCCAGGTCAGTTATCTCCTCAGGACACCGTTGGCTTTAATGTAAACTTAGTAAGCTACTCCCCCAAACGTGGTGATAAAGTTAGAGTTTTCCGGGGGATGACATCTCTCATTAGCCTTCACTGAACAGGTTACACGAGAAGTGCGGTAGATCCGCATTGCGGATAGTTTTGTAGATAAGTAGTATTCTTCACAACGACCAAACCACGTTCATGAACTTGAGGAGTACAGTACATGGTTCAATCTGTAGTATACCTAAACTACCAGAAGAATTATGAAAGCCGATGGTCAGTCTCTTGGGAGGGCTCAGAGACGAACGTCCACAAGCCAACTGCGAACATGACAGATACATAAGTCCGAGATATTGTAATCCACCCTCAACCAGCTAGAGACAATGATCCTCGGTCGAACGTACATCATGTACATCCCACCTGCTGCTGATCTGCAAAGTGTATCGACTACTCCGCATTTCGGGATAGCCGAGGTAAGTAAAGCAGGTGAGCCGAGCAGCCAAGCCTCGTGACCATGCCATTGACAGCATCAGGCCACGAGGGAATGCGCTCATCACCATCGAGTGAATATAACTATCGCATCTTTTACTCGTGAGTTGGTTGACACAAAATCGTATATTTCGCTATCATGGCGTTCCGACCGCAACCCGCTACTGCTGACCACGGACATTTCACTCGTCTTGAACCGCTGGGGAATACATATACGACGGATAGCAGTCTGCAGCGGGTTATTTCCTGTGAGTACATTTTGCAAGGGACTGATGGACCGACCGAGTCTGATAATGTCAAATAAGGGTACCTTCCATCGTCAACGTTCGACAACGTCCAATCTCAGCTCACCAGGCTGGGCGCTGAGGCTGTCTCGGACGAGATCCGTCAATGGAGCGCAGATGCAGAGCGCCATCAGCCCTATGTCAAGAGTTACAATGTCTGGGGCCAGAAGTACGATTATGATCGATTGATTACGAGCGAAGGGTGGAAGCAGCTAGGGAAATGGGGTGCTCGGCACGGGTTTGTGATGAATCTGCCCGTTCCTACCATATGTGCTAACTGTATAGCGTCGTGGCCTTGGGTTACGAACCGACGTATGGAGCTGAGAGAAGATTGGTGCAATATGCAGTGTAAGCTGTCTGTTATGGGCTGTAATGGATATACTGATCCTCATGGGTGAAGGAACTACCTTTACTCCCCGTCCTCCGGACTATACTCTTGTCCGATCGCCATGACAGATGGAGCCGCTCTTATCCTCTCCCAGCAATTGAAATCAATTTCCGCAGATCATAATTTCCACGAAACCTACAACAAATTGATTTCTCGAGAAAATCACTGGACCTCCGGGCAATGGATGACAGAGCGAGCCGGAGGAAGCGACGTCCAAAACACAGAGACCTGGGCAACCCACTCTCCAGCATCACAGGACGCAAACGATGGAGACTACCTGGTCAGCGGCTTCAAATTCTTCTCGTCAGCCACAGACGCTAACGTCTCGCTTCTCCTGGCCAAAACCCCTTCCGGGAAACTCAGCGCCTTCCTAGCCCCTCTCCGCAAGACCGTGATCTCACAAGACGGAAAGACGCACGAAGTAAGTAACGGCGTGCGCATCCACCGCTTGAAGAATAAACTCGGCACTAAGGAGCTTCCCACCGCCGAGTTGGAACTCAAGGACATGCGCGCCCATCTAGTAGGCCGCTTAGACCGCGGCGTATCGATGATCTCGCCCTTGTTGAACGTCACGCGCACGCATACGTTTATCGGGTCACTGGCCGCCTGGCGACGCGCTATGAGCATTGCGAAGAACTTCGCAAAAGCGAGGACGACGGTCGGGGAGCCTCTTTGGCTCGTCCCGATGCATCTGAACCTACTGGCCGATATAGAGCTCCGGCATCGAGGTGCGATGAATCTCGGCTTCTTCACGGTTGCGGTTATGGGTGTGGTTGAGAATGGTGGCGTCTCTGCGCCGGCTCCGCATCTGCCAACCCCCGGGAAAGAGGCAGAGGTCGTGTTCCGCGCGCTCACGGCGACTGCAAAAGCGGTGGTTAGCAAGAATGCTATCGCAGGTATCCAGGAATGCCAGGAGGCTATGGGCGGAATCGGTTACATGGACGAGGCAGACGAGCCTGAGTTCAACATCTCCCGGATCCTACGCAATACGCTCGTCAATTCGATCTGGGAGGGGACGACAAATGTCCTAGCCAGCGAGTTGGTGCGCCACATTCTCAAAGACGATTATGTCGTGGTGTTTTCCTCGTGGGTTGGTCGCGTGCTGGGCTTGATTAAAAACGCCGAGTTCTCGAGAGTCTTGAAGCGGGTGTGGTCGAGCTTCTTGACGCGATTGTCGGCGACGGAACATGCGCGTTTGATCCTTGCAGATGGCCGGCGCGCTATGTTTACCTTGGCTTGGGTTCTGTGCGGAGCCCTGCTGGCCTTGGACGCCGAGCGAGACGGGGATGGCGTTGCAGGGGAGATTGCAAGGCGATGGATTCTAGCCGGGGAAGGCGGAGTCGGGGATATGGTCTGGCGAGACATCATAAATCGACCTGTGCATGCATCGCAGGCTATTCTGACAGACGAGCATCTTCGTTGGGATTGCAGAATTGTCTGGGGAGTGGAGTTGCCTGCCAGACAGGTCTCGGGTCATCGATCGTTCCAGAAACCCTCGAAGTTGTAGTTCGATCGTTCTTAATGATTCCGAACTGAATGATATGTCTATCTACGGACTACTTATGTAGGGCTTTTTGGCAGTTGTCACTAGATCCAGTCGCCTCCGCCCCTAGCGGAGTAAATCATCATTTGTACATCTTCACTTGTTTCTTTTCATACCTCCCATTCTCTCCTTCAACTGACTCATAATTGTGTTATACTAGCTATCGGACAACACGATCCACAGTAGGAATATGCACGATAGTGCTCCCTGTGAGTGACCGATGAAACCCAGGCCCAGTTGATCATACGAGGTGAACTGAAGAAGACACAAACAGCTTTTTGTAGAAAGCCTATAGATTAGCCTGTGACGCTGTAGGTAGTCTTGTGCTTACCCCGGATTTGAGCTCGCGTGGGGAGCCGACTCGGGATGTGGGGAGGCGCTCCCGACGGACATCCGAGATCTGGAATCATGTTACTTGCCTGTATCCCTGAGCATTTGCCTGCCTGCTACCATGATATTAGACTGAGTACATACCACTCTAACCTCCTAGTTAGCCAGTGACACAGATTATAGACAAAAACCGCCATCATGGGTACGAACTGTCTATCTCCCAGCCTAGCTATTTCATCGCCACCCAGCAGCTAACAACTAGCACAGGCTTAACACCGGTGCACTTTTTCTCTCATGGCTCGACCATGATGCTCGGCGAGAAGTCTGAGTCTGCCGATTACTGGAGGCAATGCGGAGACGAGGCATTGGCGAGAAACATCAAGGGTGTCGTTATCATGGTCAGCACCACCCTCGCCATCTCTCATCCTTATTTTCAACAAGATCCAATCCAAATAGACAGACCAAACTGATACTAGAACAGGGAGCCCACTGGGACTGCCTCGGCGACAAAATCGAAGTCGCAACAAACCCCAATCCCGACAAAAGCCCCGTCGCATACGTCCACCCAGACAAATACATCAACTATAAACTCAACCCCGACCTCGCAACCGCCGAACGATGCATCTCCCTTCTCGCCAACGAAGGCTTCAATGTCTCCGCAAACCCAACTTTCGACTGGATTCACGACGTCTACCTCATTCTCATCCACATGTTCCCGGCCGGCTGCCCACCCACAACCATCGTCTCGATGAACGCCCGCTACGACCCCCATTACCACATGAAAGTCGGGTCGACGCTGCGTTCCCTCCGTCGCGAGAACTACCTACTCATCGGCACCGGCGGGGCAGTGCACAACCTGTACCGGAACCGATGGGCGCCGATGATGCGGTTCCGCGACAATTTCGCGATGGAGACCCCACCGGAGGAGTGGGCGTTGGAGTTTCGCCAGGCCGTCGAGGACGTGATTACCAAGACCTCGGGGCCGCAGCTGCGTAGGGCCATGACGAGACTGATGAAACATCCGCGATTCCGGGATGCGCACGCCACGGATGATCATTTCATGGCGGCGATGTTTGTGGCGGGCGCGGTGGGCGACTTCGATGATGTGGGCACCGCTGCGGTCATGCCGGCGGAGAGTTGGGAGTTGACGAATATGTGTAATTCGCAGTTTACGTTTGGAGGTTGGGATCGGGGGGTTGCTGCTGCTTAGTTGGGTTGCTTGCCTTCTTGTACTCGCGGTGGGTAGTTGTTGTGATTGCATTGAGGCCGGAAACCAATCTGGTAATATATGAGATACTTTAAGAATGAAGGCCTGATCTAGTGATTACAAACCGGATGACACCGCAACAATTGAAGATACTGTTAATTTATACATGGTGAGGTGTGAAGATCTTGCTCAACGTCTAATAGTGACTGGGTTCTAGTCCCTCATCGCTGGGAAAAGCACTTCATCCCAAAGATAAACTCATTCCCCCTGTTTCCATAAGGTGAATCCAATCCCAACTCTGTTTATTTCCGCGGTCGTATGCAGCCCAAGAGTTTTGAATGATCCTTCTGCATACTCGGATGTTACCAAACCGACGGATATGCTCAATGATATCCAGCTGTTCTTCGATCTGCCCCCTGTCTTCTTTCCGCGTGCATGCCACACCTATAATAAAGACGGGAAACAGTGCAAACGACTTTATTCTGGGTTCTTCAATAGACGACAAGCTCTCTAGGCCCCTACGTACCATCGATTGCACTTTTTCGTCATCTGAGTTATCGGGATGTAGCATGAAGAACAACCAGATAAAGCATGCCGCAATGTATAATTCGCACATGGTGCAGTAATCTGAGGATAACTCGGAGTCGCTTTCCGAGGGCTCCCACTTGCAGATATCTTGCCAGATGCACACGGCCGAGGTTATTCCTGCCGATGATAAGCTTGGCTCCCCTCCAGTATCTGATCGGAGCGCTGCGATGCGCGCGACGAAATAGATTATGCCGTTGTGTATCCCCGGAATATGTGCCGGAGGCGAGAGGTCGTTCTGTTGGTGATTGATAATCATATTTCTTGGTCGAGGTGCCGTTACGGTTCCAAGGGCGTCATGGTAAATAAAGAATTGCATCAGAGGTTCGGCAATCCCCAGACTCTCAAGCTCCTCTGGGGAAGGCTTCAGGATTCCTTTCTGTCGGTCAGGATTCTCGTGTCGCATACCTGAGATACCTCGATGCTCTTTCAGTGCGCTGGAAACAATGCCCCTTGCTTCATCTAATCGCGTCTGCCATAACTCATTGCTTGTGCCTTCCGATACCTCATATAGATACAGTAAGAGGTAACTCGTAAGCAAGGGTTGGTATTGTGTCGGATTTTGCGTCGTTCGACTGCCCCTGTTCTGCAGTGCAGCGACACGTGAGAACAACTCGCGCTCGGCTTCTTGAAATAGTCTATTCTTTTCAGTAACGAGGCTTCTGGCCTCGGCAGCGTTGGACGGCAAGTGGTTGATAAGATGTGACGCTCCCAAGCAAAGCACTGTCTTTAGAACTAGTGTATCCTCTGAGCACATAGAAACAACGACCGACAGGATCGTTTGACTGTTCCCATCCGACGGAAGTGTCAAGGTACCAGATGTGACATTCACAAAATGGTCGAAGACTCGTTTCTCTTGGGTAGACCGCATTCCGTTCATTGAGGAAACCATGCCTTGGTGTGGTGTGTCCGACAAACGGTGGGATAGTCCAGCTTCGGTGTTTACTATTATAGCGCAAAGCGTGTTAGTTTCGTCAAGAGTGTTTGGAGTTGTGCCTTTCTGGGAGTAGACTGACGGTTTCCCCTTTTAGATGTGGTGTGCGTCATCGCACTAGCAGGTATTTAATGTAGGTCGAATATCTGGTGATGAAAATAGTAGTGACGTAAACGAAGAGTGACTTCTTAGAGAAGAAATAAAATTGCAAAACACCTTCCCATGGGCATTGTCCCTTATATTTAATGACAAGTGACACATCTTAAAACCTGCACATTACCCGTTCAAGTAATGCTGTCTTTTCTCGCGGCAAACGCGTTTGGGTCGGAACAGCAAGCTGATGGGATACACGAGGTCCAGTTCGCTTTGATAACCAGAACAGATCACTCTATACGCGGGGCCCGAAATCAAAAATAGCTAGAGATTAAGCTTAGCCATGAGGTGTAGGTGCTGGCGAGATGACATGAGGAGACATGATTGTGATATACATAGACTGGTGGACTGATCGACTGGAATTCCACTAGCCAATTTCGGGTTTTTGATAGCCGCGCTTACCCAATCACTACGTGTCATTGGCTGCTTGGGGCCCGTAAAATAAGCGTACTAAAACCTAGTTACAGTAGTTGACTAGCTAGTCAGTGACGCTCTCTAACTATCTAGCAATTGATATGGCTAAGATAGTTAGACGGTCAGAGACATTGGCCAAAGTTAATATAAGAGAAAGATTCCGCTACAAATTACACGAGCCTTAGCAGGGCTATTACTTACCTACTCCATCAATTTCGTACGCGAAAGATTTATGGTATCATATTTGAACCTGCAAGATACAACAATAATCATGCCGATGATATAACGCGATTTGTGCTACACAGGCCAGCGTAAGAACTGCAGATCTGTAAATGATATGATGGTGTACCGTATTTATTTTCATATTACTCGCGTGCTTTTCAAGTTACTAATCCAAGGCAGAGTAAGAACGGAAGGAAGAAAAAGGATATTGGTAGGATTTGACCTTTACACAAACCAAAGCAAAATAGCAGTTCAAGATAGATCAAAACATATAGGGTCCACAAGGACCCGGAAATATCCGGTAGAGAATCGTCGAACTTCTAGTACGTATATTATACGGAAAATGTAGTTAAATAGTAGAATGTCAATATAAAATGGGGTTTCTCTACCCGTTAGTCAAATATTGCTGGCCTCCATTCCAATGGGCAGTTTAATATGAAGAACAAAGTCAATGCTCGTTCGTTCAACCGAAATTTTATCTCTTTTGATATCTATAGTTCACTACTAAATTTCCAGCTCAATCTGCTTTCTCTTCCTTCTTCAGCTAGTTCCTGCTATATCCGACTAATCAGGTCCATCATGGAGTCTGCAGAATCGTGAGTGTGCCTAAAATATTAATTGGATTCCAAGCTAAGTTACGGTATAGAAAAACCTCTTTTTCGAACCAATGGTTGCCAGCTATGGAGAGCCTTCAATTGTCATTTCATCGTGATGACCCTGAGACGACAATGAATGCTTTCTCTCACGCGGTTATGCTTCTCTACGACCTCTTTCCTAAGCAAGACGGTGCCCGCTTATACAATGCATGGCACATGTGTGGCGAGTACGAGAAACAAGTACTAGATCTATTAAAATACTTCTTGAAGATGAAAGACACCGGAAGGTTAACAGTGCCGTGGCAGCTCTGCGATTTACTCAATCATTGCCAACGGTAGGTGCATATCTTGTACATTTTTGATCCCTTTAGTCCTGTGATCGCTCTAACAAAATCATCTTCGTTTATTAGATTTCTTCATGAGACCAATAGATTGATGGATCTCATGAACCTTTCCGAGCTCAACACTATTGTCCTACAGGCTGTGAGAGAATGCCCCGAGAAGAAGGAACTGAAAATTGCCAACATGATCCATCAAGCCAGTGTGGCCGAAGTCCTTGGTAATCCGAAAAGAGCCATCGAATTATTGAACGAGTTGTACGAATTAGAGCTTCAAGAAAACCCTGTCAACCATGAACTACTCTGCCGCCTCTCGACTAACCTCGGATGTTGCTACAATACCGCCAACGATCACGAAACTGCCCTTGAGTGGTTTCAACGTGCCCGGGATATATGGCCACAGTTTGTTGGGAATCGAGGCGTACCTACAGTTATTCTAAAGAACTCCGGGAGATGTATGCTCTATCTCAATGACCTGGAGGGAGCCAGGAAGAATCTCGACAAATGTATCTTTCAATTAGAGAAGACAAAATCCATGAACAGGGCTGTGCTTGCTTAGTATGTCCAAAATGATTTTCTTTTAGTAAGTAGTTTGCCATGTCACTAACATTATCATGTAGTGCGTATTTCGCGCTCGCTACGTTGGAACAACGCGAGCGAAATTTTGAAATGGCCGAATTATATTTCATCACCGCCAAACGATCTTGGTTGAGTGATGAACAGTCGCGCCTTCATCCCTTCCACGGCGGATGCCTGTATAAAATTGGCGCATGTTGCCTGGACCAGGGGAAAGTCCAAGCTGCCATGTAAGTCCGCCATTACCGACTCTTCGGATGTCAATGGGTCTCTTTCCCATCATTCTCCCAAAATCTGAATCTAACTTGTTGGACCAGTAAATATCTCCGCAATTCGGTGGAAGTCACCAATCTCAGCAAAGACTGCATGCCAGTTGAGCATGCTCGTAGTTTGTTCAAGCTTTCGAAAGCACTACTCCAAGTTACTAAAGTCGACAGCGATGTCAACGCAAGTGAGGTAGAAAGCCTGCGGAATGAAGCACAAACATGCCTCAAAATGAGGACATCAGATGTGGCCGCCTGGGATAGGGAAGAGACATGCGACAATCTGATCCCAATACTCTGGAGATGAGGAGACGATGAGTCCAGGATTTACTGCACCAATATAGGAGAACCTTTCAGTGTGTGGTATTGAATAGTACTATGATCTAACAAGGCTTTATAATCATCGCTACATGGCTCCTTAACCTTTGATTGACCGGAATATCGAGTGACCAACTACAATTAAACAGACCCTGAGTGTAAGTTAACTCCTTCCGTAATCTCAAAGAATTGTAGCTCACCTGCTAATTAAGAACCTTTTAGATATAAGAGAAATTTCTATTACAAATGTTAAAGTAAAGAGAATCTAGAAGTAGTTTATATCCACTTTATCAAACCATCCAGTCCATGAAGTGATATTAATACAAGTAACATGCCGAAAAGAAAGCGCAATAACAACTTGACCATAGTAACTAGAACAGATGAAGTCAAACCTTAGGATCCACAACCGGCTTCTTCCGAACTCTCGGCACCCTCGTCCACCAGTACAACAGACATGCAGCCAAAACATTCGTCGCGATGAAAACCCACATGAGCCCAAAGTTCCTCCAGACATCCGCATAGCTAGCCCCTACCGCGTGCAGATACGAATTCGTGTCCGCAACCGGGCAGAAGCGACAGCCCGCCGTCGCGTTCTCCTCTTGCAAATATCCGCCCATCTGAGCCATGTACGGCGCCATGTACTGACCGCAGGTCGTGTTGACTGGGTCAAATCTCAGATACTCATTGTCGGCGCAGGTGACGGTCGTGTCCGCGATTCCCACGGATAGCATCCCACTGACCAGATACGTGAATGGGGAGACGCGGTACATGAAGATCCAAAACCCGGGCAGCTGGGCTGGGGTTGCGAGCACCCCGCAGAAGAGCAGGCAGAGTAACAGCAGGAAACTCCCCAGATTTCCGGCGTTCTCTGCGGCGTCGAGCGCAGCGATCATGAAATGGGCAAAGGTAGACGAGAAAAGCAGGAAAGTCCAGATTAGCAGCCACATCTGCGCGCCCCGCAGGTGTACTGTGTCGGTGGGTTCCGCGTTGCGATACATCCCGATAGGGTAGTACCAGCACAGAAACATGAAGATAGACATGAGTGAGTTCCAGAAAAGCTCGACACCGATATTGCTGAGCATGAAGACTTTCCAGGAGTAGGTCTTCGACGGCCGCTCTCGGACTTCGTATAATGCTCGCTGGGTGACGAAATGTGGCATGATTTGTTGGATGAGTTGCCCGAACTGGATGAGTAATAGGAAAATACTGAACATTTGGTTCTGCAGGCCCTGGATTGTGTTGGGGGTGTTGAAGAGAGAGAAGCCGACGAATAGAGCGGGCAAGACACAGAGAATTGCCTTAGAGTAGATGTAGATGGGAGAGCGCCAGAATTGCTGGAAGACTCGGATTTGAACTTCACGGAGCTGGGCGAAGAAAGGGGCAGCAAATTCGCGATAACTGTCTCTGTCCTCGCGCTCTGTGCCGGAGCTAACGCAGGCCAGTGGAATTTGCTGGGAGCGTTCGTGCTTCAGTGAGGTGAGATGCGATTGTACTTGTGCGTATTCTGGGGAATTACGCCATGTCTCGAACCAATCGATTTCCGTGTGGGAACCAGGAGCGGCACCGATCACATCAAGCATCCATTCAGCAGGATTAGCTGCTGGGGGACAGGGAGGGGCACCGTTGCGCACGAAGTAATCAATCAGAATATGCGAGTTCTGACCGATGTCTCCAAAGTATACGGTTTGACCACCGGCTTGAAGAAAGAGGAGACGGTCAAAACGCTGGAACAGCATAGCAGACGGTTGATGGATGGTGCACACTGAGATCATGTTAGTGGATATTGACGGATGCATGAATCCAAACTTACAAATCGCTTGGCCGTTATTCCTCAGTTTATTGAGGAGATCAAGGATGGCCCAGGATGTCTGGGAATCGAGCCCCGACGTGGGCTCATCCAAGAACAGAAGCAGGGCCGGTCTTGCCGCAAGCTCTACCCCGATGGTGAGACGTTTCCGTTGCTCAACATTAAGGCCTTCTCCAGGGACGCCGATAACAGCATCAGCAAAGTCTGCCATATCAAGTAGTTTGATAACGTCGGTCACATAATTGATCTTTTCTCCGCGAGGAACATGAGCAGGTTGACGGAGAAGAGCTGAGAACTCAAGTGCCTCGCGCACTGTGGCAGTGCTCAAATGCAGATCTTGTTGCTGGGCATAGCCAGTCTTGCGTTGAAAAGATTCATCCCGCGGTTTACCATCGACAAGCATTTCTCCGCTGATCACGCCCAAAGTAGTACGTGCAGCTAGAACATCCAGGAGTGTGGTCTTCCCAGCACCAGAGACCCCCATCAGAGCGGTTAAGGTCCCTGGCTTGACCCATCCATCAACGTGGTCAAGGATCCTGCGATTCTCTTTCCCGATCTTGATGTCGAAACAAACATTCTTCCACTGGAATATTGCAGTTTGGCTTTCGATCATCATAGGGTCATCAGGGTCGGACTTAGGCTTCTCTTTAAAAGCACTGTGGTCACTGCCCCCTTCGAAGTCATCAGGCTTACCACTCTTGAGTGCCACATGCCCGCGGGGAAACACTAGGATCTCGCCCTTGGATTTCTTTTCAGTGACCAAGTCAGTGGCGACCAGATAGATGGCTCCAAGAACGAGCATGAAGGCGAGTATAATCCCAACATTTCTCCATTTGTGCGAGACGTTGTAGTCATATGCTGATTGGATGTAGGCATCGCCATTGACAAATGCTTGACCGGGTACAGATCCGACGGTAGAGCAGACATGGTTCCTAGATTGAAGGTCCATGTAGCTAGGACCCGATGGGACATATGCTATGCACTGAAAGTCACGGTTGTGGAACTCATTGATCAGGAGGGACTCAAAGCCATAGTTGATAGGATTAAGATACGCAATCCATCGCGCCCACCCGAGCATATACCCTGTCGGGATCGCAAACCCAGTATAAGAATAGAGCCCGAGAAGGACGACCGCGCAGAAGGGCAAAGCTTGAACAAGAGATCTCGTTAAAGATGCCATAGACCGGAAGAACATGGACATCGTTAGCGTCAGAATGAAGGAAGTGAAAATAAAGAAAAAGAAAGCCCCAGGTTCTCGCCTCAAGTTGGTCATGAAGTAGAGAACTGTATTCGAAAGGATGGCATTGAGGACCTTGTACGGCAAGTCCATGATCATTGATGAAATTGCTTCGGCTGATGGATGGTAGAGAGCATATCGCGAGTGCTTCTCTACGATTCCTCGTTGCGCATATAGAGTCAGCATTTCCAGTCCGCAACCAAGGGCATTGATGAGACAAGCAAAGAATAGAAGGGCACCGCGCTGAAAGAAGGTGCTGGTATTGGGCTTGAGGTTGTAGAAGATACTGGCAATTACAAGAGCAGTAATAACATTTCCAAACAACGACGATATCGTGACACTGGGATCGGCTTTCAGGCGTTGGTATCCGCGCCATAGGCACAGATTAACCTGTTGTGCATAGGATAAAGTGTAAGGTGAGGATACGTGCTGGACCCGGGCTTGCTGAGCTCGGCGAGAATGTCTGAACTTGTTCAGGAACTCTCCATTCAGCATGAACTTTGTATTGTAGTTTTCGATGTCTTGCAGAAGTCGTGCTCGCTGTGGTGAGGCCTGCCATCGTGCAGCGAATTCATCAGGTGTTCGAGGCACGCGGCCTTCGTAACCTGGCTGTACGACACGCTCGAGGTGACTAGTCATCGATGTTAGGAAGTCTGCATCGGTTTGTCGCTCGGGGCAGGCAAAGCCCATGTCAATAAAGTATTGCTTCGCGGTGTCTGTCCGACCGAAGTAGATCTGGCGACCTTCGTATAATACCAGCACCTTGTCGAAATGGTTGTATGCGGCTTGAGGGGCTTGATATAGCGAGACACAAGCAGTGGCACCGTTGATATCTGCCTGTATACGCAGAGCCTTGCAAAACTCAATGGCATTTGCGCTGTCAAGGCCACGGGTGGAGTTATCCCAACATTGCAGGGGAGCACTACTGAGGCAAGCTTCGGCAATACTGACTCGCTTGCGTTCACCACCAGATACACCACGAATGAAGTCGTTTCCGACGATCGTGTTCTTAGTGTGACTAATACCAAGCATGGCCATTATCACGTCACGCTTGTGGCTGGCATACTGAGCCACACTCACCCCGCCAGGGATGTGCCTTGGTGCTCGGGCGCGCGCCGCAAAGTAAAGAGTATCTCCGACGGTGAGCTTTGGGAAGTGGATGTCGAGCTCGGCGGCGTATATAGCTTCGCCTCGGAATTCGTGGGCCATCTGCTTCGCGCTCACGCCTAGCAGCATTCAGTAACGAATCATATACTTTGTCGGTTTGTGAGTCAATTGGACATACCTTGAAAATTGATACTAGATTCATTATCAACATGGAAACCATACGTCTCCCCAGCGATCGTCTTCAAGAAGGTCGAGCATCCCGAGCCAGGAGGACCAAGAACCACCAGCATCTCGCCAGCCTCCACGACACCCTCCAGACTCTGCAAAATTTGTATTCTGCGCTGGCTATGAGTACCGAGCGCTTTCCTTGCCAGACCTAGCACTTCGAACCAGACATTGCCGACGCTTTTCTGGTAATCTGTGTCGGAACCAAAACCGTGTACATTGAGATTGCTAAAGGCGATTCCAAGGGTTCGCAACGGATGGGCCTGTTTATCCTCGGTGTGAACATGTAGCATGGCCTTGCACCATGATAAAGCATTGAAGCCTTTACCGTTAGGATCCAAGGCTGATCCTGCCTCGGCAGCAAAGGGGTTCTGTCCGTGGGTAGAAAAGGTGCTCTGCTCGGTGAACTGCCTGGCCAGTTGATGAACCTCTTCTGCCCTTTTCTCCACGTGAGAATTGAGGCCACTTTGGACCTCATGGTCGTCGGTCATGACGGCGAGCTTCAGAACAGGCTATAGTGATAGGGTAGTTGAAGAAAAGTCTGAAGTTGAAGGGCAGAAGAGCAGAGGACCTAAAATCCAACCCTATACATAACCCTCTTGTTAAGAAGCCCGTTTCTCTGTTTATTGACTGTTTAGATCGTCATATTTGGTAACGTGATCCACAGCAATATTCTTTGTGTGGCACGTCATGGGTCCAGTGTGGCTCTCGTCAGCCAGAATCAGCCAGGGTCAGCCAGGGTCAGCCACTGTCTTGGGTGTTTGCTGCGCAGCTTTGTTTGCTTTTAGTCCCTTTTGGTTGTTCAGGCCCCCTTTGCTGTGTTATTTGCCTTCTCCAGTCATTAATTGGGCCTCGCTTTCTCTTCCAAGAAAGTCTGATCCAAGTTCGGTTAGCCCTTTACTATTTCCGCTCTTATCATTTTCTTGTTATCATAGTTCCAGCTCCTATAGTTTCCATACAGTGAAGCTTCATGCCGGGATCATCCTAGTGAGTGGCTTACCGCGATTAGCAACAAGGTTTGGGACGTACTAGCTGACGGCATTCCATCAATAATACCTTGCATCCCGCAAGCATCATTTCCGGGAGAACGCCAAGGGAATCCGTCGCGGCGATCTTCTCCCAAATACTTCTTTCTTCTATTCAGTATAGGCCCTAGTTCATGCTTTGGCGACCAAAGTAAATGAGAAAAGTAACCAAATGGGCGCTAGCAAACAATAATCGATGTCGGATGCCTCACATCAGGAAATTGAATCTTCGTCTCCATCCAAGTGGCTGAGGCCGCAAACATACCCTATTAGCTACACAATATGACGGAGATCGCAAGGATGTAGAATGCTTGGATTCCTACGAAGCAGGAAATGACCGCTGAGTCCTGACTAGGGAAGAGCCATTGTGGGTCACATGTGCACCAAATTCCAATAGGACTGGGTCGAAAACTAGAACCACCGCACCAACACAATCCTATCTTCCGCCCCTATCACCTTCTTCTTCCCCCTCACAGCTTCATCTACTCAATTGTCACCCTCACCCCCTTGGTCCCGAACTCCGGAACCCCTCCCACGTAGTCCCGCACCGGAACCACATCCGCCTCGACAGTTTCGAAAAGCTCCAGCTCCGGCGCCCCCGGGCGAAATAGAACCGCCAGCACCCAGTACATTTCAGCCAAGGCAAGACTATTTTTTGCGTGTTAGACAAAGTAAACCCAGAGTATGTGCCAGGGGTCCGAAAGCCCTTGAGAATGAGGCTTAAAGGAAGATCTCTTACTTCATGCCAATACACATCCTCGAACCCCGAGCGAAGGGAACCCAGTTCCGATTCATATTAAGGTGATGTTTGTTCTCTATCCACCGCTCCGGGAGGAACCTGGACGGCTGAGGGAATGTCTCTGGGTCGGAATGGAGGCTATGCGAGGACATGCCCACGGGGGTGCCGGCGGGGATCGTCCACTCCCTATACTGCAGCGCTTGATCGGGCGAGACGCGGGCGAGATGACGCATGACCCCATAACTTAGTCTGGTAAATAAAAATCCCTCGTATCAGCTATTGAATTCGAGTCTGAAAAGAGGGAGTTCATGGGAGATTGTACCTCAAACCCTCTTTGACGATCCCGTGCAAGTACGGCAACCTCTCCAATTCCTGCCAAGTGGGTCTCTTCGCAGGATACTCCGCCATGATTTCCTTCAGCTCCCCCCGGAGCCGCTCTCGCATCTGCGGATTGGACAGGACATGATAGAAGATCATGCTGAAGGCGCGGACTAACGTGGCGGTGCCCGCGCCGAACAGCTGCAAAGCCTCGCGGGCAAGCCGTTCGGTCTCACGCTCCGACTCGGGCATGTCACTGGAGAGTACGTGGCGGAAGACGGAGCTTCGGCCGGCCTCTTGTTGCACCTTTTCGGCACGAATCATGTCCTTTTTGGCCACAGTGATGTGATCGAAGGCGTACTAGTCTATGTTTAGCGGAGACGGGCTTGCAGAGAAAGAGGAACGGCCTACCTGATGCAAACTCTTGAACGCCGCGGCTCCCGGAGAAAAACGCATCACGAGTCCCCGCGGGATTAGTTGCGTGAGGCTGTATAATGCGTTAGGTGAATGAGAGAGAAAAGAAGAGAAGCAAAATTAGGAGTACTTACGAGATTAAATAAGGAAGTTGCATGAAAAGGTGCACCTGGTGCTGGTAGGTGTGGATCGTAATATACCTGCCAATTCTGCAGTCAGTAACTTATCACCAGTTCCAAGATGGTTGACGAAGCCTACCATTCCTTGCCGAACTCTGGGTGCCGGATCATATCAGGGGACTTCTCCGAGCAAATCTTTGTCACAATGTCACCAGTGAACGCAGCCATAACATGTTCCATTTGGATAGTCCGGCCTGATTTCCGGTATTCTTCGAGTCGATCGGTGAGTAACTGGATTTCATCCATTATCACCCCCTCAATCTGCGTGACACCAAGACGCGAGAAGAATGGATCGAAGTACTTGCGGCGGCGGCGGTGCAATTCGTGCCCCATAGTCATACCCATGGCGCCTTTGATCCAGTTAGTTATATCCTTTCCTGTACGACAAGCTAATCGTGGATGAAGAAGAGTTCCTTGCCGTCAAGTCCTGTCCCTTGTAGGGTATACCACTTCTCCGAACGGCGTGTGTTCGAGGCGACATAGACGGTGTTATAGTAGTCCGGGTCCTTGATAACAATCTCATAGGGATTGATGCGGATGATAGGACCTTTAACAGGAGGATTAGAATGGATTGAAGCTCAAACTTGGGTTACGTACCGTATTCTCTGTGCATTTTCTGAACCTCATGAATATACATTCCACCTCTGATGACATCGTGGTAGAACTCATACCAGCCGGTTGCAGCAGCAATCTTGGGCCCGGGGATTCGAGCTAACGGGTGCAGGTACAGGCGATAGATAACAAGGGACACGCTATACAGAGAAATCGCGGGGAGAAAGAGCCCGTATATTCCATACATGCTATAGAAATTGAAGAAGAGCGTCTGTACAGCCTGGAAATCGACTGAATTTGTCATCTTGTAATTGATTCTGAGGAATGGACTATAGATGGGATTTAGAGATTGGATTGAATCTCAGACCAATATACAACTTATACTTGTAGTAACACACACTTTCAAAGGGAAAATCTTTCAAGAAAAGGGGGTCTGTCGGAGGCAGGTAATGAGTAAGTACAACTATGTCTTCAAGGCAACCTTGGCCATCACTCCGCCTGCTTATGGTCATGGGGAATGAATTAAGTGTCTCCACATGGACATGGAATATACCAGTCACTCTAGTCGAATTGTAAACTCCGGAAATCCGTGCCTATAACACGTAGTATGTCCGGAGCCCAATTGTTTGCAATCTGTGGTACTGTGTGATAATGCATGATAATGCGTGATGCTGCGAGTGGTTCTCTATCACCACAGCCTGTACAGCAGGCAACGCTTCTCCAATTGATCACTGAGACATTGGGTACCTATACTGTCCAGGAAAGCCACGTTCTTGTCTGGACCTCAGCCAGCCCCAGCTGAGTATACCCGAGGCTGAAGTCAGCCAACAACTACCATTCTCCAGACTGGCGATGACAAACAAGAGACAGCTTTTCTTGCTCACGGGTCTCTCAGTTGCTGCATGTCAGCACCACTACCCTCTAGTTCATCTAGTCGCCTGGACGCGTCAACGCAAATCATCCCCATTAATTTGGATTATGACTGCTATCACCCTTGGGCCGCATTACCGAACACCAGACCATGTGATTCGAGTTCTATACAAGTGGGTGATAATAGAAGACTATGATGTCATCACTCTGCAACTCAGCTTGAGAATCACCGTATTCGAAGCCTCAGGAGACGCATGTCGAAGCACACATTCTATTCCTCCAACACATCAGTAGGAATGTGTATGTGTACTCATATATGCCGGAATATTCAGCTGGGTTCGGTAGTGTATGCCACTTTAGGATAGTTTATCGCACTATTGATGCCGAAAGGGAAATCATATTCATAGGACAGGATATAAATACAGTATCCTACTCTGGTCATCTCTCTATCTCCTCGATGTCACAGCACACATCTCATCCATTTCCCCAACCTGAGCCAGCTCCCCTAACACTTGGATACATTTTTTTCGTTCATCTCTGCCTCATTATCTTCTATTGCCTAATCTCCTTTCTTCTTTCTGGAGCATGGAGTTCAAATTCTCCACGGTGGTAGAGCCTAGCACCTATGAAGCCCAAGGGCTGTGCGATGGCCTCACCGTGAGATATCATAAGAACACCGAGCTCGAGGAAATCGATTGTCTGAGATGCCAAGAGCACTGGCGCGAACAAGTCGGACCGCTGGGGCTCTACAAGGGTGGATTGGGACACCCATGGAGCGGGATGAGCATTGCTATTCCTGAAGCCCTTCCAGAAAGACTCGGAATTGTCTCGTACGCGAATGAGCTTGCGTTTCTACACGATGGTGAGATTTGATGTCATGTCATGTCTTTCTTTTGCTTCCAGCTAGTAAACTGACAAGGCTTGGCGGTTCGCGGAGTAGATGTCACCGATATTGCTAAATACGTATGAAACTTCCCTCCCGTGCAGACACGATGAAAAAGAGTGGACTAACGATAAAGTACTAGGGCGACGAACATAACAACGATCTCAAAGCGGCATTCGATCAAGTGATCAGCACCGGAACTATAAAGCATGCCGGTTCCGGAAAGCGCGCGCTGCAGGCGTACGTTGCAAACAGGATGCTGAGCATCGATAAAGACCGCGCAATTACGTCCCTCAAAGCTTGGTCGACCTTCCTTGACAAAGCAGGACGACAGGAGGATTACCGGTTCAAGTCCGAAGACGAGTACCTGAAATACCGGGTTCACGATGTCGGGATGCTGTCAGTTCCTCCCTCCCTCTCTGCCTCTCTGTCCTTCTCCAACATTTCCCTACTCCTAGATTTAGGATATGTACTAGACTGGGACTAATCTAATATGAGATCTAGTTTCTGGTATGGCCTGCTCACTTTTGCGCAAGCGATCACCATCCCGGAGAATGAACTGGACACATGCCATCAGCTTGCCACAACTGCATACCTCCACATGGCGTTGGTGAACGATCTGGTCTCCTGGGACAAGGAACGCCAGAGCGCCGCCGCCTTAGGGAAAGATTATGTGACCAATTTCATCTTCGTTGCCATGGAAGAACATGGGATCTCCGAATATCAGGCCCAGGAACGATGTCGTCAGGAAATTCAAAAGGCGACCGTCAACTACCTGAGAGTCTTCGAGGAGATCAAAGCTCGCGACAACCTCTCCTCTGATACCAAACGGTATCTTGAATCGGTCTTGTACAGCATGAGTGGAAACGTGGTTTGGAGCTTCTACAGCCCGAGATATTACACTGACGCATCGTTCAGCGAGCGCCAGCTCGAGTGGATGAAGAATGGCATTCCCAAGGCACACAAGCCTGAGGGTGGTGCGTCCGGTCTAGATCAGAGTGAGTTGAACTTCGATCGCACAGTTAATGCAGATCACGCGATGAACACAAATGGCACCGGAAGCCATGACACTCTCAATGGAAATGGCACTGCCAACAGCCGGCACGCTTCAGTCCCGGGACGAAATACCAATGGTATTAACAACGGTGACACAAGCCTTTTGAGCGCTGTTATCACGCAGCACCTTTCGGGCCGTGATGGCTTCAGACTTGGGGATCATGACATGAAAGTGGAATCATTCGAACATGAAGGCCATGACATAAAGGAGGTAGAAACACCGCTCAAAGGGCAATGTCTTGAGGCGAAGGTAGGAAAACTACTGCTTTCTCCAGGCATGTCCAATTTTCTGACCGGAAAAATTCAATCAAACAGGTTCTACAGGCCCCATACGAATATATCACGGCTCTTCCATCCAAAGGAATTCGTGAGCATGCAATCGATGCCTTGAATGTCTGGTTTCGTGTACCTGCTGAGAAACTAGCCATAATCAAATCTATCATTACAATTCTTCACAATGCATCTTTGATGTCTGTTCTTTCTTCATTCTCCTTATCTCTAGTGACACATCTGACTGTTTGCAGGCTCGATGACTTAGAAGATGGATCGGAGCTTCGAAGGGGCAAGGCATCAACCCATATGATCTTCGGGCTGGGTCAGACAGTGAATTCAGCCAATTATCAGCTCATCTGCGCATTGCAAGAGGTCCAGAAACTGGAAGACCCAAAAAGCTTGCTCGTATTTACCGGTATGCGTCACAAATTCCCTCATGGAACCTGTGCACAGCTGATTCTTGTTATCTTGAAGAGGAATTGCACTACCTCTACGTGGGCCAGTCCATGGACCTATATTGGACCAGTAATCTTATCTGTCCTTCTATCAATGAATACTTTCGGATGGTTGAGCACAGTGAGTTCTGAGCTCCCCCCAATCGATTTTAAAGCACGATTCTAACCCAATGATTTAGAAACCGGCGGTCTCGTCAGGCTCTTTGGTCGCCTCATGGCACTTCACTCCACGAATCCCGTCAATGTCGATATGATTGACTTCTCCAATCGCCTCGGACGGTATTTTCAGACCCGTGACGACTACCAGAACTTGGTCTCTGCTGAGGTATGGGCCCGTCCATGTCTCCTGTTCAACCGAAACCCCTTTCCGTGTGGCGTACTTGGGAAACTGACCACACCGACCAAAAACAGTACACAAAGCAAAAGGGCTTTTGCGAAGACCTCGAAGAGGGCAAGTTCTCCCTTCCACTGATTCATCTCCTGAAAACCATGCCAGATAACTATGTCTTACGGAATGTCTGGATGCAGCGGCGCGTCCGCGGCACCGCTACGCGCGCCCAGAAAGAGACAATTCTGGACTTGATGAAACAGAACGGAAGCCTGCAGTTTACTGAGGACACGCTGGAGGTCTTGTACGGTCACATGGAGAAGGGTATCGGTGAACTGGAGCGCAAGTTTGGCGTTGAGAACTTCCAGTTAAGGTTGATTCTAGAGATGTTGCGCAACGGGTAGGTCAGAGGGTGCGCGCCCCGAGGGTGGGTGGGATGGGTGGGGGGCGTGCATCTTGGAGTACTCGTATTAATGGGTCAGTTGCGTTTGCTGTTCATCTGCTTTCTGCTAATTATAGCCTTCGCGTCTCTTACGACTCTATGTAGTCATCCTTCTTACTTTCGGTTGGAACATCCTCAAAGACTTCATAGTTGCCAATACTCATGTTTCACACCGGCTTGATTTGTAGTTTTTCCGTATATTCCGTTATCTTAGCTACGTACCTTCTGTTAACTTACTATCTAGACCTTCGCCATGATGCGGGCCGTTAGTAGTGTCAGAGTACCTACTTTATTATTCAGCCGGGGTGGTTGGTTCCAGATAGCCTTGTATCCGCAACGCGGAGCAGACTGCGGTAGGCTCACTATATAGACATACCTCGAAGTTAACCACGCATATGCATTATAGTCTTTGTAGGATTTTACTATATAGTGAAGTGGGCCAGGACCCTGAGACAAACTGGTTACCTGTGGAATTCTAGGTATGGGTATGACTCTTAACTAGACCAAAAAGCTCAGCTGGCTGATGGTCAATCGTCTACATTATCGACCAGTACAGTATACTATATAAGGAGCTACATCTAAGTACAGAAAGCTACGAGCCGGCCTCACGTTAAATAGATTGTAAGAGAAAGATAGGTTATATAATGAGACTATAGGTCTAAAATCTCAATAAAGAATATAACCATTCTGTCAAGGTGCGCTTGCTGGGTGGTTAGGATGTTGCTTGACCAAATGGGGGAACACGGGTCTTGGCGGCCTCAGGAACACAGCTGTGGCCGCGGTAGCTGAATAAGTGATTTCATCACCTTGCCCACCGATTGCTCAACCAATCGCTATATTGATTAAAATCGATCATACGAATGCATGTACTTCTCAACTAGCTTCAGCGTGAGCTCATATGGGAAGCCGAACACGACCGTCGATGCTCGCCGCCAGCGCAGAAGCAGCTCGTTAGTGCGATATATTGCGGCCATGCCGGTGGGGTAGAGAAAGATACCTGACGATGTAAATTGTTCACTCTGGAGAGGGTTGATCGACGCCCGTTTCAGCAAGTTGGCAATGCGTAAGCGCACCAAGACATCTGCTTTTGTGTCTACTAACTCATTGACACTGTCTGAATGGTCTTCAATTATAGAGTCTGTCCATTGTGCATATATACTGTTCAGGTGATGGCGCATGCTTTGAGCCAGTCATGATGAGATGCCTGTTTCCAGTGAGCCGCCAGAAGATCATGGCACTGGCGGTAAACTGTGTGGGACAGAATGCGATAAAGAACGATCGTGGTTGGCCAGCATCAGTTGGCTCATCCAGTACAAAGACCGCCGTCGTAACTCGGACACTGCCAGCTGCTCCCGGTTCCAGGTCAATAATCATACGATGACAGGCTAATGCATGATTTAAACTTGGAAATATCAGGCGCGTTTCATCTTGTTGCCCAAAAAGAGCCAAACAAGCGGTATTGGCCTACCCAGTACATTGGGAACCTCGATGTTAACAGATTTACTGGCCCGCAGTGCATATAAAAGTACATACTTTGACGACATCTGTGAGAAGGAAAGACCTGGGATATCCGTTCTGGTGTACACCTGTGACCCGTGGGTCGTGGGCAACCATCCCACGCATATCCTGCCATGTCGGCAGCTGCACTGAGACTGCATGGCGATGACTGGGTACTGGGAAACCAAGAGATGGAGGATGAGGGAGAGCTATAGGAGTTGACTTGTCTGGAACTGGCGGTAAAGAAGGCATGTTGAATGTCTCGCTTGTGATATGCGACTGAATACCGACTTTTGCCTTTGATTTACGAACCTGGCTAAGATAAATAGCTCTCGGGGCAAACTACCACTACGGCATAGACTACTCCTACAGCAGCTTACGACCACCCCTAACAGTTTCGGCCGAGATCCGCTAGAGTCATTTAGTTAAGATGAATAGCTCCGACGGTCTTGATTGAATGAGAACATCTCAGGGTAGGCTGCGGCAAATCCGCTCCGTTGGATGTCAAAGTCATATCCGCATCCGCAGATTGCGGATGTTGGATACCACTTCAACATCCGCATCCAACTGTTGGATATCCACGGACATCCAACGGATGTCCGCGAAATCCAATTATTATCCGCACTAGCATAAACTTCGCTAATTTAACTTATTTTAGCACTTCATGTGATCCTAATACAGCTGACCAAGCAATCGTTTTCCCGTCAGATTACAAATGTATCGGTATGTCATGGTTATTTGTGGTAGAATTACCATCTTATGTGATCAACCAGTGGAAATAATATGAAATATAAATAAATTCAAGAAGAGATTATATTCTCCTAGCTATATGTGATATTTTAACTCCCAAACGATATACTGAATGGTTGTATTTTTGATTTATCGGTGTGATGGTTGTCGTTATTTTGATTGCTATGAAAAATGTATATTTTGGTGAGTGAACATTAGTGAAGATTCTATGAAAGAAGACCATAAAAAAACATTACGCCGAATTTACTATAATCAAACTAAATATTCCTAGATATAGAATCTTTAGAGCTTAAAGAATTAGAAAATGCAATTTTATTAGTAGATTACAATATAAAAATATAGTGAGAACATGATATATTTATTGAAATTGTTGGACTTGATGATTTTGAATTTGCTCAAATGTGAATAATAGTTGGATATCCGCGAATATCCAACAAATATCCAACAGATATCCAACAGATATCCAACAGATATCCAACAGATATCCAACAAACATCCAACAGACATCCAACAAATATCGACATAGAAACGTAATAAATCTTCTAATCCAATCAAAAACCTAAATAGAATACCCTGCTCGACTACCTTATTGGTCATTATCTATACTCAAATGAGAAATGTGATATATCAATATTTTATATTCTAGTCGCGTTCAGATCACGGTCGCGCAAGCTACACCTAATAGTTGAGCATCCCCCAGATCTTTCTACCCTGATCACTTCAGTAAGTATTCAAATTCTGCCTTTCCTATTTCTCCAGTTATACTCTATATCTTACTTCCTCCCTTACCTTATCACTATGCCTCGATCCCAATACTCAGAAAGTCAATACCCAATATTTCAACATGCTGAGTCTTTTCTTGATCCAGATATTCTACAATCAAATGACTTCCTTGACTTCTCAAGCCAAACAGATCAGACTATAACTTCCTTTTCTGAACACTCTCTCCCACCTATACAACCTCGTTTTACTGTTCGTGCCCCAAAATCACTTCGTCGTGTCGACAAGCATCTCCAAAAGCATTGAATCCTCTTTAACGACAACCTAATTGACCCTAATATGGAAAGCTCCCGGAAGAGTTTTGTTGAGTGGTGACTAAAGACAGAATTTAATAAAAAAAAAGACTTACAGAAATCAATTCAATGGCAAAGCAAGCAAAAAACATCTAATGTTTAAAATTGCTTTGATCAAGTCGCACATGAGAAGACTGATGAGCCTAAGGTAATGTGTAAGCGCTGCCAGGCTGTTCTTGTTCATCCAAGTCATCGTCGGGCAAAGACGTCTCCAATGAAGATACATTTGAAAAGCATTACATGTGCGAAGCCTTCAGACTCAAAGAAGCAGAACATTGATCAACTTCTACAGAATATGATTTGTCTTTCCCTCTGACCTAAGCTCTCTAAACTAATAAACCTTACTTTTACTTCACATATCGTTAGCCGCATGCGCAGATATCTTCTTCATTCAATCAGTCAATCTTTCAACAAAAGATTCTTGAATTCATAACTACTGCCCGGCTTCCATTTCAAATCATTGAACATGCTAGTTTCTGAAGTCTTCTTAATTACTCTCAAATCGCGGAATCAAAGCTCAATATTCCCTCTGCCCGAACAATACAACGACTTCTTGATACATCAATGAAAGTTCAGCAACAAAAGATACTCAATAAATTGCTAGATAAATGCCGAATCTCAATTGCGTTTGATTGCTGGACATCTCCATTTAAACAAGCATTTATGGCAATCACTGAATATTTCATTGATCAAGATTGGAACTATCATGAAGTACTACTTGGGTTTGAGCATCTCCACGGATCACATACTGGCAATAATCTGAGTAATATTGTTGTTTAGATTCTACAATACCATAGAATTGCCGACCGAGTGTTATCAATCACAATTGATAATGCTACAAACAACAATATCATGATGAATGGTATCCAGAAGACAGTCCAGTCCCTTCTCCAATATGATACCTCTGTCTTTCGAGTACCCTGTATTGCTCATGTAATTCAGCTCTGTCTACAAAAGCTCCTTGAAAAGCTAAAGACCGCATCCGAGAATGATGAAGCCAAATCAGAGTAGTCAAATGAACAAAATTTCGATCTACAGACAAAGTGTTTTGCTCGTTCAATTGTAACTATCCTTAAAAAGGTTTCTTTAATTCGATTCTCTTCTAATGAATTTAACTAATCACTACTACAGATCCGAAGGGTTGCTGTATTTATCAATGCAAGCCCACAGCGCCGTAAGACATTCCTAGGATTACAAAAAAAGGAGCCAAAGATTGTTCCAATTCAAGATATACGCACGCGCTGGAACTCAACTTTCTTGATGCTTTCCCATGCACGGAAGTTTCAATCTTACCTTGATGAGTATTGCACTACAAATCAATATATCCAGTTTAAGCTTAATAATGAGGAATGGCGTCAGGTTGAATATCTTCTGTTAATTACCAAATCTTTTTTTGACTTTACCAATGTCTTATCAAAGACTAGAGACTGCACAATACACCACGTCTTTAGCATTTATAACAGATTCTTTACCCACCTGGAAGAGGCTGAAAAGAAGTTAAGGAATAAGCGTGTATACTGAAAGAAAAACATGCTTCAGGCACTTCAACTGGCACAAAAAAAGCTCTCTAAATATTACAGTGAAACTGATGATAGTGCATATGATACAATCTGTGCATTGACAACAATTCTATACCCATCAAAGAAACTACGATACTTTGATAATGAGGATTGGAGAGGTGATGAGATTGATTTCATGAAACAATATCAAAACACATTTTGAAATGAATTTATAGTTTATCAGAAACAAGCTCAGAGAAAAGCTCACCAACCAGATACTTCAAAGAAGATTAATGATATAGAGAATGAAGAACTTGCAATACTTTGTGACTCGCAACAAAATACACTCCTTACCGACGAATTTGATGGCCAGCAAGATGAGATTACACGATATCTATCGAAAGGTGAATTACTTATTGATTTAATCTGTCTACTGCATCTAATAAAAAATTAGGGCTCAGTAAGAGAAATCCACGTGTTTACTGAAAAGAACATGAGCAGGAATTCCCAGTGCTTGTCAGAATTGCACGAGATATTCTCTCAATTCCTGCCAGTGAAGTAAAAGTAGAGCGTTTATTCAATTGTGTTCGTGATATCTGTCATTATCGCCGTGGACAGCTGAAGCCAGACACAATCAAGGGTCTAATGTTTCATCACTTTTCATCTAAATTTGAGCTGAAACAGGCAGAGATTGAAATAATTAAAGAATATCTCTCATTTAGTGAAGCTGCTATGCTTGATCAAAGCCGTCTATCTCCACCATCACTTGAGTTTATAGAACCGATTAGTGACAGTGAAGAGGAAGGATATCAAAAAAAATTACAAGAAGAAAATCAATAAAAGATTTCTGATAATAATATAAATGAACTGACGATCTCTCGCTCCTCAAAGCGGCCGGTGAATAGTTTAGATCTGGAAGATAGTGTCCTGTTCGAGGAAACGGCATTTAATGATACACAGATCCGAACAAGAAGAATTCGAAAGAAACCACGACTACCAGACGAATTCGAGATAGACAAGCCATAATATAACTATATAATATGCTGAATGGAGCAGTTGAAGAGTGAACTAATGCGATATATCATTAGAAATAATATTTGTATCACGAATATGTAATTAATTCGATAATACATAACGCGGGTCATACAGAATATTATCTTAAAATCTGCATAAGATGTGCATGTCGAATCAGATCACGAGACTTGGCATGTTTGTATTGTTTTCAAATCCGCTGGATATCCGCGGATATCCAACTTTTTGAAGCCTAAATCCGCATCCAATCCGCGCGGATAGTTGGATGTCAGAATCATATCCATATCCGCAATCTGCGGAGCGGATGCGGAGCGGATTTGGATTTTCGCGGATGCTGCCGCAGCCTATCTCAGGGTCATATCCGAACTGGGGGGATCCCGGCCATATTGTTTGTTCGCTAAGTCAAAGAGAAGGACACCGACTGGGCTAGCAGGCAGGGGTGCTTGAACACTCACAAAGGATGTTCGGTCATTTTGAATGTTGGGTTAATGACGGCTGGTTTACTGTAAACATCGGATCCAGATGTCCGAGGTGCATAAGCCGTCGGACATAAGCCATTAGCGGGGATCAGTGGGGCGGTCAAGACCCGTATCAATCATATCAATCAGGGGTTCACTGATAAGCCCTCCGTAACCAATACTGACCCCAGACTCTTTCTTTGTTTACGCAGTCGAGTTGCACCAAGTAAATCGGTTGCAAATGCCGGCTAATCACGACAAGAATGTCAGCCCACCAAAGAACTGAGTCTCCGGAGCCCGCCTCATCCGTGCTCGGAGCTGCATAAGACGCTAATCCCCGAGACACTGTTTGCTCCTCTGTAACCTTTGAGCGGCATGGGTGTGACTTGGTGAGATTTTTTCCGTGCCTCTATCTTTCCTTCCAGTTCGTCACCTTTTTTTTCTTTCCCCCCCCGCGCCTGGACTTTTCAACAACACGGGGAATGGACATGGAGAGAAAAGAGACAGATCAAGAAGGTCAAAGAGTCGAGGAAGCCGACATAGAGAATGTCGGAGATGGCACAGATGTGGCAAAAGGCGATCTGGAGAAAGGTCTCTCCCACAACAAGAATGTCTCTGGTAGTGGAGAAGCTTCTTGGGACGAGGCATTTCTTGTCACCTTCGGCCAGAATGATGCCTAGAACCCCTTTAATTGGACCAAGAAGCGAAAATGGGGAGTCACCGCGGCCGTCTCTGGCACGGGATTTGTCCGCATCATGATGTCAACGGTATGATCCATTCCAAGATTGCACGAGGCGCGGTGTACTGATGAGCAATCCGCAGATGATGGCGCCGGCAATTAGTACTATGGCAGAAGAGTTGCATATGTCTATTACCGAGTCTAACATGGCATTATCTGTCTACCTTTTAGCGACAGCGTTTGGACCACTCCTTATCGGCCCCTTATCCGAAATCTATGGAAGAAAATCAAATTTCCACATAACAAATATTTGGTTTCTAATCTGGAATTTTGTTTGCGGTTTTACCCATTCTAAGGGTCTACTCATATCCGCTCGTCTTCTCGCCGGATTTGGTGCTAGTGCGGTGTACAGTTTAGGATACGGCGTGCTAGGAGATGTGTGGTCAGCGGAGCAGAGAGGACAGTCACTCAGTCTATATTTACTTATTCCCTTAACAGGATCGGCTGTTGGACCAATTGTCAGTGGTTTTATTGTTAAATATTCCACTTGGAGATGGATGTTCTGGTCAACAGCTATTCTCCAACTCACCCTCGAACTCTTCTCTTCGCTGTTATTCCACGAGAGCTATGCACCACTTCTTCTCCGTTGCCGAGCCGAGAAATTGCGCAAAGATACAGGCGATTTGCGCTACCACGCGGCAATTGGGATACGCGAAGCAGGTCTTTCAACCCTTGGCAAACTAGGTCATAGCTTATCTCGTCCCTTGCGTTTGCTGGCATTCCATCCAACTATTCAAATGCAGGCTATTCTTGAGGGTATTGATTACGGCCTACTATACTTCGCCCTGAGTTCCTTTTCCGCTCTTCATATTGCAGCGTATGGTGAATCGGTCGAAATATCCGGACTTCACTATATAGCTATCTGCACTGGTGAGATCGTCGGCTCTCAGCTCTGCGGTCCTCTCATGGATTATGCCTATCACCGACTGCCCAGTATTACTGGCAAAACCCAAGTACCTGAGCTTCGTATACCACTTTTACTCCCCGGAGCTCTGTTTACACCGATCGGCTTTCTTCTCTATGGTTGGGCCGCGCAATATCACCTTTTTTGGGTTGTTGTCGACATCCGCGCAGCCTTGTTATCCCTCGGTATGCAAATATTTGACACAACACTGCATGCATATGTTATGGATTCTTACCCCGAGCACGTCAGTTCGGCATCGGCTGCAACTCAGGTGTTAAGGAGCTTACTAGCATTCGCGTTCCCATTATTCTCTAATAGCCTATACGACGCGCTCGGATATGGGTGGGGGAACAGCTTGTTGGCGTTTTTATCAATTGGCATCGCGCTGCCCGCGACTGGCATACTTTGGCGCTGGGGTGCCAAACTGAGAGGTCGGCAGCAGTCCAGCTATTGAGACGGCACTACTTTGGTATGCTTTATTGCATGACCAACGCAATTGCAGAATATCTTCGGTTTGTGCCACTTCTCTACTCCCGGTTTAACGGTTCCGCTATTTATTTATCGATGTAATTGCAAGCCCAGGGTTTTAGAGCCTTCGCCAACTTGAAGGTGCTATCTGAGTAAATTTCAGGATACTGGGGATTTAATAACATTCTCTCGGTAGTGCATATTGGGCTTGCTCCTATTTTCCAATAGTTCTTTGAAAGGGGGGAAGGGGGCTCAATCTAATAAAATAGAAACTGCGATCTCGTAGTAAAGCCCATACATTGTCTTTTCTAATCCCTGCGATCATCAATATAACAACTGCCTTTTCCTCGATACACGGTTTTAGTAGGTACTCAATCAGCATGAACCCGATCTGAGTGAACTTATACCTACCATCAGTTGGACAGTATCGAATGACCAGGAAAGGAGTTCTGTGGCCGCGGTAGATATGCACTAGAATAAGCCCTTACTAAGTAAGGGTTGACCCTTTTTAGTGCAGTGGCAAAATTCAACAAGTTCCTTTATGGCCCTGGCGAGTACACAGTAGGATGCCGCTTGACCAAATGAGGAAACACGAGTCTTGGTGGCCTCAGGACACAGCGCATGAGCACGTGATCAACGCCAAGACAGCGCAGTCGGTCGCAGTCGTCCGCTGGAGACAGGCATTTAGGCATCGAGTGGAGGCATCCGCCGCTTGCTCCACACTTTCCCCATCTTTTGTCTCTGCAGCCATCTGGACGAGAGGAAACCCTATACAGAGTACGTGATGCCACGAGACACAACCCAAAATGATGCGCAAAGCGAAAGTACAAAGAAGGAGAAACGGAAACCCGTTCGCCGTGACCCCGAGAAAAGGCGTCAACAGAACATTCGTGCACAACGCAAATACCGTGAGTACACTGAAAGTCACACATGAACGGGCGATTTGCGCGATCGTCTGCGGAGAGAGGACTAAGACTCTGTTCGCCTCCAGGTGAGAAGCTTCGCGAACGAATGGAATCCCTCGAAACGCTTGCAGCATCGCTGGCGCAGAAATCTCCGACGAGCGATACAATCCAATCCGCACCGAACTCGGGTTATGATGGATCGGACATATCGAATTCCTACCCATTGACGGCCACTCCCAAAGACTGCCAGCTTGCCTTTTCCCAGTCTGTCGATACGGCATCAAACTACCTGAATATCTGGGACCCTGCGACAGCACACTCGATATTTTCGGACAATACTCTTTCATCACTAAGCGCCTGGAATTCTGCAACCTGCGATCAAACAACACATTTCTCATCATCATCGCTTGTGGTCTCGGACCCCACGAAGCAAGTACTGTCACCCGAGCCTTCCGTTTTGGCACCGAGTGTTTCTCCGACGTATGTCGACCCGTCAGCTCTCGTTCATGATAAAGAACAGACCGGCCTTGATCAATCCTGGACGACTACCACTGTTGAATGCAATTGCTCTGGCCCACATTTCCAGGTCCAAACGTGTTGGCCCGGAACCAACGGCCCTACTGAGGTTAGGATACTCAGGGTCGGATCGCTCGCCCCCGCACCAGATTTATATGCCAACCATCTCCGTTTAGACACGATGTGCACATTGGCAGCGATGGATACGCTTAGACTGCATGTTGGCCTTACTGAGGAGATGGTGTGTGCCGAGGAAAGCCCCTCGCCCTTCTATCGGTCGATGAGAACGTGCGCGGATAACGCGGCCAAGGACAACATGATCTCCACAGTGCAGAGGATATTCAAAACTCTCAAGCCAGACTTGAGGCCAAGTAGTGAACAAATTACTGTTGAGCATCCTCCATATATCGATGTCCTTCCATTCCGAACGCTGCGAAAGAATCTCATTCTGCGTCAACAAGAGGTGGACGAAGATGGATTTCTCCGCGATCTCCTCACCGGCTTAGTATGTTGGGGAGGAGCAGGCCTCGGGAGAAGGGACCGAAATGCCTCCACCGGATATACATCAACCGGTACTCCTTGGGACAACCGCAGCTGGGAAGCAAAAGTATGGTTTCTCAAGAAGTACTGGTCTCTCTTAGGGGGTGAAGACGGAGAGCTTGTACGGCAGAGTGAGTGGTGGCGCAGTATCAGAGGCGAAGACCCGCTGGAAATAGAGCCCATTGCATGAAAGACCACTTGTTTATATTCTGCCTACCGACTACACGCGCCTATTACATCTTCAGCAAATTGAGCATCTTTCTCGCAGTGAAGTTGCCCTCACCAAACTTCAGGCTCCTTCCTCATAGTCGGCAGCATCTCTCCCTGGCCTCATGGCTAAATTTGCCACCAGACCGTATCTACACGAAGGTCGCCCGCATTGGATCATCTCTCGGCCGGCTCTGGATACGACTCATGGTATCTGCTGAATAGCGACCCTACACCGCGTGAAATTACAGACCGGTTATCCAAAGAAAACCAGGTCCTGATCAGAACCGGTACAATCACTTCCGCCCAGTCACTACCTTATACTTGCCGTACTTTCATCATGATTATCTTTACTAACAGATTATGTGCTCAAGACGAGTTGCGGCCCTTAATAGTGAAATTACCTTAAAAACGCACCAGGACCGAAAAATGAGTGGACATTTATTATGATAAAAAGCAACCGCAAATTCTAACTAGGGTATAACGCAGCATGCCAGAGAAATCGCTCATTAAAAGCAAGACCACAATCCCAATAATAATATTATACAGTAAGCTTCTGCAGACCATCCTTTCTAAACTCCAACCCACGACAACCTCTTATTAGACAAGAAATAGAATTCGTTCACGACGTAGTTACCAGGCTCTATACCACGCGTTAGCGTCTGTCACCTTTGAGAACAGCGCCTCATAAGATTAATAGGAAGCAACTTACAAATTCTTTCACCATTCTAATCTCCCCAGGTCTGTCATCATCCGAAACACTTCCTCTTGACTCAGAAACCTCTTTTCCCTCTAACTGCGCCTGCTTCCCGCCCGTAATGTTTGTATCCCGAGCATGTAGCTCGTAGTCCAGGTTTCGATAGACCTGGCGTTCCTGTAGCGGCAAAGGAAGCGGCACATCAGACCAGCTGGATGGTCTTAGGGACTTTCGCTTCGAGCCTCCACTCCGGCTATATCGCGATGTGTACCGCACCGAGGACCCGGAGTCGCTAGAGACGAAGATCTTGAAAGGTGGGAGACAGCCAACTATTATTGCTTTATGTTCGTTGGGTTATCAGTATCGGTGTTTACTTGGCTACAGACGGCAGGGGAACGGAAGGACGTACAAATAGATGACTCAGTGACACTCCAGATCGCGACACCCGCGATGTCAGAGTACGCTTTGCCGCTGATTAGGACGGCGCGCACGATAGCTGCTGCGATGATTATGAGACCGAGACTGAAGACGACTCCGAAGCCGAGTTTCTGGCGTCTAGTGATGCCTGTGTTCCAGATGATGCTGAGTCCGATCGCCATGACTTTCCATCCCCTTCGCGTTAGTTACGCTTCTGTGTACATGATGGAAAGGGTGGTGTCGGGGGTTGTACTCATGATGTCGGTGATGATATCTACCGTTGTACTGAAGCAGATGGTGATGAACGCGCTGTGTTGATCGTTCTGTTTGCTGCATTCCCCTGTGCCCATTATAGTTAGCCCGTGGACCTGCAATTATCCTCAAAGCACACGTTTATATGCACACCCACCAAAATGAAAATAATCCTGCGGCGGATGACAATTCAACGCTGACAACAACCAACACACCGTATACGCGGCCGTCGCAAACGTCCCAACACCACAGCACGCCCAGCGATACCTCGGAAGGCCCTCCGTGAGCATCCAGAACAACGCCAGAAACGAGCCCTTAATGCTCCACAGCACCGACCAAAATAACCCAATGATTGCAAACTCGTACCGCACGTATTGATTGCCATGGTAGTCGATCTCCGGCCCGGTCGGCGTCAACGCTGTATAGTAGAGATGTGGCGCCTGGATCGTCTGAAGGGCCGCGTTCGTGATGAGGAACGCCAGCGCAAGAAGCACGAAGTAGTCGTCTGCTAGCAGCCGGTTCATGCGTCGCATCCGAATTACGATGCGCGTGCTCGCAAGCAAGATACCCAGAGCGACGCCGACCCAGGTCACTGCGATGAGACCCCGGGCGGGAAGATGACTAGCGACGCCCTGGGGAGAGTCGGTGCTACTCATAATGTGTGCATCGGTTAAGTCGAGCAGAGATCGACAGGGTGTCGTGGCATGACGAGGTTAGATATCGTGAGAAGACACGAAGAGAAAACAAGAGGAAGAGGGACTCTCGGGCGCAGGACTCGATTTTACTGTGCTGACATGGCAGCATGGTCTATGGCGCATCCATCGGTTCCGAGATGCTGCAGATGCGTGCTTCCAGAGGCCTTCGAACGCATGGGTGGATTGCAATCCACGCGATCCAAGACCGAGCTATTACTGCTCGACGGGCGATGGGGGCGTTTCACAATCATTGCCCCAACGGATGAGATGGGGGTGTACAGAGCTGGATTGGTTGGGTGGCATGATGGGCTGCATTAGATTGGACGCTAAAATCTGACAGCGTTCTCTATTCTATCCTGTATTTCTTGGCTCTCCTTCGTGTTTGTCCTGAAAGTTCTTTTTCGCCCCGGTTCGACTTAGGGTTTGGGGGTCACGGGGTGAGGTGAGAATACTTTGGCCTCAAGTCTCGTGAATAACCTCGTCTCCAGGTCTTTCACCCCCGATATCATCAACAGAATTCTCCGAAAATGTCAACAGGCATCCCCTCGTCCCGTCAATGATAACAACAAGGACGCCCAATTGCTAATTGGTCCAACCATGTGGGCCACGGATCTCCCCCCCAGCAACTAGACCCCGAGACTAGGCACTAATATCCACTTGCTTTTTGAAGTTAACACAAATGACACCCTGCCAAGCGTTCTCACCACTCGTTATGAAAGCCGCCCGACAAAGGATTTTCAAAACGACCTGGCGGAGTCATCCGGCTGCAACTGCGGTGCCTGGTCTCCCTCTCAGTGCATAACGCTAAAGCTGCTTTCGCCCCATCGGTTAACGATCCGGAAGCGCCGGGTGAAATCGCCCTTTTCCAATCTGCCAAGGAGACGGTTGAAAAACTAATATATGTTAACATGCATTTAATATCTGGGCTGGAGATTAAGCCCGCCTGGCCTCCAAGCGAGGAGTTTGATTCCATCATTAATCGCTGGGTTTCGCCCGCGCAAATGAATAAGTAATCGTGTAATTCTCCGGAAACTGCATATCTTCCAGCTGTCTCATGATTCCACTGACGGTGTATGGAGAAGCCATGACTGTCGCTGATCCAACGCAATGACCAAGATCCTCCTCCACCTGCTCGCCCTAATCGGGCTGAGCTCAGCGTCCTTCCCCGGATCCTGCAAATGCGTAAGCTAGTCCTGGCCCCCTTTATAACAACAATTCAATAATTCATGCCCCAAAGACCCCAGGAGACTCATGCTGGCCATCCCTGGATATATGGAATGCCTTGAATGCTTCAGTATCCGGCAAGTTGGTCCGCAACACCCCGCCGGCGATATCATGCTACCCTGGAGCCTACTACAACGAGGAAGAATGCGCCTCTGTCCAGGCGCGATGGTACAATTCTACATTCCAGTCTCTCGAGCCTATCGGGTATGTCTACCCGACAGATGATCCGTGTCCGCCGGTCGATTTGAGCGCTGGGGAGAAGCCTGGGAACTGTACCCTTGGCCCGGCACCTGTATATACGATCAATGCGACGGAAGTGGATGAGCTAGTAACGGGAATGAAGTTTGCAAGGGAGAATAATGTTCGGTTTGTGGTGAGGAACACGGGACATGATCTTTTGGGCAAGTGAGTTTGTTCTCTTTCGGCCTCTCTTGGCGATATCTCTGACTTGACACCGTAGGTCGGAGGGATACGGCGCACTGCAGGTGTGGATTAAGTACATGTATAAAGGGATCTTAATCCAAGACACGTATACGCCGTCCCAAACATGCAAAAAGTCGAAATGGAATGGCACAGCGATAACAATTGCCGGGGGCTATATCTGGGATGACGTTTACAAACTCGCGTTTCCACGCAACCTAACGGTTGTTGGTGGAGGTGATCCGGTAAGTGATACTTTCGCAATGATTTAATAGACCTGAGTTTGTCAGAATATATTGATAACACGGAGAGAAACAGACTGTTGGTTGCATCGGTGGCTACATCCAAGGAGGCGGACACTCGCCAGCAAGTCGTGACTACGGACTCGCAGCCGACCAGATCCTCGAAGCCCAAGTGCTCCTAGCCAACGGCACCACCGTCACTGCTAGTCCGTGCCAGAACTCGGACCTGTACTTTGCCATTCGCGGTGGAGGGGCCGGAACTTACGGCATCGTCACCTCAGCCACTGTCAAAGCCTACCCATCGAAGCCGGTAGTGGCTCAATCCCTCACCATCTCGCCTTTGTCAGACAATCTCGACTCTCTGCTGGAAGCAGTGACCGATATCCACGCTGCGTACCCACATATCTCAGACGCCGGATTCTCCGGCTACGGCACCTGGTCGATTAACAGTCCCACCCCGTTCTTTGGCAACTCAACGGTCGGCTATGTGCATGCCATTGCAGCAATGGGTGTTTCGCCCTCTGTAGCAAAGACGTCATTCGAGGCGGTTCTCAAGACATTGAAGAAATACAACGGCACTTCCCTCTTCATCACGGTTACCTGGTTCGAATTCCCCAGCTACCCAACTTACTACAATGCCATGTCTGGCGCGCAGATCTCTGGAGGCAGCGCCAACTCGGCCTTGACATCTCGCATGTTTGATAAGAAGGCCCTAACCGCAGACCGCACGGCCTTGCGTGAAATGATTGGCGTTGTGGCCGGAACCCACGACGAATCGACAATCATGAGCATTGAGCTAAATGGCGGAGGTCAGGTTTTCAAGCACGACCCGCTCTCAGGACTTAACCCGGCCTGGCGATCCGCGTATATGGTGGAAGTCGTGTCGAGGGGGTGGTCAAACGACGCAGATGAGGAGACTGCGAAGGCCGTAAAAACCGACATCTCGTACAAGAAGAACTGGGCTATGCGGAGGCTGACTCCCTTTATGGGGAGTTATTTGAATGAGGTGAGTCTTTTATTGGTCCCCAAATGACCTGTTTCCCTTGCCCCTAGAATGAGTGTTTACTGATGATCACAGGCGGACCGGAATGACCCGCTCTGGGCGACGGACTTCTATGGCACACATTATATCCCCTTGACAATGATCAAAAAGAAGTATGATCCGGAGGATTTCTTTTATTGTCCGACGTGCGTGGGCAGCAAGGCCTGGTATCAGAAATTCTTGCCACATAAGAACTACGGACCGCTTTGCTCGACGGGACTCTGATGGGGATGGACAATTCCTGGCTATATACACACTTATAGATCCGGACATATCACCTACGTGACACAGAATCCTGACATTGTCGAGTTGTTCAGCTCCTGCATTTCGAAATCCCATAATACCCAAGGCTAGTTAGTCTAGCTATCAGCAAACCAAAGTAGGCGGAGGGAATGTACCCAGTCAAACTCCGACCCTCCCAGTACGTCATATACTAGACCCATTGGAAACTCCTCTGTCTCTGCACGAGTCACAGGCTCGTACGGGAATGCCCCGTCAGGACTTCCGAACTCAATCCTACACTCTTGCGGCCACTTCGAACCAAGTAACTCCAGCATTGCTGCAAGTATTCCCTCCGCTCTTGACGCTTGGACGAATGTAGATTGCGAAGTTTTGCACGCCTGATGCAATCCCTGTAGTAGGTCAATCAAGCCTCGATCAACAGGATGCTGTGCCTGTAACCGGCAAAGAATATCAAGGGATACCACCATAGCTGCAGTCAAACAATCAGAGATGATATGTGAGAGAGGGAACCAAACCCTGTTGTGCTGCTTTGCTCGCACCAAAATGTGCTGAAACAGCTCCTGTTGATAATCTAGGATTTGCCGTGCAGCGTCGAGGCAAGCCCACCGAAACTGGTCATATCGGGTTTCTGATCTCGCACGAAGTAAATATTGTCTGTGTAGAATGCAACGCGCAACCTGGATGGCCATCTCAGTACCGCAACGCTGAAGTGTAATATCCACCTCTCGCACGTCCTCGGTGTTGATGCCAGATGTCGATAAAGAAGGGGGCTGCATTTGGAAAGCTGGGGAAAGGCGGCTCCTCACTTCGTCGATCTTAGCGTTCAACTCTATTGTCTTATCGTAGGAAAGAGGTTCCATGGAGGACGTTGCTTGGAGAATCTCTCCAGCCACCGTCACGATCCGTTCGATCGAAAGAGTCTTCGCAATTGGGGTACTTTCTGTTTCAGGACCCGGAGGGGGCAACACTCGAGTATTGGGCCCAAAATCTTGATCGAGTAGGTTAAGGGGTAGTGCTGTATCCCCATGCCCTTTCTGAATCACGGTTGGAAGTCCATATTGCCGTGATAAGACCGAGTCCGTGACTCGGAGGAACAGCCATAAGCGACGGCGCATTTCCCCTTCGAACACAGAGATGTGAGGGTAGTGTCGAGAGTCGCGGTGGTACCCCATTAGGACTGCTAAGCGTACTGCACACGCGACAAGAATGGAATTGCCTGATTTTGCGGTCGGGTTCTGAAGATACTCATTGTCCAGGTACATCACCAAAGCCTCAGGCTTGTATCGACCGGGGATGGTGTAGTTACAGCTGGTGAGGCATATCGCACAGTGTGTGTGATATAAAACACAGGATCTTGTGTCTTGAAAGGACGAGCTGCGTGGATTTGTCTGGCATTGCATCCACAATCCACAGGCGAGGACGCCATACAAAATGGCGAGCCAAGGAATGGAAACGTTCAGCGGATCCGCCCAGAATTCCTCGTACTAGGGCAGTCAGCTTCATCTATTGCCAACAGAGGCATAGAGGGCTTACCTCCTTGTAAAAATTTGGTGTGTGAATGAATACTGGAGATAGGTCAGCAAGGGTTGATTTAGCAGTAATAGATAGTCCTACTCAATGAAGTTTCACCCGACTTGAAGTATTGCGCTACCAGCGCGTCCGCTGTATTCCGCGGTGGCGTAGCATTGAGCAATATCTTGATGTCTGTGGAAGCAGACATACCCAACAGTAACTCTGGGCCTCTATTGCTTCGTTCCACAACATCGATAGGGTCTGCGACTGCCGCATGACCACCGTTCTTTCCAATTCCCTCAATCTGCAGGGGTTAGCACAGTTTGCAAAAGACGAGAAGAAAAACCACGAACCTCACTCAAAATCGCCCTCCAATGACCAGAGTTAACATATTGCGTACCACCGTGGCCCGAAAATATGACCCCAGGCACATGGGAGGATCGCTCCCGGACATCGCGGATGGAGCTTCTCCCACCAGAATCGGCGTCAGGCGTTGATTGTCGTTCCAGCCGTTGAACCTTCTCTTCTAAAAACTTCAGTCGATCATGGAGATCTTTGGTGGAATTGGACAAGTTCACACGTTCCGTATCATAATGACAGACCGGGCCCTGGTTGCGCTTGATACAGTTGTCGCAAGGATACTGACGATTGCATTTCAGCCTACCAAACATGGTCAGTACATGCGTGCAGAGTGGTGCAGATACTTGGCACTTGACTTTCTCGTCCTACAGAACGTGCACGAGAATACAACTCTCGGCTTTTGATAGCGCCTCTTTCGATCAATATGCTTGTGTAGCGCTTTTGAGTGGACATCCGCGACGTGGCTCGGAATGAAATGTGGAGTCGGCCCACTTGCTCCGGAATCCCCGGGCATGTTGTGCAGGTCCCAACGGGATTATACTTCGATAATGAATGCAGGCAATAAGAAAGTGGAATTCAGCTGTGGCATGTTTGGGAATTCGGGAACTCGGGAATAGCGGCCTTCATTCGACGGAGTTGAAGAATTTCGAGGGGTTCATGGAGAACACGGCTTTCTCGGATTTCATGCGCTAAGGACATAGAAACCAATCAGAGGCGTGAAAGATGCCTTGGTGTAATTGTATTTCCACTGTATCGAGCTATTGCTAAACACTTGGAGATATTCATAAGACACATCTGCACTATTAATGCATTCGTTGTGCTTCTTACCCTAAGGAACTACGGAGACTACGGTGTTGCATATAGCATACTACGAGTCCCGAAAGACATATATAACATGATTATCTCTCCGAAATCCCCAAAACCATTGCCCAAGCGAAAGAATGACAAAAGGACAGCAAGAGTCACTTAGAGTAGTGATAGTCGGCGGTTCCATTGCCGGCCTCACTCTTGCCCACTCTCCTCTTAGGGCTCACATTGATCTCGTCTTGCTGGAATCGAACGCCGAAATTGCACCACAAGTCGGGGCCTCAATCGGAATTCTACCAAATGGAGCTCGGATTCTCGATCAACTGGGCGTGTGGGACGATGTTCATGAGAAAGTTGAAGCTCTACATGGCTCGTTTACATGGGCCCAGGATGGGAAGCTCATTGTGAAGGGTAAGATCCCGGAGCTTCTGCACAAGAGGTAAATCTTCCGACGGATCTATGCATTGCTTCGCTTAACGGAAAAGACAGACATAGATACCCCACTGCCTTCCTCGATCGACAGATTCTGTTAGACATATTGTATAAACACCTGGGTTGTGACCAGGGAAAGGTGCACCTAAACAAGAAGGTTACTAGGGTGGAGCATCTGCCCACCAAAGTACGGGTTCATTGTGCGGATGACACCGTTTTCGAAGTAGATATTGCAGTAGGAGCCGATGGGGTCCGGAGTAAGGTTCGGCAAGAGATGTGGCGGTACATGGAATCCATCGGGCTCAAGAACGAGACCGAAGAAGAGAAGAACGGTATGCTGACGACTCATGTATTAGGTCATGCTCATAGCTAATCTTTATCAGCTATGACATCTGAATACTCCTGTGTGTTTGGCATTTAAACGGCGACGCCTGGACTTACTCCCGGACATAGCCATAGAACCTACGCTGACGGATTCTCTTTTCTGACCATTGTTGGAAAGCACGGTCGTGTCTTCTGGTTCTTATTTGTCAAGATGGTTTAGAGGCACCCAGCATCAAGCATTCCTCGGTTTAGGAAGGAAAAGATCCAACAACATGTCAGCCCGTTTTTGGCAAAGGCAATTACTGGGGACGTGAAGTTCTCTGATGTATACGGCAACGCCATAGTTACTACACATTTGGCCTTGGAAGAGGCATGTTACCGCCATTGGACCATGGGAAGGTTTGTCTGCATCGGAGACTCAGCACACAAAGTATGTTCCGGCTGTACGCATCCCATAGAAAGCGTTCACTGACATCTTCTGCGTAGATGACCCCAAACATGGGACAGGGAGGCAACAGCGCTATGGAAAGCGCGACATTACTTTCTAGCTACCTCTTTCAGTTAAAAAGCCAGGAAGATCAATCTTATAGAGCGATGAACTCTTGTCTTCAAGCCTGGCAGAGGGCCCGGCAATCCCGTGCAAACGACATCTGCAAGAACGCCAATCAACTCACTCGCACAGAGGCATTTGAATCACCGAAAGACAAGTTCATCGCTACCTACCTCCTTCCCTGGATGCAAGGGCTCCTCCTTAACAAAATATCAATGGGTCTCATAGGGGCTGAGAAGCTTGACTTTCTACCTCTTCCAGCCCGGTACCATGTCGTTTATACAGCAATACGACCGTCTCTCCGTGCCGATCTGGTGACGAGCCCTCTCATTATCGTCTCTGTTGGCTTATTACAAGATTGGATCAGTTGCTATAGACTCCACTATAGCTCATCATCGTCCGTTTCTTCGCAGCGTGTTAGAACAGAGGGCTTGGTTTTCCAAGACCAGAGAAAGCGTTGTTCTGGCACGACCAGTATATTATGTTCCTTTTCTTGATAACATACTCAGACCATTGATTACATGTTTCCTACCATCCATCACGGGCACAGATCCCCTATCACGCGCGCAGATGCTCTCCTTTATGGTCGACATAGGCCCTGTCTACGGGATATGGCTTTTGGAGAGTTATCGTCAAGCTCACTCATGGCCCGAGGGCATCTTGTAAGTTATCATTTTTTTATCTTCTCAATCCAATATATAGTGTTATTTGCTAAAAAAAACCCTTCATCAACAGTCCAATTGTGTTTCGAACAGCCTTTCAGCTATTCGGGATTGGGAAGATTGCTCCCCTCTACTATGCTCTCGAGTATTTGCGAACCCCTCTCTCAACTACCCTTCTCGGGTCCAATAGGTTCATCGACAAATCAGCTCTGACAAACCTCCCATTTGCATTGCTAACAGGCTACTATCTTCCCACATTTGGATGCTTCTTTGCCTCTGGCGCTAGCACAAAGCAGACTTCTAATGCTGTGTGGCAGCCGTTCCCTATTCCGGCGCCTCTTCTACAGGTTGCATTCCGACTACCCGGTCTATTCAAGCGCGCAAAACTACATTTGCAAAACCATCAGTCGAGGAGAAAAACAGCAGACTCTGAAACTAGGTTGGAAAATCCCGAAATAGCTCAAACCAAAAAAACATATATCCCGCTTGCTGTACTCTCGGGGCTAACCTTCCTCTACGCTCGATTCACGGCTCCGGCTGGATCCTCTGTTTTTGATATCTTTTCCCCGCAGAAAATATTACAAACAGATCAGGTCACGTCTTTCAACCAAGGTATTGCGCGATTCCTGCAGTACGATGAAATATTTGGACCGGGCAGCGGTTTGATATGGCTTGGCATGCGATTTCAAGAACTACGGACTCTCGGGGTGCCGGTGAATTGGTGGAAGGTGCTGGGTGGGCTTTTAGGAGTAGGATTATTAGGTGGCCCTGGGGCTGCATTCACCGTTGGTCGGGGTGTGAGAGAGTTGCTTGCCCAGATTGCTTGAGTCGATGATGCAGAAGACATGGAAAGAAGATTGTTTAAATTTCAGTAGTCCCTTGATTCCAAGTGCTGCTAGAGTATAAATCAACTCGACATTAAACTGTAACATTCCTTCTCTAGCTTCTCTTCCCCGATTGCTTAGTTCTTTTCCACCAAATCCACACACCGCGAAATCTCGACGGCATCCTAAACACTACATTAGAAAATCTGTTCAATGCATCAGGAACGAAGGGAATAGATACTTACCATATGCCCTGTCGGCTCCAGCCCTTCCAGCAACACTGTCTGGTACACCAAAAGAGGATTTCCCAACGAGATGCCCCCATCGGACAAACATCCCACGAACGGCTCATACGCCTTCGTCTTAGTCGCCGTATCAGCCCTCACATAATCCGAATACATCGGGTTTCCGGGTCTCTTCATATCATCCGCAATGACAATGGACCCAGGAGCCACGATACCCAGCTCCTCTGCTAACTTCAGATCATTCAGATACGAAATCTTCGAATGATCCAGGAACAACATGTCCCATTTCGTTGAGCCGGAGCCGGAGTTCGCACGCTCGGCCGCCAGACGCTGCAAGGATGCCCGACAAGGCCCCTCCTGGATATCAACGACTTCACTGAGCCCTGCAACCTCAACGAGGGCGCGCGAGACAGCCGCGAACTTCGGGTTCATCTCGAGACTGATGTAGCGGGGGTTTGGGACGCCCGTGTTACGCATGGCGTTGCCAAACATGATAGCCGAGTAGCCGACGTAGCCGCCGATTTCGAGGATAGAGCTGGGCCGCTCGGTAGCGATGATGTCGGTGATTATGGTGCCCTTGTGAGGGCCCACGTTCATCAGAAAGTCTTTGGTGCGGGCGAACTCGTCAATGGCGGCCAGGACGGCCTCGGGGGAGTTGCGGATCGCGGAGAGTTGGGGGTGCGAGGTTATGAACTGGAGGAGCTGGTCTTCGCGGCCATCGTTGCACTAGATTCGACTTTATTAGTGTGCTGGAAAGTCGGGAGTGTTTGAACTTCTTACGAAGACATTTTCTTCAGGCTTATAAAAGCCTTGCGAGACTGGCGGGTTTGTCGCTACTGCGGCCATGGTGAGTGAGTGTGTGGTAGAAGAACGTTAAGCAAAGGATGGTAGTTGACTGTCAAGATGTAAATGTCAGTATCTGAAGGAAAGAAAGCATAGATTATGAAATTCGCCTCCCTAATAAATAATCAACAAGGTTTAGATTTCCGGTGGGGAGACAAGTATAGAAGCACTTCCGCATCCGGAAAATGAGAACGTCAACTTAGGGCTCGGGATGCAACGGCGTCCCACCCAACCCAGTTCGTCCACGACTAAGATTCCTCAACGCATTTCACTCGGTCCCAGTGCGTCTCAACATTGCCCCGAATGCGGAAATATGATAGTTTCCGTGGATTTACCTTTACACCATGAAAACGTCAGGTCGAGCGGCGGCCGAGTCGGCTATCATGTGGAGCCCTTATCCGCATAGCACGTCAGTACTAATATCTACTCTATTGCATTCTGGTTACTTCTGCAAGAATGCGCCTGCTTTTTCTGATTTACTCCAGTGCCGTATATTCATCATCACATCATGGGCGATACTGTCCAAACCGACGTCTTGATCGTCGGTGCCGGCCCGGCTGGGTATGTTGCTCTAGAACCCCGTTTCTTTATTAATGCAAAATATATGACGCCATGGACTGACTATAGATGAAAGGTTGATGGCCGCGGCCTGGATGGCCCAGATGGGGGTGAACGCTACAATTGTTGACCAGAAATCGCATCAAACGCGATGCGGCCGCGCGGATGGACTGGAAAGTCGAACGCTGGAGATCCTGGACAGTTTTGGCCTGGCCGATAAAGTGTGGGCACAGGCAAACCACACCGTCGAAATTGCTTTATGGGTACGGACAACCACCTGCATCATCTAGATGAATCTACTTACCCGACCTCTGTCATGTTTAGGGCGGCACAGTCGACGGCAAACTGCAAAGGCAGAGTGTCACGGCGAACTCCAAGCCTGGATGGTCCCGGTTCCACGAATCGACGCTTAGCCAAGGACAGATCGAGGAATATCTCATGGAATATGTGCGGGCTCGAAAGCATATTGAGGTGAAGAGGGAAACAATTCCCACTTCGATTGATATCAACTACGATTTGATCGACGACCACGATGCTTTTCCCATCCGTGTCAATCTAGAGAACGTACCTTCCGGTCAAAAAAATGAGTCTAATGGAGTGCGTACACCAGACAGTGAGGTCAGTGAAGCTCTTTCCGACGACTCTGGATACGCAGGCATGGGGACAATGGTTGAAGCCAAGTATATCCTAGGCTGTGATGGAGCCCATAGCTGGCTCAGGAAGCAGCTTGGACTGAGACTTGAAGGCGAAACATACGGGGATTCTTGGGGTGTGCTGGATATCATTCCTCTGACGGACTTTCGTAAGTCAAGATGAACGATAAAACTGCAAAGGCGTTGCTAACGTGACTCATCTAGCCGATATCCGAAAACGATTCATCATAAAATCAAAGCACGGAACACTGATGATGATTCCACGAGAGAGAAAACTTGTTCGCGTCTATGTTGAGCTTCCACCCGAATCTGCCGAGAGGTATCGAGCAGAATGCAATGCCGATATTCTCATGGAACGTGTCGCAACTATCATGCAGCCCTATAGCATGAGCACAAGTCATATTGACTGGTCCACAATATATACCGTCAGTTCACCCCTATTTTCGTGTGCTGTGGTTTGGTGCAGGAACACTCGTGTTAACATCAACCAGGTCGGCCAACGCCTCTGCCGAAAGATTGGTCTCCACAACCGCATATTCCTTGCCGGAGACGCAATCCACACGCATTCCCCAAAGGCAGGACAAGGCATGAACGTCAGCATGCAAGATACGTTCAATCTTGGCTGGAAGCTAGCGTCCGTCATCAAGGGGGTGCTGCATCCACGCATCCTCGAGACGTACCAACAAGAGCGGCTGCCCGTTGCCGAACGACTCATCGCTTTAGACCAAAGAATCTGCCGAGGAATGTGCAGCCAGAGGAATGCCGATCCCGAAACGCAACACGGCCGGTTCGACGAGGATCACAAGCGAGCGCTTGAAGAGGAGAACTCTTCAATGTCAGGCTTGGCGGTCATCTACCAACCCAACTCTCTGGTTACCTCCACCGTTGCGGACGATCCCTTGGCCAAAGGCGTAGCGTCTTGTATCAGCAGACCCTCTGTGGCCGCAAACCTCCGAGTCGGCGCGCGCATTCCCAGCGTGCTGATCCTTAACCAAAGCGACTCGCAAGCATGCCATTTGCAACAGATTCTGCCGAGTACGGGACAATGGAATCTAATCGTTTTCGGGGGTGACATAGCACGCGCAGACCAGAAGAGCCGTGTCAACGGACTCGCAGCGGCCCTCGATGACCCCGAATCTGTGGTCCAGAAGCTGAACGATCCGGTCCGTGTGGCGCAACGAGGGTTTCCTACTATTGGTGTCTATCTCATTCACTCCGCGGATAGGCTCAGTATCGAGTTGAACGATCTACCGAAGATGTTCCGTCCGTGGACAAAAGATGGCGTGGACTATGGTAGGGTTTGGGCGGACGGCGAAGCCTACCACCATGCGGGCGGAGGAAAGTTGTATTCATCATTTGGGATCGAGGCCAAGGGGTGTATGGCATTATTGAGACCTGATCAGCACTTGGGATTTCTATCGGATATAGATGATGTGAAGGGGTTAGAACAGTTCCTGCAGTCGGTCATGCTAGAGGCGAGGCCTGTAACTTCATAACACAACTAGAAAATTGGAATGAATAAATTTTATATGGGCAATCCGATTTATCGAAGATTTGCAGTATCAAGTAAATGTAGATGAGCGTAAGCGTACCATGGCTCTAATCCAAAAGACTAATTCTGCAGACCAAAATCTTTAACCCGGTGGAGATACTCTCTCAAATGATTAGCATCTCTAGCCCCAACGGTTATCGCAGCATGACTCTTTAGTCGCGACTCATCATGGACCCAGCCACTAACAATCAAACTACCTTCCCGAATCTCATCCGCAAAAACTCCTTCAAACGTATCTCGAGAACAGAAGATATCCCCAGTAGTTAAAGCAGCTTCGAAAAAGCCTCGACTGGTAAAATGGCCCGTAAGAGGCCCCAAATGAAAAGTCCCAGTGACCCGAACATTGAGATCAATAACCATTTGCTCTCCAGTCGTTCGATTCGTCACAATATCGATACCAGCCGGGCCATGATACCCCTTGCGATGCAAGAATGTAGCGACTTTGTTCGTGAGCGCAGAAAAGGTCCTTTGATACTCTGCTTGCTGCCGGTAGGAGATCGATCCACCGATCCAATGCGAGTGTTCGTCGAATAATTGCTCGCAACAGGCAACAAGTTTAGGTTGTCCAGTCTTCGTGACGAAAAAGGACAAAGCCACCACAGGTCCGTCGATAAAGTCTTGCAACACAATTGAACAGGGATAGAGATGTTGGTTCGTGTGGTTGAGCTGCTGTAGCATGACTTCTAACTGTGTTATAAGTAGGGCCTTTACCTGCGCTCGATCGGCTTCCGATATGATTGCGAAGGTGCCCATCCCCGAAATTGACTGGGGTAATTTGACCATGAACGGGACAGCGTGTTGATCAATTGCATCTGTCATTCGTGCTGTCTCTTTCGCAAGAACACTAGGATCTTCGTATTCAGCAAGCAAGGTATCAATCACCCGAGACGGCGGTGTTGGTAAACCGGACACGGCCAGACCGCGCTTTGACAAGATCTCATAGTGAGTTTCCGGGGAGATAAGATGAGGTAAGTGCGATAGACAATCTGTGGGCAGAAGAACCGCAATCTTTGCGTCCAAGCCCAACTCTATGCTGTCCGGGCTCTTCGCAAAGCTCACGGATGGCTGTTGGTCCGCCTGTAACTGGGCGAACGTTCGGTAGAAGTCAAGATGATGGCCGGGCCTGTGATCGGCTTCTTGGGAGCATTTGGAATTTTTGCCCCCAGGTTGCCCCGGTGCAATGAAATCCAGGATAACAAGAGGCATTTTGCCCGCCGAAAATGCGTATCGTTGCGGTACCATATTGGCCGCCATCGCCAGTGATGACGTCGCGACTTCATCCTCTTCCTCTACCCTGTACCCATAGGCAAACTTTGCTTGTGTGCCCTCATTATTGTGTCCGAACTGAAGAGGGTAATATATCAAGACTGTGTTAGGGTCATCATTGGAGTCGGCTGAGTACAGATCGCGGAGAGTATAGTCGAGAATGATCGAAGATGAGGGATTCATTCTTTACCAAGACAGCACTGTGTGAAAGACGTTGTGAAACAAGGTCCAGGAATTAATCAAAACACTGGAGTTGAGTCTTCGTCAAGACCCTAATGCATGGACGTCTTCGGTTTCCGGTTTCGGCCATCCTGACGCGATCATTCCGGCCCGTTCCACTGTTCATACCCGAGATATCTGACGGATTCATTAAATGGATTTGGAATTTTCATGATATTAATACTACCTCAATCGAAGGTAATTCGAGACTTTGATCGGGGCCCGACCAGATAAACTAACATGACTATACTCAGAACGTTTAGACTTGTAAGAAAGTTTGGTCAAATCGAAAAGCACTTCGAGCCCATCTACTACGCTTCTAATCCCAGTGCCTCCCTCCGAGAAATTGAGTTCGGGTCGTAGAATGGTCTCTCTCCGAGTGAGACGACTCTGTTCCCAACTCGAGAACCCTGGTAGTCACTATCCCATTGTCAGAAGAGGTTTTCGATCAAGGTTGTTCACTGTGCTCTACTTACTATGTTGCAGTATGGAATACCGAGCGGCTATTTTATGTTAGATTATATTTAACCGACAGTATCATGTTGAGGCATAGGATTGGTACGTACTTGTCCCATATGGCGATATCGTTCTCGCTCCAGCGAAAGCGCACCTGGAGATCGTGATTCTCGGAAATCAATTTCAAGACTGCGTAGGAAATTCCTGATTAGCCAAGCTAAATGCCAAAAGGTTCGACAGGAAGAATTTACAGTAGGATTTTAACATCTCGCTTTCATATTCTGTGACATCGTCAATCCAACCCGCACGGATCTGGAACCCAGCAGCGAAAAGACTCTTCCACCTGTGGAGGATTAGCAACAATGTATTGCGCCCTTTTATGACACGATCTAGATATAAGTGTAGGTCCTCTTACCCAGTAACAGGGTTGGTGCGCACAACAGGGCTTCATTGGCCTTTGTCAGTGACATACGTTCGGAAAATGTTGGAAACCGGATATACTCACTGGGAAACCTTGAATTCAACGCCACTATTCTCCGGATTACCACGATTCTCCGTAATAAGCTCCATGTTCTGGTCCCTCGCTGCATCATTGAACGCAGGCTGGTAGTGAGTGGCTGTCAAGCCTTCGGCGAATTTCTTCCATGCCGGGGAAAGTCGGTCGTAGGCCTCATATCCAGACGCCCAGAGTGTATCTCCTCCTGCATCTTCGGGGGGCGTGACAATTTTCAAGATGGCGTAGTCGGATGGCACGGGCTCAAAGGTGATACTGATATGGTCATTAGCCTAAGGGAATCGATATAATCAATATCAAAACAACCATTAACTTACTCGGAGTGCCATCCCTCACTTGCTAACCTCTTAGTGGTGGGACCACAGCGACCCTTGTACATCTTCTTATTCTGCTCAGATGACATGATGGTAACTTCATCATCTACCTTGCCGTCCTTATCAACTGCCAGGCCCCGTTTGCCGTTCGAAAGAGGGTGTTTGTGAAGGTAAGATGCGTCTGGTCTACCCGTCAGTTGTCCAATCTTGATAGCCAGCGTCTTTTGGTCCGTGATGTTCAGATCCTGATTGCGCAGGAATACCACCCCTCGCTGAGAGACTACTTGAATGTCAATGACTATAATTTCCTTATTTCCAATGGGAATACTGACCAGTAACACCCAGATCCCTGATTTTAGCATCGTCGTGCAAGATCTCGCTCAGCTGCAGTTTCGAGGAGAACTCCCGGCCAATGGCGGAAGTCAAATCAAACGACTCGTACTCATCAAGGGTCCCGGAGTACTTCAGAGGGCCAGGAAGCCTACTTGCAGAAATGGATTTGCTAGGAGTTCCATCACTCTGCGGGATTGGGTAGGCGTCAGCAGAAGGGGGTGCCATTGTTGGATTGAAAGGGAGGATATGCAGATGGGGAGATCGTGAAGGATGCTAATGGATGAAATTGTTCAATTTATTGGATTTGCTCATTTTCATCAAGAACGTCGCTATTGAATGCAACGTCCCATGCGCTGCTGCCATCGATGTCAAGACCCGAAAACGGAAACATCAATGAGCAGACCCACTGTATAGAGCCATCCTTTGGCGTTTCCCCACCTCTAATTTCGGGAAAGGTTTCATTCTTTTGAGAGCCAATTGAACTAGGAAACAGCTCTCCATTTGTTGGATGGTAGTCTCTGTCTCGAAATGTGTAGGAGCCGAACTCGGCTGATTCCTTCGTCCAGTCAACTTCGTTACTAGGAGCTTCAGGCGTTCACCTTGCTCCAGAATAGACAAGTCTACACAGTAGCGTTTCATTGGAGGTGCTAGGCTTCAGGTGACGGGGAACTATCTTCTCAGGTACCCCCTCTGGAGATATTCAAGAAGTCTTAAGTGGTCTAAGACAATCACACTTCAAGTCAACCATGCACTATGTAAAGACTTTTATCTAATCACATTTCAGCGAGCTGTAACCCCATAATTTAATCCAGGTTTACCCTGAATTTGGAATATTCTTTCGTCTGGTATTTCCATGATGAGTTTCGATAGCATTTGGTTATCTACGCCACGACTATTACGTACAGTCTCCCAAAAATAAGGAACCAAGATCAACGAATCCTCCTAACAACCCCAAACGCATAATATCCCAATGTCGACAAGCTCACCACAACCGAAAACAACGTAATCACGCCACCGGTGATAATGCCCTGTTCGAAGAACCCAATTCTCCGGCCCGCCTTCTGCCCCGTCCCAGGCAAAGGCGCCAACGCCGCATTCCAGACCATCGCGCTCTGCAAATTTGAACTACTCAGTGCATCGCGCACAAAGGTCGTGTTATTTGTCTCGTGTAGTATCTGTGGACGCGGGGTCTGCAGTAGGTTTGTCGAGTATCGAGTTTGAGAGGCGAAGGGTGTGTTGATGGGTATTTGTGGGCCAACTGTTCTCATCATTAGTGGTCAGAGAGTCCAGTAACGGAGGGTAGAACTAACTCAGCATATCTGCAGGGACATGATTAATCCAGGAAATGTGGGCGTCAATGAACTGAGTTAGATATTTTGCCGAGGATGGAGCAGCGAAAGCGTATGTTGCTGCTAACGGGGCCATGCTATCCAAAAATCAGTATATCGATATGGCAGAGGGTGCAATACAAAGACTCACGAGCTCCCGAAGTCAATTGCGTCGTCCAGACTCGTCACAGAATGAACATGCAGCACTTTCCCATTCACCTTCTTCAAGAGAGCGCTTTGCCTGCAGGATGTGATCCAACTTAGCCTCGAATTTCCGAATCTTCTCTCAATTGACACAGGGAAAAAGAGACCAACCGATCTAGAACCTCCACAACGCCCCATCCACTCCCCGAAACAACCACTCTAGCCCCTTTGTCCTTGAACGCCTGATCCAAGACCGACGTTCCGCTCGGCCTCGTCATTCTCGGATTTTTGGCTGCCTTCTCCGGCGCCAGATACCGTCCCGACTGCTGGATCACTACCTCAATGAAATCTTTCATTGCGAACTCATTCACGAGCACCAAGTCCGGTGAGTATGGTGAGCGGCCACCGAAAGCGAACCGCGCGGCGACGAGCTGCTCCGCGGCGTAGGATATATTCGCCGTGCGATCGACAACAGCGATGGTCTTTGCTGTTGGGTTGGAGGACAAACACTGCGATGTATGCGAAATTTCGGGTTGTAGAATAGGCAGCACCTGCGGGAGATTCAGGAAGGAGGCGTCTGGTCGCTCTTCGCTAATGCCAAAGGTATCTGCGTCCAGAGCAGTGGTGAGGATATTGCGTAGGAGTGTCGGCAGAGTCATGGTGGTTTGTGTCAACTGCACATCATGTCAGAAGCCACGAGTCATCTCACATATATTCTAAGCCGGTGAGACAGAGCTGCATTATGTGCTGTAAGCCTACCTCCACAATAACACAATTCCCCGCGGCCACAGCAGCGCTCAGCGCCGAAATCACTGAGAAGAACAGCGTATGCGTGCTCGGCACAATGTAGACAATTCCTACGCCACGCTTCCCTTCCAGATTGTCCTTCCCATTCGCAATGCGATACTCAACCTCCAAGTCCCGATCTAGATCGAGAGAAAGATAATGAGTCCGGAGTTCCTGCAGCGCGAGACAAATCTCCGCAGAAACTTCCTCAGCGGTATGCCCAGAGTCCGACCAAATAGATTTCTTGAGCTCCTCTACATGTTGCACGAGAGCTGATTGTAGGCGCTGGAATTGCGTTTGTCGGTATCGCGTGTTGTGGCAACGGCCGTCGATGGAGGCGGCAAGGAGCCGCGGAAAGGGATGTGTGGTTACCATTTTTGTCGATTTGTGAAGGTCGGGGTATGACTACATCGACTGATGGCTTGGTGCATAGTATTAAAAAGAGCTGGCAGTCGAGACCCAGCCTGGTAAGAGTATGTGGACATGGCCGGCGTGCGGAGATAGCATTGGCATCATACGAGAGCCGTCGGGATGTGGAGGAGACAGGAACAAGTGGTCCCGATTGGGGTCAGGAGCTTACATGGAGACATGGGTCCGATCAATACCCCGGAATATGATCTAGGTAGTAGTTGTGGTTCTCTGTCCCCAAGGCCTTCATCACTCCCCTCCCCTCATCTGGGTTCACTACCTGTCTAGTTTCCAAATCCTGCCCTCCCGCGCTGAACATAGCAAGCCCTAACTAGCACCACCAACCACCACAAAGATGTCTACTACCACTACCACCTCAACCTCAACTTCAACAACACCCCCATCTTCAATCTTATCCGACTACGCCCTCCACCACAGCGGCTCCGAAGCCCCCTCAGTCCCATCCCCGAACCCTCCCGCCACTCAAACCAACCCCCCAAACTGGCCCACCAACCACCGCCGAGTTCCGCCTTACAGACCTGTGAACCGGCAACAAGATCGCAATGAGAGACCGGCGGGAAGTAATCCGGCAGAGTTTGTGTTCATTCAGGCGATGTTGCATGGGGTGTGGTTGAATGCTGTAAGTTGATATCATTCGGAGAGACGGCGCAGAAGCTTACAGGGCATGTACTATCAGTCTGTTTCGCGATTATGGCGGTTTACAGGAGGAAGGATCAATGACAAAGTCTTTCATTATCAGGTTGGAGGGGAATGGTGATTTCTTTCTGTTAGGTATCGTGCGTTTGTTGGTTTTATAGGCATAGGACATCTATGGAGTGTGAATATGATCTACCTACTTTTTGGTTCAGTCTTAATGTTTTTTCTTTTGACAAGGAGAATGATGGCCATAAAACGTTACGTTTCCCCTACACACTTGTCTCGAGCCCTCTCACTCCACAAAGAACGTCATGATTCAATATTCTATCAGCCTCTATCCGTAGTCAGTGTAGTTACATCCATCCACCCCAGCACAGCCCACCGACATCAAATCTAATCAAGTACTCTCCCTAACACCCTCCATACCCCCCAACTCCTCCCCCAACTTCCTCCCCCCATCAAGCAAGACCTCCTCAGCCGGTAACAGAACATACAACATCCGCGCCCAAACGCCCTCCCCATTCGCATCAACACTCTTATTCCTCCACGCATGGTTCGTGCCCCTCTGTACCGCAACATCCCCGCGCTTCAACACCCTCGTCTCCCCAGAATCAAGCACAAGCTCGACCTCGCCCTCAAGCACAACCCCATAATCGAGGCTCTGGGTGCGATGCATCGGGCTCAACGCGTGCGGCGGCATGTCGACGATGCGACACACCGAGCCGGTTGAGATGACGAGTCCCGGGGGCTGGGATAGGTAGGAAGAGTACTCGGAGACGTCGGATTCCGAGGTCGGGATTTGGGACGGGTAGTGGGAGGTGGTGTAGGCGAGGCTGAAGTGCGCGGTGTTGGGGATCGGAGCGACGGGCATTTCTTCGGAGAGGGCGTTTGAGAAGATCGCTGTGCCCGTGGTGGGGTTGTGTGTGGTTATGTAGCGGGATAGAGGGCGGAGGGTTTTCTCGGGAGGGGCGGTGGTGGACATTGTGGTTGTTGTTTGGGTGGGTTGGTTTTGATTGTTTGAGGGTTGTAATGTAGAGAGCTATTTGGTTTGATAGAGTAAATGATTTGGGGGCTGGGTGAAGTACAGTTGGAATGGGATGGAAAGTATATACTGACTCCCGAGGGGTTCGAGTTCGGGACCACATCGGGTGCTTCGGGGAGGGGAGATGTGGGCTACAAACATAGGAACACTGTATGCGTGGACTACTCGGGTCGGACTCTGGAAGAAAACAGATGATCAACATGCACTACCATGGTCTATTCTATCGTAAACCCCATTCTACGCCCTCGGCGGAACAATCGGCAAAGTAACGTAGTTATCCCCGTGTCCGAAATTGATATGGTTCTGTCCCTGCAGTTTCTCCGGCGATCTATACAAGTCGGGTTAGTTATTGCATCAAATTGTTGGAACGAAGGAATGGGTGCATACCGATCAGTAGGAGAGTTATGCAGGAAAATTCCACTTCCCTGCGTATCGCCAGACGAGACCTCGAAGATGATCTTGCCGCCCTTTTCAACGACCACATTCGTCGGCCATACTTCCACATCAACGGGGTACACCTCGCCCGGGATCACTGGCAGCACGTCCGTCGAGTAGTAATCGCGATGAGGCAGCCAATCTCGATGGCGTCGGTGCTCGGTGTTCACCTTGCGCAGACTAACGCGCTGCCAGCCCTTGCAGAGAGGTACCGGATCGCCGGCTGTGCCAGTGTAGAAGACCTCCTTACCCTCCGGGGAGATGTAACGCAGGGTCAAGAACAAGTCAATATCCCTGGGCGTTGGAGCGCCCGGATCAGGGCTCATAGACACGTTAAGGTGGGCGACGATGTGGCCGGTGATTTCAGTCTCCTGCTCGAACGGCGCAGTCGTGAATTGGACGACTTGAGGATCATCAAGACTGCCCAGAGCGCGGTAGGTAATTTTGCTCAACCCTGTTAGCGGTCGCTCTGTCACAAGCTCCCTTCCAGGAGTGAGATAGTACGGCGTGTACTGTGTGCGAGCGATGGGCCATTCGTTCTCCACGCGGCGAGGGAATTGCTTCTCGGCCTCGGCGTTGTTGAATCCCACATCGCCTTTGCGAAGGACGAGGTCTACCTTTGGTGCCTCTCCGGTTGACCATCCGGCTCGGTCGTCCCCTTTCAGGAATGCGTCTAGGAAGCTGCGCTGAACCTCCACCTCCTCGCTGTAGTAGAACGGCAGGTCATGGCGGCCGGTGATGAAACGGAGGTATTTGAGCTCACTACCGGCCTGCTTGTATCCTTCAACGTTTCCACGTAGGTGCAGAAGAATACCGCCCCAGTTGGCAACCGAAAGAAGAGGGACCTGCGTTTGTCAGCTTAGTCCACCGACAACTCGGAGTCATGCTCACCTGGATATCCGACATGGTGTATTCCTTGCTGGCGTAGTAGGTGTCATCGCGGAACTGATTGTTGGCATTGTCAATTGTCTGGTCCTGTCGGTTGGCTACTAGCTCCTCTTCCGGAAGATCTCCCTCAATAGTATCAACACCCCAGTTGCGCGCTGCACGACCCGGACGACCATACTGGTTCGAGACTACCTGTCGGTCCCACCAGAACTTGATGAATGCGTTGCTTAGAATGCCCCCATGACGACAACGATCCCGGTAGTAGTCTGGTCCATGTCAGCATAGTTCACCATAGGTCATCAGAGAACTTACCCGACATTCCCTCCCAGGGAACTATACACGCGAGTCCCTTGGGGGACCTCGCCGCAACTCTCCACTGGCTTCCAGCATAGTAAGAGATCCCGAGCAAACCAACCTTGCCTGTCGACCACGGCTGATCCGCCGCCCATTCGACAACGTCAAAGAACGCCTCGCTGGTCTCGCGGGACATGGTATCCAACTTGCCGCGAGACTGGCCGGTTCCGCGCTCATCGGCCCGCACGATGGCATATCCATGTTTCGTCCAGAACCCGGGGTCTGGGGTTTCCCAGGCCGAGTGCTCGGAGTGATGTTCGGGATTAACCTCCTCGAAGGATTTCGGGTGGAAACTATAGGCTCATGTTAGAGGCACACTCGCGTAGTTCGAAACACTCGCAAAACTCACTCCCGGTAGGGGATGTCCTTGCCATATGGCCCGTACGTAACAAGCACAGGCACCTTCTCTACATCTTTAGGGCGATAAACGTTGCATCGCACCAGTCCCGATTGATCTTTTAGGGCAATAGTGACATTCTGCTCGAAGATGTAGGGGAAAGAAGTGTCATCGCGCGTGGCGAGGTCTCGAACGGGATTCGGCATGGTTTCTCAATAACCTTGAGCTAATTTGCCAATTTCTCAAATAGATACGATTTACGCAGATAGAACTATAAATAAATGCCCTTCGCGTGGACCGTGGCGGATAGAAAGGACATTTCCCCCTCCCACGTGGAGCCGAAACAGTGCCGAGGGGACGACGCAATCCGTTAACTCCGCATCTTGCTCTCCTGCCGGACGAAGGCGGACGAAGGCTATCCACAGTCCTATGTATAAATTCTTAGCGTAGGATCTTTGAGACGGAGTCGCTAAATAGGATTCCCCTTCGTTTCATCTTCAACTCTCTTCCATCATGTGTAGCAACGATACAAACGGTACGGCCTCGAAAGGCCTGCGCATCCTCATCGCAGGTGCAGGGATTGGAGGCCTTTCGGCTGCTATTGCCCTGAGGAAGAATGGCCACCACGTTAAAGTGAGTGTTGTCAATGAAGTAGAATTGATGTACGTCACACTGACATTTCAGTTGCTTGAACGGTCTCGGTTCGCCAACGAAATAGGCGCCGCTATCCATCTGTCGCCAAACTGCAATTCAGTACTCCAGAGGCTCGGTATTGATGCTGCGCAATTTGGAGCCGTGGAGACAGAAAAGGTATGCAGTTTCTACGGATATATGTTCGATGCTAATGCTCCGTAGCTACGTACCTTTGCGCCATCTGGCGAGCCCATTGAGGACGTCAATGTCAAGAACTACGCGGGTCTATGGCGATATGTGGGTAGCCCTAATGGATTGAGAATATAACTACCAGATGTATGCTGACCAAACAGCCCTGGCTTCTGGTCCATCGTGCACATCTTCACGAGAACCTAAAAGCTGCTGCCTTAGCGGTAGGATGCGAATTAGTCACATCAAGTAAAGTCGCCGATATTGACCCTCATAACGCCACCATTACTCTGGAAAACGGAGAAACACTCAAGAGTGACGTGGTTATTGGAGCCGATGGGGTCCATTCGGCGGCGAGATCCAAAGTGAGCGGGGCCGGCAATATCGTGCCGTTCAGCTCAGGGAGAAACGCATTTCGGTTTCTGATATCGCGCAAGGAGGCGATGGACGATCCCGAAACCCGAGACATTTCTTCCAATCTCGGTGCGGTCGATATGTTTGATTCACCCGAGAGACGCGTGGTAATTTATCCCTGTGTTGACAATGAACAACTCAATTTCGTTTGCATTCACCCGGCGGAAATGTCCGCCGTCAACAAGGACGCCGACTGGAACCAGCAGGCCAGTAAGGACTCCCTACTTGAAGTATACAAGGATTTCAGTCCCAAGGTCGTGAAGCTGCTAGCCAAAGCAGATCCCCAAACCCTGCGGGTCTGGCCCTTGCTAGACATGGACACTCTACCATCCTGGGTAGAGGACCGAATGGCTCTCCTCGGTGACGCCGCGCATCCTTTCCTACCGTACCGAGGGTCCGGCGGGGGAATGGCCATCGAGGATGCCATTTCCTTAGCGGTAATGCTACCAGGCGATGTTGATCCTCAAGAGGTGCCGGAGCGTCTGAAGCTCTACGAAAAAGCACGATACACTCGCGCCACGAGAGTCCAACAGATGACGCGAGATTCCTCCCATGGACCGTTGCCTCCAGCTGAGTGTATGTTTTGTCGCCTTTTGTCTCTCAGTTCCCACTGACATCTAATCCAGCCCAAGCCATCACTGGCTATATCTATGGACACGATGAGTTTGACTATTCGACTCAGATTCTGCGCAAGCATCTCTGGAGTCGGACTCCGCAAAAGTACTGGCGTCAACCTACCGTGTTCGGTCCCATGCCCGGTCCCCGTCAGGACTTTCAAGGTCGTGACCGGGCTAGTCAGTCATTGAAGTCCACTTTCCAAACGGCATCGATCCGCTTCAAAACCAGCCGCACTCTTCTCCAAAACCTTCTTCCCAATGACTCATACAGCTTCAGCAGTCCCAGCACCTACGCCTATGCTTCCTTCTCGCAGACAAAGCTTGACCGTATGGACTGGCTGGCCGGAGGAGGGTATCGTCACCTTGGACTGTACATCGAGGGAGTACAGTACAAGAAAACCAACGGCGAAATCGTTCGAGGAACGTATATGCCCATTCTGTTTGAGAATCTGGCAGACCCGATTCTCTCCGGCAGGGAAGAGCTGGGAATGCCAAAGCTATTTTCCACTATCCATGCACGTGAGCGTGCCCAGTCATATCACGTGGAAGCCGGCTGGGAAGGCGTCGTTTGGGGACGTTTTCACTGGGACGAACTAGAAGACGAGGACTCGGTTAGTGACGCGGGCACGATCGGAGGTGAGCCCAGCGACGGAATTTTCGTGCATCGCTATCTCCCCAAGGTTGGTCGGGATTGCAAAGGCGAGCCGGAGGCCGAGTATCCTGTTTTCGTGCCGCATGCAGAGGAGTCGAAATGGGTGCCATCCAAGGTCACTCGCGTACGTCGGACAAAAAAGGCCGGATTTCAAATTGACGGATTGAGCTGGGATCTACTTCCCACCTTACACCATGTGATTGACAGACTTGGAGAAATCCCCGTGGACGAAATCGTTTCGGGGAAGGTGGTGGAGGGAGAGGGAGTATCCGATGTGTCTTGCGCCAAACGTCTGGAATAGACTAGATTCGGCTCTTGTAGAGACGTTGAGAGTGCAGTTATGTCACGAAATTTGCCGATTTACGCCATGACGTGGCCAAAGCCCCAAACGAAGCTCGGCACCTCTCACGCACGCACTCATCTTTTCTCGTGACGAGGTGCTTGGCATGATGTATATAATATAAGCCACTTCGGCCATCCATAGTCTTGATTAGTAGGAGGAGATTTCCGCAGCCACTTCGACCTACAGAAAATGACTACATTTATACAGACTCGACAATCCTGACGCCCCATGTGACCCGACTTGGATGCGAGTCAAGCGTCCAAACAACAATCCACCCTCCTCTAAGCACTAAAGACGCCCTGGACCGGACCCCGGTCGAATATGGGCCACGAAAGTCCAATGGGATACGCTGGGTTGAGGCTGCGGGTTAGTGGCAGACTTGGGTACGATTGTGGGTGGAGGGAAGAGGGAGCTAGTGTTGGGTAGCGCCCATCCACGACGAGTCAGTCCCAGCATTCCTATTTCGAGCGGATAACGAAGGGGGGAAGAGGAGGGGAAAAGATTGTTGACATTGGGCCATGGGCCATGACTGAAACGCTTAATAGCGCTAATATAGCCCGGGGTGTTCTTTTCCAACAAAACCGGAAATCAGCGACGGCGGACGGGAAAAGCATCTCCAAATGTACCTCTGAAGCAACGGACAGAATGGCAAGGCAAAAACCGCAGAACAATCGGCTCGGTTGTATGTAACGATGTACTTTTGTGCTGCTTTAGTTCCCGGAAGCTGCTCGCCCCGACCGTAGCGAGCTGTAACTAGCTCTTTTGGACGAGCTGCCCGCACGAACTGGTCGTTGCGGCTTGAGGAGGGAGCTTGGCCGACTGCCTAAACGGGCCGGAGATCGCCGAGACTAAAGCAGTGCGCGATGATTGTGGTTAGCCAGGATGCGTTGATTAAATGGGACCGAGTCACCCAGTACAACGACTCTGATCAATGATCCAGAGAAATGAAGGAGAAGAGAAAGAGAAGGAGGAGGATCCGCGGGTTATCGATAAGAAAGGCTGAGTCATCCGGCAATCTAGACCCCGGCAGAACGACGATGATTCTAGAAGATGGCCACTTGGAATCAACAATCAACAATCAACAATCCTCCACAGGATGCGCCGGATTCCTCCTACGGTAGACCATCTCCCAAGGGACATGCCATTCGACTAAATATAAACCATCCCGCTAACCCCCAAATCCGTCCGGTACTACTCATGCGATGACGAATGCGGGTACCTAAACGGACGTCACACCTTACCTTTGGCTCCGCCCGCACGCTTCGCTCTGGTCCGAACTAACTTCACGCTTCATCTTCGTCTTCTCTCCTCCTCGTCGTCGTTCTCCTTTCTCTCCTGCCATCTTTACTCCTGTCTCCTCGGTTATCCCTCTCTGTCCTTCTCACCCCTCTGTCGCCTCTCCTTCTTTGCCCGATCTATTTCTAATCCTGCCTCTCCTCCCGGCCTCCTCGCTCGCTGTTCAAAACTTAGGAACAACAATCTGCACATCCTCTCATTGTTCACCATCTCGAATTTCCCATCGATCCTGTCCCGTGTATACTAAACCTCCATCGCTATCCGTTCTCGCTTTCTGTTATTTTTCTCACCCTCTTGGCTTCTTTGGTTTCGAGTTGAAATCATCCCCGCACCTACCGTGAAAACACGATGTAAGTGAGCGGCGCAATGGGTCAGCATTGTCATCCTCCGAAGCTGACACCTTTTTTCTACCAACTAGGCGTATTACCGTGAGCGTTATCCGCCCCGATCAGGCCGACTCCGACATCATCTCTCTCGAAGTTGGTGGGGACATGACGGTCGAGTTGCTCAAAGCCATCGTCGAGAGCGAAACGTCTATTTCCCCCACCGATCAGCGCCTCGTTTACAACAACCAGCTGCTCAGCGACGATGCACGCACCCTTGAACAAGTTGGGATTGGCGAAGGAGACATGCTTGGTGTCCATGTAACACTCAGGACCCCCCAAGCACCTGCCCGCACGGTCGGGGGTCCCAGCGCTCCATCCTCCGCAGCGGCCCAGCAGAATCTCCAGCGGCGACAGGCGATGACCCCCGACCCGGAGACCATCCGCCTCCATATCCTCGGTGATCCGCGCGTGCGCGAGACTGTCCGACGCCAGAACCCAGAATTGGCAGATGCTGCCCAGGATCCACAGCGTTTCCGTGAAATCTGGCTCGGACAAAAAAGGTGGGAGGCTCAAAGGGAGGCGGAGAAGGAAGCACGGATCGCAATGCTGAATGCGGACCCCTTTAATCCCGAGAACCAAAAGGAAATCGAGGAGATCATTCGACAAAACGCGGTGACGGAGAACCTCCATAACGCGATGGAACATCATCCTGAATGTGAGTTGGTCCGCTTTTCGAACAAAGGAGATGGCCCCTCGAGCTAACCGAGCATCCCGTAGCGTTTGGCCGCGTCAACATGCTGTACATTCCCGTCGAAGTCAACGGTCACCGGCTGAACGCCTTTGTCGACTCAGGAGCTCAGGTGACCATCATGTCTCCCGAGTGTGCAACTGCGTGCAACATCATGCGGTTGGTGGACCAGCGATACGGAGGAATTGCCAAGGGTGTCGGGACGGCAACTATCCTCGGTCGAGTACACTCCGCCCAAATCAAAATCGGTAGCATGTTTCTCCCCTGCTCCTTCACCGTCATGGAAGGCAAGCACATCGACCTGCTTCTGGGTTTGGACATGTTGAAGCGCCACCAGGCGTGCATCGACCTCAAGAGAGGCGCTCTTGTCATCCAAGATCAGGCGGTCCCTTTCCTGGGAGAAGCCGACATTCCGAAACATCTACAGGAAGAATTCGAGGACGAGCCGTTGATCAGAGGTCCCGACGGCGCCGAAGTCGGCGCTCGCACAGGGGCCGTCACGCATCAAGCCGGTGGAGGTCAAGGCTCCAGTGGCGCTGCTGCTGGCCCATCATCCTCAGCCGCCGCCTCCTCGTCAAATCCCGGCATCAACATCCGCCCAGCCGCGGGGCAATCATCTCGCTGGCCGCAGGACTCCATCGCGAAGATCACCGAGCTAGGATTCACACGGGAAGAAGCGACGCGCGCATTGGATGCCGCCAACGGCGACCTAGACGGTGCCATTGGATTCCTGATCTGATTCCCTCCTTCCCCTTCCCCACCCGGGCGGCTTTGTACCTATGTATCCGAGCTCTTAGTGACGTATGACGAAACTCTCAACCCTTGATTTTGATCGACGAGGCGCAGTAAAGAAAGAAAGACAGCAATTTGCTGTTTGGTTACGGCATGCTTCACTTTCCCGTGCCGAGGCCGTTGGCTGATTGCATCCTCAACTAAAAGGGACTTACGGAGCTAAGTCATTAGCTAGCTTATTAGGCTACCCTTGGTTTTCGGTCACCTGCATTATTAGAGGCGTTTACATGGCGTGTATATTTCCTTATATATTATTTCTGCCTGTGGCGTTTGGTTTTAGCCATATTCGGGTTTCACGTCGATCCGTCCAATGCAATGTGCTATCATTTTTGAAAAAGTAGATCTTATGCTCGATCTAGACCAAATGCCTACAAGTACGAGTATTCCACAAACCCAAAATTTGAGAAATGATAATCAATGGCCAATTGTCCGAGAAATATAGGTATCTCTAAATACGTAGACCAAATAGTGACATGACATCGTAAATCCAACCAACATCATGTATATGTACCTCATCAGGGCCAAAAGATAATCCACAACGAACCGCAGATAGGGAGACAAGTTACTCGCGTTTGTCACGTTTCGACTTTGACAGGATCTGTCGCCGCAGTCTGAATATCATATCCAATGCGATGAAACCGCCTACAGACACACAGAAACATGTTGTTAGCGCATCACTCCGACAAAACAAAGGGCAAACGGGTAGGGATGGCGAGACGGCGACAGAGGGGAATGGTAACCTACCAAGCGCTGCATACGGGGTATACAACATGGACAGCTGCTGCTTCTGGCTGACGGTGCGATCAGTCCAGCCCCACATCTCAATGAGGCAGACGATGGTGGTGACAAAGGACTGGATTCCGAACGCGAGGAGGTGGACAGGGATCATGGGGTCATCTACAGTGGATCATGCGATGCGTTAGTGATCCGGATCATCTAGCGATGCCACGTAAATTGCATTCCATCATGCCATTTATCTTGTCAACGGCTGGTGACCGAGGCCAAAACAAGAGAAATATGACTAGGATATGCGCAGGTTGCCGTACCTTTCCACAGCGCCCAGACGGCCCAGATGCTCAAGGGTCCGTGGTAGTAGAGTTCCATGTACGAGAAGAACTGGAACCAGGCGGGCGGGGTCTCCGTGAAGAACTTGTCCTGGTAGTTGCGGAAGTAAAAGTCGCGGACATCGTAGGAGAAGTTGAAGGTCAGGAAGGACGGCTGCAGGTGCACAGTGTCGACCACTGATGGGTAGATGGGTAGTTAGTTAAGACTTCGCATACAGATAGCATTCAGATCATAGGTTGAGCGGGGTGGTTGGTATAGAACCAGGTCTCGACTCACAAAAGACGATGGGAATATGGATAGCGAAGAAGATGAAGTAGAACAGATCGCGTTTACGATTCCACAGAGAGAGAGTGGTCGAGGCCTTTGGGGAGCCCATGGTGACGGTGTGTAACTTGACTTGGGTAGATCTTGTCAAACTTGAGCCCAATGGAAATAATTATTTAAATGCTGAAGGTGGGAGGGAATGAGAGAGACAGGAATGTGGAGAGAAAGCGGGAAGACGATCGGCAGGCAACGTGACAAACAACAAACAATGCAATCACGCGGTCAGGTGACTGGGAAGCAAACATCCACGACGCCATCGCAGAAGCCAATTCAGCTTCCTTCCGCCTCGATGGCCTGACATCACCCGAGAAAGAAAAAGCAAAGGGAACAATCCGACAAGAATCTCGGAAATCTCCGCCAGACCCAAGATGCTGGAAAGCTAGGGGAGGGAGGAGACAGCATGTTTGCTTTTTTTCTGGTCCTTTCAGACTTTCGCCCTCGGAGCTGCAAGGCCAGTCCTCGTCTCCCCCTAAAGATAGCTTAAGCTTAGCTGCGTGGTGGAACTCTGGGACGGACTCCGCGAGTCGGGTAAGTTTAGCCTTAGTGTGAACCAAGGCTCAGGGCTGCCAGAAGCAATGCTAATCCCTTTCGTTGCTTTTTCCTCTTCAAGGCTTATCAAGCTTCTCGTTCTCATCGATCTTGCATCATACTATCCTTCGATCTGCCCATGCCGGAATCTTTGGGATTATTAGCATCGTCAGATCGTCACCCTCATTATATCATACCTGCCAGTCCGAACGTTGCTTGTAGCGAACGTTTCTTGCCGACCGGGTAACTACACCGTACACACCCACACCGTCTTACATGCTCAGCCTGAGATCCTGCCCGATTTTGGGTCCCCCTCACCGCAACTCTGCCTGTTCCCCCCCTTGACCTTGTCGCTGGAAGTTTGTGGTGCAAGAAGAAATCACGGGCAAGAATAAAAATTTTGCCCCCTCCTTTCTCCCCTCCAATTGACTAATGATGACAGCCTCCTGGGGCTGATCTGCTCCACCCCCCCTCCCCCTTCCCTATGGTGGACCACCAGCCTCTTTCCCGGTCTGGGAAATAAACCAACTCCGTTTTTCTCCAGGAATATCCAGATTACTGCAAGGAGCAAAAGCAAATATCTCTCCGTACTCAATCTTCTTATCTATCTACTCCGTACTTCGTATCCAATCCGCCAACTCTCCACCCATTCAATCTTTCGGAGGTTGATAAAGCGAGTACGGGAATCATTGATCTCACCATATGCATAACAATCGGTGTATCAGGTGTGATTCAAAAGTACGGGATGCGCGGGACTTCCTGTCGGCTTGTCACTTTCTTTTCCCAATCTAATAATTTGGGCCGGTTGTCTTTGGAATCCACTGCGACAAGCCACGGGAAGATTGCATACTAGCGCCAGACTATTACCGAACCACCGTCATTAATCTATCACATAGCGCGCATCGATGGGACTGGTCTCCTGCTTCCCTTTAGTCAACCCGGAATAACACGACTCGCGGTCTCGCTCCCGATGGGTACCTTGGATGGTCCTTTCCCCGGAGCGTTTGTTTGGGGCCAAACTTGACCGCTGCTACAGGCTACAGCGTAGTGCCGATTTACGAGCCTCCCCGACCCAATAGCTCTTCCGTCGGTACGGAGTAAGCTGCCAGCCACTGCCGTTACCAGCTGGGTGCCAATCTTGCGAATCCTTTGGCCAAGACAGGGAATCGATTTCGTAAAAGAATGAAAATCCACCAAAGAACTTGACGTGACGCCCAAAAGTCAAAAAAAAAGTTCAAAAAATGAAAAAAAATCTTACAGACAGGAAGAGGCTTTACAACTTACAACCCAGTGATGCAGTGATGCAGTGACATAGTACTCCCGTCAATAGGAGGTGAATCAACACGGCACCCGAGACACTGTCCCGAAGCTATTGCCAATCTTTGTGGCATTGTGGCCAAATTGACAGAGAATTTCCGTCAATAGGCCGGAAATTTTTATTCCTTCAGTCGTAGCTGCAATTCGACTCCTCCAGTCCAGTCCTGCTGGAGGGCTTCTGGGCCCCTTTTTTTTCCTCGTCTTTTTTTTTCTCTTCTTTTTTCTTCTACCCCTTCTTGATTTACCTACTCGGTGGGCCTGGATATGCAGGCTGCAGTTTGACCGGGTCGCTGGGAGCATCATTGTACATCATCGGACCAATTCTTCCAAGTGGCTTCGTTCGAGGCTTCGATGGGCCTTCGAAACGGCCGTGGAAACATTCCATATTCCTTCTGGGGTCATCTACTAAAGCCCTTGGAACGCTAATGTACCTCTGTGGGGTACCCTGATAAACGGGCTTTGGGCCGCTTTTCCGAAATGATTATGAACGTCACCAGAGTCTTGGCTTGCAAGCAATCGCAGCCGCTACCCTTTTGGCCGCTCCGCTCTTGGGGCGAATTGGCTGTTGCATAGGGATGTTGCTTGAGTGGAAGCCCGCTAGGAAAGAGACATCCATGTGTGCGACTTTACGGAGTAGACTTTTTTTTTCACACCGACGTTCGTATCTTTTGACACGAGCCAAATTCTCAAGAAAACCCATGGATGGTATATCGAGGAAGGGCCGTGGTGACCCCCTTGGTCCCCCCTTGTTTTAGGTGTCTACCCCGAAGAGGCACATTGGTTGGGATCCTTGTCGAATGAGTCTATCGTGATCGAGCATACGGTAAAACAGGGATATCATTCCCGAGGGCGGAGAGCAAACTGTCTTGGGGAGGTTAAAAAAAGAACACAAAAAACAAAAACGCTACAATTATCTTGTTGGACAGTGAAAACGGAAAAGAGACAAACAGATTTCTGCCAATGTTGTACGACATGCATTCGCATTGTCGACAATCGATCAGTCCACCAGCCGGAGGCAAGACCAGGCGCTGCAATGCTCTTCGATTATTGGATTGCAGGTTACATAACGCAAAAATAGTCGACGTACAATTGCAGTAGGACAAGCATGATCCAAAAAGAAATCAGGCCTGGAACCCGGGAGTTTTTGACGCCTTCCTACGGTACTCATCGCCTGATGCAAGGACGGACGATGCAAGATAGCAGGGCTACTGATGGCTGCAGCTGTCGGGCGACTACTGCAACTCTCATCTTCCGCGATCCAACATGGACCTATTACCCGGTTCGAAACAGACTCAAGGTTAACGATATTGGACCAACGTGCATGGTGCATGGGCTCCACTTCCCTGGTCTCTTACACTCGCTCGGCTTCTTATCGTTCGTCCGGGTTGCGCCAGATTGAGCGGTGAAACCGCACCAGAAACAAATGGAATACATCGCGACGGCCGATGAGCCAATCCGCCGGATCACGCCGGGAGCAGGAAGAAGACTGTGCCCACGGCTTGTTTGGTTTGGTTCTAGGGATATCTTGCTCGCCATGAGGCAGAGGAACTCGGTCTACTGAGGACTCAAGTCCACCTCCCTCCCGTTCCTTCTTCCGCTTTGTCTTGGGGAGTGTTTTCCCCTTGGTGCGGGAGCTATATCTAGGTGGATATCGGTACATTGGGCCCTTTTTTTTTCTTGCTTGACCGCTTCTCTTTTCCCTTTCTCGAATTTTTATTTTTTGTTTTTGATTCAGGTCATTTTTATTTTTAATTTTAAAAAATTTTTTTTTCTCTCCGCTACGTCTCTCTTCGCCTACCGATCCTGACTGTCGGTTCTCTTCTCTTTCACCCTTTTGGAACCAAATCCCATCGGTCAATCTCGTCTCTGAGTGGCCCGCGGAGCTGCCGGCGCCCCTCCCATACACCATATCCCTAAATCCTTACGATGCTCTAACCTGTCGAAAGCCGTCCAAAGACCGATTCTCACCCCCTGTCGTAATGACATCGAGAAAACGTTTTTGTCTGCCATGAATAGTTTGGCGCATCCCCAGCGCGAGTTCGCCGCACCGGAGATGAAAGGGATAGTCCTATTCTAGCGAAGTCCCCGTTTGGTGCCAGTCTATTGGTGCCGCCATGTCTATCATCCACTCGCCTAGGATTCCTGCCTCAAACAAGTCCTACCTATTTTATTTTATTTATTTGTTGGGGTTTTATTTATTGATCGCATCAATGCGATGACGGAGTAGTGGAGGCCGTCTTCATCCTTATTTATACTCCTCGTCTGCCTCATCTAAGTAGCTTTTTTTCTTCTTCCTTTTCATCTTCATCCAATCTTCTAAATCTTGCTCTGCCCTCGATTTCTACTTTGTTTCCTTAGAACTAAACATCTCTTTGTCCATTTGCTCTTCCTTTGTCAACTTCGGCTTGGTCAAAACCCACCACCTCTATCACAAAGCAAAATGCCATCATCTGCCCCCGTCTTGCGGCCGAAGAAGGCCCAGCCTGTCAATGCGCACAAGGAGGAGGAACCAATCAGCTATGACATCAACATCCCTTATGTCGATGTCAACAAGCAGACCCAAGCGCGCACCAGATACCCCGAATACCTACCGACATGGGACAAGATCTGGTTTGACCCGTTGACGCCTTTCACCTACGAGGATCCCGCCCTGCGTGTCAAGGATAAGTCTAAGCGCAATTTGTTGGGCCCTGACGCCAAAGTGACTGAGATTCAGCCGCGCATGGGCAGCATTGTTGAAGGTGTGCAATTGAGTCAACTCACAGACGCCGCTAAGGACGAACTGGCCCTGCTGGTTGCGGAGCGCAAGGTTGTCGCATTCCCCGAACAAGATCTCATTGATGCCGGACCGGACGCCCAGGAGGCCTTTATGCGCCACTTTGGCAAGCCCAACTACCAGCCCGTTTCTGGCACTGTGCGCGATCACCCTGGCTTCCACATCATCCACCGGGATGGTAACCGTGAAGAGATCTCGCGTTTCCTGGAACAGCGCACCACGACGACCCTTTGGCATCAGGACGTCAGCTACGAGATCCAGCCTCCTGGCTATGTCATGCTGGGTCTTTTGGAGGGTCCTGAAGTTGGAGGTGATACCGTCTTCGCTGCGACTGATATGGCCTACAAGTAAGTTTCCGCAGATACGGTCTTCTCCAGCCAATATTGAAGCTAACGGTCAATCCAGGCGTCTCTCTCCCACTCTCACGTCATGGCTCGACACTCTGCGCGTGACCCACTCATCCGCGAAAATGATCAACCACGCTCGCTCAACAGGAGGTCTGGTGCGCAAAGACCCCGTTGACACCACCCATCCTCTCATTCGTGTCCACCCCGTTACCGGCGAGAAGTGCATTTTCATCAACGGTGAATTCATCACCCGGATCCACGGCCTCAAGGAGTCTGAACAGCGGTGGCTCGTCGACTTCCTCATGCAGCACATGGTCACCGGCCATGACTTCCAGGCTCGCGTGAGATGGCAACCCAAGACAATTGTCATCTTCGACAACCGCTCCACTCTCCGTATGTCTTAATTCAATCTCTCCCAAAGAGCTGACCGAAAAGCTGACCGTTCTAGACTCCGCCATCGTCGATTATCTGGACGATGACTACGGCGCCAAACTCCGCCACATTTTCCGCCTCACTGCGCTAGGCGAGAAGCCGGTTCCGGTTTACGACCAATTTGAATAGATTGGTTCAGACCAGTCTACTCTTCACGATCCGCCTCCGTTCTGATTCAAATTCATTTCGCCCGGTTTTGATCAAGCAAGCGTCATTCACGGAGTTTTTCCCTTTTTCAATATTCTTACTTAATTTGTTTTTTCCTGTTTTTTCCTGTTTTTTTCTTTTTTTTTCTTTTATTTTTTTTTATTTTTTTTTATTTTATTTTATTTTTTTTTTGCATATGCCACATCCAATTTGTCGAACGGCTTCCATCCTCGGGGATTAAAAGCAATATTTGACACGCGGCTCAGATTTCCTTCTTCACTCATACCTTGCATTCATGGATATGACATGTCGGATCGGCACGCGGGCGTTTTTGTTTCCATTTGGATCGCCATCATTCCATTTCCAGGGACCCGGGACCGTCATTTCTGCTTGGCTGCTTTCCATTTATTTGCTTTTATTACTTGCTTGATTGATTGATTGCTTCGTTTGGTTTGATTGATACCTTGGCACGGTTGGTACATAGAACGGTTGGATTCACATCCTCATTTTGTTTTTGGTTGGCTTCGGGTGGGTTTATTTTGATTTATCCAATACGGTAGATCACTTCATACTCGTACCTTGCCTTGTTGACTTTTTTTGGTTTCGCTAATAGACTTGCTAATTCGGTTTTTGTTTGACTGTTTGTTTGTGTGTTTTTGTTTTCCAGGCTCGCCTTTTACATTTTCATCTCCTGGTGCTCTCTTTTCTTTCTGTGCCTGCCCTACATGAACCTACTGTGTTGGTCAAGTGTGGTGCCATCTTTACTATTTACTTATTTATTACACTTAATCTATGATGAGATGAAACATAGATTTCGGTACCTCCGTTAGAGCAGAAGCTGTAGAACGTACGGAAACTTTATCTGTCGACTAGCCTAGATCCCACAATTCTAATAATACTAGGTCCAACATACATCTTACTGTAGACAGTCAACGCCCAAGTCAAGCCACAGCATTTAGGGCCTTCAGCTGATAGAGTACTCGCTTATTCCTGGCTGGGCTGAGCTGGACACCTGATCAACTGGATCTTTCCTTCCTGTCCGTAACCAACTCTAATCTGACCGCTTTTCACTAAATATAGGTCGAGTCTGTTTAGTATGGTGTGAGTTCAGCTGAGCCATATTCAAGCCACAGCAAGCTGATGCTTCTGTCTGATGATTGTCTCAGTCAATGGCCCATTCAGCCTCTGTTTCTCGGAATGTATAGAGTTCTTGGCTTGTGAAAAGAGACACGAATCGCTGATCTATCAAATTTTATAGATATTGTAGACATATCAATCAGTTCGCTGCAGGGACTTGACTTTCAGCCAGCTGAGCCTTTTGGTCTGTCTACTCGGGGGACGGTGTGCCGATAATCGGAATTTCTACAGATATATATCGGGCTGTTTGATGAAGCCGACACATGCATGAACTCGTATATATAACCAACATACAAGATAAAATCATCCCGGTGATTTGTAAACAAAGAAAATATATACGTCGAGATTGTGGATTATTGCACCATTGGCTTTTCCATGTATAAATAGAAAGGTATATTAAATCGATCTACATACTCCGTAAAGTATCTTAAATCCCCCGTGCGAAACCAGGCAAGACAAAATCATGAAAGGACCGACCGATCAAGAGAAAAAAAGAGAAGAAAGAAAGAAAGAAAAGCCTTGGCATTCCGTCTAAACAAACAACAAACAAGATATTACAAAAAAAAAGACGAACAACTCAAGACGCCAAATAGTACATACGTAAAAGCAGCAATGGTAGTAGTAACAGATAAGAAAAGAGATAAAAGATGATATTTTACTTCGTGTCTTCTTCCGATGATGCCGTCTTCGGTCTCGTCCTCATCCTGATCCTTGTTTCGATTTCTTTTTCCATCGCGGAAACAGATGCTCGTCCTTCAGAAATAAATGCTGGTTTCCTCCGACCCAAAGTCCCCCAATGCTAATAAGAAACAACATATGCAAACTTAAACCAAGTTAATACGGTCCAACTCATTCATATCGCAGGATTTCCTCGATCTTCCGCCGCAGGTCTTGCGCTTGTTGCAACTGATCCGGAGGAATGGCACTCGTTTGGAGGAGGAGAAGGAGCGTTTCGCAGATCCGCTCGGCAATAACATCGCTGCCGAAGACAGCGCCTCCGAGACGCACGGTATCCCGGAACCAGTGGTCAATGACGTACAACAGGTCCTTTGCGATGTATTTACGGTTGGAACCGTGGAAGGGGGCTTCGTCAATGTAGAACATGGATTCGAGGACAGCGTAGAGGGCCTCGTGCGCCACACCCAGGTCGAGGAAGAGGTCGACGATCCAGGTGGCCGGGGCGACACCGCGCTGGTGCTCGAGGGAGTAGCGTTCCAGCAGGGGGAGGATGATGGAGATGGGGAAGACGACTTCGGACATGCGGAGACGGCCGCCGAGGTTGCGGACCTTTTCGGCAACGGCTTCGAAGGGAGGGATCTCGCCCCTCTCGGCGACTTCGTCGTGCAAGTTTTGGAGGAGGTGCTGCCAGGTGATTTTGATGTTGGCAGGGTCGCGGTAGTCGGCGGCGTAGAAGATCTGTAGGCAGATGTCGTAGTAGCTAGCGGGGTCGGCGTATTGGTTGAATAGCTAAAGGTGGATCAGTATGATTGACTGGAAATGTGTCGACAGCATAGAACTTACTGTGCTGATATCCATGATCGCACCGTCAACATCACGGATGACCTCCTCTCGGCGATCCGCCTCAATCCGCCTATCATCCCGGAGACGCTGCAGGAGATCGTCCTGGATGTTTGCAACGTCAATTAGGTTGGAAATTTCGCGCAGAAGTCGCTGTCGTTGTTGTCGTCCCACGTCTGGCGTGAAGATCGAGGCATTGGCTCTGGCCCGACCCAGATACTCGATTCTGCGGCTAAGGGGGAGCGTAAAAGCACTTTGAGCGAGGTTGTATTGCACCTGAGCCGCGTCAAAGAATCGTTGCGACTGAGCGTAGTATTTCCAAAGCAAATCAGCGTGGGAAAGATCGTCGGTCGACTTGCGCTCCAGATACGTCACGACAAGGGGAGTGTCGGTCTGCAGTAGACGATCGCTCCAGCCCTTCTCGAGGTACCAGTCGTACAGGCTCGTCAAGAACATTTCATCGGTAGATTTTGTGATGACTCCGTAGGCTTCATTTTGGCGCTTGGCAATGGTGGTCAATTGGCCGTCGATCATTCCGGCATCTTGAGCCGCAAGATAGTCAACGGCAAGAATGGCCTTGAAGATAAGTTCATAGCACTGCTTCCGGTAATAGAAGTAGTCCTTGCGGGAATCCTAGGGGGGGGGGAAGTTAGCTTCATGAACGTACAGAGGGAAAAGGAAGTTTCGAATAATGATGTATCGTACCTCTTCCGGACGTCCATCTGCAATCCACGTCAATGCGGCGTTGCCCTTATCCGAGCTTTGGGCCACATTGAGAGCTAGTTGAATTGCGCCTGTTCACGCGGTTAGTCTCCACAGATTGTATTGTTCATGACACGAAAAATTCCGTACCTGCAAAGAATTGATTCGCAATGTAACTTTCCACCGCGGAAACAAGATAGTCCATAGGCAGGCTCTCGGAAACCTGCTGGAAAGTATGCAAACTCTCATTCAGCAGGTTGCGGCCGAATTCCGAGTTCGAGCCAGCCTCGGTAGCCCGCTTCAAACACTCCTGAGCCTTGAAGATGACCACATCTTCGGCGCTGCAGAAGCTGCCGCACCGCCGTCGGAGGGCGTCCGCCACTGTTTCAACGTTCGAACCCTTGGCGATATTTCTGTTCACAATCCCCTTGACCAATTCCTTCGCGATTTCGTGGCCCTTGCCGGTGCTGAAAAGCTCCTCGAACGTGAGGGTGATGAAACGTTGTTTCGACTCAGCGGGCAATGGCGCAACGATCTCGTCCACACGCTCATCGAAGAGAACCAGCACGAAAGAAATGCCCTCGATGGTGTGCGACACAAGTTGAACGAGAGAGTGCAGAGCCCTGTGTTCCGCCTGCAACGCAGTTTCCTCCTGTTTCGTCGACACACGGGTCAGAGCCTCCGGGCCACTCAATCCTTCAATGAAGCTCTTGTTCGCAGTGAAGAACTCCTGCAGAGCCGCGAGGTCTCGCTGGACGCTTTGCAGCTTCGCCGGAGCAACCGAGGGAGAGACGCTCTGCGCCCCATTGGGCGTACTGGCCACCTTGACAATTTCCTTCTTCCAAATGGAGCGCAGAAGTCGGGAGATGTAGAGAGCGATACCGGCATGTCGGGGGGAGAGCACAACGGTGTCGATCGCGGGCGTCGAGCTGTCCGCAACGACGTTTTCGTTCATCGTCGGTCTTCCGCCGTACTCAATAAATACCTTGCGCGCGAACTCCAGAACGTCCGGGTCAGTGACCTGGGTCAATCGCGAGTCCGTCGACACTTCCACTCCTTGACCACATGCCACCGCTAAGGCAGTCGCGAGAGTCTCACTACGGCCGTATGTGCGGATGAAGCTCTTGACCTCACCATCCAGGCCCTCCTCGCCGCCGCCAGTACGCGCCAATGCCGCGAAGATGTCCACGAGACGCCGTCGGCGAATGATATGAATGCCGGTGTTCGTCAGGATGGCAATCTCCGCTGCCTGGTTTTCGAACTGGACGGCAAGCTCATTGCTGAAGCCCCCAGGGGTGTTCGACGCCACGGGAGGCGGTGAACAGATACCGATGTCCTCCGCGCTGCTACCAAGCCTCAGCCAAGTTGCCGTCTCCGCGGCCTTCTCGGGGATCACATTCTCTTGCGAACGAGCCACACGCCCTGAATCAGGGGACGAAATGAAAAGCGTGTCGGTTTTCAAAACCGAATCCTTGCACGTGATGCAGAAGAAATAACCCGGCGGGAACCGAGCAGCAAATCGAGTCGGATCGAGGGAGTAAATAGACTGCTTTGACGCGATAGATGTCGTGGAACGGGGCTGGCCTGGCATAGCCTGACCTTGTTCGGCTATAAGGGCCGGGTTGATGGGAGGGGTTTTGACGTGATGCGCCTGCATGCTCGTGGGGGCTAGAGAACTCGAGGGATCTGAGGTCCAGTTGAATGATGCAGTGGCACTAAGGTAGATACGGTATCCGGTGGCGGTAGTTGCCATAAGGTGGTATCTCGACGCCTCGGCCGCAGGAATGGGGCTGATGGAGACGATGCGTACCCGAGCATGAACCGTGTCATTTGTAGGGATGATATGTCCGATATTGGCATAGATGTCGCTCGCCTGCTTGGTGATGGCTAGCGCAAGGGTACCGTCGGGTTTCATGTGGAAGACTCGGATTGTGGACAGTGTCGACAAGGTGTAAAGCAAATTCCTGCTGTCATCGACCTCCATCTGCCCTACTCTTTCGAACGGTTGCGCCGTAAAGCTGAGCGATTGGGTAATTGTCGACAGGCGCGAGCTAGTGTGGCACACCTTGGAGCACCGGCCCTTGAACCATTTCTCTTCTTGCTGATAGACAAGCTCGTAGACATCGTCACTGGAAGAACCACCAAAGAAGATACGACCCGTCGCGTCGGAAGAGGTGATCACGTCAACATCTAGGCCACGGATCGACACTGACATACCGGTCTGGTATAATGTTACTTGCCGCGCCCCAGCGGCTGTTGTTTCGCAGCCCATTCCGAGTAGGATGATGTCAACCGTTGTGGAGATGACCAGCAGGTGGGTGATCGAGGGCAGGAACACGCCGGGGCGAGGTTTCGCGAGGCGCACGGAATTGATGCTGTTTGGCTGGTCCTCGAATCCCACCAATTGAGGGTTGGGATGCGTATAGTCCCAAATGTAGAGAGCGTTGTCAATGGCAACCCACGCGTGATTCAGCTCGGCGAAGAGACCCATGCTCGTCGAAACCTGGGCACGATTATACTGATCGAAGATTTGATCAGGAATATTGTACATCTTCACTTTCTGGAAAGGGTACCATGACGGCGACACGGGCATGTCATAGTCGGACGAGAATCCCTCTACATGGTGAGCATTAGCAAGGGACCTCCGGGCATTTCCACCCGACAACACGAGGGAAGGGCCATTAACTTACGCGAGAGATAGTTGTCCAAGTCCGGGTAGCGAGCCTCCTGCAGCAGAGTATCATTGACCGTCCGCGCGCCCCGCTCCTCGGTTCTCAATGTCTGACTTTTCGACTTGGATGCCGCCGGAGGAAATTTGGGAAGCGAGGCGGGCGCTGGTACCGCTGCACCGGCCGGGGGAGCAGCAGCTGGCGGTTTTGACACGGGGTTGGGCGCTGGAGCCGGAGTCTGAAAGTATGCGCCAGGAAGTGGCCTCCGTGGTGGCGTGGCCGTCGGGGGTAAATTGGGATAAGACATGATGCGGTCTGACAGCCCGATGCAGGCCTTTGGGGGGGCGGGTTGAGGGAAATAGTCGCGCTCCCCGGGGCGTAGTCGACGAAATTGCTTCGGCGCAGGGATCGAGGGGGGAGCGGAAAGAGAAGGAATCGGAGGAAAAATCGAGTGAAAGGAAGAGAGAGGAGGTAGAGAGGGAAGAATCGCAAGGTCGGATTGAAGGGTTGGAAGCAAGAGAGCAAGAGGAAGAAACACAGGAAGAGTGACCGACAGAGAAACAAAATTGTGCACGGACCCGGCAGTTCGAGCTGCTCGCCGCCTTTCGCTTTTGCTCTCCGCCCGGAAGTCATCGTTTCTCTTGTTTACTCTATTTTCCTCTGAAAGCACTTTGCCGATCCTAACCATTGTTCTAAATCCATTTGCGCAATTTTTTCGTCACAATGTTCCGTCCTCTACGATTCACCCCCCGGGTCAACCTCCGCCCCCTGCGATGGAACTCCACCGCCAGCCCGGCCTCGCCGCCGTTGATGGGCAAGATCCGCACCGATCTCAAGGTTGCCATGCGAGCCAAGGACAAAGATAGGTACGGGGAATTTCTTCTACTCTGATCGGTATTCAGTGGTTATTAATCCCAAGATTTCCAGGTTGAACGTTCTACGCGCCCTGATCTCCGAAACCAACAATTCGGTCAAAAGCCCGTCGCCCATTCAAACCGACCTGCAGCTCTTGTCGCTGATTCGCAAGCGCGCCGCCAATGCGAAGGAGGCCTCGAAGCAATTTGCCGAAGCCGAGCGACCCGACCTGCAGGAGAATGAGGACAAGCAGGTCGCCATTCTCGAGGAGTATGCCAGCCAGGTCGAGACCATGAGCCTGGACGATGTGAAGCAAATCGTCTCGCAGGAGATCTCCAAGCAGCAGGAGGGAGGCAACAAGGCGAATGTTGGCCTGGTGCTGAAGTCGCTCTTCGCTCCTGGTGGTGCCTTGGATGGTAAACCGGCTGAGAAGTCGGAGGTTGCCAAGATCGCCAAAGAACTTGTTGCTTCTGCTTAAGCAGCATGTTTCCCCCAAGAAAAGAACGAAAGAAAACTGTATATTATCCACTTGTACTATTGTCAATTGATATCCACTCCGCATCTAGCCATACTACGAGGACGAATCAAGCTCAAAAGGCTTTCATAATGGGAAATGACAGACGGCCCAACCGCCACAATCTTGCCTTATTATATCCATTGAAATGCAAAATGAAACTAGAGTCAACACAAGAAGACGATGTATCGCGCCAGACAGGCGCGTTGAGATTACAACTAAAAAAAACCCTTTCAGCGCCAAGGTTGTATGTAAACCCTCCCGATATGCGCCCTCCTTTTCTACGGCTCCCAATCGCAAAATGTCTCTGACTAGCCTTCTAGATGCGCCCAGATTCGTACAGTACTGTGTGAAGCAATTCAGGAATAAAACACGGTGATCCCGCCAAGAGCAGTCATGAGAACCCCCAGCCACAGCCACCGATCGGGGTCGACAAGGTCCTCGCGTTTAATCAAGTTCGTCATCCGGAAAACCGACTCGGTCTGGCTGCCGACATCGCGTTTGCGCTTTCCATTCTTCGTGACTGACTCCAGGGAGCCCGAGGGGAGCATCTGTGGAGGCCGGTAGGCGAGGTACATCGGGTGCATGGGCGAGTCATCGAAATAGTGCAAGTCAAGACGTTGAACATTGTGGTAAGGATCGATAGAAACCTTGAAGGACTGGGGTGGTGTCAGCGTCGACAACAAACAACAGGGCTGGGAAGCATGTACATTGAACCGTTCGGTCTGGTTGTATCTTGTGTATGTTCCCAGGGACGACGAGCAAGGGTCTGACTCGAGCTGGCGTCCGTCTTTCTCGATCGGTGACAGTTCTAGGACACCATCGCTACTCATGGTAAACGTGCCATGCTGCCATTGCATGATCCCTTTGGGACAGGAAGGGTCGGTGGCTGTAATGGTTCAATCCACGCGCGTCAGCATGTGCCGATGAGGGACAACAAAATTATCAGGGTGTAGATTCGAGGCACTAACGGTTAGCAAGGGCGCGATAGTACGCCTCTTCATAGTGGCCGTCGGCTGTGAAGGAGTACGAGATGCCCGGTAGATCCGGCTCAATCAGCTTGTCGTTAACGGGATCGTAGAAGCCCTGTCCAATGCATTAGTGAGAGCCCACATTTTGCCCATCCCCAAAGGTACAGCGTACTGGACCTGTCTCAACGGTGCGGGACTTTGTAGTCCAAGTGCCGACTAGATCGGCGACATTGGCGGCATTGACAGTCGTTGCCAGTAAACCGAGATACAAGAACCCCACGATCATGGTGGAAGGTCAGTCTGGCTAGAGATGAAGCAGAATGGGCACGAAGAACATGAGGAAATTAAGGGCGAGGCGGCATCAAGGGCGCAAAGAAGGCCTGCCCTGGCCGGTGGAGTATGCAAGTTGCATACAAACAATGTCGATCGCCCAGCAATGCGCCAAGCCCGCCTCGATCCAGTCTTCCTCTCCTCTCCTTCCTCCACTGTTCATCTCTGAACGGTGATCACATCTTCAATCTTTACCGCTTTCGCATCCCGGCAGTCAACATGATGGCAGGTCTTCAAGCGGCCAAAAAAGACCTTCGCAAGCGAATCCGCGATGTCCTGCAGACCATCCCCGCGGATTCCATCGCTCATCAATGTCAGCCAAAGCACCTCGCCTGGGACTAGGTGAAGAACAAGCTGACACGCCATAGCCAGAGCTGCCACCAGTAAACTGTTCTCGCTGGAGGAGTACCGGACTGCGCGGCGCATAGGAGTCTATCTCTCCATGCCGACGGGGGAGCTGTCCACCACGGCCATCGTGCAAGATGCGCTGGCAGCGGGCAAAGAGGTGTTTGTGCCTTACATCCACACCCTGGAGTCGCCGGCGACGCAACAGAAGACTTCCGTAATGGACATGTTAGCTCTAGAGTCGATGGATGAGTTCACGTCTCTGGCTCCCGACCGATGGGGGATCCCGTCGCTCGCCAAAGAGCAAGTAGCTACGAAGAGGAACTGCCTCGGAGGAATTGGCATCTCCCCCGCAGTCTCACGGGCGTCGGAGGGCGAGTACGGGCTGGACCTGATCGTAATGCCCGGAATGGCGTTCGATGCAGGATTCCGGCGTCTAGGCCATGGGAAAGGATATTATGATCATTTTTTGACTAGGTATTTGAAAGAAGCTGAGAGCAAGACCACGACGCCAAAGATGCCTCTACTCGGTAAGAAAATAAAGACCCTCCTATCCCTTAAACATCAAACCCTACCCAATCGAGTATGATCACAGCTAAATCTCGTTCAGTTGCCCTCTCTCTCAAGGAGCAAATGATGTCCGCGACCGAAGAAATCCCCGTGGCAAGTCACGACTGGCTAGTAGATGTCCTCATCGTGGGCAATGACCGGTGCGCCTACCGCCAGGGCTGATCGAAGAAAAACCGAACAGAATACCATATCCTCGCATGACAAGACTCGTGTACGTAGTAGATGTGCATATAATTGTTTCCCTCCCACCGGTAACGCGTAGATAGCTCTCTCGATTAAAAGACAGGTGTAGTTGTTGGTCGTGACACAAGCGAAAAAATGAATTGAATTGTTGTTTTTGCTTTTTCTTCCATTTTCGGTCTTTTTGGTATTTAATGTTGGTCCCTCGTTACGATCACTGGACGGCTTGGATCAGTGACACATTGTCACCCTTGAGCAGGATTTGGCCTAGTATCGCGGTCCCTCCGTTAGCATCGCAGAAAATCCCCATGTGCCAGCAACATCAGAAAGTCCATACCCAAAGGTCTCCGCTTCTCCTCCTCCGTCTTTGTTGGCAATCGGACCTCCACGGCGTCGTCAATGACCAGGTTCATGAACTCGTCGAATCCCTAAACCATGCAGTCAGCAGGATGTTCGCGCGTCGAAGAAATACAGAAGTGCCCCTACCCGAATCTTCCCCTCTATCCGGAAAGCCAGCTGCTCATATAGCCAGACCGACACCGTGGCTCGTTGCTGGAGAAGCTTGAAGATGAAGTGAATCGGCGCAAGCAGCGTCTTGCGAGCAGCTCCACCGCCTCGACCGGTCATGGTGCGTAATCGACGGGCGGAAAAGGGGAATTAAATAAAAAGGATAAGCAGAAAAGACTAAAGACTATTGCGATAGTAATGGTCCGTCGGTCGCGGCAACAGGAGAAGGTGTGGTGTCGTGGGTCGGGCGAGAAAGGAATGAGGGAAGGGAAAAGGTGAAGGCCGAGAGAGCTCGACTTTGTCGCAGCCGCAGCCAAAAGCGCGGCTCACCAACTTTTCCCTTTTGCCGGCCGTCACTCGCATCCCACTTCCTTCTCCTTGTGACTCCAACTCCACCACCTCTTCATTTCCCCCTCTCTCTCGCTCTTGCCCTTTCCCCCCATCTTCTTCCTCCTCCCCACAACGCTTTCTTGCAACTCCGTCGCGCTTCTCCTTTCTCTCCTTTTTTCAGGTGCTTGTTGCATGGTGGTTCATGACTGTATCCTATAGGTGTTGAGCCTCTTGGCCTGGCTAATCAACCCCTCATCTTCCCCGTTCCTTTCTCTACTAAACAAAACAACCCCCCTCCCCTCCTCCACTCCACGACTATGGCCAGTAAGGAGGGTTCCGCCGGACAGGCCTTTGGCCCTGTTCTGGCTGCCGTCGCTACGATGCAAGGAAATGTTTCACGATCCGAAAAGACACATGCTCACGAGTTCCTGGAGAAGTTCCAGAAATCGGTCCGTTCTCTTCCCCTCCGAATGACCCCTCTCTCTCTTTTTTCGACCGGCCATCTGCTTCTTTCTTTATCGATTGATTGACTACAGCTAATCATGATCCCTTTGCTGCATTTAGATAGAGGCATGGACCATTACGCACGAGCTTTTGCAGTCCCCTGATGTTCCTGTCGAAGCCAAACTGTTCGCGGCGACTACGTTGAAAGGAAAGGTGAGGCGCTGTCGCCCTCCAGGACACGGCAATACCAGGATGCTGACGACACTAGATCATGTTCGATTTGGATCAGTTACCCGCAGAATCGGTAGTGGCATTGCGAGACTCGGTAATGAATTTGCTCGTGGCTTTTGCGTCAGGTCCCCGCCCCATACAAACGCAGCTCTGTGTATGTTTGGCCAGCCTCGCCATTCAGATGCTTGAATGGAAGGATGTTCTTGCCTCGGTGGGCTCCGCACTGGGGAGCAGCGCCGGTGACTGCGTGTTAGAATTTTTGAAAATTCTCCCTGAAGAAGTGACGGAAGGTCGCAAGATCAATTTGAGTGTATGTTCGGCAATCATCCCAACGTTCTACAGGAACCCTTCATTCGTCTGTGCGATCGACTTCTACTGCATGGAACGCGACTGGAATCTCGGAGTCTAATCATCTGGCTTGAATTAGGAAGAGGATCTCCTCACTCGGACCAAGGAGCTTTTGGAGGACAATGCGGAGCAAGTGATGCACCTATTAATACAGTACGCGCAGTCATCTCGTACGTAACCCTCTCTGGTATATCCCTACTCTCAACGGCCATGTCGTGCTAATTGACGCGCTCTACTTTAGCAACCGCATCTACCAACCCGCGTCTTCTGGACTGCATCACGTCTTGGATGCGTGAAATCCCCGCTGCAAAGATTGTGGAGTCTCCCTTGTTGGACATTGTTCTCAAGGGGCTAGACAATGATGTCTCTTTCGAATCCGCCGTTGATAGCATGTGCACGCTGTACCGTGACACCCGCGAAGTTGATGAATCGCTGCCCATTATCCAGGCCCTGTACCCACGCCTTATGACACTCCGCCCGAAGATTGCCGAATTCGCCGAAACCGAGGACACGGATGCATTTAGAGGGATCACGAGACTGTTCGCTGAGGCTGGTGAAGCCTGGGTGGTATTGGCCGCTCGCCTGCCGACCGAATTTCGAGGCTTGGTGGAGGCGGTCCTGGAATGCTGCGCTCGGGACTGGGATCGTGACGCCGTTTCCCTTACCTTCGTTTTCTGGTACGAGTTGAAGCAGTACGTCACATTGGAGCGATACACGGATGCACGGGTGTGCTTTAGCGACGTCTTCTCCCAATTGGTGGATATCATGGTGAAGCACCTGGAATACCCTCGCCCAGACGACGGGGAAGTCGATCTTTTCGGTGGCGACCGTGAGCAGGAAGAAAAATTCCGCCATTTCCGCCATTCGATGGGTGACGTGCTGAAGGACTGCTGCGCCGTCATCGGGGTCAGCGAGTGTTTGACGAAGGCATACCAGTTGATCCAGCAGTGGGTTTCCAAATATGCTTCTCAGGCCAGCGACGACCACGTGCCCAACTGGCAGGAACTCGAAGCACCGCTATTCAGCTTGCGCGCAATGGGTCGCATGGTCGATCCGGAGGAGAACACCGTCCTGACTCAGGTCATTCCCTTGATCGTGCAGATTCCCAACCAGGAGAAGGTTCGATTCCAGGCTATCATGGCGCTTGCACGCTACACGGAATGGACTGCGCAACACCCGGAAACGCTCGAGGCGCAGCTCAACTACGTTATTTCCGGTTTCCAGCACAGCTCCTCTGAAGTCGTCCAGGCTTCGGCTTTAGCATTCAAATTCCTTGGAACCGATTGCCAGAAGCTCTTGGGTGGCCACATCGCACAACTCCATTCATTCTATGAGTCGGTGCTCGATAAACTGAAGCCGGCCAGCCAAGAGGAAGTGACCGAGGGTGTGGCCGCTGTCGTTGCCGTACAGCCCATCGACAAGATTTACGAAACCATGAAGTTGTTCTGCGACCCCATCATGAACCGCATCATGGCCCTGGCCAACAATGCCAAGGACGAGCAAGGCCAGCGTGCCGTGGCTGGTACGTTTCTTATTCTCGCCTGGTTCCTCCAGGTACCATAGATCAAATTACTAACGGTATCACAGATCACCTTCAGCTCATAACGATCTTTGTGTTGGTCGTCAACCCCTACGTTTCTCGAGGAGAGGAGAATCCGGCCGTCAAATACTGTGGCGAGATCCTCCCAATCATGACAACTATTGCCTTGAACTTTACCGAATCAACCCCGATCTTGGAACGTGTGTGCCGTTGCTGGAGAAATATGATCATCTCTTACCGAACTGCCATGACTCCTCTTCTCCCTACGCTCGCCGATAGTCTTGCCAATGGATTCCAGGCGTCGCGCGAAGGGTGCTTCTTGTGGGCCACCGATGCCGTTGTCCGCGAGTTTTCGGAGGGAGCTGAGTTCGTTGATCCCGCAACAAGCAACGCGGTCTTCCGATTCTACGAACAGCAGGCCACTGCCTTCCTCCGCACTCTCAACGACCTTCCGCCGGAGAACCTTCCCGATGGTAAGCCTTTTTTTTCTCGGACGTCGTGCGGCAAATGTGTTAACAAACCGTTAGTGATCGAGGACTTCTACCGGCTCTCGTCGGATGCCGTTCGCTACTACCCGAAGGAATGTATCTCGTCGCCTCTTTCTGTTCCGATCTTTACCGCAGCTCTCAGCGGTCTTACCCTGCAGCAGGTGGATCCGCTCATGGCTATCTTGCACTACTACCATGATCTCTTCAGCTTTGCGTTCGAGAGGCCCGCGATATCCGAGTTCACCAGTTCCAACGGCGATCCTTACACGAATCCCCCGGAGGTTCGCGAGGCAGTCAAGCAATTGATCGCGTCTCAGGGTCAGGCTCTGGCTGAGCGTATCATAACGGGAATGATGTTCTCTTTCCCAGGAGATTGTTTCCCTGATGCATCTGGCGTGATGATGTCGCTGTTCGAATTGATGCCTCAGGAAGCTGGACTCTGGTTACAGTCGACCCTACAGATGCTCCCGCCCGGCACAATGAAGCCCAACGAGGCGGAGCGGTTGCTGAAGGGTATATCTGATAAGGTGCAATCGGGTGAACTTCGAAAGATTCGCGTTCTGCTACAAGGTATGTTAGCCTTCGAGGATGATACTGGTGCGATGGTTGCTAACCGAACTACCCCAGACTTCACCAATTCGTACCGACGGAGGAATGTGGCCCCCAGAGAGGGTTTGGGTCGCCTGGAGGCCACCCGATTCCGGTTCAGCGGATAAAAGGAGCGAAAGGAAACGAGACAAAGGGAAGAAGGGACTGGCTGCAACCGTTCAGCTTGAGAAGTTGGGAACCCCCATTATCAAGCTTACGACGACACGCCCACAGGTATCAACTATCTTAGCGGCACGTCATCAGAATTCAGGGCGAGAAAGCACTACTGAAAGCGTGATGCGCTTTTTCTAAAAAGGCAGATGTTTCAAATTCCAAAAATCATCAATATTTCTCCCCACCGAAAAAGAAGAAAAAGACACATCCCACTCGCACAGCCTTACACCCCCCCTGTATACGATCTTGCGTGCGGGTATTTGAAAGAAGACGGAAAATAGCCTTGCATGGGAGATGCATATCTTCAGTCACCCAGGGGCTTTGTTGACATGGTCGATAGCCTGGAGGACGCTTGTAATAAAGTATTTTTATTTAGTTAGGGATCTTAGAGTGGATTTATAATCAATGACCTTTACTGTTCTATGTTCCTGATAGTTAGAGTAGGGCAGAGTCTTTGCGAATGAATTTTCAATTCTTGATGCGAAGGTTTCTCGATGCCTTGAGGTTGCAATATGCCAAGCATTTCGCGTTTGTTTACCTCCCGAGGCACAACTAAGCAGCTCGTCTTCCAATCCGTTCATTTACAAGATTATGATAAGTCATTAGATGCATACCTCCGTCATCATGATAACGAAAGCTCCTTTTCACTAACTTCAGTGTGGGGGCCTGTAGCATTTTAGACGTTGCTCGGACGGATGTATATTTTGTCCTGTCTAACCTATTTTGAGATAAATTGCAGATGTTAAGCAGAGGCATTTAAGCTTGCACAATCCCTATGTCCATCAAGCTAAATAGGTTCCTAATGAATGCATTCCTTTGTACGTATACCAGTCGTTAGTAGATCCTTGTATTATGGAAATTCTGGAACAGCATGGCTCCTGGATATGATATGCAGGATTGCTTTAGGGCAGCGTTCTCTCCGTCCTGTGGGGGCATTTGGCCTATCCAATGATTTTTTGATCGATGATGGAATTTTTAACATCAGACCAGACTAAGGTATGCTGATGGGCTATGCACCAGAGTGGATTTGTAACGCAGGGTGCTTGGGTTCGAGAGTGCATGGCTTTCTAGATGAGCGTGAATAAACATGTAAATCGGTTCCAGGTCTTATACACAGGTTCAAAGCCATGAAATAGCTTCTAGTATGTCCGTAAGCTCCGAATGAGCATAGAGACCATGGCACCGATGAGATGCACTTGACTACGGAGTACTTCATACCCAATTCATGAAAGAGGAACCGCCATGAATGACCATCCATCCCAACTTGGCTATTTTCGTACCTACCTACCCACCAGTCAAACCACCTCCCTACCAATCAGCGCCGGTTCTCCAGCTTCGTGCATCACGCAGACCTACTATACGTCCGCTCCTATTGCCACATAATCCTTCGAAACCTTCTAGAAGACCAGGTAATTACACGGAAGAAATCCCAAGCCCTCAGCCCAGAGTCCAAGAGCTCTTAGCTCGTCAGAGTTTTTCTCTTAGCCGGTATCCCTGCATGCTTAGGACCCTCGATGCGTTCTCTGCTCGTGTGACCACGCCACAAGGACCCGGCTGGATCGTAACGGATCGATCGTCTCAGCCGGGACTAAGCTCTCTGTATGGGCTGAACGGTCGACTCGGACACAGGGTCAGTGAAGGCGTTTGGTTCGGCATGCAGTTGCCTGAGGTGAGAGGGCCTTTTTATGATACCTATCATTGGTGTACACCATAGGGGATGGTCGTTCTGGAAGGGGCCCTGATCATGAGCCCTGCCCTGGTGGCACGGATAGGGTTACATTTTGGGGGCGTCGAGTTACCCGATCTTGGTAACTAATAGGTGCTTATGAGTGAGAACTGACGGACATGTCGGCCCCTGCAGTTGTGATTTGTTGGTTGCCTTTACCAATGAGAAGAGCTGTCTTTCAATTCCTGAATTGCCACGGCGAGGAGTATACGGTATAGGATTGACATCCCAAACACCGGGATATTGTTGCCACGGGATCCCCGCCGCGAGGAGTCATTATTCCGGTTTCTAATTACTTACACAGTGTAGACACGTGCGTCACGGTGTGCTCATTTCCGGTGGATAGGGCGCTTGAGAAGACGTCGATGTTTCACGACGCGAGTTAAATCGCGGCATGCCGTTGTGACCAACCTGGCTCCGCTGTTACCTGGACCAGGACCACATGGTGGAGGGTCGGACAACGTGCTAGGTGGCGACTGGCGAGGAGTGAATCGGAGGAAGATCAGGTTCGGAGAAAAGCGAATACCCTGCAGCATGTACGGCATGCGCTGCATGAAATGTGCTATACGCGGGCAGGATAGTGGTCAAGTGTGGTAGCACGCTAGGGGATTTGATTTAGCTGAATGGGGTGTGGAGTGAGTTGGTTGTGGTGTCATATACGACGTTCCATTTGGGTGAAACTTGGCCGTAGCCTGTGCAGCACATGGCAGCGAAAAGGGAGCTGATTGACGGAGGGGAGAGTAAGTGACATCGCGAACCGTGGACAGTCCGCGCGAGTAGAGGCCAGAGAGACAGGGCTTCTCCACCCACGTGCGGGCAGGCGGGCCTCCCATAGGATCCGCAGCCTGAGGTAGTCCCTGACGCCAAGCCGCAGCCGCGACGTGCCAAGACGCCGTGCCCTGTCCAGTCTTGACTTCGCATCCAAGCTCACCTCCCAAGTATACCAAGTCCGTCCAACTCCCTACCAAGGCTTCTTATCCGTGCTTATGTCGTGTCCCTCTCAGCCACTGACAAAGAGACAGCCGGTGACTACCAACCATGGTGGATGAACAGGGGCCCCCCGGTGGCCCGTCGACCGCAAATCACAGCCATGGGATTTGGAACGTGGGAGCCATCCTACCTGGACAGGCTAATGGGCTCGTGTCACCCGGTGCCTGTAGGCTGTAGTAGCTACCTAGGTATAGTACTTCTAGATCTGGACCAAGCGAGAGTGCCGCTGCTGAGGCGTCCGACAGGTAGAACCCCCCGGTACAGGTCTCGGACGCGATCTTGCCACGGACTAGTAGGCTGATAGTACATAAGTCTGCTCTCTCGCTGGCTTTCTGTCCTCTTTCTTCTTTTTTTTTCTCTTTACAGCAATCAGTTCGATCCTGCAAATCATTACCATCATCGACTAGGTCTGTACCTGTCTGTCACTTGTCATCAAGATGGTGCTCCATCAATACGACTATGTGTTCGCCATCGGCACTCTGTTTGCCATGCTGGATGCCTACAACAACGGTGCAAGTAAGTTTGGTCCTGCTGATAGGCTATCTTTAGTGCGTGGTCTGGAAGTGGTCGATAGAGGCTGACTGTTTTGTCTCCTGATAGACGATGTTGCCAACTCTTGGGCCACCAGTGTCTCCTCCCGATCCGTCACCTACAGACAGGCCATGGTCCTTGGAACGGTGTTTGAGATGGTTGGAGCTATCGCCGTCGGTGCTCGAACTGCTGATACCATCAAGAACGGCATCATTCCGAACTCCGCTTTCCGGGGAGATGCCGGTGTCCAGATGCTGGCGTTTACCTGTGCTCTCGTTGCCGCCTCGTCTTGGGTGATGTGGTGTACCCGAAACTCCGCTCACGTCTCTTCAACCTACTCGCTCATCTCGGCCGTTGCCGGCGTTGGTGTTGCCACGGTCGGTGCCTCGCAGGTACAATGGGGATGGAACAATGGCAAGGGTCTCGGAGCCATCTTCGCCGGACTGGGCATGGCACCGGTCATCTCTGGAGGCTTCGCCGCTGCCATCTTCATGCTCATCAAGGTCACCGTCCACATGCGTAAGAACCCGATCCCATGGGCTGTCTATACCTCGCCTTTCTTCTTTCTGGTCGCCGCTACCATCTGTACCCTGTCCATTGTTTACAAGGGATCCCCTAGCCTGGGTCTGAGCAAGAAGCCGAGCTGGTACATTGCCGCCGTCACCATGGGTTGTGGAGGTGGTGTTGCTCTCCTGTCGGCCATTTTCTTTGTTCCGTTCTTGCATTCCCGCATCATCAAGAGGGATCAATCTGTCAAATGGTGGATGTTCGCCGAGGGTCCCTTCCTCTTGCAACGCCCCCCCGTGGACCAAGCCGACGTGGCCAAGGTCCCCGACTACGCCGTTGTCCATGACGATGATTACCCTCCTTCGACTGGATCTTCCAACATCGACAAGACCGCATCTCCCGTCGCCTCGACGGTTGCCTCGCCCGCCATCACCGCCACCGACGCCCACGAGAAGGGTCTCGTTGCTGCCGAGGCTAAGCAACTCAGCTACAAGGAACTGCAAGCCCAGAGCCAGGACCGATTGCACCAGAAGCTGCTGCAGAGCCGAGGACCCATTGGCTGGGCCATGCGCACCCTCCGCGACAACCCCATGGGCCCCGGGGAGATCTACGAGCTGCGCAACATGCTCACTCTCGCCAAACGCCTCCCCGCCTTGATCACCTGCGGTCTCCTCTACGGCCTTCACTACGACATCCACACCGCGCAGTCCGGTATCGCCGGCACCCCCGAAGGTGAACGCATGAAGCGCGTGTACGCCCACGCCGAGAAATACCCCAACGAAGTCGAACACACCTACTCCTTCATCCAGGTCCTGACAGCCTGCACCGCCTCGTTCGCCCACGGTGCCAACGACATCGGCAACTCCGTTGGCCCCTGGGCTGTGATCTACTCCGCCTGGAAGACCGGCGACGCCGCCGCCGCCAAGGCCCCTGTGCCCGTCTGGCAGCTGGCCGTCCTGGCCGCCATGATCTCCATCGGCCTGATCACCTACGGCTACAACATCATGAAGGTCATGGGTAACAAGATCACCTACCACTCGCCCAGCCGTGGTAGCTCCATGGAAATGGGCGCCGCTATCACCGTCCTGGTCTTCTCGCAGTACTCCCTCCCCGTGTCCACTTCCATGTGTATCACCGGCGCCACCGTCGGCGTGGGTCTCTGCAACGGAACCATCAAGGCCGTTAACTTCCAGCGAGTCGGTCTGCTGCTGCTTTCGTGGATCATGACGATTCCGATTGCCGGTACCCTGGGTGGTATTTTGATGGGGTTATTCATCAATGCTCCTCATTTCACTTCTTAGATGGGGGTTCTCCTATCCTCTTCTCTTCTCTTTTCTTTTGTCTATGATCCTGGGGACGGTAGCATGTACATATTAGGTTTTAATTACTGATTTCACTCTGTTGTCAAAATGGGGAGATGGTGGATGGTCTGTGATTTTATGATTTGTTGAGATACCTTAATTTCGAATGCATTAGATTGTCCTGTCATCTCTTTTTACCTTACTATACTTGAACTATTAGGAACAATTGATCCTAAGGACTATGACTACATCGCCTAGCCCTACTTGAATCTATCTAATAGTAGGTTAATTTACGAACAGACTTATTGAACAGATGTTTACACCCTGGGCATGAATCAACCATTGAAACGCTACCCAAAGAAAAGAAACGGACAAAACGAAAGTTCCAAATATACACCTCGAAACCGGTGGAAACCATCCAAACGCCAAAGGTTCATACCCGTAGACACAGCTACCAGAAGAAAAGAGTGAGAGAAACGCCTATTCTAACTAATACCTAAACAACCTCCCACCCCCTCCCTCCTTCAACAACCCCCCATTCCTCCTCCCATAATAAACCCTAAGTCCCAAGCACGCCGTCGCGGCCAGAAAGCAAAAAGCTGCATTCGTTCCATGGCCCGTCGGATAACCCCGTTCGGCCTCCTCGGCCTTGTAAATCCACACCCCGATGATCTGTCCGGGGGCGCCGCCTAGCCCGATGTTCAGCGCGATGGCAAGTCCCACGGCCGAGGTGCCCGCGATGTTCGAGGACAGCCAGCCGAGCAGGGGCGGGATGCACGAGAAGGCGCCCATGTTGGCGATGAAGAGGCAGGCGTAGCGCGCTGAGTAGTTGTGTGCTGGGAGGAGTGCGGAGGCGAGGAATCCGACTCCGCCGACGAGCGAGCATAGGGCGGAGTGTAGGGCTCGGGCGTTGAAGTGGTCGGCGGAAAAGGAGATTAGAATTTGGACGACTGGGCATACTTGTGAGTTTGATTTTGTATGTGGAGGTTATCAGGGGTTGACATACCGTAGGCGACGGCGTAAGGAGGGACGGTCATCAGCTGTGCGTCGAGGTCTTTATACCCCAGTCCTTCGATGATTGACGGCGTGAAGAGGGATAGCGAGCTAAACGGACAGGAGATGGCTAGGTAGACGAGATAATGGCCGTACAGACGCCAGTCCGTCAGGGTTGATTTGGCATCCTCCCAAGTGATGCTGCTATGACTGCCCTTACTGCCTTCGACGCGAAGACGCTCCGCAGCGACGGCTTTCTCCTCTGTGGATAGCCACCTCGATGTCTCGGGGTAATCCGGGAGAATGAACCAGACGGCGAAGCCCGAGACCACGGACGGGATACCCTCGAGGTAGAACAACCATCGCCAGCCTGACACGCCGCTGACTTGATTCATATGTCCGACGCCGTAGGCAATTGCGCCACCAAACGCACCCGCCAACGTCGCGCTGGCCAGAATCAGCGCGACACGCATACTGCGCTCGTCGGTCTTATACCAGAATGTAAGATAGTATACCAGGCCAGGGAAGAGGCCTGCCTCGAAGATCCCCAGGAGGAAGCGCACGGCAATGACGGTGGCTGGGTTCTTGGACGCCCCGAGGGAGATGGTCAGCGCACCCCAGGATACCATGAGGAAGGATATCCACTTGGATGGGTGGAGCTTCTTGAGGAGGATGTTCGAGGGGGCCTCGAAGACACCGTAGGCCACTAGGAAGATCATCAGGCCAATTGTGTACTGGTAGTTAGACATGCCAGTCTCGGTCATAAGGTCGTTGTCGGTGGACGAGTTCATGATCTTGGCGTTGCCGATATTGGACCGGTCGAGGTAGCAGAGGAAGTAGATGAATGCCGATAAGGGGAGGATTCGGAGATCCTGTTTTCTTACCACGGCCTTGGAGGCAGCCGGTGAGATGGCATTGTAGATTGATCCAGGAAGAGCCTGTTGCCGAGGTTAGCTTTTCGAGATTGATTTGTGTTGGAGCTAGATACTGACTGCATGCTCGTCCTCCGAAGCTGCACGGACGGCCCCCTTTTCTGCTGCGTTAATGTCGTGTTTTTCATTTGCCATGGTTGACATGTTGACCGGGCAGGATGCAGGTGAGGAGGCATGGAGCCTGTCTGCCGGACATGCCGCTCTTAAAGCATTCGACTCCACTTTATCGCATCCATTGAGTCCGGGGTAGCCCCAGATCTGGGGTAGGAGACGTGGAGAGAAACAGCATCAGTCGGCGCCGCAGTCCGAGAGCTGCATGAGGCGTCACGTGGCGCTGTCGCTTCTTGCCTTGTCTTGCCTTGTCTTGCCTTGTCTTTTTCTTTCCCTCTCCTCACTATTCCGGGGCAAGGACAACGAACCCAGTGGCAATTTTCCAGCAGGAACGGCCTTAGTTCAGACACCGTCCCGAGCTAATGGAAGCTATGGTTAAATCTGCATAGGTCACCGGATTAGACGATGACCCCGTCTCTGCTCAATGGATCCTTCGCTCCCCACGTTCTCCACCACGAGTCATGGCCTTTGCGGGGTTGTCCGTCGAGTGCGGACATTGACACCGAGAGTGTCGGACTGAATAAAAGGGGCGGACTGTATCGCCGATGCGGACCTGTCACTTAGATCTGCTCGAGATTCGAATCAGAATGCCCTCGACTGCATGTCTGCGGTGTCATCGGAGGAAAGTCCGATGCGACAAGTCTCTTCCACAGTGCTCCGCATGCACAAGGGCCAGAGTGACATGCCAATACACGACTAGTGATTACCAGAACCGTCGTCAGCACATTCAGAGGCTGGAGCAGCGAATTCGGCAACTAGAGGCCGACAATCAATCCCTCTCCGCGCAGCTAGGGAGCAGCCAGGACAGACCCGTGGGAAACGATGATCCCGGATCTACAGTTCCATCGCAGCATGAAGGAACTGTTGGGTCTAGGGACGATGAAGTGGCGGAGCAAGTGCTTCATACTTCTCTGATTGCTGGAGGAGGCCATCACTTCGTCGGTTCGACAAGCGGTCTGCTGCTCGCAACCCTGCTCCAGTCCGGCCACCCGTCTTCATCGCTTTTTCCGATTCCAACAGCCCAAACAGGCTTAGAGTCAGAGCGAAGTCGTCACTCATCTTATGCTGAATCTAATAGGCCGCCCAAGGGTTTGGCCAGAGATTTGCTGCGAGCGTATTGCAGCCACGATCACCTATGCTACCCCTTCATCTCAACCAAGTCTCTCTTCCGGTCCTTAGACGCAGTGTACGATGCGAATACTGACGACAACCCTGTCGACGCTTTTTTCGTTGACATGACGCTTGCAATCGGAACTGCCCAAGCGCATCGCTTGAACTGGAACGGTAACTATGATTCTGAAGCATACTTTCATCGTGCCATGACAAAACTGGCCGATGTGCTTGCTCGAGGCGGTGTCGAGAGATTGCAAGCACTTTTGTTGATTTGCCAATACAAAATGGGCTCTACCACTAGTAGCACCACTCCGAGTGTGTGGCATCTTATCGGCGTAGCGGCGAGAACATGTTTAGAGATGGGCCTCCACCGAGCATCAACCTATTCGTTACCTTCAGTACCTACAGAGTCGGCAGACAAGGATGATACTACCTGGCAAGCAAAGGTCGGGGCAATTGAAACAACAAGGAAGTGTTTCTGGAGCCTGGTAGCATTGGACAGAGTTGTGAGCCTAGCTCTTGGACGCCCTTTCGCTATACAATTGGAGGACATCGATGTAGACCTCAACGACGACCATGAATTTCCTAGTCAGGCCCAACAAGAGTCATGCTCAACCGCCGCACGAAGCGAATCTCCCCACAATGATCAGATCAGGACATCTTTGTTCGTGTGCATTGTGCGATATCGAGTCATATGCGGGAAGATATCCAACGCACTGCATCGAGCCCCGAAGGCAAAAGGAGATTCTGCTGACTTGGTGCGTGCAAGGGACTACTTAGCTACGGAGTTGCAGGAATGGTATGCTCAAGCCGTGAAATTGCCCCTTTCACCCAGGGATGATCGAGCATTGCGTGAGCTTGGAGCCGAAGGAGGGTCAAGCTTCCTGTCCGAGGAATGGTATCGACTATTGTACCACAATGGTATGTTGATGTTATATCGCCCATCACCATACCTCTGTGACGCTTCACATAACAGTGCCGCGTTGGAACAGCTGTTCTGCTCCTCTCGTGAGGCGATCCATCTATATTCTAGCCTACATCGGTCTAGAAAGCTTAACTACTCCTGGATCACTATGCATACTATATTGCTAGCAGGGTTGTCATACATATACGCTCTTCGAAACCATTTTCAATCCATTCAGGCGCAAGCCACCCGGCCAGTATTAACCAGCACACCAACTATCACCGAGGTGGTGAATGATACCCGGGCTTGCTCCAAGGTGCTGCTTGCGGTTGCTGAGAGGCAAGATATTGCACGAAACTGTTCAGAGCTTTTTGATCGCCTCAGCGATGCGCTCATTGCAGATGTGTTCGCGGCTCAGAGAAATCCTTCAACAAGGGTTCCTGCGTCATCCCCGGCGCCAAATTTCGCGATTGAGGCGGGCTCCCTAATGAATATACCTGGAGAAAGCTTCTATAATCAAGTGTCGGAGTCAAATTGCATGAATATGAACATGACCATCGATAGTACATTTCGGAATTACTTTGATGATCTACAGAGCTTAGGGCTTGACGACTTGCACAACGATGCTCTTTCCCAGCTTTCGCAGGAGTGGTTCCTTGGGCTTGGCGAGGATCGAGGGGTTTTGGGCAGTCTTTGAACGATATTGAGTCTATCAATGAATTTACCTTGATCTATATACGCCGGTGCTCTACACCTTCAATCTACTATATTTTTCCCCTGGATAACAAGGCACGCGGCACGTCAATGAATTTACTGCGCAAGTATTCACCAAGGCCCTTTCCGAGGCCATCAATCCTGCCCGAGGATGCGATGCCGCCATCCAAATTGTTGAGTATTCGGCTATCCATCCAATTGTCAGTATTTCATACGCAAATGACAAGGGGGAACCCACAAATGTACTGCAAGAATCTTCGGAAACTCCACTCGCTCAACTCGACGCTGAGGATCACCTCTAAACCAATCATCACCTAACAACTGTTTCAATCTGGGAACACTCAATGCTGAACGGAGCCAGTTATACTCGTCCTCGTGACGGACAAAGAATCCAATGTTGGAGTTGTCACCTTTGTCGCCCGATCGGGCATGGACGATACTCCCCAAAGGCGCAAGCTCGGTTGGCCCAAAGGCAAGGAGGTCAGCGGGATGAGCAGTATCGGAGGACGGCCGTGCGACAGGGTAGGTGGAAACACCACTCTTCGGGGTATCAATATGCAAGACCTTCCCCGTGCTCATCTGCACACGGTGATCGATGTCGGCAATGGGAATCAACCCGGGGAACATCTCCATGAACGGCCTAGGCGACATAGTTCGGAAATCGAGGTTCATGTGATAGCCAGGGTAACTCTGCATTCTCAATGCGTAGATGGGTACTTTGAATCTCTTCTCGTCGATGTCTTCTTTTCGCCGGGCCTGCGCAAACACCCTCAGCGAGACAGTACCGGACTGTTGCGATTGAGGATTTGATGCTGCAGTACCAAGCAGCTCAATGTTGATTTTGCTGAAGTTGCTGTCTCGGAAAATATGCGCCAACTGTACTTTCATCATTGCGGCTTTCTCCTCCACGTCTAGCCCGTTGATATAGAACGTCGCCTCGGCCTGGAAGCCTCCCTTTGCTGCGACCATGACTTTGGTGGTAGATGGTCGTGGCAGACCTTTTACACCTTGCACCCTCACTCGGTCTACCTCCCCCAGCTGCTGCTCAATGGTGACATCCGACAAGTCCGCCACGACGTCTGGGTTCAAGTACAAATGACCCTGCAGCTCATACAGTAGCTGCGCAGTCACCGTCTCCTTCGTCACATGCCCCCCTCCTTCGTTTGTTTTCCCAATCACACAGCATCCGGACGCATCAATCTCGGCCACCGGAAACCCCAGATCAACAAGCTCCGGCATGAAATTCTTGAAGCCCGAGAAGTTCGCGCCGACAACATACGGCCCGCATTCGATCAGATGCGCGGCGACTAGCGATCCAGCCAGCTCGGCATACTGTTCCTCGCCCCAACCGTGCCACCACGCCGCAGCGCCCATGACCGGCGAAGCATCGGTACATCTCCCACAGATGACAATCTGAGCCCCAGACCTCAGCGCCTCCACGATGCCCCAGCACCCTATATACACCGTCGCGCAGCACGGTTCAAACTCCCATTTCTCCAGCGTCATATCCGAATCGTCCAAGTGGACAATTTTCTCCCTCCCTTTCTCACCCTTGACCAATTCCGACAGATCATCCCCCAAAACCATCGCCACCACACAATCGCCGTAACCCCGCCTCTCGCATAGGTCTTTGACCTTTTCGAATAGCGCGGCTGTATTCAAAGCCCCCGCATTCGTAACAACTTTCACGCCTCTCTGCATGACCTCGTCCAAGCGTTCGTCCAGTTGCTCGAAGAACCCGTTCTCGTACCCTAGCCCGGCATCGACCTCTTCCTTTTCGATCGCGTTCCACGCAATGTTCATCTCCGAGAGCCAGTCGCCTGTGATCACGTCAACAGTTCCGGACCGGAGCATGCGCGACATCGCGTGCGGGTGGTCGCCTGTGGCGCCGGAAACATTGCCGATTCGGATGGGGGTTTGGTGGTTGGGCGGCATGGCCATTGAAGTATATGGGGAGGGGGATATGGTGGTTGTAGAGTAGATAGGAGGTCTTCAATCTATCTTTTGCATCTGAGTTGAAACAAAGAACTGGCAGTATATATTTGATGGTAGGCAAGGTAAACGGGATCATTAGGGCTAATTTAGTTGCTCCAGAGGTATTCGGCGTCGGAGACCGAGTCCGACAAAACAGGATGCGCTATCGCACTTCCTTAAACAGCCATTAAACCAAAGGTTTGGTAGATACCCTGACAATTCCCTCCCAAACACTCATCCTCTTCTACCTACCCTCCGCTTTCCTTTTCAGCATGCCGCAGAAACTCTCAAACAGGACCGAATCTGTTCCCTTGAGCCACCGCACCACAACACGGACTCCCTTGTCCTCGATCCCCTCTTTCTTCACCTGGATTTTGTATCCCAGTGCCGCTTTGGCTTCGTCGATTTCTGCTTTATGCGCCAGTCCGGCGGATCCTTGCATCTTCCTACGCGCTTGACGAGACCAGACATTCTCCATTGCGAATCCGACTCCCGTGCCTAGGTTCCTCCGCCAGAGCCACTGCACGGGAAGCGAGGAGAGTTCTGCGTCTAGCTTTTCGCTGATGGCGTCGATCGATCCGGTAGGAATGTCAAAGTCGTACTCAGATGGGAACGGCAGGAGGTGCTTCGGGAAGTTGGAAATGGACCGCGCGACGTCCTGGGTTCTTTGTTAACGTCATCCGTTCTACAACCTCACAGATATCTATCTGGACGCGGAACTTGGAATGCCATACCACATTTGGACGAAGATCCGCCCATGACCAAGCGATCGCCCACCTCTTCGTTTTGTTTCCCTGCACGAACTCAGTGACGGCGTAGTTGTGATTCTTAAGCTCGATCAGTTTCTCAACTAGCACTGAGACGCTGCTGAGCTTTCCGAGCATCGACGTATACCAGAGGACGCTTTCGCGGTGTTCGAGACTTTCTTCGATCATGCGCGATACGAAGGCGACTTCGCCTCCATCAGTGACCATTTCGACTTCGGCACCTGTGCATGCCTGATCTTTTGTTATTTAGCTGGTCTATTGGGAAGGGTTGGTGGCTTTACTGAGAACGGGGGTCGTTCTTTGGCTTCTGCAGAGGATATCAATTCATCCCGGGACGCGTAGAATGGGGGGTTACACATGGTGAAGTCGATGCTGGGTTTGTAGAGTCAGTATAGACACGGTTCTAGCAATGGGTAATGTAATGTACCTGTCGACCCCCAAACGGGTGTGCAAAGGGATCAGTCCATCGGTTGGATCTGTTTTCACGAGTCGAATCCGAGATTGAAGATCATTGGCCTTGACTGTCTCTGTGGATGATTGGATATTGTTGTTGTCGATATCTGAGGTTTCAGTCAGTATCGGCCATTCCGGTCAAGACCAGTGTCCACTCACCTGTCGCTACAAAAGTCCACTGCGGCCGCGAAGTGCAGCCAAGAAGTGGATAGATGCTGCAGCATCCCGTTCCTCTACAGACACGAGTGAGATTATGACTATCTTATCTAGGGTGGCAGGTGGAGTACATATCCAAACCCACGACGTTTCGGTCAGGGTCATAATCATCTCGGTATTGATCCCCAGTGGTGTCCAGCAGGTCTTGGATCCACAGAATGTAGTTTAGTCTGTTAATTTTAGTTAGACCGGGGTCCGTGGACACGATGTTTCCGGCCCTACCTATTCGGCACCTACGCCCCGTTAGCCTAATCCATGACGTAGACAGGGTTCTGGCAGACACCTACCGGCGGGCAGAGTCTATTTTCCGGGATATCGACCGTTAAGTCGAAGTCTCGTTTCAATAGGCTCTTGGTCAATTGTCTACACATGTAATTAGTCACACGATCTGTCCACTTCGCATTCCCCGGTCTGCGGATGCATCCTACCGAACGGCTTCCGGGTCGCTGAAGTCCAATTGGCCGTTTGATTTCACGCTATGGATAGCCACCGTCAGTCATACGATACGGAATCAGTCGAGTCAATAAGTCAGGTATTATGATCTTACTGTTTCGCGAAATCGGGCGACTGCAGAGCCAGAGTCGCGAAATCAACATCGTCCTTGTAAATGTTGCGAGCTGACCTCATTGTGCTACCGAAGGTGTCATCTCAGGGTCCTTGCCTAGGCTAATTTAGTCTGGATGTCAGACGATCAAATAAGAAAAACAGGCTCCGCACACGGAATGACGATATCAATATTAGAACGGAAGCGCGGGAAGTTGACCCATTGGGTGACGGTGGGTCAGGGGAAAGGGGGTCCAAGGGCAGGCCATATTTGTATTATGGAGTAGATAGGTACACCGTAGGAGTTCGGGAAAGCTCACCGTACCAGCGAGATTCAGGGAATACGCAAAGTGGCGATCCGCTGTCGAGGACGGAGGAGAGTTAGGAAGTAGAACTTCCGACGCCTTTCTGGGCTGAGGATTTTCAGGCCCCAAGGCTGCCAGGGCGGATGATGTCATGCGAGCGGCGACGCGTTTCGCTTCTCGCCGATCCCCCTCTCTGCCGTCTCGTCTTTTCACTCCTCTGCTTCCTTCCGCTCGCCTCGCTCCATTGTATTTACTGACGGGCGGGATTATTCAATCTTCCCGTGTTTTATTCTTATTCTTATCTCCCTCCGAGCGAATCAATTGACGGTCAAAATGGACAAGTTCAGGGACAAGTTCAACTCGCTCGAGGAGCACTTTAAAGGTCAATCCGGTTCCCCACAATGGTCGCAGACTGAACTGACCATATTCCACGTGCATAGAAACCCACATCAAGGAAGAAGCCCATCACCTCAAGCACAAAGTGGGCAAGTTCTTCAACATCGTCAATCCCAATCACCGCCACGACGAAGCGCACGAGCAGGAAACCGACCGGAAGCGATCCGCAATCGCCGAATCCCACCGATTCGGCTCTTTCGCACCCATCCGAGAGAACAATCGCGTTAAGTGGTATGTCGATGCATTGGACTACCTGTGGGCCGTTTCCATCGCTCTTGAGAATGCCAAAGAGGTTATCTACATTGAAGATTGGTGGTTGTCGCCCGAACTGTTCCTCCGGAGACCTCCGTTCTTGACGCAGGAATGGCGGCTGGATCAGGTGCTGAAGCGCCGCGCCGAGGCGGGCGTGAAGATTTACGTGATTGTGTACAAGGAGGTGAGCAATTGGGAATCGGATCCGTTGCAATATTGCCAATTACTCACCCTTGGACTTAGGTCAACCAAGCATTGACTTGCAACTCCGCCCATACCAAACATGCGCTGCGCAATCTCTGCCCGGAAGGATCGCCGGGTTACGGAAACATCAAAATCCTGCGCCACCCGGATCACAACATCTTTGAGAACGGAGCTGACATGACCTTGTACTGGGTGAGAAGACCTGGCGGTTGGTAAATCTATATAGATGCGAATCGCTAATGGCAGATAATCAGGCCCATCACGAGAAATTCATTGTCATCGACTATTCTCTTGCCTTCATCGGAGGTATTGACCTCTGTTTCGGTCGATGGGACGCCCACCAACATCCTCTGGCCGACGTTCACCCGTCGAACCTCAAAGACGAGATCTTCCCCGGACAGGAGTTCAACAACAATCGAATCATGGATTTCCAGAGTGTGGGTGACTGGCAGTCCAACGAAGTCAGCAAAGCGGAGTACGGCCGGATGCCCTGGCACGACGTTGCCATGGGTCTGATGGGTGACTGTGTCTACGATATTGCCGAACACTTTGTGCTTCGATGGAATTTCATCAAGCGTGACAAGTACAAGCGAGACGACAGCGTCGACTGGCTTCTGCTTGAGGGCCGCACTGGCGAGGACGAAGACCTTGTTGCCGTTCAGCGTCCGAAGTACCCCTGCGGTGATTACGTGCAACACCCTTTCCAGCCGCTCAGCTCGAAACCCCTAGGCAACCAGGGCACAGCACGCGCACAGATCGTCCGCAGCAGCGCAGATTGGAGCAGCGGAATCTTGACCGAACACAGTATCCAGAATGCGTACAAGGAGGTCATCAGCAAGGCGGAACACTTTGTCTACATCGAGAACCAGTTCTTCAGTAAGTCTTTCGCATCATGTGTACAATTTATTGTCTGACTGCTCCTAGTCACGGCAACTGGCGACCAGCAGGCCCCTATTCTCAACACGATCGGACGTTCCATCGTTGATGCTTGCGTGAGAGCTGGCAAGGCCGGTCGGAAATTCCGGGTCATCATTGTCATTCCGGCCATCCCCGGGTTCGCGGGAGATCTCAGACAGAACGAAGCGACGGGTACTCGAGCCATCATGGACTATCAGTACAAATCAATCAACCGAGGGGAGCATTCTATCTTCGGCCAGATTTCCGCTCAGGGAGTTGATCCCAGAGGTAGGTCGTTCTTGATCCTGTCTAGTAGTGTTTACTAATATGTTTAGAACACGTCTTTGTTTTCACCCTGCGTGCTTTTGATCGTATCAACAAAACCCCGGCGCTGGAGGAGCTGGAGAACCAGGCCGGCGTGACCTACAACGACATTCAGCGTGGTATTGCCGAGTCCATCATGAGTGACAGTGTCCACCCCGCCATTGGCAAAGACGGTGACAAGAACGAAGTGGGCTATGATAACGCCGAACAGGAGAAGGAGAAGCAAGAGCGGCTCGCCCGGCTGCGCAAGTATGAGGAGAAGAGCGAGCGCCAGAAAGAAGGTCACGGTTACATCAGCAAAGACACCGTCTCGCACACGGTCATGCTCAACGGAGGCAAGATGTCCGACGAGCCCTGGGAGGGCGATGCCGAGGCAGAGAAGGAGAACTTCGTGCAAGAGGAGCTCTATGTCCACGGCAAAGTCTGCATTGTCGATGACCGAATTGCTATCTGTGGTAGTGCGAACATCAATGATCGAGTAAGTCTCTCCCCCGACGATAAACCGACGTAGACTAACATGCCACAGTCGCAATTGGGCTACCACGACAGCGAGCTGGCCATCGTTGTGGAAGATCAAGACTTCATTGACAGCACCATGGAGGGTCGTCCCTACAAGGCTGCCCGCCTGGCTGCGACGCTGCGTCGTCAACTCTGGAGGGAGCACATGGGCTTGCTTCCCGCACAAAACTACGACGCTTCTCAACATCCCAATGCTCAGCCGCCCAACGCCTGCATGAACCAGATCTACGAGGGACCCGAGAACGATTTCGTCGCGGATCCTCTGAGCGACGATGTGTGGAAGATGTGGACGGACCGGGCCACCGTCAACACCGAAATGTATCGCATGCTCTTCCGCGCCGACCCTGACGATAACATCAAGACCTTTGAAGAGTACGATAACTTCCGACCCAAATCTGGCAAGCAAGGCCACCTCTTCGATCCCTACCAGCCGGTCAAGGAAGTTCGCGAGAAGTTGGATAAGATTAAGGGCCACCTGGTCTGGATGCCTTTGGAATTCTTGCGGGATGCCGAGATGGCTGAGCCCGGACTGGCTGTAAATCAAATCACCGAGGTAAGTGTCTCTGCTGGTTGGCATCGAATGTGTTGATACTAACCGGCTGGAACAGAGTATCTACACCTGATTGTATCCAGTTTTGGACTGTTGCTTTACATTTTGATACTCTGCTTGGAACGCTTTTCTATTTCACATTTGTTGGCTTCAAACTGCCAGTTGAACTTATCCGCAACAATGATTTCTCAGCTTAATTTGCATAATCTGAATCTAATGCCAAATCGAGATGACTTTATGATTTGCAAGGGTGTCGATAACAATATCGATGTAGTCGATTCAAACCCTACTATGGACCGTGCTCACATACCAGCAGGACCAGCCAGCTGAAACGACAGAGTTCTGCTCACAGTGCGGATTGGCTAATTCATCGAGTTAGAATGGACTTCTTCGTCACAAACATCCAACCACCCTTCTCAACATCCTAAGGGTATTATTTCTAAGGGGCGATCAAACGCAGGCGGATCCAAGAGTCAATTGGCCGGCTCGTCATCCGGGTCTTCGTTCTCCCTTGATCTGTCCCGGGAGCTTTTATTTTGGTATGAAGGTCCACATTCTTGAGATCATCCATTAGAGGGGCTAATTATCCCTAGACCCGTATCGGATGCTTGCAGACTGAGTCCCTGTAGGGCCGGAATGGCCTTGTTGTCATGTTGACCGCAGCAAGAAATTCGGAGTGCGGATACAGTGAATCAATTTCCATGTCCAGCACAATCAGCCGATATACTTTTCCAATCACCTCGCCACACTATACTTGGTCTAGATCGAGATTTCCAAGACAAGTGGCTGAATCGGTCACCCGAAGTTGTTCAAACCTTCATGAGCGCGCATGTTTCTCGCGATCCCGATGACCGAAGTGAATCTCAAGGCAATCAGCCCTGGTCTAGAATCTCAAGACAAAAAGACAGTCAATCGCCGGCCTAAAGAAATTTCTGTAGCGGTGTGTGTTTTTTCATTCCTCTGCGGGTCTGTGTGTTGACTTTTCGGCTTGTCCGCTAACGAGAGACAGGGAGGGAGAGAGGTCAATACGAGTCGTCTAGCACAGTGGAGAGTGTCTTAGACGAATACCAGGCCCGGCCAGACCAGCCCTTTCAAGACACCACTGACTGAGATCCTGACTCGTATGTACAGTGAAGGGAAGTGACTCGTCCTCTCAGTTATCCTCAGCTCTTCTTTGCGCTCAATGTCTAACATGTAGGCACTTCGTAAACCCCGGTAGAGTTTCCCGGCCAGATGAGTGGACAGAATGGCAAAGATCGGAATGGATCGAGGCGCATCCACCACTGCAGATATCTTATCCGGCTCAGTCATAAGGTAGGGGCTAACACAAGCACCTGTTACCCAGATCGGGAATGTCGCTTCCTGTCATTTCTATTTTATTTTACTTTTCCTTCAGCCCTCCCCCTCCCCCCCTCTCTTCCATTTTCCTACTCTATGCATATTGCATGCTCAATATTGCTAGCATAGTATCCGGTTTTGCGCAGTGTATCCCTCCTTTACCTATCGGCTATTCTTTCTTCATTCATTCTCTTCGATGCTCTTCGATGCTCTTCCACAGACATGGGTTGATGATGCAATATCTACGCCATACAGAATCGCTTTTCCTGCTTCCCACAGGGAATCTTTTCCCAGCCCAGGTGGAGTGGATGCACACTATTATCTATCTGTTTAGTTTTGCAACCTCCACCGTCCAGTGTAGTATTTACCAGTTAGTCGACACACCGGCACAAGAGCAGACCCAGCCAGCCCAGTGAGTCGAATTCAATTTATAAAATCTTTTTCCATACCTACGGAGTACTCAGTAGTCACTCCGTACTAGGTAGTGGAGACCGCATAAGATAGTGGATACCGACACACTTAATGCGTCCTATAGTTAGTGCGTAGGTACTAATTATCCTACTCCATAATGCATGACCAATATCTTTTCCTGCCCCATAAGAAGGCAATAATAATGATAATAATAATAATAATGAGTGACATTCATTGACAACTGCCTAACATTCAGTGTCGGCCCCGAACCGCAACCCAAGCCTATCATGTCTCCGTCGCTTCAGATTTCCCCATTTTGAGTAAATAATCGTTAGATTTTAATCGACGTGCGTCGGCCGCACGGGTTCACATTCCGGATTCCGAGCGCGACATTACTGGCTGAGGGTTTTGAGGTATCCCTTTCTGGTTATTATTTTATTTTATCTTATTTTTGTGCATATCGGATATTGGGAGGGATGGGTGAGATTAGGATTGAAAGTACGACCTAGACAACAAGGTGTTATTGATCGCGTCGCCGCGTCATGAGTAGAGTAGTATTGTTTTCCTTGCGGAGACTAGTTCTATGTATGATCTATCTATTTGGATGGTGGAAGTAACGAAAAAACACCGAGAACAATAACGGAACGAAAACAGAGGGAGAAAAAAAACAGAATGGGAGTCCCGAAAACACATAGGCAAAGAAAGAACAGAGCCAACCAATACTTTTTGTATCGCAGGCCTTGACTCCAGCAATGCAATGCTTGCTTAAGAACAAACCAACAGAACAGACAGTCGTGGAAAAGTAATTCGGCCGTGTCTCTGCTTCATTAAAAGAACATAATAAGAGGGGGAGAGGAAAGAAGAGAAAATGGTGGAAGAAACGGAAGATGAACAACTGGAGAGGACAAAGGGAGCCTGCCAACAGGGTGTTCTCAATGGATGCTTCTGGCTTCACCGAAAAGGTGAAATGACATGACACCCATTCCGATCATTCAGAAAGACCTATCTCTTTGGTAAAGCCTTCAGGGAATGGAATCCGAAGGAAGCCATTGGTCCCAGGAGAATGCAAAAGGAATGAGGGAAATGTGGAGTATCCGATTGAACAGGGTTGCTTGAGGTCCCCCAAAAAAAGCAAAAGGACGAAAAGAGAGAAGGGTGGGAAGAAAAAGAAAAAAATAGAAATCAATAAAGTCCCTCCCTAGATGAGGACCGAATCGGAGTGGGTTTATCCCCTGCAGGAACCACGCAGGGATATCTGCAGCGAAAGCGTTTAGGGGTTTCCAGGAAATCTCGTATCTGAGTGGGTAAGAAATGATAAATAAAACTTAAAAAAACCAAAAAAAATAAAAATAAAAATAAAGTCAGCCCATTTTTCCTTTGTCTTAAACATTCTCCCTCCCGAGTTCCACGACTGAGGTCAGAGAGTTGTACGGATCCGGGCAGGACGTGCATCCGGATGGCAGTGGCATGACGTTGTACTTACCGCGAATAGGTGTATAGACACAAAATGTAACCAGTACTTATGCTTTCGCGGTGTGGCAGGAGTTGCACCGACAGTGGTTGCAAATCTTGCAGCGCCAAATAGCCACGAATGGGCCTGAATTGCAGTCGGAGCAGCGCCAGGTGAGGATGTTGCCGTTGGTTGCCTGCACGATGGCAAAGACATGTCCGGAGCATTGGTTGGCCATTTTGCTTCGTTTCGACTATTGGCACTTCAGCCGGTTAATGGGAGGTCGAAGCAAAGCCGTTTGAAGATGATGTTGAAGTGTTTAACTTACAAATATCAAATATCTGATGAGCAAGGGTGACAAAGAAGCTTTCTGTTGACCGGCACTGAACCGTGGAACGAGGTGGGGACCCAAAGAAAAAGGAGACACGGCAATTGAAGAGAAGGCAGGAGTAAATCAAAGACCTAAGAGAATTTTGGGCGAGAAATGGCACTTCCAGCCTGGGGCCGTTGAGGTGGCAATATTTATCCGGCGCAAGGGGAGAGAGTCACAATAGATGATGCGCGAGTCAGTTAAGACTCTATAGGTTGATCTCGAGGAATGAAGGATTGGGGGTGGAATTGTTGGCAGTGAAGAATGAGGAAGAAGTGAAGCTGATGAGGGAAGGAACAACGGGGATGAAGCTCCATAGTATATATAGGTGGGCTTTCAATTAGGACCAGGGCCAGATAGGACAAAAAGCATATCCTTTATTGAGGCATCAATGGATACAGAGCGCTCGGAGTAACCGTTCAACGTAGGATATCCCAACCAGTGTGACAAGGTCCAGACCCTGGAGTCTAGCAAGCTGCATCGAACGACTCTGTTGCGGAAAAGTGATGCAAGCACCCGATCGTTGTCTAAGAAAGGACCATTAGTGGAGTAGACATGGGAAGCTGCGTGCAGAAAAAAGGGAAGAGAAGATTTAGAAAAAAGAAAAGAAAAGAATGGAATCGGCAAGATCGAGAGAAGAAGAAAAGAAAGAACCAAAGCCGAATCATTCTCATAAAAAAAGAAAAGAAAAAAACCAAAAAATGACGATAATGACTTTGAACAAACAAATGAATTCATCACACAAAAATAAGAATAATCAAAATTCAGAGGAAGTCTAGCCTCCGAAAATCGTCAGGTCGGAGCCAATAGTCTGGTGCTTGGGTTCCCAGCAACCAACGCGCCGGAGAGAGAATAAAAAAAAGAAAAGAAGAAAATAGAAAAAGAAATTAAGCAAAGTTGATATATCGCCCAGGCAAGTGGGCCGGGGGTGGATAGTAACACCTCCCCTACGAGCTAGTCAATCCTCATGGATAAAGACTAAAGGATGATGCCACGGACCTGGGTGAGGCTCACCGGGAAGTTTGGAAGTTCAAAGGATCCAAAGGATCATCCTTATTAAGATCTCAAGAGCCGAACCCGATAGATATCTGAGAGCAAGATCTCGATCCAGGAAATCGGGCTGGTATGATTGGAGATCGAAAAGCACCAAGGCACCGGTGCTGGGGATTTGGCGTGCAGATCGCCCGGCTCCATAGGACGGAAGTATATTATTTTTATATGACAGAATCCTGTAGCCCTCCGTAATCCTTTGCAGGGCGAATGAGAATCGTGGCTGGCGATTGATATTGAAATAAGATCAGTCCAGCTGCTGCCTGGTTCGATAGGATATCATTTCCTTCATCCCCGACCCACCTGTCATTGGGGAGTTGATATTATTATACCGCATATTCGGCTCATATACATCGTGTGCGTGTTTTTTTCTGGACTTCGGTGGCTCTTGAGATCCCCGGGGATTGATTGGTCTGTGTTGATTTGAATTTTCGCTTCTCCCATCCAGGTTTCTCGCTCCACTCGAAGTCAAACCAAACCTGCAAGGCTAGACCAAAGCAGCATGCACCCGACTCGTTCCCACCCAGCTGGTCGGATGAACTCTCCCCTGGGGCCGACTTTCCCTTCCCAGGCCGTTTGTTTGCTGCCGTCTACAGCACCGAGCTGAACCGGTCCACCCCCTTCACCCCAATAGATCCACCCATCAAACAGGGGAGGTCGGACACGGAAATCGATTTGTGTCTTCCCCAGGCAATGTCGTCCGGTGTCCAGTGCACCGCGGATACGTCCATCATTCTGATCTCATCCCCCATCCCCTCCAAACGGACGTCATGGCGGTCTGCTGTCGGCAGGCTCATCGCATGGCGAGGCTGCGGTCGGCGACAGAATTGATTTTCGTTTCCCTCTTTCTTCCTGGCTTCCTCGCAGTTACTTGCACTCTCCCCCCCTCTCTTGCTGATCTTAGCCGATCGTAGCGGGCATTTGCGCCAGGGATGCAACATTCACACCCTCTCCACTTGATAGGTGAACTAACCCGTCCACTAGTCGGCTCCCAGCAAGGTCATTTTGGGTCCAAATCTAGTCCCGTGGCTGGTAACCCTAGGAAGTAAATCGAACATTGGCGAGCGAATCATGCGCCGTCTGTGCCCCCTGCCCTGACATCTCGGGACGCTTGCAGGGCCGATTGAACTAAAAAAGGACTGGGATGCTCCGTCAGACGTCCAAGGACCAAAAGGAGGGGGGGGAGGACCTAAAACAGCACGCGGTGCGCCAGCTGCCCTGAGCCCCGAATCCCAGGATTGTCCGGCTTCCTGGGCCTGCATTTCTGGACGTGTGCGACCCACCGTCCACTTTGGGAGCTAGGGCCATGAAGATCCACATGGCAGGTTTGGCCGTCGTGAATTGGAAGAAGCCAGAGTTTCCAGTACGACCACATTACAAATTAGCCAGACAAGCCGAGTCGATCGATCGTATTTCGAACCACGATCAACCCTGTCAGGAAGAGGCAGCCGTGGGCCAACGACAAGTCTCGGATTCCGCGTGAGAATGACAAGGTCAAAGGATCTAGTCCAGCAGATAGAGTAGATGGCTGACATCCTTCCCGGCCATTTTCTCTTTCCGGAATGACGACACCGGCCTAAGAGAATCTGGAACTTTTGGGGGACGAATATCCTGATCTACCGGGTGTGCTTCCCCGACGAATTCTTGCCCCGGTTGGTTTGGGCTCAGTCGCTAGCCTGACGCCAGTGTCGTTTCGTCTTCCGCGGCGCTGGGTTCTAAACTCTCTTCCCCGATTCCGTTGATGCATCGTACTTTTGCTTTCTGACAGGTCTCTTCTCCCCCTTTCCCCAAAATTGGTGATATTTGGCCTGTCGTATTCACCCTGCTGTTCTAAATCCGCCCCCACAAGCCCTGTTTTATTTTCCGAGAAGCCAATTCGGCTGCCGAGCTGTTTCGGGCGTGAAGGGTGGCCCTCAATCATGATCCTGTAAAGCGAAGTGCTCGCCAAAGTCTCTAGACAGTGGCTTTTTCTTGGGAATTCCTCTCGCTTCGATCCAGTCGATTGAGGTACTTCCCGATTCTGGATGAAATCGGTCTCTGCTCTATCACCATCGACCTTTGTACAGTGTCTGATGTCCTGCAAGAAATGATGTGCTGATAGAATCAGCCAATTCTTCTCGCCGATGATGCCTCCATGCCGCGTATTCAACCTTCCGGGACGCACACCGCTACAATGTTCGGTTGGGGCCATATGAAGACGCAGATCTATTCGCCTGCTATGCAGCAGCAAACAGCTATTCGATAGTGTCGTCGTGTGACATCGCTATAACGTCAGTTCGCTGGATGGCGGGGGACTGAATCAAATCTTCCGTCGCATTCTCCTGCGGGTTCCCAGCAAATGAAAAAGTATTACATCGGTTCAGTCAATTCGCCGGACGCGCTGTCCGAGACTTGGAGTCGGGCATTTGTTCAATGCCGTCATGCAGCCGGGTAGACGACGATCCTAATAAAAGTCAAGAAAGATACAAAGGGACAACAAAAAGAAAAAAGGTGAAGGAGGCTGCTGAGGAGCTGAGCTGAAGAGCAAATGCCAATACGGTGAGAGTTGATGAGCGGTCAATGGAATGTATCCAAGAAATGTTTTATTCCAAAATCAATATTTACGAAAAGTGCACAGACGGCCAGGTATACGTAGAGAATGTCTGAGACGTTAAAGTGCATCACTTCCACCGGCTTACGCCAGATTATCAGTCAAGAGACATGAAACTCGAGAAAGTGGTGCCTTCAACCCTCGTCAGCCTGGCAGCTGCCCATCTCCCATTGCCAATAGGCAAAGGGATATGAACAGCCAGCCAAAAGCAAAAATATTTGATCTCCCAACGCTCCGTTAAGAACAGTCTTGTGAACCAAGTCCAGAGATAAGATATCTCCTTTCTAACAAGTTGCTCCTGCAGTACCCAGAGTGGACTGCATCGCTGGTGTTTTCGAATGACAAATCATTCTCCATCGCTGGAGATGCGATATGCATCGAAGTGTTCTTTCTGAATATCCAAATATTGTAATGATAGAGGGATGAAAACCATTGAGGTTGATCCAAAAGTATTGTCATCGTAGTTTCACATGTTCTCCTGCTCACTTTACCTAATGGGATATCTCTAAGTCCATGGTCAAGGGGGACAAGAGTAAGAAGTCATGAATGAACAAATTGCCACCCAAGTACGAATAGTAGCTTCCGTGTATGTTCCAAAAGCAAACGAACCCGCTGCCGCTTGTTGTAGGGAAATGAAAGAGTATCATCAAATTTTCTTCTGGTCGTAAATGTCTTGAGCCATCATCATTTGAATACCAGACGTGTGCTTTCGGAGCATGGGTGACTCAGAAGACACGGTGGCGTCAAAAATAGAAAAAGGAAAAACAAATACCCCATGATTAATGTTGCGCATATTAATCATTGAGGTGGAACAATGCCGAAACACTTCGAATGTCGTTAGCGATTCCAATTCCGTGTCATGAGCTGGAAACACTCACCTTTCACCATAGTGATGACGTCGGATACTCTCCGCAACAAGACTTGAGATGTCGATGACAATCAACTTCTTCGACTTCTTGAGCATTTGAGGGTCGACCGGGAAAGTGTTTGTTACAACAATGTGATCGATCGACTTGCATTGCTCCATCTGCTCGAGGGACTCATTTCCGAAAAGGCCATGAGTCGCGATGCAGTAAACCTTTTTGGCACCACCTTTCTTGACAACCGTCTCAGCGGCAGCAATCCAGGATCCGCTCTTATCAATCATGTCATCAACGATGAACACCGTTCTGTCGCGAACATCTCCAACTAAGGTAATGGTCTTTTCCTGCTCGGCAGTCCGGGCCACGCTACCTTCTTCGTCTGAAGATTCGGCGGCATCAAAGGAGCCACCAAGAGCATGATCGGCTGGCTGGGAGGATGTGGTCGAGATGAGAGATTCGGCCATCGGGTCAGCGATGGGTTCACTACTATCCTGGCTGGGGTTCGGTCCAGGGGTGGTTTCGCCGGACACAGGAGCCGAGGACTCAGCCGAGGGGTAGTCATCATCTACAAGCTGACCCTGCACGAGTCTCCCAGTGATGACATCCCGCACTCGAACGTCAGTGTACTCACGCGCAGCCTCCAGCTCGGATGGGCGACGGGCACCGGACGACAAGTCGGGGATGAGGGAGCTCGCCGAGGCAGGTAAGACATCGGCGTTCTGAGACTTTTCGGACTCAGAAGCTTCGTCGCTTCCGCTCTGAACACGCACCACGAACGGGTCTTGGTCTTTGGGGGCAGGGGTTTCCTCTCCCTCGATAGAATCAAAGAAGACAGTGCTGTCCGTCATGGTCACGGACATCTTCGGACGCCGTCTATCGGTGGTGACGATGCCAAAGTTTAGTTTGAGTGTGTCCGCCAACGAAGTGACCCGCTTGGTACCTCCGGCATTCTTGCTGACAACGACGGCTTCCTTCCAGCCGGGGACGTTCATGCGGATCCATCGCGCAATGAAGGGCTCCGCAAAGAGGTTATCCACGGGCTTGCCAAAGAAACCCTGCATTTGAGATGCCTAGAACGGTTCGAATCTGATAAGAATCCCGCGTGTGATTCGTCGCAGCAAAACAAAGAAGGAATGCCTTCACAACAGGGGTCGCCTGTTGGTACTCACATGCAAATCCAGAGTTATCACATGGTCCACCCCGGCAACTGAGAGCAAGTTTGCCAGCATCCGGGCAGTGATGGCACCACGGTGACTCTTCTTTTTGGATTGGCGGGAGTACGGGAAGTACCTCGACGACGTCAGCATCAACGGCGTAGCATTCAAACTAGACAGGCTTCATACGGCATGACCGCTATAGGCAAGCATGAGGTCAGCCAAAACAGGATCAATGAGTGGTGGAATTTTGATCGCGGAGACCGGAGACGCACCTGTGATAGATTTGGCGGAACCACCCTTGCAAGCAGAGATCATGATCAGCAGCTCCATTACGCTGTCATTGATCTTCCCACTACCGCTCTGGACGATGTAGACATCTTGGTTCCGAACCGAAACACCAATGTTGACACTGGTCTCGCCATTGGCGAACTTCCCAAGGTTGGCCCGGGCAGGCTGGGTGCCTAGGCGTTCGCAGATGGTTTCAGCGAGCAAGGGATGAGATGTCCCGGAAAAAATCTGAACTCCCCGCATTTTACAAGAGTCTTATCTGTTATGACAGGGCATGGACTGGGGGTTGAGTGAGCAGAGTCAACGTGGGGGAGCAGATCGTGGAACACATCTCATGTGGTTGAGGGGGAGAAAAAAGAAAAACAGAGGGAAAAAGCGGGTGGAGCTTTTAAAGGTGCGGGAAGGGGAAAAACCGAAAAAGAAAATCGTCAGGTCGTCTTGGGTGTCTCTCGTCTGCCGTACCGCCTGTCCACCCCGCCAGACCTGCTTCACCCCGCCGTCTGTCGTCAGTCATGTCTTCCACCAGCTCCCTCACATTATAATATGGCTTCTAAATACCCTCCGGTCCAAGGCGGAGGCTCTCTCATCCTTGCTTGGCAGGTCAAGCAGAAGAATGTCCTTGTCATAGGCGGTGGGGAGGTACGATCCCCTTTACCTAACCAGCATGCTCGCTTTACTAATGACGTCCCAATCTATATCTGTGTTTCTAGGTAGCTGCTGGTCGGATCCTCCATGCTCTCAATGCCGATGCCAAAGTGACGGTCGTTTGTCCGTCATCCGGCCTCAACGATGAAGTCGCCTTTCGAAAATCCGAGGGCCAGATCCTGCATATCGACCGAAACTTCGAACCTACAGATCTAGACACGGCGGACATGGTACTGTGTGCCATTGACGACCCGGAAGCGTCCACCCAGGTGTGGAAACTCTGCAAGGAGAAGCGGATACCGGCCAACATTGCCGATGTACCTCCGGAGTGCGATTTCTACTTTGGTAGCGTGCATCGCGACGGTCCATTGCAGGTGATGGTCAGCACGAACGGAAACGGTCCGAAGCTTGCCAGCATTGTGCGGAAGAAAATCGCCGAAACCCTTCCCAACAATATGGGTGCAGCGATAGATAACGTGGGCAAATTGCGTAAGAAACTCAGGGAGGTTGCTCCTCAGGCCGAGGAGGGCCCCAAAAGAATGAAATGGTACGTTGGAAGGTTTCGTCTCTAGCGATTCTCCGCCGATACTAACCGACCGATTCTTCAGGATGTCCGGAGTATGTGAGTCGTGGAGCCTGGATGACCTTGTCCGAATGAATGATCAAGATATGGATGGTCTCCTGGCCCATTACAAGTCCGGCAAGATCCCACCGTTGGAAGAGATCCGGTCGGGCTGAGCGGAATTGCTTAGAAGCTCTGTTTCATTTTTGTTTGATTCAGTCCACAATTTGGCTCGATGATGTACGATCTATGAAGCGCTACCACAAACTATTATACCCAACTGATGGGACGGTTGAAAATAGAAATATTCGCTCTTTTATGGTTTGGATGTGTACATACATGTATAAAGCCCAGCTCAAATGAAGAAACTCAATGGGTTGTTTAGGAAAAAAGGTCAATAAGAAAAAAACTGAAAGCATTGCTAAGTCTACAGGTATTCCATCCAGTGCGAGACAAGCCCGACAATCAAGGAGGCGAGGATATCCAAAAACGGTAACAAGGAAAGGTAGAGAGGAAATAGGTAAGCTCAGCACATCCCCCAGTCAAATCTAACTACTGGGCTTGCGGGTGGATGACTGGGAAATGGACTTCCTCGGACTGATGGGCGTCGGGGGCACAGGAATACCCAACTTCGCCTCACCAATTCTCCGAAGTAGGGCCTGAAGTGCCACCCGGATTTCAGGGTTCAGGTCGCGACTTAGCAACTCAACGCAAAGTGGGTAGAAGGTCTCAACATGCTTGTCAAAGCCTTCATATGGGAAGTTGGTGTAGCCGTCGAGAACATCAACAACAACGGGGCGCCAGGCTAATATGTTGCGATGTTGCGAGTCTTCATCCAGGAGGACAAAGCTGCGAATGATGTCGGCGCAGAGTCTAAATGAAAGAATTAGTATCTAATTGAAATTTGCCTCATGGGAAGTAGCCGGGAAACTCACGGGATGAGGGCGGCTTCTGTCGCCGCTCGGCTGCTCTTCCTCTCGTCCCTCTCGTCGTGATACATGCGGAAAAGGATATGGACGTAAGTCGCCGCACTCCCACTCTCCTGCTTCAGCAGATTCGGTGGCTGCTTCATGAAGCCCTGGCGCCAGAGCTGCATCCGGAGTTCCTTGTCTTCATTGAATTTCTTGGCAAATTGGTAACTCTTTTTCAGCAGTCCCATCAACCGGAGAAGTTCATGACTCGGAATCTGTGCATAAACTTTATCGTTGGAGAACAACTCATGTACGGTCTCAATCATGAGCAATTGGAGCACGCAGTTGGTTATGATTCGGTTGAAAAACCGACGTCGTGCGACAGTGACGGCGGCTGGCTGCTGTTGCACATCGGCTTGGGGTCGGTAGTCCTCCAACTCGGCGTTGGACGCGGCAGGCATGTCACCCTCCTCATGCTCATGTTCCACATGCTGCAATCCGTTGGTCTTCGAAGAGTCGCCGAAATTTTCCGGGACGGATGCCGAGTCGGCCGATTCTGGCGCGCCATCCTCGGAGCCGTCCGTCTCGCCATTGGCGGGTTTCTGCGAGTTCGGCGACTTCGTATAGATTGTCGCGGCGGCTGTGAACAGCTCATAGGCGGTAGTCTTGCTGAAAAGCTCAACGAAGGCACCCACAACCTTGGTCCAGTGTTCTTGCCTGAATTTCAAAACATTCTGCAGTATCAATTGCTGTAAACAGTTGCTACCGATGCGGGCGATTGTGTCATTCTCCTGGCAAATGCAAAGAGTCAGAAGCTCCAGAATGCGGTCGAGCATGTACTCCAACGCGTCGAAATAATGCGTGAACAGGGTAATCATATTCCTCAGAGCCTGAATCATCGTCGTCGAAAGCCACACCGAAAGCTCCTCGTGGTTGGGTACTTTAGACATCTCAGACTTCGACTGCAGCACGACGAAGATGGGGTAAAGAAGCTGCCGCCAAAGGACGTCCCAGAACTCTTGAGGGAAATCGCCACCGTATCGGATCAATGTATCAAAAAGATACGTCAATGCCCTGTTCAAGCATGTTAGCGCAAATACGCCAGAAGAGTGTTCGAAGACCAGGTTCTTACCGTGATCGAGCCTCAAGGTCATCGCCGGTCATCAGGATATCTTGGAAGGCGATCAAGATAGGATACCAAAATTGCTCCTCCTTTGACTGGCGGGTAAGCTGTTTCGCAAGGTTTGTAGAGTCAATGATGACCTCCTGTGATTGGGCGCCGCGGTGGGAGAGAGGGCATTCCGGTGCCCTGAGCATTTTCGTGACGGTGGATTTAAGGAGTTCAATTGCCTGTAGGGATTTCTTCTGGAACTTCATGTTCTTAGAAAACTCCGTGAGACAAACGATCAGATCGGGGAAGGCGCCCTGTGTGATCACAACACCGAAACGGGTGTTGTAAACTTGGGTGACATGCTCAAAAGCCATGTTGACAATGCCCTCTGTAAGATCATTAGATATCAATTTGAATCGAGTTAATTTACTGCACAGACTTACCATAGGGCTCCCGAGCAGCAACTGTGAACACGCCAAACATAGTTTTCCAACCGGATCGAATGTTGTCACCCCGTGCCTGGATCATCTGAATGAGACATCGGAGGATCATGTCCTTTACCGTCACGGCATTGCTGTTGGCCATGACATGCTCAAACGGCTTCAGGAAATCCTTTTGGAACTTGAATCCCGGCAGTTCTTCGATCTCCATGAAGCGCATGGAAAGTTGACGAAGCGAGTCCAACGCAAAGAAGACAACCGTTGTGTTTGAATGACATCCAACATGGTTAAAGTGCTGTCCGAGGACCTCCCAGATCTTTGACCATTCAATCCTGACTCGGGTCATGTTGTAGTAACTGATTTCGACCAGCTTCTGCAAACTGTATGTCCGAGGGGAGTCAGTCTGTCCCGAGGATTGAATTTCCTGCCAGCTCACATCGCTCAGCGCACGGATGAAGTCGATAATGGCCTCGTGGGATAGATTGGCAGTGTTTGTGAAGATACGATCTACGCCCCTGATCATCTCCGCGGATCGGCTTTCCATGGCGACTTCTGCTCGGAAGGCTGCCGGGCCATTTACCGATCGCGGACGGGGCCGCCTGGCCGATTGAATCGACCTGCGGGAGCCATCCGAAGAGGCCTGGGGCACAATGCGGGCTCGAGATACATCAGGCAGAGACCCCTCGTCGACGCCATCCGTCAGGAGCTGGAGTCGGTCAAGTTGACTGACACAGGTCAGGATCTCTCTCCAGGAGCTCTTCAGCCGGTTTCCTTCTGACAAAGCGACGTCGAGCAAGACCTTCAATGCTTCCACATTCTTAGCCACCATCTCTCTAATGTTGCCCAGGTTCGTGAACTTGGCAAGAGCCGTCACGAATGCGACCCGTGGAGTTTCCAAGTCGAACGCGCAGCTAATGCGAATGGCAAGCTTCATTCCCTCCATGCAGAGCTTGATGATTTCCAGGTATTGGGTGTCCTGCATGGGGGCCGAAAGGCCAGAAAGGAAAGACATCCAAGTAACATTGAACATTGAGCCGACGTGTCGGACGGAGGTGGCGGGAATGAAACGTGACAGAGCCTCTTTGACGGCGGTTTTTCGCTGGGCCCGGATAAGGCTTCGGTAGAGTTGCTCGGTTTTGTTCGCCATCTCTTCGGACGCCTGTGCATACTTCTCGCCCTGGATGTCCCGTCCCACAGTTGCGAAGACCTGCCCAGCCCGAGATGCCAAGCCAGCAGGGGTGGAGGTTGGGATTCCAACGTTGGCAGCATGCTCTCTCTCGGTGTCAAGCACAATTTCGTTATGCGCAATCTCATCGTAGATAGCCCCCAGGTAATCATTAGGCAGATCCTGATTGTCGTTAATGCCCCTATTGTTCTTGATGAAGTCCTCCTTGGTCATGCGATTGCCCCTGATCTTAGAGCTGTGCTGATCGGTATTGAGCATGATGACAGAGTACGACAGGACGTAAGCGGTGTCGGCATTAGCGAAAGCATTTGGGTTCTGGGTTGTGTACCGTTCAGCAAACTTGAGCATAAATCGATCAATCTTCTGGGCCTCTCCCGGGAGTCGGAAGTGCTGAAGAAATTGACGGAGGGCATCCACAAAGCGCCGCTTCGCGAATTCCATCATGTCCACGAATGCGTGCATGATGGCTATGTTTTCAGCATCCCCTTCACCAAGGTATTCGCCTAGCATGGCCTTATCTAACCGGTCGTTTCGGAAGAGGAAGCCCGCCATCTCCTCTGGGGAATCGGACCGTACGAAACCCTCTTGCACAAAGAGCTTGATACCACGCTTGGGCTTGAAGTTGAATTGCTGAACGGCATTCGTGAGTGCAATCTTCCGCTGCTTAACCTTTTCTATCTGGCCGGGGTCATCTTCGGCCACTGGCGTTGACCGACCGGTGCTGCCATCACCATCGACCCTCGGTGAGGATAGGTAGGCGCCGACGTTGGTGTCAAGTGATTCCCTGGAGTTATCCATGGACTTTTGCGACGAATGATTCGGAACAGCAGCTGGCTGGTCCGCTATGCGCTGAGAGGCCCAATTGTCTAACGATTGCAGAATCTCCACCAAACACTCAACGGCTTGATTCTTCAGTATATACTCTGGAGGTACATTTTGCAGATTGGGCTGCTGGGCATTGGCAATATTGGCGGTTGTGAGGTTAGGGGGCAGAGTACCACGCTGATGCCAGTCGCTCCCCAGCTTCGAGATCTTAACATAGTGCTCCTGGAAGGTCTGCTGCTGCAAGGCATTCACAGCAACTGGTACACTGCAATACCGCGAAAGTTGCTCGATGACGCTGTACAAAACAACACGTTAGACACTGTTATAACGACAAAGGTAAATCGGTGGCTGCAAACATACTTCTGGAAAATGTTTTCTAGCGCTGTCCTGTCACAATCGTAGTTGAGATATATCTCAACCAACGCCCGCGGATCACCCGCTAGCCTTTCCAAGATCTCCATGAAATATTGTTTTTGGAAGGTGGGCGAGTTTCTCTTCTCGAGAATTGCGAGGTAGATCTCCTTCAGGAAAACCTCAAGCTCTTTCTGTTTGGTGTCAGATACATCAGGAAGATAACATAAATCTGTGGAAACAAACCTTCATCATGACCCTCATGTGCTTAAGCATCAACCAAAATAGCTCGCAGCAAACTTCAAAAACTCTTGGCACGGAGCTAGATCCATTGCGACTAAGACTCAGACACAAATGGGGCCGGACAGCTTGAAGAAGCGTCATGGCGTCTGCGCTATTGGAGCTCTGTCGGATCGTCAAAAGCGGAGACGTAAACACAGCGACGTGGTTATTGATGAGATAATGAATGAGATGAAGGGAGAGTAGTTTCGACCGCATGTGCTGCGATTTCAGATCTTGCTGCTGGTCGTGGCTGAGAATCTTATGGCTCAATTTGCAGAGGGCCCTCAATACCAAGAACGAATCCTTGACGTAAACCTCGTCTTCGTCATCATCCGCAGACCCATCAGTGTCTTCTCTGTCATCAGATCCTCCGCTTGAAGATTTTGCATGCATCTGGCCGACCTTCGCACGAGTGACCGTCGTTGGGGCATTATCGTTGACGGAGGTGACATCCTTGCTTGATTCGAAGCTTTGCAGTGTGAGTTTTTCCACGGGCTCTTTCAAGACGGGTTGGTCGGCAACAGTCGCGGAGGCTGCATCCGACACGGGATCTTCATCGTTCGTCTGGGCCACGTCGGGTTCGAGGGCAACGGTGTCCGAGGAAGCTCCCTGGCCCTTTTCACCCTCGCGCATGTGCAATTCCTTCAGCTCCAGTCGCACGCGCACTCTATCGAACACCGTGCTGACCATCTGCGTCAGAGATCCCTGAGCAATTTGCTGGTTTTGACTAGACTTAGAGTATATAAAGATGTTATATATCTGGCGAACAGCTTTTAGGAGACCCGCTCCATGCACCACGATTTTGTCATTCAACACTGCCGCGAGTAGCGATTTGATGATTTGCTGTTGAATCTCCACCGGCGTGGCTTCATTTTCAAAACAGTCGCAGATAGCATCGATGGCTCGTTCGATCAAAGGTGGCTGTTGTGGCTGCTGATCCGAGGCAGTCTCGGTTTGAATGTCCTGCGCCGAAGGGAAGGCAAAGTAGGAATACGTGATTAATTTGCCAATGCAATCAAGCGCCGTCACTTGCAAGGGAATGCTAAGGCTCTTGGTTGCGATATATAGAGGGCGGAAAATAAGTTCGGGATCGATGGGTTGACGGTCCAACTGTTTCACGTTCGCGAGCGCATTCCTGACGGCCTCTTCCAATTCCTTGCTCTTGCGTGCTTCCCTCGATGCGCCAATAGTGTCGAGTGCGGTCACGATGAACACGGTGGAGCTGACGGGCACAGATCGCTGGGTCGCAAACGTGGCAGTTGTCGACCTCGAATCCGAGCGTAATCGGGCATCGGAAACAGGCTCATCCTGGGCAGGAGCTGTATCATCGGCATTCTTAATCTCGCCAGGGGTGTCCCTCTCAGGGCTGGCCGTTGAACCCTCGGCAGGGCTAACTGCATCTCCTTCTTTGTCTTTCTCTTCTTCTCCTTCCTCCTCCTTCCGGTCTGGTGAAGGTTGCGGTTCCTCCCCGGTCTCTGCGGTTTCGACGGGGGCCTGCGGAGGAGATGAATCGTGGTCGGTGGATTCTGTACTGTCAGCAGGCTCCGATTTGGCTTGCGATTCGTTATCCTCCGGCGTTTGATCCGTATCAATCTCTAGGCGTTCTGACTCAATTGGCAACGTAGGCTTGTTTTCGTCAACGACCTCAGGGGACTCGGAGTGCGTGGAGACATCCACCCCGGTCTCTTTGGCGTCTGGCTGCGGTGTTTGGGCCGGCCCGTGGGGAGAGCCATTCTCGACTTCCGCCATTTATGCGAGACTCCGTCCGGAGAATCCAGAAGTATGTAGACGAGGGGTCCACATGGGACTAATTGAGGGACTAGTGAAGCGGAAGGGAACGTAGAGAGAGGAGACAAGACAGCACGGGAGAGAAAGGCGACCAGCTGCTATGCGGGCCCCATAAGCATGCGTGTCTTCTCCCGCGGGCGACGACAAATCTACGGCGGTCGGCAGGGACCGGAGACGCCAGGTCGGCTTACGTAAATGGGACTACGGCGGCAGCCGGCGAGTCTATTCCGATCGCTCACCGGGAAGCTCAACAGAAAAGTTCCTTAGAGCTGCAATCCTCAACTCTTTATGATACCGGGCCCCGTCCACCTGCCACCGTCATTCCATCCCCTTCTCATCTCCTCTCCACTCTTGATTGAGCCGCGGGCCTTCTCCCTGTATCATAATCACAGCATTTAGGCACCATGGTTGCCTCTGCTGTCCGGATGCGCACCCCCAGCGCCATGTTCCTCTCCAAAGGCGCCTCCTGCCTGAAGAGGCCGCAGGCCATGCACAGATTCAAGGAGACTCTCCAGTATGAGCCTCCATCGATTCCCTGATTCTTTCGTCAATCCCGCGATGCTGATGTCTTTTTTCTCCTATTTTGCAGACCTCAATTGCCTGCCTTCTCCGCCCTTTCCCGATACTATGCCTCGAAGTGTATGTTATCCCGTTTTTTCTTTTTTTCCGCACTGCTTATTTGCGTGCCATCTTCGCACACCATCACCACCACCATCACCCAGGGAAGGATTCCATTCTAACATGTTGATTTCACAGCCTTCCCTCCCCACACTATCATCAGCATGCCCGCTCTGTCGCCGACGATGTTGGCCGGAAACATCGGCGCATGGCAAAAGAAGGCCGGTGACGGTCTGCAGCCCGGTGATGTCCTGGTGGAAATCGAGACCGATAAGGCACAGATGGACTTCGAGTTCCAGGAGGAGGGTGTTCTCGCCAAGGTCTTGAAGGAAACTGGTGAGAAGGAGGTTCCCGTTGGCTCGGTATGTGTTTTACCTCTCCGGAATTGGCCACTTGGTCTTTAGCAGAGTTTTGCTGACGGGGGTTTTCTTTTCTTTCTACGCAGCCTATCGCCGTTCTGGTTGAAGAGGGTGCCGATGTTTCCCAATTCGAGTCGTTCACCCTGGAAGATGCTGGTGGCGACAAGTCCGCCGCGCCCGCTCAGGAGAGCAAGGAAGAGTCCAAGGGCGATGCCGCCCCCACGCCCTCGACATCGGAGTCCGAACCCGCTGCTCAGGAGCCCGAGACTTCGGGTGAGAAGCTCCAGCCCAGTCTGGATCGTGAGCCCGCCATCAGCCCTGCCGCCAAGGCGTTGGCTCTCGAGAAGGGTGTCTCTATCAAGGCTCTCAAGGGTACCGGCCGTGGTGGCCAGATCACCAAGGAGGATGTCGAGAAGTTCAAGCCCAGCGCTTCCGCCGCTGCCGGTCCCACCTACGAGGACGTTCCTCTCACCTCGATGCGCAAGACCATTGCCAACCGCCTCCAGCAGTCCATGCGCGAGAACCCTCACTACTTCGTCTCGACCACTCTGTCGGTCAGCAAGCTTCTGAAGCTCCGCCAGGCCCTGAACGCCTCCGCGGATGGCAAGTACAAGCTTTCGGTCAACGACTTCCTCGTCAAGGCCTGCGCCGCCGCTCTCCTGAAGGTCCCCGCTGTCAACTCCAGCTGGCACGAGGAGAACGGTCAGGTCGTCATCCGTCAGCACAAGACCGCTGACATCAGCGTTGCCGTGGCCACTCCCAACGGACTGATCACCCCCGTCGTCAAGAACGTGCAGAACCTTGGTTTGTCCAACATCTCGAACCAGATCAAGGACCTCGGCAAGCGTGCTCGTGACAACAAGCTCAAGCCCGAGGAGTACCAGGGCGGTACCTTCACCATCAGCAACATGGGCATGAACGCCGCCGTCGAGCGCTTCACCGCCGTCATCAACCCCCCTCAGGCCGGTATCCTGGCCGTCGGTACCACTCGCAAGGTCGCCGTCCCCGTCGAGACCGAGGAGGGTACCTCCGTCGAGTGGGATGACCAGATCATCGTCACTGGTAGCTTCGACCACAAGGTTGTCGACGGTGCTGTCGGAGGTGAATGGATCAAGGAGCTGAAGAAGATCGTCGAGAACCCCTTGGATCTCCTTTTGTAAGCGCGTTTGCGGCTGATTTGGAATTCCATTCGGGGTTCCGTGGTCTTTTGGAGGATTTGTTTTAATATGTATTAAAAATCAGCTTAGTTTTTGCCCCTTTTGGGTCATCAGAGACCCTTTTTAAAGTACAGTTCATAAGATCTCAATTCTATCTCCTATGTTTGTTGAATGTCTTTGGCGTAGTCCTTCTACTCATGTTACATCTGTAGTTCTATACAGTAAACCCAAAGTTAAGAATCCACTTCGAAGCTTAAAAGGCCCAGGCGATCCCGGAGGTGCGTGGCTGCTGGCCGGGGCTTGGCAGTGTCCGCGCATGAGCCCACTCTATGACGTGATGTCATACTTCCATTCCCTGGAAGGCCCGCGTATAAAGGCCGATGCCACCCATTCCCAAAACTCTCTTCTCTGTCTCGTTCCTGCACACGATCCCGAGGTCAACCGATTCTTCAACTTTCCCTCCATTCTGCTCCTATTCCTCCTCAGTAAGTCATGTTAGATGGTCGAGCCGACGGCTTCGCATCTTTGCGACTGGTTGGTCGTTTTCCAAGGATGGCGTGATCTCATGGTTTCTGAGCAGACTCTCCCACATTCTCTCCCATCCCCAGTTCTTCCTACGAACAACACCGTCAGAATGTCTTACGCCGACGCTGCTGCCCAGGGCCCGAAGCAGAGCCCAGCCGAAGTAAGTTCCATCCCTTAAACTCTCGTCTTGGCACCAGCCGGGTCTTTGATGGAATCGCACGCTGACTGCTTCATCCCCAGGCGTGAGTGAACATATCCGACTACTTCTAAAGATTCGGAAAATAGCTAACATTCCAATCCAGTCGCGCGCCCAACATCTCCAAGGTCTACAAGGATGAGTCCGAAAGCACGGCATCCCTGGTGGACGTCGACTCCCCGCACGTGACCACGGTAGACTCCAGTTTCCTGGAACAGGACGTCAAGACGTCGACCCAGGCCGAGCGCATCGAGCGCGAAGAGGAGGAAGCAGCGAAGGAGAAGAAGGCTCGCACCGAGCGCAAAGCCAAGGCCAAGTCTTCCGGCATCCGTAACAACAAGAGCAACCCCGTGTATCTGGGCAACGCTGTGCTTCTGAGTGCCATCGGCGCAGGACTTGGATTCGGTGCCTACCGAAAACACCTTGACGGTAAGCTGTCGTGGCAGCTCGTCGGTCTGTGGTCCGGGGCTGTCGGAGCCTTCGGCGCAGTTGACTACTTCGTTAGCAAGTGAGTGCACGGCCGCCATCGCGTTGACTTGTGGGGTGTGTTTGGCTAATGATATATCGTTCGCATAGGTGGTTCCTTCAGAACAAGTACCCCCCCAAATAGACTCGATATCTACTTGGTTGGTGGATGAATGCGGTCTTTTGACTCTTGACTTTTGACCTTTTGTCTCTATTACCCCGGGTTTGCGAATTTGTCTCGTTTTGTTTCATTTGTAGAGGCTGGAGTTTAAGCAGTGGTGGGAGGATTCTCATTTCTATGGTTTATGTCAATAATTTACAGTACTCTTGACTGGTTTATTCGGGTCATATCATCTGTTTACTGGAATGATCGTTATCATATCTAGTTAATACACTCTCCTCTGATACTGGCAAACTCGCTCAACCGTAAAATATATATTACTCGGAGAATGGAAGCTGTAGAGAAGACCGAATCGCTATGTTGCTGTCCGGACTACCCATAGTAATTAATAAGTGGAGATTTCGCCGAGGGCAATATTTATTTATGACAGCAAGCGAGTGTGAAAGAGCGTACTCCGGTGTACAGAATCACGATGTATACTTGGATGTCGCTAGGCAACTCGAAGCCGACCGGCAGAAGATCGCCAAGGCGGTCAGCGACGTCAGAATGGCAAGAACATGTGGCCTTGGCCCGCATACTTATAATTAGCATCATCGTGCGGACACGTCGACGCCGTAGACACCGACTCGGAACTAGAAGCGGCATTTTCTTCGTGCCTTTTGTCTCACGGATTTTCAAATCTTATGAAATTTGAACACACCTTATACCTATATTCTCTCTGGCGACTTTCCTGAATCTCGCGATAAACACGCCGGTTGCTCATACGAAGAAAGAAATCACTTTGCGCTTGACGGAAATATGGTGCGTGCTCCCCTGCGATACATAGTATATGGGCCGTGCTGGCATATTTATAGCTTTCAAATCTCTAACAACAAACTTCAACGGACAGAATTCCCTCTTCAATTCCGCCCTCAAGCAGTCTTCTGCTATCCGGCGCGATTTGGACACATTCTCGCAATCCCCTGCGACATCCTCTGCAGCCTTGCAGGGTACGTGGACCCCGTTGAATACATAGCGCAGGATGTGCCTTATTTTGGCGCCTATTGGAGGCTGGATACTGATCGCACAATCAACAGGCCAGATAGCGGCTTCTCTTGCCTCTCTATCACGAACGATCGACGACTACTCGGCCCTGTCCAAGAAAGAGCTCATCCCCGAGAAACAAGAAAAGGCATTTGAGCGAACGAAGAAATTTCGATCCGAACTCGCCGACTACCGACTACATTTCGATCAACTACGGAAAGAGAGAGAGGATGCGGTGAGTCTGGCCTTTGACTTGGATAGTGGAGGATGATGTTGCTGACAGTCACGATCTTTTGCTATAGCAATCCGTGACAAATCGCAATGAGCTTCTTGGTCGACGACCGCACCATACAGCCACCCCCGAGAATCCGTATGCCCAATCGTCACTCCCCAACCCGTCGCCATTCGCCCCGTCTTCTTCTCGAGCCGGTCTCAGCTTCGGTGCCTCGCCGGCGGACTATAACCGGGAGACGCATGCGCTTCGCGAACAGTCCTTCCTCGGTACTACGAACACGCAACTCGATGAGTTTATCGACCGGGGGCGAGCGGTCCTAGCGGATCTCGGCGACCAGCGAGAAGTTCTGAAGGGAACACAACGTCGGTTGTACAGCGTAGCCAACACTCTGGGCGTCAGCGGGGAGACGATTCGAAAGGTCGAGCGCCGGGCGAAACAGGACAAGTGGATTTTCTGGGCAGGGGTGATCCTGTTCTTCCTCTTCTGCTGGGCCGTTTTGCACTTTTTGCGGTGAAGGTGAAAGCGAAAGTGACGGGGAAGGGAGGTGTTTATGTATGATGGGATTGTCTTAATGTATCAACAGCGACTTGAGCCATCGTTCCTTTCTTTTTCTGAATTTCCATTTGTTGCTCTGTTTGTGTGATTTAGTTTCAATTGGCCAGCGCCGGTGTTTGGGAGGGAAATGAATATTTGATGCAGTTCGGGTAAATTCGGTCTACACTCTACAAGTCGAGCACTACGTAACTGAGCTTTCCCTGAGAAAAAGGCCAAAGTGGCTGCCGTGTCAACCGTCGTGGGGATCGGAAAACGGAGCGATTTAGCCGCCCCAATTATTCTGCTTTCCTTCTCACCGGCAACCAACGGGCCCTTCGCTTCCTCCCTTCCGCCCTTCTCTTCTTTCTTCTTCCTCTCCCTCCCTCCATCCGTCGCATTTGTTTTCTTCTTCTCCTCCATCCTCCATCCATCCCCCTCTCCCAATATAATTGTAGATAGAATCTTTTTCTGTCTCTTACACACCAGCACAATGTTCGCTGCTCGTCAGACCTTCAACCTCTTCCAGAAGCGCAGCTTCTCTGCCTCTGCCAGCCAGGTGTGTGATGAACCTTTTGTTCCTCGCCTTGAACCTCGGCGCTCGTCCCCAGCGTGCTAACCTTTTCCTCTTCGCTCCAGGCCTCCAAGGTTGCCGTCCTCGGTGCTGCCGGTGGCATTGGCCAGCCTCTCTCCCTCCTGCTCAAGCTCAACCCCCGTGTCTCTGAGCTCGCTCTCTACGACATCCGTGGCGGCCCTGGTGTGTTTCAGCTCCCATCTATCCGCGCCGGTGATCGGAGCTTTGCTAACCTCCCCATCTACAGGTGTCGCTGCTGATCTGAGCCACATCAACACCAACAGCACCGTCACCGGATACGACCCTACCGCCTCCGGTCTCCGTGATGCTCTCAAGGGCTCTGAGATCGTCCTCATTCCCGCCGGTGTTCCCCGCAAGCCCGGCATGACCCGTGACGGTATGAGCCCATTGCGCAATTTTTCTGTCCTAAGTACCTTCCAAGGTTCTCGAAAGCTGATCAACTTTCTTCAATTGAATAGACCTCTTCAACACCAACGCCTCCATCGTCCGTGACCTTGCCAAGGCCGCCGCTGAGGCTTCCCCCGAGGCTAACGTCCTCGTCATCGCCAACCCCGTACGCACCCTATCACTTTCATCATCTCCCCTGTCGCGCAACTGGCGACTAATATTCTTCTCATTAGGTCAACTCCACCGTCCCCATCGTCTCTGAGGTCTACAAGGCCCGCGGTGTCTACAACCCCAAGCGTCTGTTCGGTGTCACCACCCTCGACGTCGTCCGTGCCTCTCGCTTCATCTCCCAGGTCCAGAAGACCGACCCCTCCGGCGAGTCCGTCCCCGTCGTTGGTGGCCACTCCGGTGTGACCATCGTTCCCCTCCTCTCCCAGTCCGGCCACCCCAGCCTTGAGGGTGAGGCCCGTGACGCCCTCGTCAACCGCATCCAGTTCGGTGGTGACGAGGTTGTCAAGGCCAAGGACGGTGCCGGTTCCGCCACCCTCTCCATGGCCATGGCCGGTGCTCGCTTCGCCGAGTCCCTCCTCCGTGCCGCCCAGGGCGAGAAGGGTGTCATCGAGCCTACCTTCGTTGACTCTCCTCTCTACAAGGACCAGGGTGTCGACTTCTTCGCCTCTAAGGTCGAGCTCGGCCCCAACGGTGCCGAGAAGATCCTGCCCGTCGGCCAGGTCAACGCCTACGAGGAGAAGCTCCTCGAGGCCGCCCTTACCGACCTCAAGAAGAACATCAAGAAGGGTGTTGACTTCGTTGCCGCCAACCCTTAAATCAATCTTCTCTCAAATCACCGAGAAAGACCTTCAGGGTACATACAAAAATGGGTTAGATAGATCGATTCGTCTGCAGCCGCCTGTCCTCCTTGTATAACAGTCCCTTGTGTATCTTGTTTATTTTACTACCCCATCTTATTTGAATCCTTATTACCCCCTTTATTCCCCCTACCCGCATCGACTATTATAATTGGAGGATTGTGCAGCTGCAGTATGTGGAACCGCATTTTTCTTTGTTTCTTGTTTCGTTGGGATTGAGTTCGTTAGGAATTTGTTTCTTCTCATATGGCTCAATCTAATGGAATGGATCGTTGATGAGGGGAAAGGGAACATGATCGTGACGTATGTTTCCATAACATAAATGAAAGAAATTTCTTCTTCTTTATTTACCTTTTGTGCTCCCGTAGTAACTAGACTATATCCATCTAAAATATCCATGAGCGGGCTTGCTATATTGATCTGTTTGACCCTGACCTATGGAAGTAAGATCATCTAGAAAGCAAGTAATGCAACCAAGTTTCGTATATATATTTTACTTCATTTGCACTGGTCACGGACTCGGTCTCTAGTTGTCTAACCAACACCAACCGACGGGGTAAGCAGGAAGAGGTACTTATTACCTAGCTAGAATAAGGCTCAATTTGTGATATCAATAGACCGATCAATACGGATCTTCGGTATCTTCGCTAGCTAGGCAGTCATCAATCAATCAAACAAAATGTCAAGTAAATCAATTCAATCATCAATTCAAGTGCGTCAAAATCGAGGCAAGAAAATGCATATCTGTCCTCGCAAGAACTAACTAGAGGAACCAACGTAGGCTGAGCTGAAGGAAGAGAACAAAATAAACAAAGCGATGATGGAAAGATGCAACCAGTCAGAGGGCAGGAAAGAAAGGACGGAAGATGAAGGACATCAGATCGTTTTGCATATCATGGCATAACATCGTGGAATCGTCAGTGAGCCTCGAAAGCTAGGTCGTCAAGCAGTGATGAGGCAGTCATCAATGAAACCAGTCAAAACTGGAAACGGAAACAGACGGAAGGAAAAAAGAAAGGGTATTCTTCATGCCTTGCACTCCACGCCCATAGAATAACCAAATGAAAGAAATCCATAAGAAATAAGATTTGGGAGGGGAGTCTACGTGTAACTTCTCATCGCATCAATGTAGCCCATTCCGCCACGAAGGTCATGATCAAAGGTCTCGGCGACTTCGAGAACACGCTTGATATGTTCCATCGAGAGAGGAGAGCCTTCATTGACAGCGAGGGCCTGGGCAGTTCGCACAGAGTTTTTGATCTGCAATTTGTTAGTATATATCGGCATGGAGTAGTGATGTGCCTGTAGAGAGAGAAGACTTACTTGGCGGCCGTTAAGATTGTGACGAGCCAGCGCATCATAGTCCTTGTCGCTGAATTTGGCGGTCTTGACGCCCTCCATAGCCTGTACTCGTTCCAGGAACAGCATCCAGACACTGCGCTTGGCTTTGGTGGGGAGGTCGCCGTACCGCAGAGCAACATGGATACGGGACTGGAAGGCGTCGTCGAAGGTCTCCACGCGGTTTGTTGTCAGGAAGAGGATACCCTGGAAGTACTCGAGAAGACGCAAGAAGATGCTGACCAGCGCGTTGCGGTGGATATCCTGAATGGTACGCTTTTCCAGGAAGATATCGGCCTCGTCTAGCAGCAGCACGGCGCCCCAGGAGTGAGCGATATCCAGTATTTTGTTCAGTTCGCCTTCCAGGGTGCGAGAATCAGTACCCAGTTCGCCGGCGCTGACCATGTACAGCGGCCGCTTGAGCAGTTCGGCGATGCCCTCTGCGGTGAGGGTCTTTCCGGTGCCCGGAGGACCATGCAGCACAGCTACAAGGCCCTTGCCCTTGCCCTGGATCACATCGTCGATGTTTTGCGCTGCACAGAACGTGTGCGACTCCACCAACGCCTTGACGATGGATTTCTGGTTGTCCGGCAACACGAGCGAGTCAAACGCGTCCTCGTTCCAGTCGATGTCGCTGATCCCTGAGATGCTAAATTCGAGCCACAATTTCTCGCTGAAGGCGAACCCCAGCACCACGGGACTGGCGATTAGAAGCTCCTCTTCCGTGAACTCCCGGTCAACGTCCTCGACCTGGTCCATATCTTCTTTCTGTATCTCGTTGCCGTTCTCATCCAATTCCACCTCGACCACGTGCGGCCTGCCCTCCTTGTCGCGAATCACCTTGTAGCGCACCTGCGGGGCGTCCGAATCTCTGCGGTGGGCGTAGGGCTCTTCCGAGTCCGAGCCGGACATCGGGCAGCAGCACGCTTCGCTGCCGTCGTCGCCGTCGTCGGCATCCAGATAGTCGGGGTCCTTTGGGCGCACGGTGCTGATGGGGTAATTGGGGTTGATGCGGCGATGGATGGCCGGGTCTATCATCACGCGTCCATTGATATTGACCTTGATGACGGTGCGCTTCTTCTTGTAGAAGGCCATGCCCTTGTGGTAGCGGTAGTTCATGCCCCGAAGAGCCACAAACTTCTTGCCGCGCTCGATCAGTTTGGCCTGGACGTCTTCGGCTTCGCGGTGGTACTTTAGAGGGTAGCAGCCAAGACTGGTAATCTTTCGAGCGCCTTTGAAACTCTCTACATCGGCAGCCATAGTGCCCATCCCAAAGGTCTTGCCATCGTACTCCAGGTAGCGCCCCTCGACGCTGTACCATTGACCTTTCATGAAAGACGACTCCTTAGAGGCATACTCAATCTTGAATGCGCGGGGCTCGTCCTGATTGCCGTATGTAGGGGTGTAGGCAATAGTGTTTGGTTTGAACAAGGCCCAGAGCAGCTCAAAGGTGATCATATTGGCCTCCAGCAAGGGGTAGAGAGTCTTTTTGGTCTCCGCATAGTCCGTGTCCAGATATTTCAGCAAGACCTTGAGATGCTGCGCCTTGAGACTGGCCGCGTTTCTGGACTTCTTCTTCTTCTCCGTCGTGGCTTGCTGTTTCAGCTCCCTCATGTACTGACGGGTCTCCTCCAGGTACAGGAAAAGCATGTTGGGATCGACGACCGCCGTCTCCTGTACCAGGCTGACCCCTTTGACGCCGTCCATAACCTTTGCCAGAGCATCACGAAGGTGTTTACTCTTAATATCCACCACCGTCTCGAGGTACTTGTTATCCCAGTCAAATTTGCGGCGCACGGTAAACAGATACTGGTCCCATTCGTTGGCCCCGGGGTCATCAATGGTCTCGGTCAGCTTGAAATTGTGTATTGTATTGTCCCATACTAAGACAGAACCAGAAACAGTCAGCTATAATGTTTTCAAGAAAGATCGGGGAGGTGAGGCAAAGGGAGGGGAATGCAAACATTGATCGACCCTTTTGAAAGCGATCTTTGAGGCCGCCTTCTTCCGACCTTTGGACCGATGAGAGCCCTTCTGGCCATCGTTCAGACCGTCAGACGCCCGCTTCGAGCGATGCTTGCCCCGGCGCCTACCAGCTTGCTTGAGTCGCAGAGCTGCCAGTTTCTCCTTGGCCATGGAAAGAGCCGTATCGTCCAGATCCGTCTCGTCCTCTTCCTCTTCCTCGAGCGGATCCTCGGAAGACTCACCTTGGCGCACCTTCTTCGCCTTGCGGGCCTTGAGCTTCAAGACCAGCTTCTTCAGCGTCTTCTCATCCAGCGACGAAGGATCCTCATCGTCGTCCTCCTCTTCCTCGGAATCCGAATCGTCCTGATAATGCGACCGCGTCTTCTTCTTCCGGCCGCCCTTTAGCGCCCGCCTGGATCGGTTCTTCACCCGCCTCCGTCTGTGCTTCCGATCCTGCGCCGACTCGGACTCTGCGGACAGAGACTCCTCGTCCTCATTCTCGGAGTCACCGACACTTTCGACATCGTCTTCGTCGGAGCTAGACTCCGACGAGCTATCGTCGCTGGGAGTGACGATGGACGAGGCCTTATTGGACTTGTGGGACTTTTTCTTGGAATCTCGAGTGCGGTCTGAGTCTTTTGTGGGATGTTTCTTGCAAGATGTCTTCTTGGGAGCGGTTTCAGACACGGAAACTGCAGACTTGGCCTCCGGTTTGACTGCGTTATTATCGACGGGGGGGTCGGCTTCGTGTTTGGTCTCGGCAGCGACGGCGGCGGCGGTAGGATCGGCCATTTTTTTTTTCTGGGGGTTCTTCTTATCTTGGAACCAATACAATACCCTTCTAATAATGCTCAGATGCTGGTATACTTCGGGAAAAGTGATTGGAGTAAGAAAATGGGGCCCGCAGTGGAGCTGTCAGGAACGGACCGGGGGGGAAAGGGACGAGCTTGTGGGTAGCGCCGGTGTGATCTAATGAGCGGAAGTTAAAAGCGGACTGACGTGAAGACGAGAGAAGGAGAACAGAAGGCACTGACAGGAAGGTGGCCGATACCTGAGGGAGAGAGGATAAGGAGGAAGGGGGACGTAGGAGGGAAGGAGGAAGGAAGAGAGGAAGGAAGGGAAGGAGAAGCCAGCGAAATAAGAGCGTCTGACAGTAGGCGCCTTACTTTGGAGCGTCGCGAGGATTGGCTGATCGGCGTCTGGCGGTGAGAAATGAGGCGTTCTCAAGCTGCGCGATGAGCTGCCTTTGCAATTCGGCGTCGATCCCTCCGGCTCTCAAGTCTTTCATGGTCGGAGAGGTCTGAGACGTCTTGGGTTTGGGTCTTAAGGCATCGACCGTACCGCCAGTGTCTTCAGTCGCCCAGGTCTACAGGTCTACCTACTAGGTTGATATAGGCACATACGTACTCAGGACATAGGGCACGGATGACTCAAAACGATTAAAAGCAGCGCTCACCTTCCAATCGGGCTGCAATCGTCTTCATTGGCATCTTGGCTTGGGCTGTCACAGAAGTCATCACGGCAGGCTGGCGCTCGGAATGTCTCATGTGGCGTGCCCGGTTTCATTTTCATGTCCATTGAGTAACCTCTGCTTGCTTTGTAGCCAGGTCAGCAAGCCAATCTGGTCTTTCAGCTGACGTTGTGCTGCCTATCATGTATGTAGAGTCCATCTGGAGAGTCCATCACACGCCAGCCGTGCCCTAAAAAGTATGCACGGACTCAGCAGGCGCTTGTCTATAGCCCATCTTAGTTCCTCATACTGCTTGATGCAATAGAATGCCTTTATGGTCTTCGATTCCCATGAGCCAAAGTAGAAAGTTCCCCCTTTAATCTACTGAGCATCAAGAATCCTAGACAGCTGTATGTTTGAAGCACAGCACTCCAGGACCCATATAAGCATAGGAGAGGATGCGGCTCGAGTGACCCCATCGCTGTACTCATCATTACCTGTAGTTGATATACGTTCAATCCGACGATTCCGACCTCGAAGTAGGCCCCGATCCCTCTGGCTCGCTAGGACCGGGGTCCTGTCAAGATCTTGGTCTTAGCCGGGGAATTGGACGGACGCAAGTTCCGATCCATGTATCTTAGGTCTAAACTGAAGAAGTCCTATTTCGCGTGCCATACCATTCAGAAGGATCTTAGCACATAGCTCAAATCAAAATAACTACCTAGAATTCCTTTCGGCAAATAGAACAGCAACAAACCCAATGAAATGGCGCCAAATTTCCCCTTGATTTATCCCGTCCCTGCCACTGTCCCTGTCCCTGTCCCTTTGCATTCTTTCTTTTCTTTTCTCTTCATTTTCTCATATGTTTCCACCTCACAGAGGGCGACTGGGTTCCCGATTCCTCTCCTTTCCATCCATCTTCATAATCTGCCTAGTCGGCTCGAAAAACCTGGAGCTGCGATTCGATGGTTAAGCTGCAGCATTGCCCACACTCATAATCGCCTTGTACTTCTTCTGCAGGCTGGCAGGCGGGTACTTCTTGCCGCCGTCGGAGACGATCTGTTCGGCGATCTTGGTCCATTTCTCGGATTCGAAACGCTCTTCGACTTCTTTCTTGGCGTGTAGGAGACGGGGTTCCTGTTGTTTGTTGGTTAGTTACGGATGGTGACCAGGCGCAGAATGTCAAGACGCAGGCACAACGCTTGATTGGCGAGGAGATTGCGATGGAATGAGTATATACAAGCATCTTCGGTATATCACTGGAGAACAGAACCAAAGAGGGGGGGAGAGAGGGAGAGAGAGAGCAGGAAAAAAAAAAAAAAAAAAAAAAAAAAAAAAAAAACAGAAAACTCACATCCTCAGCATCAACCGAAACAAAGTTACTCTTCATAGTGCGATATCTCATTCTCAGAGTCGTCTTGCCCACCGAGATCCCGGTCATATTCATCCACGCGGCATTGATATCCGGCCATCCGCGACCCTCCTCGTCTCTCATGCGCAGAATCATACGGTCAGAGTCCCCCGCCGCCTCATAGGAGGTAGGAATGGGACCCATGACCTTCTTGGTAGCGCCGGTGTTTTTGCTTTTCTTGCTGGGTGAGGCTTCGGTGTCGGCGTCGGCGTCGCCGTCACCTTCGCCTTCGCCGTCATCTTCGACGTCAGCTGCGCTTGCATCGGTGCCCTTGGCAGTGCCCTTGGGGGTCTTTGGGGTTCGGACAGCGCTGGATTTGGTCTTTGCTGAACGGCTGCGCTTGCGGGGGGTGGGAGTGGGAGTTGGGGTTTGGATCTGTAGGCTCAGGGTTAGCTATTGGTTTGAGGGGATATATGCGTTCATATTACTATGTCGTTTAGTACATGGGTAGATCAGGTAGGGCACATACATCACCAGTCTCGTTCTCCTCCTCCTTCACAGGAGTAGAAAGATCCATGGGCTCTGGGGCCGCAGCGACGGAGGTCTCAGTATCAGAAGCCATCTCGACACTCTCGGGCTCAAGGATCCCAGAAGCAAAAGCAAATTCCACCTTTGTGAGAACCTTGTTCACAGGAGTGAAGCAGGAAGTGCAGACTATGTGAGTAGCAGGGAGAAATGTATGGGTGGAGGGTAGGTTCATATCTCAGCAGAGAGGGCAGAGGGAGGATGATGGAGGGTGAGGGAGTGAGGAGAAGTGAGAAGGAATAGGATGAGGACTGCGTTTGGGGGGAAGAAGAGGTGAGAAGAGTGTGCTAGTGCAGAGAGGCTGCGAGTGAATTTCATGTCCAGGCGCATTGCATTCGCGTTTCGTTTGGGACGGGGGTTGAAGTTGAAGGTTCCATTATCTTGGATTCACTCTCCGGTACGCCTGAGTCACCTGCTGGGTGAGATCAGGAAAACTTCCTGATGACAGCTTCGCCTTCATCATGATCTTGTACGCGGCCTTAAACGGTTTTTCTGCAAGGGGATAGAGCCCTGTCTATCGATCTAGGTGTGCACACGCAGACATGTACGTATGTGCCTTGAGACTCCTCGTACAACGACGTATATTGTATCAAGTCATCATGATGATTTGAGCATATCTAATCTCGTTAATTGATAAATAACGGTCATATAGCCTTCGTGCCTAGGTACCATATCCTACCTACCTCATTGACCCAAACTTGAATGCATAAAAAAGAATAGACAGAAAGAAAAGACAACCATCCACGCCGCAGAGGTATCTAGTTACGCCCCCCAATGGAAGAAAAGAAAAAAGGAAGAAAAATTCAAGAACAAGAGCATGGATAAGAGATGATACCCAAACATGTTATGCTGCACTCACAAAACACTCATCTCCCTCCTTCCATCACGTAAATCCGAATCCCCCGTGCCCCTCGAAGACATATCACTATCAGACCGGGGCACCATGGCAGGTCGGATCTTAGCGCCCACGAAACCACGCCGATCGCGACCCGTGCGGCCGCGACCTAGCCAATTATGCTTGAGCGCCTTGCTGAGGACCTCGACCTTCTCCTGGGCGTGGTCGCCGGTCTGCACGCTGCTGAGGACGCTGACGCACTGGAGCATGCGGCCGACGGTCTCGGTGATGACCTGCGAGGTGTCAGCGCCGCGGTGGATGATGGTGGGTCGCTGCGTCGGGGAGGAGAAGGATTGGAAGATGAGCTGGTCCGGGTTGGACGAGGTGTTGGAGGCGGCGCGGCTGCGGTTGCAGCTCATCGAGTCGGACGAGTAGCTGCCGGCCGTCGCAGCGGCGTTGAGATGAGAGGATTGCGAGCTGTAGCTGCCGCCGAAGCCAGCGTCCAGGGAGGCAGACGTGGCCGGCCGGCCGCTGTTGGCGCTGCTCTTGGTGGTGACGCTAAGGGCGGCGTTGCCCAGGTTAATGTTGTCCAGACTCAGACGCGAGAAAGTCGCCTTGAGGCCGTCGTAGCGGAAGAGGACTACCTTGTCGCGAAAGGCGATCAGAACCAGGTTGCGCACTTCGAGCTCACAGCCGGGATACTCCCCGTTCAACGCACCGGCCCAGAACTCGCTGGCCTCGCGCGGATTCATCACGGTCCCGTGGCCTTTGAATTCGAGATCCAGCGGGAGGAAAACTGCCTGGATGAACGGAAGGATCGTGCCAAACACCAGCATCCAGATCTGCACCAGATGAGGAACCATTTTCTCATCGGGAACCCCGTTCAGTGTGTGGTTCAGAGAAGCGAACCCCGTTTCCAGCAACTCTCGAAGATCATCGACAATTGCTGTTGGCGTACGCTTCTGCACGCACCGCTGGATATGTATCATCACCAGCTTGTTCAGGTCCTCAATGGCGATGCGCACATCTTCCCCGTCAAAGATAACCAAGAGCTTCGCTTTCAGGAAATCCCACGCATCTTCGGGCGACATGTTGTTTAATCCAAACCCCTGCAGAGTCTCCCGCAAGGCGGCCTCGGCCAGAATCCCCGTCGTCGAGCTTCCCAGCGACGAAGGCCCGGCAAACGTGGTCTGCGTAGTGCCCGAGGCTGTCGAATTGGCCAGCCAGTCCTGCTGCTCCGACTCCGCCATGGCCTTCTCTTCCTTCTTCTTCTCCCGCAGCGCTCGGCCGCCATGCAGCAGATCCAACCCGCTGACGGACTTGCCAAACGTCGTCGTCGCCGCATTGGGTGAAATCGGAGTGAACGAGTACAGCGACTGGGGGGCATTCGGATCCGACGGTTTGGAGTTACTCGACGCAGACGAGAGCGGCAGATTATAATGATCATCGCCGCGATCCTTCAGTTTCAACTTCTGCCGCGACAGAAAATGATGCTTATGCTTGTCCTTCTCCTTCTCCTTGTCTTTATCCTTTTCCTTCTCGCCGCCCGTCGCTTTGTCCGCCGGCACCACCGTGCTCGCCGACGCGTTGGACAGATTATACATGGACGAGTTGTTCGACGGGAACGTCTCCGCCAGGCTAGTCGTCGAGGCACTGACGATGCGAGAGAGTCCGCTGGCGCTAGGAAGCCCCATCTTGCTGGGCGACGGGAGGCCTCGGTCTTTCATGAACCCGTCCTTGTCTCGGCTGCTGATGCCGATATGCTTCGGCTTCGAGAACAGCTTCTTCTTGGACTTCTCCTTCTCGCCCTTGTGCTTGTGCTCCTTGTCGCCCGGTTCCAATCCGGGCGGTTGCAAGCTCGGTTGTCGTGGGAATACGAGATTAGCCGCTGTCGTCGCCACGTGCTGGTGTCCTCCCGGTTGTTGTTGTTGTTGTTGCTGCTGCTGCGGTGATTGCTGCGGTGACTGTGAGTGATGTTGCGATTGGGTATGCGGCTGTTGTTGCGGCTGTCCATTCTGATACGAGTGTCCGGACAACCCACCGGACCCAGGGGGCGCCAGCGATTGCGACAGAGGAAGAGGGGGCGGGGGCGACAGGCTCCCCGTCCGTCGATGTCTGGAGGGGTCGTCAGTATGGGGAAAGACTACATGCGGCGGGCGTTTCGGAGGATGTTGTTGTTGCTGTTGTTGGGCGGCGGCGGCGGCAGCCATCTGCTGCTGCGACATCGCAGCCTGAGCAGCGATCCTGGACGCGGACAGGGTGGATTCGGGGGTAGATGCGGTTGGGAGGGAGGGTTCAAAGAAGCCCTGGGAGTGATGGCGGGAGCGATGGCGCTGTAGTTCTGGCGGGAGAGCCCGACTGGACGGCTTCCTGCTGGTAGGTTCATTCTGCGGCATGAAGGAGGCTGAGGGACGACCAAGGTTGGTGGTGCTGGCGCTGGCGCTATTGGGGATCGACGAGGTGCGAGGGGGCCGGGGGGACGAGGCTCCGGAAGGATGATGCACATTCAGAGGCGCAGGCATAGCGGAGACCGTCGTCACACTGGACGTAATGGACGAGGCATCACTACCAGAGGAGCCGGGACGAACCAATTCGTCATCGAAGGATTGACGAGGGAGAGAAGGAGGAGCGGGCGATCTGGAGACTCGCTCCGGGGAGACGGGCGAGCGTAACATTCTCGATCAGGGAAAGCTGTGGCCCATGATAAAAAGAAGGAATTGAAGATGGATGAAACTTGACAGGGGGAGAGTCTCGGTGTCGGTCTGGACTTCCGACCGAATCGAGTTGCAACGAAAGTGGCCGTGTCGATCTTTGGGAATCTTCCCGATCGCCCCCCGCCTTCTTGTCCCTCTTTCGGTCCCTCTTCTCTCTCGCTGCCTCCTCCTTAGCACTTCTTCTTCTTCTCCCCCACTAAATGCATCAATCACCTCGGAAGAAGCAAAAAACTACTTTCCAAACTGATCCGATTACCACAACCACCATGTCCTCCACTTCCTCCTCCCCTCTGCGCGCCGTCTACACCGCCCCTCAATCGACGCACACATTCGAGCACCGCCTCACCTCGTCTCCCTCGCAGGACGTGCAAGCCAAAGTGACGTATCTCTCCGAGCTGCGCAAGCTCGTGCCGACGCTTCAGAACGACATCAACGTCTTCCTGACCGAGCGCATGGAAGAAGACAAGAAACTGGCGGAGGCGCAGGGCCAGAAAATTTCGGCCAAGGAAGCCCAGGAGGAAGAGAACTACGGAGAAGAGGTGGTTGAGGAGGATGAATGAATGCATGCATGAATGATTCGTCATAATACAGCGCTCGGAACTAAAATTAAAAGGGAGAAAGAAAGGAAATTATATATTGGATCCTTGGATATCATCGCTATCCTGGGTATCAATGCTGAATACACCCGCCACTCCACTCCACGCAATTGGGGTTGTTTGGGCATGAGAAACAGAACCACAAGATCGAATGAACAGAAAAAAAGGACAGGAGAAAAAAAAAATCAAGAAAAAGAAAAATCAACATCAACATAATATCAAGGCATCGATACCGTACACGCATACCCGATTCTATGTGCAAAAAATTCCTCTTTATCAATGGGAAGAAAGACGATTGGCACACCCAAGATGGACCACCGTATTACTTCGAGAACAGTCAGCAGAAGTCATCGGATATCTGGAAAGGAAGTCACATACTCTGGAAACACGTTGATCACACTGCCACCGATTCGTTTATGACACATCCCACAGATCCTCTCCTCCGTGATGGTGACGTGCCGGGATCGCGCAGATTTGCCGTCCGTCCCCTCGCCAACCAAGAGTTGGGCCTGGGTCTTGATATTCTGCGACTTCTGCAGGCTGGCCACAATCCGCGACTCGCTGAGCATCGAATTGGCCGCGCGCATGCGACCGCGGAAATAGAATTCCAGATCTTTGACCGGGAGAGTCTCGGGGATCAGTTCTAACGCCGAACCGGGGGGAAGACGTGATCCGTGCTTGGCCAGCAAGTCCAGTGCTGGTCCGTATTGGGGTTGGTATCCGTGCGGAGGCGAGAGGTATAGAGATAATAATGTTAGATAGATAGATGGTTTCACCTCCGAGTCGGGAAGAGCTGCTCCGCGGAGAGGCTTGGCCTCCGTGGCCGTCGTTTCTTCCGATTTATGCAGATGGTTACAGTATCTGTGGACAAAATTAGCATTTAACCTCCCTCTTCTTGGTCATCATACATACTCTTCTGCTTTACCATAATCCTCCAGCTTGAAGACGTAGATCTCCAAGGCCTGCCGGTGCTGTCCCATCTTGCTAAAGACAATGGCTCTTGCTTCAAAGAACTCGGAATCTACGCAATGTGTTAGAATACCTTCGACGCGAAACACTAGGCCACACAAGGTGATACGTACCATCGCGATCCAACCGGTCGAGGATCTTAGCCGGGGAATACTGCGAGCTGGATTTCAACATTTCAAGGAATTTATTCAGCCACTCCGCCCGATCATTCTCATTCGGAAACGACCATTCCTTGGTCTTATCCTTCTGCAATCGCTCTAGATACAACACAAGGAGCCGTTGATGTAGATCAGGGGTCATATCGTTCAACTCTCCGATGACATGTTCGAGGTACCGAACGGCAAGATTGGTGTCGACGCTCTGCAGGAACTCTAGGACCTGATGCCGGGGTAGGGTTTCCGCATTTTCAGTGTCCGCAAGGAAAACCTCCATTCCTAGGTTAGGGTCCTCTCGTAGAGGCCATTCGGCAAATTCCAAAATGAGCTCGATCTGGTCCGGGGCTAAGTTCTGTAGATAGCCCACGGTTCTCTTAGGACCGTGGAGCTGCGGTGCTGTCTCTTCCTCTGAATCGGCCTGCCCGAACTTCTTCAGTAGCTCGAGGGCCTGTCGATGCATCTTTTTACCGTACAGGAAGTCAATGAGGTCGTTGTGCCGTCCGGTTTCCTCCAACTTTTCCATGACCACTTCGGGATCGCAGAAATTGGCGATGCGGAAGAGGGAGCCGGCAAGACGGGGATTGGCAAACATGTACGCCCGGAAAAGGGTCGTGTCGACCAGCTTCGCTTTTTCTCGCAGCTGGTCGCCAAAGTCGTGGTCTTTGTTATCCCCGGTGATCTCGAGTAGTTTCATAACGGAGTCGGTGAATTCATCCACTGCTCCATCGGCCGTGGGGTCGACCACCTTCAAAGTCCCGTCAGGGTTGAGGAACCGCTGAAACCGCCGGCGAACATCTGCCAAGTATCGCTGAAGCTCGCGCACGGAGGACTCAAGCTGTTTTTCCTGGGCTGATTTTGCTGCTCGAGGATCCTCCGAGGATTTGCCGCGGATACTTCCCGCGTCGCTCCCATCGTCTGTCTTTGTGCGAAGGAAGGAGCGCATGGAAGGGGTGTGTGTCAAGGTCTTCGAAGCCGCCAGCTCCTCCGAGATAGCGCCATCCGTCTGGGGTTGGCCGTCAGAAGGTTTCGACAGGCTGTCCGTCGTGCCATCTTCCGACTCCTCCGGCTCCTCGCTCACCGAGCTGAGATCACCGGCGATAATCCTAGGGTAGAGCTGAATTACGGTCTCTGGAGGAGCCGAGATCTCGGTAAACAACTCCATGGAGTCACTATATTTGTGGACGCTGAAAAGACCTTGGGCCTTTTCGAGCTTGATCTCGCGAAGCCGACCCTCTTTGTTTCGGAGAAGCGCGTCTTCTAACATGTTGGCCAGGCTGATCGCCTCGTCCAGATACCCCTTCTCCACGAGCGAGTCGATCTGCGTATCGTAGCTCAGAGCTTCCATCCTCCAGATGGTCCGGTCACTCCCAACCAGAAACCCCTTCCCGGCGTGCGCCAAGCTGATTGTAGGCTGCGAGATGTGCAAGAGGGTCGCCGACGGCAGCGGAATGGATTGGAGCAAGGACAAGGTCTCAGGGTTCCTGACCTCCAAGACGCCCTTGGACGAGTCATGGAGCGCCAGTAGAAAGGGATACGAGTATCCGATATTGGCGGGCGCATGGCTCCACGGAACCTGTCTCCGCCCGAGGGAGTTGCCATTGATATCGATAAACTGGGTGTTGATATCCTTCGCCAACAGCACCTGGCCCTCGCTGAGTCGGGTCGCTAGCGGTTTCGGCGCCGCTCCTCCGATGCCAATGTAGCTCATACTCGCAACGCCGACCCCAGCCAGACGCCCGGTCTCCTGACCCCCAAGACCCCCAATGCTTCCAGGTCCCACCAAGTCCGTGACGGACGAATTCTCAATATCAACCATCACGAAGCTCGAGCTGAGTCCAGCCACGACTTTCGTCCCGGACACCCACGTCAGGCTCTTAATGCCGCTGACCAGCGTCAACTCTGCCGTTTCGCTCTCCAACTCCATATCCCGCCACGTCCACAGCAGTATCTTCCGCTTCACCGCCACCGCCAATCGCGACACAATCGACGGAACGCCCGTCTCGGGGTCATTGAAGATATTTGACGTCACGGCAAAGGTACTGGCGCCTTTCGTCTTGGTCAGTTGCTCCTGCAATTCGTAGCTCTGCAAATCATGGATGGAAACATATCCTCCTGAGAGGGAAACCAGCACCTTCGCCTCCTTAATCAGCGCCAGCTGCTCAACCTTGTATCTCGAGAACTTCTCCAATTCCCGCAGCAGATCCGTCTGTTTAGGCTTCGCAATAGGAGCCGCGGCGTTGCCGGTAGCCGAGGAGGCGGTCCCTCCTCCAACAACCGAGCTCATCGTCGCCGACCTCTCCCCCTTATCAGCTCCATTCTTAAGTGTCCCCCCTGGTGTTCCTCCGGGGATATTCCCATTGCGACCATCTCCTCCCTCCGCATGGGCATCTCCATCCGCATCCCCTTGACCCCGCGGCTCATCCTCCGTGACTTCATTGACGCGATAGATGCGCAAACTGCCATTATTCAGGCCCACGAGGAGCCTATCCCCATATGCCAGCAACGACTCGATCCTCGATTTATCGCGCGGCTTGAGCTCGACGAGAGGCCTCGCCGTGAACGCCGATAACATAGCTCTGCCTTGTGTTCTGCTTTCTCTCTCCGGGCGCCGTCGGTGCAGAGGGTTCGGGGTGATAGAGTCATGTCATGTCCAGGCGGCGGGCGGGCGGGGAGCGGTGACAGGGAAAAATTCAGAAAGGATGGTGGGAAATAGCGCGAGAGGAGAGGCCCTTAGGTGATGCAGAAGCGGGGCATGTCGTCGGTCGTGGTCGGTTCTGCTGCGTGGCTTTCGCTCGCTGCGGTGTAGGTTGGAGACAACTTAGACCCGACAGACAGCTAGAGCTTCCCGGTGACGCTACCCTGCCCGGTCGGGGAAGGTCGGTCAGGCTCAGGCATGCAGGCATCCACTCGGGGTCGGCTGGCCGGCTCATGTGACTTGGTCATTCAGGCCGCGTTCTTTGTTTGGTAGGTACAAGACACAGGTACAAGTTATTTCCCTCTTCTTCTCATTCTTCCTTTCAGTTCGAAAAGAACCATATATACTTGTGATTTACATGATACAGCAGTAAACAATCTACAAGCATTCAAGAAATGCACAGGAAATTCTATCTCTATTCCATATAAGCGATGAATATATTAATTCTATAGGCCGCATTTGCAGAACTCACTTCCCCGAAAACAAGAGAGAACATCAATAGTGCGGGAAAAGTGAGCTTCGTTATAAAGGTTCAGACCAGTGGGAAATGTAAATGAAATAAACCGCAATTGCCTCCAACGGTGGATAATATATGCAGGAAATGAATCAGACAGACAGTCCACTTGTACATGCTGCCGGAAACCGAAACCAAACTTTTAACATGAAGAGGCTTGCAAGGAAAAAGAGGCGGCGCTGGGAAGATAGGTCGTGATATAATGCGTGTGTATGTGAAATAGTTTCCCGGGTTTCTACATGAGTTGTAGAATTGGTGGAGAATCTTAGGTATAGCGGGTATGTGAAGATGAGTCAAACGGGGCCAAATGTGTCGTGCGCATGCAGTGGCTCGAAGGCATACCCCAGTTTAGGCACTGGTGGCGGGGACTTCATTCTTCGTTTCAGTGGTAGGGTAATCTTGGTGCTTCGCTGAAGTCCCTTTCGCCCGCCAGGTCGACACTGCGGGAATATCGGCCTTGAACCGCTGCTCGTCGGTACCGTAGGCACGAGGGGTGAGCTTGATCAGCGTGTGAAGGGGGACTTCCATCCACGGACTCTGTTCCTGGGGCGTGTTGAGGAAATAGGCATAGATACAACGCAGGACTGCCTGATGGGTGACAATAATCACGTTTTCACTGCGCTCCAGCTCCATGATGATCGGTTCCAGTCGGATGACGACGTCGCGGTAGGACTCGCCTCCGCGGTAGCGATAGTTGTACTTGTCCTCGTCGCGTGCGGCGAAGTCTTCGGGGTATTTCTGCGCAATGTCCTCGTACGTGAGTCCGTCGCAGACACCAGAGTCGAGCTCGTCGAGCGCCTTCCACTCCAGCTTCTCGAAGCCCGTTTCGGCGGCAAGGTGACGGGCCGTCTGAATTGTGCGCCGGAGAGTGGACGTCCAGATGACGATCTTCGTGTTAGGAGGAACACCCGACTTTTTCAGAAGTCCCGGGAGAGCTCGAGCATACGCCTCTCCGCGCTCGGAGATGCTGGAATCTCCGCCAATCTTGCCTACTAAGTTGTACTCGGACTCTCCGTGCTAAGCGGATGTTAGATCAAAACTTCCATTGCATAATCAGAAGGCCACTTACGCGAGACAGCCAAATCGAGCGAGGCTTGATGTGGAGATTTTGGATGTAGTAGACTAGCCGACTGGATAGATAGTCTTTGATCTGGTTAATGATTACCGTGGAGCCGACATTGATGAGCTTCACATATGTAAAGTGCTTCTCGTTATCGTCGATGGTCTCATAGACCTTTTCGTAATTGCGGATTCGATTGCGGAAATCCAGCGCAGCAACCTCAGGATCCTGCCCCTTGTAATCCGGCGACGTGGTTTTGACCTCGAGAATGTTGTTCATTATTAGGTCTTCCTCGTCGCATATCGACTCGACAAATAACGTCTCCACATTGGCCGCATCGCAGCTCTCATAGATCCAGCGACGTCGCTCCCTCGTGGAATTGGTGGCATCAAGGATAGCAACGACGCCTTTTCCCGATGCAAACCATCGGAGCATATCAGACATGGCAGCTTCCGCGGCAGCTCGCCGCATTTTCTCGCCCTCGCTGTTGTGAGGGTCGAAGAAAGTGGCGGTTGGCTGCGGCGTGTTGTTTCGACGGTAGCTGCCCACGTTGAAGACGCGAGCAGGGATGCCGACCCACGCAAGATATCTCATGGCTGATTTCGTCAATCTCACGTTCTACAAGTGCACTCTATGCACGGATAGGCGGGAACGTACCTTTGCCAGCTATGAGACTTTTGCCTCGGGCTGGCAGGCCAACCATGACCACGCAGATTTTCGTGTCATCTGACTGCAATCTAGTCAGCATTCTGGGGTTTGATGGGATTTTCCTTGCTGGATGGTCGGGATGGTCAAGTGGTGTGGCGAATCAGGCAGATAGAGTATGCATGGAGCGCAAATGAGTGATAGTAACAAGCAACCTAATAGAGAGCAAAAGAAGAAAAAGGAAAGAAGAAAGCCTGTTACAAAAGTTGTATACTAGGTTCCCTGGGTCAAGTACCGGGCAGACTATAACGCAAGTAGTGGGCAGCTGCCAAGGCAGAGCGACCCAGAAGCCAGAAGCCGGGGAACAACGCAATCAATAAATCATGAACATCTAAACCAAGCACTTACACTGGCAAAATAGCTTTTGTGGCCATTACCCCTCCTAACAGCCGCCATAATGGGCAACTAGCAACGGAAACCGAGAGATGAATACGAGATAGGAAAAAGGCAAATTGAGACGAAAGACCTCGGGCCAAGACCAGACAAACCGACCGGACAAGAGGGCCGGAGAATAGGGAACTTGGAGGGGGGGAAGCCGTGGGAGAAGTAGTAGATTGGACCCAAAACCGGGTCAAGGAGAGTTAATGGCGTAAGACCGGGGAGAGGAAAGCTCCCTTTTTTTTGTCTTTTGCTTTGCTGTCGGAACTCCAACCGGCACAATTCTCACCGAAGAACAAAACAGACAGTTCCGGCTGTCTTCTCACAGGATGGAATTCGTTTGCAAGGGGGAAAAAGAACAAGAGATCTGGTTGGATCCCATTAAGCCCCAACAGCCGATGCGGTGAAGAAGTCGAGGGACAGCGCAGACGTCATGCCGCGGGGCAAATCAACCGATGGCCCGCCGTTGTTTAGGACAGACGCAAGAATTGCGGGTGGACCAGCCCTGGTAGCGCCGGGGATGCAGGATGGAAGATGGAGATCAGAGATGAGGCTTTTCGAAGAAAATCAGGAGATTGAATTCTTCGAAGGGACTGGGAGACAATGCCTTCAAACAGCGCACCACGTGATGTCCCGGACGTTTTCGTCGGGTAAACTCGCGGCCGGCGCTTTGGATCGGAATGATCGACGCGGCACAAGTCGGCTAGTCTTAGTAGTCTACCTTTAGTGTAGTAGGTCTACGGATTCTAAATGTCTATAAGGTACGTAGTACTGGGCAAAGTCTTTGTGGATTGCTTGAATCATCATGGTCATTCCGGAGTCTGTCCTCCATATTTCCTCCCGGGTCGTCCCAAGATACCGCAAGGGATGGTGTCTATGTCATGCCCTCCGGCTATATACATCCAACAACCAAAGAGGCTATTATGCATGTCGTTCAGATGCTTTTCTAATCATAACAAATAAAAGCCTTCTCTCGCCCCGAGAATTGAAGGCACCAAATCTCTAAACTTTTTTTGTGTCCTTTTGCTCCTTTTTGACTCCCAAACCCATGCAAGAAAAAACAAGAAAATTCTCCAAATGGCCGTTATTTTCAAATGCAAATGGTGCTCTCTTTCTGTCTTTAAGCATCAACCGCAGTCTCGGCAGGTGCAGCCCCATTCTCCCGCGAGCTCGACCACTTGTTCTTTCTCTCCTCGGAGTTCCAGGTCTCTCCGCGGGCTCGCTGCACCCGGATGTTACCACCCCAGGGTCCCTCCTTGCCGTTCAGAGCGTCCATGGCAGCCTGCGTTTCTTCAACGCTGCCAAAGTCGACGAACAAGTAGTAATGGTCACCGGGCTCGAACCGTTTGGCGGGATGAGGGCTGAACAATTTGCTGATGTTCTCACTGATGGAAAGGGTTAGTATCGGATAGACGGTACACTAAGACTGGCGGGACATACATGTTGAATCCCTTGAAGAAGTTCGTGATGTTGCTGGTAATCGACTCCTGGTCGCTCACGCGGGGCAGTCCCCCGACGTACAGACGACGGCTCGAATCGGAGGAGTTGGTTCTCTGGAAGACGGGGGCGGCGGGAGGAGCAGGGGCACTGTCGTCACGGCGCCATCGGTCCATACCGAAGGGGGAGGAAGTCTTGGGGGTACGCGGGGAGCCATCCGTCCGGGGTTGCTGCTGCTGCTGCTGAGACCGCTCGCTTTGCGACTTGACCACGCCCGGCTTGATCTTGACGGGACGGCCCAGCATATCGTGACCGTCCAACTCGACCATCGCGCGCTCAGCCAGTTCCTTCGTCTCAAGGTCCACGAAGCAGTATGAAGGGTTCCGGCCGGTAAAGGGATCGATGGCGATATCGATGCGCTCGCTATGAAAGCAACACTTCAGTTGGGGACCATCCTTGGCACAATATATTATTCTTTTTCTTCTTTTTTCTCTCACTCAGTCATACATTGGGAATTCGGCGGCCGTGAACAGTGCCTGCACATCCTCCGATTTGGCCGTGTAGGGCATGTTGCCTACATAGAGGCGGCGTCCCTCCGAGATGGCCTGCGGGACATGGGGACTCGGTTTGCTGAATGCGACTCGCGAGGTACTGGTCTTGGGGCCGGGGGAGCCGGCACTCTGGCCGCTAGGGCTCTCCTCACCCTTCACGCGCCAGTTGGGGGAGTGGAAAGCACGGCCCGTCGTTCGAACGCCGTTCTGGAAGCCAGTTTTGGCGGGAGCTAAAGTAAGGAACCCATTAGTCGATTCTTTTGCAGTACTGCACAACGCTTCCTTTGGATGCAGCCCCGGATTGAGCAGTCCCCATCGGTTTGTTCGCTTTTCTGTCTCGTTTGTTTCCTACACACTTTGTTCCTGCGGCCTAGGACTCTCGGGAGCGTCGACCATTTTGTCGGATGAAATTATTTGAATGAAAATGAGGGAATGTGAAAGAAAGTTGTAGGAAGTCTGTCGATCCCAAGGTGTTAGCGTTCAGTTTATATATTTCCTCATTCGACAACAATCAAGGTAAGTAGAAACCGCACGCAAATCACTTACCCGAAAGGGGTATATCACAGCACAAAACCTGCAGTAAACAGAGACAGGTACTAGGATATGGCTGGAAAAAGACTCAAACAAGTCAAAGATTGATAGGAGAAAAGAAGACGAAAAAAGAATACTGGACAAACGAAAAACCAAGCGCCCTGGCTGAAATGATGCCTGCGGGAAAAAAAATGCGGAATTACTTTTTTCGCCGCGGGACGCAAAGAAAGCGAAACAAACGCAGCAAACGGCGGGCCTGTCGCGTTCCGCGCGCTCTCGCCTGTGGTTGGTTCGTTAGCGAATGCTTTTTTAGCTCCGTCGACTCAGCTATTTAAGGCTCTTCTTCTTTCTTTCCTTGCACTGCCGCAGACATTTCATGGTTCCAATTGAGTCTCGATCGAGCTCCTCTCACTAATCACCGCAACACTCACTCAACTTAGCTTGCAACATTCGCATTCGCCATCCTAATAGGTAAGCTGCGACTCTCTCTTTCCCCTCTTCCTTTGGGACATTCATGGATGCAAATCCAGTCCAGCCACCACTTCGTATGAAGAAGAAAGATTTCACACAGACCTGTTCCGAGCATTTATCCATGCGGATTAACAATCGTACCAACTGCTGTCTGACGAAGTTCCGAAACATTTGTTTTGCATGCATTGATCTGTTGGAAACATAAAACTAACTTGTCATTGTGAAGTTATAGGATCGGACCTGTATACGCATCGTTAGATCTTTGGTGGGTTATATAAACTGGATCGAAAGAAGGGGTCCTAGCCAGGCTGTATCCCTCGAATTAGCTAGTTATATCAATATCAATGAGACAACTTGGGCTTGAAAATCTGTTCCGCTATCATGAGACCGTAAATCATATCATATCGTATATACCTTGATGCCGGCATTTACAGGACATGCTGACCTTCCAAGGACTTGCACCCGGCTCAAACCTAGAACTCAAGATCTGTGGTCTGACTTGAGTTACGTGCACAATATCAAGATCATAATAAATCCATTGCCTTTTAGAAGAACGCCGCGACATCAAGTTCACATAATATCAGCTCATCTCAAATGAACCACAAGAAAAAGAAGATGACTAGAATCAATAAATACCTACAATCTCGTAGTCAACACGAAAGGTAAAGAGAAAGAAAAAGATGAAGGATAACAGCGAAGATAATACAAACGACAAAAATCAAATAGTATTAAATCCCGCCTCCGGATTCACCGCCGACAAATCCTCCCTTTCATACAAAACCTCCGGCTGCACCTTCCTCCTCAATATATACCGTTTCACAAAGAACGGAATCTGCCGCAGCCCATAAGCAGCGTGGAAATGCGTCGAGACTGAAAACACCTGATCGAGTTCCTCCAGCGTCTTTCCCTTCGTCTCGGGCAGCAGCATCAGTATGAGCCACCAGCCGACGATATTCCAGCCCGCGTACCAGCTGAACGCGCCCTGCGGGGTGAACGCGTTACGCAGCGACGGCCACGTTATGGCGAGGAGCCAGTTGAAGAGCCACGTCGTGGCGGTGGCTAGCGCCATGCCGTAGGATCGTACGTACAAGGGATATGCTTCGGCGGAGTAGGTGAAGGGGACGGGGCCTTCGCCGGTGGAGTAGACGACGCCGAAGAGGTAGGTGCCTAGGGCGATGCAGCCGAGGCGTGCGGAGTTGTGCGTGTCTTCGGGGATCCAGAAGCTGAAGCCCGTGAAGAACATGGCGATGGCCATTAGGGGGAAGGTGGTGAGGAGGAGGTTGCGGCGGCCGAAGGTGTCGATCGTGTAGACGGCTGGGATGGCGAAGAGCCAGTTGATTAGACCCCAGCCGAGAGAGGCTGTCAGGGCGTTGCGCTGGTTGGTGGTCTCGAGGAAGATTTCGGATGAGTAGTAGGCGATTACGTTGACTCCTGTGAGGTTGTTGTTAGTATAGATAGGTTGGTTGATTATTTGGACGTTGGTGTTTAGTGAGACATACCACAGAACTGTGTCTAATGTTAGCCATGTTTGGAAGAATTGAGGGGTAGAGATCATACCTGTTGCAGAAACATGACAAGCTCAGAGGCAATCAAAGCACGTCGATTACGAGGCACGGCGATCAACTCTAAGATTTTGTTTTGCCCAAGCTTCATGGAGTTCTCTGCCTCCAGCAACGTGTGCATATAGTACATGTCTCGGGCTGCTTGGATCTTGGTGGGCCGCAGACTGCACATGGACTGGTATGCTTTGGCATACAGATTCCGGGACATGTACCAGCGTGGCGACTCGGGACAGGAGAAAACAAAACAACAGACGAGGAGGGCCGGAAACATGGCTGATCCCATCATGAGGCGCCAGTTCAAGCCGATGATTCCAGACTGATCCTGCACCTCGAAGAAGGCGAGATCCGCCGCATAGCCAAACATGATGCCAAACGCCGTCCACATCTGCCATTGCATCACCAAGGCACCACGGATAGCTGGCGGCGCCGTTTCGGCAGCATACACAGGGACCGTGGCGGACTTGGGCCCGATGCCGAATCCCAGCGCGAACCGCGATATGAACATGTGCCACCAGGTATTCACGCATCCTTGCCACAGACAGGCCAGCGCGGAGAAGCAGCAGGTGATGAAGATTGTTCCTCGTCGACCAAACCAGGCGTTGAACGGCACCGTCAGCCAGCAACCGATGACGGCGCAGCAGAGATAGGGAGCGGAGTTGACCAGGCCAACCAGCCAATTCGACCGAGAATCGTTGCCGCTGATACCGAACTGATGCTTGTAGAAGATCTGCGCGCCGTTGACGACCGTTTCATCTGAATCGAAGGATGATATTAGTTCGTTTCTCGTGAAGGAGAGACATAGAACTATCTTCAAACAGATCGAAGCACTTACCCATTCCCTGGACCGCAGCCGACAGTGAGCACAAAATAATGACCAGGTACATCGTCCACGGCTGGGACCAACGATTTGTGAATTCCTTTTGCAAAGCCGCCAGTTCCTCCGCCGTCATGCTGGGCAGATTAGTGACCTTCTCCGGCGTCTGCGCCAGGACAGCGCCGATGCCAAACGCGCGAATATCCTCTTCGTCGCCGATCTGGTGAGTGATGGCAAAGGTGATGCCTTGTTTGCGCAGTTCCTCATGACTATATCCCGCCAACGGATTCGCCAGCTTCGCGTTCAGATTGCGCCGGGCCCGTTCGGCCGCCGTCCCGAAGATGCGGCGAGGCAGGATATGCTCTTTATCCGTGGCGTATTCGACGTTGTGATGCTCGGGGATTGGGTCCCCGAAGACCCCTATCTCGTCCTTGCCAGGCATCTGAACGGTTGATTGCCGATAATGGCTGGATTGATCACAGAAGATGGTAGCGCAAAGCTGGACGGACAGTAACACAAGCGAGTAGTTGGAGACCGCGGTGTGGATTCTTCACGGACGACGCTAATCAAAAGGACATGTGAAAAGGGCGCGGGTGGAAAAGGGCCCTGAAATGATTTGCGCAATAGAACAATAATCGTCGCAAGCCCGTACAGGGATCAAGGTCCTAGGACAGCCAGTGTCCAGGTAGATGGCATGCCTGTTAACAAAGGAGGGCGACTACGACAAAGAACCGAAGTGCCGGGGCGACTGATAAAAGTATGGATGGATTCACGTTAGTGAGCATTAGGGGCAAGGAGTACCAAGGAAGTATCAGGAAGAGGGGCGAACCATGAGGGACGGAGAACAAGGAATCTCACGATGAAAGGTGCGACAGACAAGGCCAAGGAAAGACGTTGCGCTACTTGACTGGCAAGCAGAACGGAGGCATCCGGCACGGGAGGGTTCCAGAGCAATCACCCGTGGGCTGACGGAATGGAAGATTCCAGCCATCTTCTAGTGTCGGAATGTGCTTCTCCTGGTTTCCTGTTTTCAGAACAGCCTCCTGCGAGAAGTTCGAGGTCAGCACAGGACTGATTGGCGGAGCCGTTCGTCTGCATAAAGAGAGGCTGGGAGGTCCATCAGTCGAGGCAGACAAAGGAGGCATTGCGCTTCGTATTCACCCGGCCAAGAGGCACCCGTCAGGTCAGCAGGTGGCCTCTAGACTTAACTGGGCGATTACATTCACTCGTGAGGGTGTGGACCAAGAATCAACAAAGACTGGGATGGAAGTTTGACCGGGGTGGAGGATTCAAGCTGATCAGTTATAGGAGTATATATATAGAAGTTCAAACCCATGCGTTTCATAGATGCTATCAACCATACCATGTCAGGCAAGGCTATTGACAGCGGGCCTGTTGACTGCGAGGTTCTCTGGCAACTAAAGCGGGGTCATTTCTATCGGATGGACTTCCTTGCATGTCGGATGCCAACTGGAACAATGGACTCTACTCGGTCTGTCAGGTTCCGAACGGATCAGTCCATCCGTTCGGATCTGCTATTTACTCTAGAAATTATACTTTCCAAGGAGTCTACCCGACGGGAGATCCGCCATGACGTCCACTTCCCCGCATTCTCCTTCGGAACCTGGGGTTGATGGCTTCTTAGAATTTAACAGTTTATACGAGTGTTGGAGCTTGCTTCCTACGTCACCCCCAAATGTAGTTTTCGGAAGTCGGCACGAAGCCTGTTCTATAAAGCTAGCGCAATTCCCTTGCTTCGTTGCGTCTATCTCTCCATATTTACTATCTCACTTTCTGAACAATCCAATTGACTTCCGTGAAAATAAATCACAGGAACCAACTGTCTGTCATGCTCGGAAAGATCGCCCTCGAGGAAGCCTTCGCGCTGCCTCGCTTCGAAGAAAAGACCCGCTGGTGGGCAGGTCTCTTCTCCACCGACGTGGAAACCCACGTCAAAGAAATCACAGACATTAACAAGATTCGCGTGGAGCATGCCGATAAGCACGGCGTCGGCTACCAGATCCTCTCCTACACAGCCCCAGGCGTCCAGGATATCTGGGACCCGGTTGAGGCGCAGAGCCTAGCCGTCGAAATCAACGACTACATCGCCGAGCAAGTGCGCGCCAACCCGACTCGATTCGGAGCTTTTGCGTAAGTATTCTGACTCCGCATTGATACCGACACTAACCGGTGCGGGGGTATTCTTCCCTCTAGAACGCTCTCCATGCACGACCCCCAACAAGCCGCCGACGAACTCCGCCGCTGCGTCGAGAAATACGGCTTCAAGGGCGCCCTGGTGAACGACACGCAACGCGCCGGTCCAGATGGCGACGACCTGATCTTCTACGACAGCGCCAAATGGGACGTATTCTGGCAGACGTGCGCAGACCTGGATGTGCCATTCTACCTACACCCACGCAATCCCACAGGCACAATCTACGAGAAGCTCTGGGCAGACCGGAAATGGCTGGTCGGACCACCGCTCAGCTTCGCGCACGGCGTCAGCCTCCACGTCCTGGGGATGGTAACGAACGGAGTCTTCGACCGACATCCGAAGCTGCAGGTCATAATGGGCCATCTAGGCGAACACGTCCCGTTCGACATGTGGCGGATCAACCACTGGTTTGAGGACCGCAAGAAGCTGCTTGGATTGGCGGAAACCTGCAAGAAGACGATCCGGGAGTACTTTGCGGAGAATATCTGGATCACGACGTCGGGGCATTTCTCGACGACGACATTGAACTTCTGTATGGCGGAGGTTGGGGCGGATCGGATTCTCTTCTCGATTGATTATCCGTTTGAGACGTTTGCGGATGCGTGTGCCTGGTTTGATCATGCGGAGTTGAATGGTACGGATCGGTTGAAGATTGGTCGGGAGAATGCGAAGAGGTTGTTTAAGCTGGGGGAATATCATGATAGTAGTGCTTGATTTGTTTGATTGGGATATATTAGTGACGCTGTTGATATGAATTGAAATGCAATTGACCTGTACGAAGTTGGTCATTTTAAACAGAGCCCCAGGCTTGCCAAATCCAATGTAGTATCTTGAGTAGAGACATCATAGATATGAGGATGCAGTAGAAAAAAAAAAAAAAAAAAAAAAAAAAAAAACAACTCTTTGCGTTTCCCTCAAGAGATGAAAGCTAGTTCGATTGCGGTTGTACTGACCCTGAACCTTTGGATCAAAAGATGATGATTGTGTCCGCCGGATTCGATCTTTTCTGATCTCGAGACTGCTTCGAAAAGAGGTTCAAGTGATATCAAACTAACTCACTGTAAAATCAGTTGATATAAACTTGAATGTAAGGAATCTCTGGCCGGCTCAATCTTCTGGTGATATCTGATCTAATAATCAGTGAGAATTCAGTACTTCCAATACAGCACAATAACCAATTTACACACCATCAGGAATGACCGCATAGTTAAATTGGCATATCAAACTTTGTAAGGCAAAGAAGGGTTCATTCTATTCCTCACGGAATCTGATCCACGAGGAAACCGCATCAAAGGACCTGTGTATATCGTTTCACATTTCTCTCACTTTTAGCTTGCATATACTGTGATCAGTGACCAGAACGGAAGGTGTTTAGTGACACATACAAATTTTTCATTTTTTAATGGTTTTGTTTTCCAAGTGTTTTTGTTTTCAAAAATGGAATAGAAGAAAAGGAAACCAAGACAACGACAGCAGAGCAGGTAGGTAAACGTCAAATATAAAAATAAATGAGATGAATCAAGGAAAGAAGAAGATCATCCCCTCTACGCCCCGAGACGAACCCCCCCGTCCACCTCCTGCTGGTAGGCAACGTTCTCATCGTCCCAGATTGCCTGATAATTGGCAACTGTGCCCATAGCAGGACTGATGAACTGGGCCTTTAGTTCATCATTGACCACCATGATGGCCTTGTAGTTGTCGACCGTCCGCTGTAGGATGGTCCAGATTGAAATGAGAAGGCGGGAGACGGCCATGCGCTCGGCGTACAGGACGGTGTCGTGGATGATCTGGTAGTTATAGATATTCAAAAAGTCGCTGTACACGTAGGCATCGTAAAGGTCGATGAAGATCTGCAGGAGACGGTGTTCAGCGGGGCGAGGACGCTTCAGGTTTCTAGAACATTTGATTAGCTGGGACTTTGAGCCGGGAATGAGAGGTAGGATGGATGAGATTGGGTGTTGTGTAGCGTACCTCAAGATGGGCCGAATCATACCGCGGAATTTCATTTCAGGAGAGGCCTTCTGATCAGAGGAAGCTTGGACGACGGCAGCTTTGACGGCCTGGGCATCGCGTTCCTCCCTTTGGAGGGTCTGATCCAGGAATCCGAGATATTCAATAAAAGCGTGAGCGATCGGAGTAATCTGCTCGATGACCTGCGGACCAACGAACGAGCCGGTCGAGTTTTCGGGGGTCTGAAAGATATCGAGTTCCAAGCGAAGCACGTCGTTGGACAGCGCGCTGAACTTGCTTCTCAGCTCGTCGTTGATTTCGGAATCGAGGAGCATCTCGGTCATCGCGTTGAAGGCCATGTGCTTCTTGTCGGCGGTAGACACACGGCCACGACGGACGGCTTCTTGGGCCATTCTCTTGTACTTCGAGGCAAGATCGCTTGGCTGTGCCGCAAGCATAGGATGCGCGGAAGTAGAAGAAGATGCATGGCCGAGGATCTCGCTCGAGCGCATGGAATGAGTCACGACGATGGGCTTGCTCAGCGGGTTCTGGGTCGCGTATGGGGCACGAGTAGGAGTGTTGCCACTAGGAAAGAAGCGCGAGGTAGTGCGAGGACGGACAGGAGTGATAGGCCAACCAGAAGCACCCTGATGAAGGTTGAATTCGGGATTGACACTGGGAGAGGTGCTGGGATGAGGACCGTGACCCGCGAAGGGAGTCATGCTCGGGTGTCTGAACGACATGTCTTCCGAGCGGATTCTTTCGTCTGCAACTTTGGAGAGTGCGTAAGCGTAGGCTTGTTCGACGTCTTCGTTGAAATGAGAAGCTTCGCCCTCGCCTTTGTAAGACTCGCAGTAGGCGGGAAAGGGTTCAGGGGCGCTGAGATCTGGCTCTCCGTGGGGAAAGATTGGTCTTGTAGGTGGGAGGTTAGGGTAGAGAGGGGTCTAGAAGTGGATTTGGTCAGTTGAGAAGAGAAGAAAGCTTCTGTGGGTTAGAGCAAGTGAGACTCACTGTTGTGTGCTCCTTGCTAGTAGATACTGCGTCCTGATGTGCACTAGTGTCGATTTCCATGGCCATCTTTTCCAACTGATCAGACTCGTAAGCAGTGTCATAGAGATCTACCGGTTCCTTAGAATCAAACACCAGCCACTCGTTTGCTTCAGAAGCAGGCTCAGAAGTAGTTGAATTATCGATGATCGATGTCTTTGTGAATGCAATTCCACCAGTTGGAGCACTCCCACTAACAGTGTGCGCAGTGGAAGCTTCATTTGCAGGAGCATCAACAGTAGGTTTAACCGGAGAGTCTTCATGGGAGACTTCATCAAAAGGAAAGATTTCTGTGGAAGAATCCGAGTCGGTGTCGGGAATATCAGTATAGATATGTCCAAAAAGGCTGAACTCAGGAAATGCCGCATCTTCGAGAACATCCACTTGCTGGTGATGCTGGGCGGACGAGCTTGTGACATCTTCTTCATGCTCCTCTTCAGCAGGGCGTCGTATTTCAACACACCGTTTGTAAAAGAATGCACGAAGATCAGCCATGTTTAGTCTTCTGTCACGGCGCGCCTGTTCTTGAATGATATAGTCCAGATGTTGCCTGGCTAGAACGCCCGGTGGCACAGAAGTATTGTTGGACATTTTGACTTGAAATATGTGGAACGAGGCACCGTGCACAAGATGAACTGGAAAAAGTAGAATGACAAAAACTGAAAATAAAGAACAACAGTTGCCAAGAAAAGAGATCGAATAGATTGAGTTATACAAACAGGAAAGGGTGAGGGTATAGAAGCACGATGAAGTGAGCGAGAGAATGGATGAGAAGAGGAGTTTAAGGGACAAGGCAAAAGAGATGTATGGATAGAGAGCGAGGAAGTGCGCGAGGTAATTGTTTGACATATCCCACTTGACAGTGAATACCAACAGGGGTCCTTATGAATATGAGGGTTCTGTCCCATGGGCTTCTCCAGCCTCCGCTGAGAAAGAGAATGCATGCTTGCACTAAGCCCACTATACCAAAGGCACCAGTTGTATGAACGTAGTAACAGAAGTCTCAAGTTTATGTGAAAACCTTCTGTTTTGGTGTTGGTATTCTATCGAGCAATTGTTGAAAACGAGAGAAAAGGAATATTAGGGGTGCAAACAGCATTCTATTAGTTTTTGTCAGTGTCGAAATGGGCACGCTAGTATGTTCTGTCGATAGTTGCACATTGGCCATTGACTGCAGGTTGGGCTTGAATTAATGGAACTGCATATAGCTTTGGTCCCATCAAGACATCTAATCGATGGTGCATTCGTTTCAACTTCAAGGTTTGCGAATTAGAGACAAGCATCGGTAGAAACGAAACATCCGCAGCAAGAGCCCAAAATCCCTCAAAGCTCCTAGCGAAAGAGTGAGGTTGGCCAGGACGAAGCTTGCCGGTGCAAGGCAGACTTTCACCGGCAGGAAATGTAGGATTGCTCATACGATTACGTTCGATGGTAGCCTGAAAGGAGATCTACCAATATTAGTACATGAAATTTCATGAACAAAGTTGACATTAAACTATCCGAGAGTATGTATGTACTGCACCGCGATCGAAAACGCTCACTACTTGAAACGACTATTCGGATCTGGTTGCAGAAAGGCTCTCCCTAAGAGTAATGACTGGTGTATAAAGAGGAATGAAAGAGGATGAAACAAAACGTTTCTTCCAACCATTCAACTTCTCAGACAATACCCAGAGGTTAAGAGAGCCGGCTCGTTCTTCGCACATTGACTAATCAGCACGTCATTGTAAAGGAGCGTGTCAACTTAAAGTAGTGCGATGGGTTTCGGAGTCGACACGTTCGTAAACTATGAGATCGAGACAGACTCGCGACTCGAAGGTCGAGAGATGATCAATCATCCTTCCTACGTTGCTCGGACCTATCGTTGTGTATATCACCATCGTCATCGTCGGGCAACGGAACGTCCATGACTCGTTCCCCAGCTTTTTCCAACGTTCTCCGACTCCAATTCCTTACGCCTTTGTATACTGCCTGCAACGTAGTTAGCATTTGGAGGCATCGGAGTATGACGGGGGCCAACTTACCCAGAGAAAGGTCACGACGCCGATCAAGATAACTATCCAGCTCACGGACGCAGCTCGGCTCCTACCAGTGTTTCTACCACCACTGACAACGCCGGAGCTGCGGAGGTTCCACCACTGCCAAGGCGATAAAGCGAATAGAGCTTTGATGAAGGACAGGACGCCTAGGGAGGCCAATCCCTTGAAGAAATGTTCAAACCAGGAAGGACCTCGGTCGCTCGGTAGAACATCAGACACTGTCGGGTCCCAGAACTCCGAATAATAGATGGTTTCCATGGGGTCCACGTAAAGATTAATGATGGGGTCAGCAACAAAACCAAGAAGAAACACCGTGAAAATCAAAATGCTCAAAGTCAATCCAAACTGTGCGAAAGAACTACTGATCCAACGCGCCCAGGTGAGACGCTCAAGCCGATACTGGAAGCCACAGGTGGGACAGTGCCAGTAATTCCTCTTGCCATACCCCGGATCCGCGTGTCGCCAGGACTGGAGGCAACCCTCATGGACATATCGCGAGGATCCTTTGCATTTGCACGGACGAAGCAGGCGGCCAAGTTCCGGATCTTCCGACTCGTAGACAACTCGGGGTTGGCCTTGGAGGAACCCAGGGAGGTTTTCCGCTGGAGGGTGGAGGGTGGGCAGCACGGTCTCTAGGCAGATGCGACAGACGCGAGGTGGATAATGCTTCTGAGAAGCTTCGGGGGGAGCACCCGCATCGTGGGCGCTGTGAGTATCTCCGGGCGTTTCCTCTGTCTCCGTGTTTACAGGAGCATTTGATGAGGAGCTTGCAGGCCAACGCCAGCGTGGCTCACTGTGCAGGTCCATTCTGTCCAATGACGTGTTCAAAGGTGATGGTCATAATATAGTACCCGAGGTCTCCCTGCGACCCGGCTTAATAGACAGTGAAGCTATGTGTCGAGAGAGAGAATGCGCGAGTAGACACAGATGGAAAGACGGGAGGGGAAATCCATGGAGAGGAGAAAGAAGAGGAAAAAAAATATGGCACACAGGTGTGGAGAGAGGGAGACAGACAGAAGCGCGCCGAAGGGACGCTAGCCGCTCGCCTACCGTCACCGCCCCAGACGCGGCTTGGCATCGAGCAACTGCGTCAACATCTTGTCGCCTTGCTCCGGACTCTCTGATCAAAGGAAAGCTTCACTTTGGATCCCCCACCACCCCTTTCTATCTTCCAAAGACTTTTGTCCATCTTCCTTACCTCTCTAAATCCCCCCTCCAGAGCTTGTGGAGGTACAAATCCGTCTCCATGGCTGACCGATATTCGTTCTCGTTGACCACCTTCTCCCCCAGGTAAGATGAGCTTCCCGCTAGCAACTAACGGAACATACGTGTAGCTAACATCCGCCCGCAGTGGAAAACTGGTTCAGATTGGTAATGCTTCAAGCTTCGTCTGCCATGTGATTGGAATACTAATCCGTGTACAGAATATGCCTTGAACGCCGTTAACTCGGGTGTGACTGCCCTTGGAATCAAAGGTGTGTCCGATGCGGGTTTCCTTATGCGGGCTCGAGCCATTACTGACCTTCCTTTTTGCGATGATCAGCCACAAACGGAATCGTCCTTGCTACGGAAAAGAAGTCGTCTTCGCCCCTCATCGACCCTCCTTCTCTCTCCAAGATCTCGTTAATCACCCCCGACATCGGTATGGTCTACGCTGGCATGGGTCCAGACTACCGCGTGCTGGTCGACAAGGCTCGTAAGGTGTCTCACACCGGCTACAAGCGCATCTACAACGAATACCCCCCTACCCGGATCCTGGTGCAGGACGTGGCCCGCGTGGTGCAAGAGGCAACGCAGTCCGGTGGTGTCCGACCGTATGGTGTCAGTCTGCTGATTGCCGGTTGGGACGAGGGCGTTGAGCCTGAGTCGGAACAAGCGAAGGGCGAAGACGAGGACCCGGAGTCTCGAAAGGCCACGGGCAAGACGGGCGGTATCCTGAAGGGCGGCCCCAGCTTGTACCAGGTCGACCCCAGCGGCAGTTACTACCCGTGGAAGGCCACGGCCATCGGCAAGCACGCCACGAGTGCGAAGACCTTCCTCGAGAAGCGTTACACCGAGGGTCTTGAACTCGAAGATGCTATTCACATCGCCCTTCTGACGCTAAAGGAGACCATCGAGGGTGAAATGAACGGGGACACGATAGAGCTGGGTGAGTTAATCTGGCGATCTAACACTGTTGTGTAAAGCATACACCACTTACTGACCGATCTGTAGGCATTGTTGGCCCTCCTGCTGATCATCTGCTTGGCTACGAGGGTGTCGAAGAGTCTCGGGGACCCAGATTCAGGAAGCTGACCAAGGAGGAGATCGAGGACTACCTGACCAACCTATGATTGATACGCGCTTGGACATTTGATATTCAACGAACCTTCTAGTTTAATAGACATTATCGAGTCTGCAAGGTTCTCGGGCACAATACATATAGCACATGAACCGTAAAGTTCTGGATTGGTCAGTTATGACAGAGACCTGTGGAAGGTCTACAAGTGATGCGAGAGTAGGGCGTTCTGCCCATTAATGTCTTGAGATGCAAATGCATGCGTTCATCAAAGCGAATCCAAATGTAGTCATAGCCAGACCATGTGACGGGCGGTCTGGAAAGGCCGGAAAGCCGCTCAGCTTGGAAACAGCTTTCTTTCTTTTTCTTTTTTCTTTTTCCCTCTTCTTCCTGCCGCCGGGATTCTGTGGTTGTTGGCGTGCTGAACGAACGGGTCACCGCATCTCTGTCACACAGGCAACCCTTTAGCTGCGACTTGTCGGTTTCCAATTCAACGATGGCGTCTTTCACGGACGAGAGAACCTGAGGCTTTCTTCTCCCCGCAGTACAATGACCCGACGTTAAATTATAAGGGGAAATACGAAAGCCACTCATCGCTCATCGGCTTAGCTGAACGGTCGGGACATTTTCGTTTCTTGTTTTCTATGGGCGCTAAATCTATTTGAATTTGCTGATGCTTGTCCTAGCGGCATTGGACCAATAATCTAACATTGGCCCCAAACTTTCTCGATGGCGGTTTGGACTAGCCCGAATCCTTGTGCCTAACATCCCGACAACAAATAAAACCCAGGAGGCCGTGCCTCCCTCGGGTGTATGCGAGCAATGGATTGGGTCTGGGGGATCTACGCTAGGGCCACGCAGCGTGGTCATTATAATAATAGGGGAAGGGTCCCATGAACAGCTGGAAGCGAGATTGTACCACCAACATCGTTGTTTGCACTGTGCAGGCACCTGTCAGATCTTTGTTCTCGATTAATGTGTTGTTGTTTTGCTGCTTCTGCTGCTGCTGCTGCTGCCGCCGCCGCCGCTGCAGTCACTGTCACCACCATTCTTTTTGCTTTTATGTTTTCCATCAATGTCTTCGACCGTTGTCAGAGCAGTGGCTCCTTTGTTTGGCTTGGGGCCTAGCATGGTGTCTAGTTGATGCGAGAACAGCCAAGGGAGTGGATGCGACCGCAGATTCCACAGTACGGTGGCCTTTCTTCTTTTCTTTCTTCTGTGTCTTTCTCCCTGCTTTCGAGAGCGCGTTGAAAGTATAGTGATTGCCCGCGGGGATGCTCGACTCTGGGGCAATTTTGAATGGTTTGCATTCCTTTTCCAGATGGTTTCTAAATAAATGACCCTGCCCTGGGAGGGATGGCTCTGGGCGCCTACTAATATTGGGAGCAGAATGACAACCCCCTTATAACTCATCCGACTCTGAGTTTCACAACACTGGCCAGAAAAGATATGGCAACTGCTCAAGACCCGTTAGATGGGATATCGGGTGTGCTCGAGAACGGTGGGGACGGCATCAAAGCAACATTGTTCCTCTTTATCTCCGTCGCCTGTTATAATGCGGTGGAGCTGGTGGTTCTCGTCCTGTCCACTTTCCGACGCTGGCGAGGACTTTATTTTTGGAGTTTGCTCCTCTCGGGCTGCGTCGGAGTGGTGCCATATTCTTTGGGTTTCTTGTTGAAGTTCTTCACCAGCGCCACTTCCATCCTGTCGGTTACCATGCTCAGCATCGGCTGGTGGACCATGGTCACGGGTCAATCCTTCGTCCTCTACTCGCGTCTTCACCTGGTTATTCGTGACGAACGAATCCTTCGGCGCGTCCTCTGCATGATCATTTCCAACGTCTTCCTTCTTCATGTGCCTACGACTATCTTGACCTATGGCTCGAACGTCGACAACCCACCACGCCTCTTTGTGCGGGGATACAATATCATGGAGAAGCTGCAGATGACCGGCTTCACGATCCAAGAAGTGATCATCTCGGCACTGTACGTGTGGGAAACCGTCAAGATGCTCCGGCTGGGGTCGGAGCCCTCCAAACGAAAGATCATGCACCAGCTCGTGGGAATCAACGTGTTGATGTTCGTCATGGACTTGGTACTCCTGGGCCTGGAGTACGCCAACTACTATGCTGTCCAAATCACGCTCAAAGGCGCCATCTATAGCATCAAACTAAAGCTTGAATTTGCGGTTCTCGGCAAGCTCGTCGACGTGGTCCACAGCAACCAGCGGCCGTCGTCGCTCGAGAACGCGGTGCAGTTGAACTCGCTGGATGCAGGGCATAGCCCGATTCCGCTAGCCGAGTCGTCCAGACTGCCGCGGAATATGACATTTTGCACGGTGGCCGGTGCATTGGCGTGTGGGCCATCCCGACAGGAAAATAAAGCTGTTCCTCGAAGGACGGCGAACGGAAAGATCGTGACGATGACGGAAGTGTCGACATGGGTTGATCAGCGCACAGGCAACATCCGCGCCTGATTCGAAGTCTGCTCTCTTATAATTAATAATTGCACGGGGACACCTAGGATGACGACGACTTACGATGTAAAGTATAAAACAGTATATAGGAAGCTTTTGCGGAGGAATAATAATACCATAATATAGTCGCTTGATAGTCGCTTTGCGGTATAGACTGTTGCTACGGTATATCCAATAGAGCTTATGGTAGATCTTATTCTCTTTCTAACAAACCTACATCGTCGTCTTCGTTCCACCCAAACTCCCCGTCCGAGTCTTCGTCCTGGCTGTCTGCGATCTCATCGACTTTTCGTTTTCGGGTTGTAGCGTCTAGGGGTTCGCTGGGTTCTTCTTGGCCTCCGTCATGGAGGGTTTGTTCTTGCTCTGGTTCCTGCTCTAGTTCCTGCTCTGGATTATGCTCTGGATTCTGCCCCACTTCTGGTTCCTCCCCTGCTTCTGATTCTAGTGCTTGTGTTGGCCCTACGTCTGGGCCCGAAATGAGCTTTGGAGCCTCGTCGGGGTTCTGCGCCGTCGTCACTAGATAAGAAGGACTGGGGCCAGGCTCATCAAGCGCATGAAGTCCGTCCTACATTCCAGTCAGTCTTCACCCATCGTGCGCATTGCGCAAGGAGAGAGAAAGAGAGAGGGGTAAACCAACCAGCTCAATCAAAAACGGTACCACCGTATCCTCCTCCCTCCTCACCATCACAGCCTTCCCATTCCGCTTCATCACCTCCGCAAACCGTACCCTCCTCAACCTACTCCTCTGCCTCTCTCCCTCCTCTTCGCCCCCAGAATACCGACCCTGGTACTGGCTGCCCTCGCGCACAAAATCCCGATACAGCCCCACGCGGGCAAACACGGCCGTTTCCCAACCCCCGCCCGCCACTACGGGGGTCAGGGTGGCTTGTGGCAGGCCCCTGATGCGCGTGTGCGTCTGATTCAGCGCCAGGACGGCCATGTGGTTCGTCGTAGCGAGTCTGGACAATTGGGCTGCGAGATCGCTGGTGACGTTCCATTTACGGTTGACGAGCCAGGATTGTTGGGATTTGTCGATGCGGGTGGTTGAGAGGCGGGCTTTCAGGTCTGATGGGGCGGGATAGTAGGGTTGAAAGGGAGCGGAGATAGAGTCAATGACTAGGAGGGTTGTGTTGGGGGGTGGGAAGGAGGATGGAGGGCGGTGGAGGAGGGAGAGGAGATGGGGCAGGGTGCGGGCGTGGATGTACAGGAGGTTTTGGGAGAGGTCGGGGATGGAGTCAGTGTTACAGGGAGATGGATATGGGGAAGAGGAAGAGGGGTTAGAGGAAGTGCGTGAGCTTAGGAAGTCCTTGAGTCGGGGTTTGGGGAGGGGAGAGCCCGTGTCTAGAAACGTTGTTAGCTGCTTGACGTAAGAGAGGGAACCGAGGCGCGTACCAATCCAGACGACCTTTCCTCCGGTCCGGAGCGCATTTGATGCGATGCTGAGGCTATACAAAGCGTATATCGCGTCAGCGGATCCGATGTAAACACGGGATAGGACGAGCGTACGCGAGAGAGGTCTTCCCGACCCCTGGAGGCCCGAATACTTCCGTGACATGGCCTTGGGATATTCCCTTGGAATCTTTGCCTGCAAGACCTGGAAAGTCATCGGGCGACGACGGACACAGCGCCTCGTCTAGGCGCGCAAGACCCGTGGAGATGGCAGTGGCCGACGCGGTAGACGCGTGCAACGACTGCGAGGCGGGGAAAGATACCACGCGATCTGCAAGCAGTTAGACATAGCCATTCTAGATATATTGATGAGAAATGTGGGAAGAGTTCGATAGATTAGATAGTATTTGAGAACTTACGTGGTTCTTGGCTCGATAAGCCGAGGAAGTCCGCCCTGTTCATGATGAGGAAATCTGGCAGGAAACAGTTCAAATATAATCAGCGCATACAACTCTGCGATTATTCGTCAACTTCATTTTGAGTTATTGAATGAAATTATCCGACTACCTAGGATTTGGGAGGTAAGTAATAACGAAGGAGTTGGCGGAGGTGAAATTAGCGTTGGTGGAGCCGATCATCGGGACTTTTTTTCAATCCCGGATTGATCTCCCTTGCAGTGTCGGTCTCCATCATTCCAAGCTTACGGAAAGTAGTCCAATGGATCTCATCTTTCCTGATATTAATCACCTTTATGGCTTCATTCTCCTGCTCATCTTCTATTGTCTTCATCTTCGCTCTAAACAACCCGTCTCCCCTAAAGGATGTCGCCGCCTTGGTCTCTCGGCAGACCGCAGCAATATTCAAGATGAATATGATCCCAAGTACAGCCAGGGTGTATCAAAATCCCAAACCGACGCTCATGGGAATCCCGCCTGGCGCATCAAGGCGCTTTTTACATATCCGATCAAAAGCTGCGCCGGCGTCGAGCTAGACGTCGGGGATGTTGTCCCCACCGGACTGAAATATGACCGACAATTCTGCTTTGCCGAGTATATGACCCCCCAGCCCGGGTCTACTGGCAATGCAGGGCCGACACGTCCGCACTGGACCATGCGAACCATGCGCGAAGGACCTTTCTGTCGCCTAGCGCTGATTCACCCCGAGATTTGGGTCCCAGACCCGACAGCCCACGACTACCATGCGGAGCTGGAGGAGGTGAAATCGCAAGGCGTGCTGATCATCAAGTACCCACGTCCATCTGACAGCGGAGTCCTCTTCTCTCTCAGAAAACTGGCAATCTTCCTCGGCATCATCCCCTCTCACCTTTCTTTCCGAGTCCCGTTATCTCCCCCTGCATCCCGTCTGGATACATATCCTTCCACCCCGGTCAAGGTCTGGAAAGATGCACCATTCGCCTACGACTACGCGCAACATGTCCCCTCTTCCCTGCGCGACTTCCTCTGTCCTTCAGATCCGTCTTCTTCTCCTCGCGGCCCGGTCACCCTCTTCCGAGTCGATCCGTCTCACCACAGGGAGATCTTCCGTTGCGCGCCACGCAAAGAGGAGCTGGGCTTCCAGACCGTCACCGGCTTCGCAGATGCCTACCCGCTGCATATGCTGAACTTAGCCAGCGTGCAAGATGTGGCCACCAGATGCGCGGAGTCAATCCCACGATTATCTATCCGCCGATTCCGAGCAAACATCATTATCCAGGGTCCGGAGGCGTACGCGGAAGACGAGTGGAAGCGCATCTGGATATCACCATCATCAAATTCCATCTCAAAATCTCAGGATCAACCGCATTACTCAAACCAGCATGTTAAAGACCCAGAAGCCGGCGTGGAAATCTACACGGTCTGCCGTACCATGCGCTGTAAGCTTCCTAACGTTGATCCGGACACCGGCATCCGTCATCGCAATGAACCCGATCGCACGCTCAAATCCTATCGTTGCATCGATCCCGGTGACTATACGAATGCAGCACTGGGTATGCAGCTTGTTCCGGCTGCTCAAGGTGAGTTCCCATGTCTTCTTCCTATTACACCTTTGTGTTCTTCGTAGATTCGTAGTTGGGTATTGGATATCTGGACTGGGCTGATTGGTTGCCTCTAGAGTTTACCCTCTCAGTCGGGGACGCCGTGTCCGTCCTGGAAACGGGAGAGCATTTCTATATCAAGATGTTAGCGCCGGGAGAAAAGGTTGAGGGTGTCTAATTGCTCGCTGCATTCACGTAGAGCCATGATATGGGTATTTGGGGATATCGTGGAATAATTTGTACAATAAATGTCGCGGTATACGTATAGACAATCCTATTCAATGTAGTTTTCATTCCTCGCACTCACCTCACCTCAGTCTTGTGCTTAAAAATCACAGAAAACAGCGATAGCCTGTTCCAATACTCGATTTCTGCCACATTCTTAGAGCAAATATTCTAGCCATCAAAAGAAAAGAAAGGAAAACAAGCTTATACATCCTCAACTGCGCCCCATCGCTAAGACAGCACCCCCGCGGCCTCGGAGTTTCCCAATGGGGAATGCAAGTTCCAGTCTCACATCCCTTCCGGATGGGAATTCTATAAGGGGACACATAATGGTAAAATGCGCTTGAAGGCGACTGCATTATCTGCTGGTTCGAAGACCAGTTTGTTCAACCCTATTGAAAAAGCCTATCCTCGTGGTAATCTGCATATACTTGACCGCCGAGCACTCAAACTGCTTGTTTTCTGTGCTAAGATATTGATACTTTCCTTTCGATCATGGATAACTACCAGAGGGAAAATAACAAAAATTATCAAATCTTAAAAGATGCCGAGAAAAGAGGATATGGCGCCTTAGCCACCAAAGCGTAAGATATAATTATGCTCTCCTTTGCTCATGCTTCGGTTCCCGACAAAGGTTACTGTACCAGGAGCCCCCAAGATGATACTGACCCGTTTTTCGACTGCAGATACAATATCGAACAAGTCCTGGGTTTCATACGTGCTGCGGAACATAAACGCTCTCCGTTAATCATCCAGCTTTTCCCTTGGGCAGTCAAATTCACGAACGGCCATCTCGTTCGTTTTGCGGCGGGCCTGGCACAGGAAGCCTTCGTTCCTATTGCAATTCATATGGATCACGGCCAAGGCGAGTCTCTTATACGATACGCTGCAGTAAACCTACCCTTCGGCAGTATAATGATCGACATGGGTCACTGCTCGAAAGAGGATAATCTTCGAATAACGGCAGAGCTCGTACAGTTCTGTCATGCTCATGGCAAGTCCGCAGAGGCACAACCTGGGCGAATTGAGGGCGACTTGAGGGCGGAGAAGATGGTATCAGTAATACTGCAGAGCTGGAACCTCCTATGACTACAGCTGAGGAAATGAAGGCATTTGTGGAGACAGGGGTTGACTTCATAGCACCTTCTTTTGGAAACCTCCATGGCGAGTATGGTGCGCGAGGGATTCAGCTCGACTGGGAACGGTTGGAAAATGTGCCAAGTATTGCGGCGAAAAACGATGTTGGAATTGTTTTGCATGGTATGAATGACTTTGGTACTGAGCTCATGAGGGTTATTTCGAGGGGAGTGACGAAGGTCAATGTGAATAAAGATGTTCTCAAGGGGTACTATAGATATGTTGAGGAGAATGTGGGAAGGGTACCGTTCACACCACTGATGGAAAACGGGGTGGAGGAAGTGAGGAAGGTATTGGAGATCTGGATAGATATGTGTATGAGTACAGGAAAACTTCTAGTTAAAATTGATGGCATCTTAGCAGGTGCCAAAAGTCGCCTCAGGGGAGCTTGATCAAACCATAGAACCTTACTGCACTTGCTTGCGACAATGCCTTGCTATTATAAGAAATTGTTCAATAGTAATGGTAACTGTGGTATTTGAGCCAGTTCGTATTCACCCTTGATTGAACACCCAATACACAAACAATTACTCGACCGCAATCCAAGGACAACTAAGCAGAGTATCGTGTTCGCAGCATTTTATGAGGCAGCCCCATCCAGCCCAGTGTAAAGATTGTAGCCAAAATTAATACTGCGGTCATTGAAGCGTGCCTGTAGATCCATAGTGGCAATTTCTGTCAGGTCGGCTTCTGCAAGCTCGAAGTCTGCTTGCAGAATTTCCTCAGTCTGCCACTTGATGGTACTCTTAGGAATGACTGAGCGCCCTTGTGAAACGGCCCATGCAAGTGAAACCTGCAATCTGGCAAAGATAATACCAATCCCAAAAAATACCTGCATGCAGATAGCTTCGGTATTTGAACATCTGAAACCCTTGAAGAATACAATTTATTCTCCTCCAGCACCACCAAACTCCAGCTACCCAAACATTCAGGACTATGAAAACCCTAACCCCGTCCGACGAAGGTGCGCCGCAACATCAGCAGCCAAAAGGTTATGAAACTCCGAGGTTGGGTGATAGTCGTCCCACCAGACACATCCCGTCCCCATGCACCTATCGTCCGCGAACCCGTAGTCTACAGGACGATCGAGGAGATCGGTCATGAAGGACCATGCATCGTAGAGAGTGATAGTAGACTGTACATAGTTACTCACTAGAATGTGAAGAGAGAAAGATGGGAGCTTACATCACGATGCGCCATACGCCAATCCAAGACCGTCTCCTCCAGTTGATAATTGAATTCCACGACAGCCTCTTCGTGCATATCTCTTGTGAAAGCGTCGTGCCACATCATATTCGGCGTTCTGGTAATCGGTGGGACATTTATGATTAAGAAGTGACGAGCTCCGCATGCATACAGCTGCTCTAGTAGGTCGAAGTAACTTTGCATGATGCAGGATATGGTCCACGAGATGTCAGTCTGCATATAGCTGATCTGAATGCTAATCGAGACAACAGATGCTCCAGTCAGCAGGTTTTTTTTTCAGTCGTCTTTCATCTCACAACCAGCTTACTGACTGACTTACTCATTGATTCCAATCCAGATTGCAAACAGGGCCGTATCTGACTTCCACCCCGGGCTCGATTCCAACAACGAGGAACAGTAATGATCACCGAAGTTGCGAGAAACCTGATTGACCAGGTCTATTGGCTCACCATCAACGATCGAATTGTCCACGGTAGCGCCGAACACCGCAAGGTTGAAGTTCAGGACTGCCGTGTCGTTGTAGACAGTTGTTAGGTATCCCGCCCAGTTGATGCCGCCGGCCGAGGTACCTTGGCCTGTGTGTAGGATCTTGTTCAGCAGTGGATTGAGTTATAGGATGTATTTGGCTCTTTACCGAGATCTGGGTTGCCCATTGGATGGTCTAGTGTGGGTTGGATGCCGGAGGTGTTGAATTTCGTTGATGTGTACGAATCGCCACTGATGCGTTATGCAACGTTAGACGGTCATACGTGGGGCACTGGAAATGTGACTGTCTCGTACAAGGTAAACAGGGTGTTATACGACTCCTGCAGCTGCTGCGGGCTGAGAACAGCCATGCTGGGGACAAGGAATCGATCGAGTTTCATTTTGTAGAAGGTAGGAGGATTTGAAGCCAGGTGGGTTGATTTCTTCGTAGGAATGGATTATTGTGCCATAGGCTCTGGGTGAATATATACTAGTGGCCATCAGATACTCGCCGGTAATGAGTATCTTCCTATGTAGCTGGGAGAAAACTCGTCAATTGATTGACTGCCTCGAGCACATGTGGCTGAAGGCTGTCATCGGTTGGTGTCAGAGTAGTCAGAATGAAAGTATAAATCAAAGGGCAGGCTTTGGAAATACGATTGTCACACAAGCCAGAGCCAAGGATGGTCATTCAGTTCTTATTAGTCGAGACTGAAGAATATGGCGGGAGTTGAATGCATTTTGGAAACTCGAGGCTTGGTTACACTAACACGAGAGGATCCCATTCAGTATCTAGCTTGTTGATTACCATAGGATGGATGTCTCGGTTTCCCACTCATTTGCATACTGCTAGATTCAGCTCTGGCTTGAGCACAGAGATCAAGTATGAGATCTGCATCATGATACCTCTAACCAGTAAGCGAAAGCAATTGAGAAACAGTGCCAAAGCATCAGAGCAGCCAGCTCCCCTCCAAGTCTGCCCGTCTATGTCATAATGCAGTTAAGCTCTGCTGTCGTACGACCCAAACATGCTGCAATCGGCGTCAGCTTTCCTTTTGAGTTTTGTGGTCACCACGAGGTCTGGATTCCGACCATCTATAAAGACATTCACCTTCATGGCCTGAGTATTTTCCATGTCCAGCCCTATCGATTCTGTTCATTTCTACTCGCAGCCATGTCTACCGAGAAACAATCCCACGTCATCGCCATCGCAGGAGGAGCCGGCAATCTAGGCCGATATCTCATCGAGGAACTGCTGAAGGATGATCGGTTCTCCGTCGTCGTGTTGACTCGACAGGTACATCCACCTCCTTCTCATACACCCCAGTACCTAGATATCTATCTACCTATCTAACAACCACCCAGGACCACCCCTCGACCCCAATCTCCTCCCCCAACCTCACCTACCACCAAACCGACTACACCCTCCCCTCCCTAACCACCATCCTCACCACCACCCGCGCCACAACCCTCATCTCAACCCTCAACCCCCCAGAACATCTCTACCTCCCCCTCCACAACTCCCTCCTCTCCGCCTGCCTCGCCTCCCCGCTCTGCAAACGCCTCATCCCCTCCGACTGGGCCGGCAACGTCGAATCCCACCCAAGCAGTCCCCGCGCGTACGGCCGCACCCGCGCCCCCTTCCGGGAGATCCTGGCCCAGACATCCGGGATCACATACACGAGTTTCAATCTAGGGTGGTTTATGGATTACTTTCTCCCGCCGGAGTTCTCGTATATGGGGTTCTTGGAGGATGAGTTTCCGGTTGATCCTAGGCCCGAAGTGTGGAGGTATGTGGTGAGGGGGAGTGGGGAGGAAGAGCAGTGTTGGACGTGTGCGAGGGATGTGGCGAGGGCTGTGGTGCGGTTGTTGGGGGTAGAGGGGTGGGTGAGTTTTTTTCCCTTCTGTCTCTTTTCTCTCGTCCCTTGATTTCGTTGTCTGGTGGTATGAATGACTGGTTGCTTATATTCATGTTTCTTGTTTTTTTAAGGAACCTGCTACATACATAACCGGCCAACGGGGCACGTTCAACGAGATGGCGAAACTCCTAGAACGGTTCTACGGTATACCCTCCTTCTTCTGTTCCCCTTCCTTTCTTCTCTGGTATACTTAATTGAGACTGGATTAATGAACGTGGACAGACCGCCCCTTCACAACCACCCACCGCTCCCTCGAAGACATCAACCGCTCTCTCGCCAACCCAAGCAGCAAGCATGAATTGGCGATTGCCGAGATCGAGGAATGGGGCGTAAGTGGCGCCACGGCGTGTCCTGAGGAAAAGACGCGGAGGCAGCATGAGGAGTACTTCAAGGGGATGGAGTTTTTGTCGGTGGAGGAGATGTTGAAAAAGGCGAAGGTGGAGGGGAAGATTTAGATTATTGTTATTACTATTATTATTATTACGATCAGCTCGGGATGTACTACGTATGTATGTGTGATGGCTCAAGCGGGATATGGGATATGTAGTCGGGTAGCGGAATGGTTACCTTGGAGATTAAAGACCTAGTCTGAAGGTATGTAAAGTATGTCTGGTTCAAATTCACCGGGGTATCCTATCCTATCCTATCACGTACTATCGTATCCATCCATCCATTAATTACCCATTATCTCATATAGCAAACATTCATAAACAGACTGTATATAGATGTACTCCCATTACATACTCCGACCCTCCGACTGATCGGCTTTCGTATGCGACTCGGGAACCCCCTTCGACTCATCCTGGACCTCGCCGCTGGAATCCATGACCGCCGCCTCTTCTTCCGGATCCTCCGGGATCAAAAGATTCAGAATCAACCCCAGCACAGAAGTCACGGCGAACCCGTTCGTCATGACAAGCACCACTGCATCGAGCAAACCCTGCAGGGCGTGGTTGTCGCCGCTATACGTGAAGAAATACTGGAACCACTCGGGCACCAGGGTAGCCGCCATACCCACGGCGAAGGAGGCCGTCAGAATGAATCGGTTGCGGCGGGTGAATGGCACGGTGGAGATGATGCGGATGCCGGAGACGGCAACGGACGAGAAGAGGAAGGTGGTCATGCCGCCGAGGACGGAGCTGGGGATGGCCACGAGGGCGGCGGCGAATTTGGCGAAGATGCCCATGACCACCAAGAAAAAGCAGCAGGCGTAGCCGGCCTTGCGGTTGGCGCATTTGGTCAGCGCGATGACGCCGTTGTTCTGCGCGAATACGGACATGGGCGTGATGGTGCAGAGACCGGCCAGGAGGCAGGTGAAGCCGTTGCCGAGCACGCCGCCCTGGATGCGGGAGTCGAAGGTGGCCCCTTCGACTTCGAGCTGCGAGACGTCGCAGGTGGCTGTGATGTCGCCGATCGATTCCATCATGATCACGATGTAGACGGCCAGGAGGGGCAGGATGAGCGGTGGGTATATGACGAGAGGGAAAGTTCGCACCCAGATGAAGGAAACGACGGGGGCCGCGTCGATGCTGGAGCGATCGAAGTAGCCGCATGCCGCCGCCACGATGCATCCGACCAGCAGACCGATGACGACAGCGCATGATTTCATGATGGGCGAGCCGAAGCGCTCGCAGAGGATGATGGTCAAGAAGACCAGGAAGCCGAGGCCGATGAACTCGGCGCTGCCCCAGGGAAGGGCGTGCGGCGCATCTGCGCTGGGACACAAGGCTCGGGCGGCCGGGTCGCTGCCGCAGCTGCCAGAGCCGCCAGCCCAATCCTTCATGCCGCTCTCGATGAGACTGGCTCCGATTAGCAGGACCGTCGGGCCCGTCACCAGCGGGGGGAAGATCTTCTTGAGCACCCGGGCACTCATGAACGACAGACCGATTTCCAGCAGAGAGCACAGACACGAGGTACCCAGCAGGGCTCCGTAGCCTTTGGGACAGGCCAATCGGTTGCCCTGGTCGTCGACGGGGCAATACCCTGAATTGTACATTTGATTGAAGGTGCCCGTTGCGACCGTGATGGTGGCAAACGAGGTCCCCACCACCGAGATCAGACCGGTGCCGACATAGTATCGCGTTTTGTAGACGTGGAAGCGGGTCATTTGAACGGCGGACAGGAGGCCGGAGACGATCAGAGATGTCGAGACCAGATATTGATAGTCGTCACCGGAGAAGTTGGCGGCGGCGGAGCCACCCAAGAGAATCGGAGGGGCGATGACTAGAAAGTTCGCATTAGTTAAAATCACAAAGGCTTGGTTGAACATAGTCACCTCCAGCCAACATTGCCAGCGCATGCTGCAAACCAAGGATCAAAGCCAACAACACGGGCACGCGATCTTCTAGGCCGAAAAAAGGCGCCGTCCGTCTGGTTTTGCTGACGAAGGGAATCTGTGGAGTAAACAGATAGGCATAGTCATAGTCTCCAATCAAGCCCTCTCTATTGACACCGAGTTAGATCCCTTGCGACAGTTTCACGACGAATCAGGCTAAAATTTACCTGGTGGTGAAAGTCTTGACGATTCTTCGAGCGCGATCAGCCAATGTCCGCCGCAGACGAAGGTCGGGGCCGATCTGATCAGGGCCATCCATACCGGCAGTAGGATGATGGTAAAAAGAGAAGATAGAAAAGAAGGGAGGGGTTGTAACAGTGTCGAGCAGGACCCCTCAGGGCAATCAAGGGATCTCAAATCCGTGGCAAACCCGGCTGTGGTGACGATCAGGCCGACGAATGGAATTCAATTGATGGAATGCAATGCGGGGAAGTTTGACCCCAAGATGTCGCAGGAGCCCAGGCGATATATAAACGAATGTAACATTCGCGCAAGATCGGAGAGGATAGAAGATCGGGGGAAGTCGTTATCGGCGACAATCTGAATGCAGGAATCCATCGAATAATGCAATAAATTTCATTTTGTGATTCTGTTTGTGGTTATCTCTCGAGTTTCGCGAGATGCCAATAGCCACCAAAGGAGCAAGCTAACGGTAGAGGCAATGGTGATAGGCCGACGAGCAAACTCTAGACCCTGGAACCAATATCGAGAGCTCCTTTGTCGACCGTCCTGCGGTGGAGCCGGCGATAAGGAGGCTTGCTGACAGTCGCCGCTCAGGGCACCGACGCCGGCGGACACTTATCAAGGACCAAGGCGGGCACCGCCGAAGTCCCGACAAGGGGAGGGAGTCCTGATAGCGAGGAGCCGAAGCGAAGCATGAGCAGGACAAGACGGAGAAGATTTCATCCCGAAAGCTGGGCGTGGGAGACCTCCTTATATCGACGTGCGAGTTGCATCCACGGAGCAGTTCACCGCGTGGTCTCAACTACAGATGCGGTTTAGCGCCGGGGAAGGAGGATTCTGTTAGTCACGGAAACTGTTGGCGTCCGCTGAGTTTCCCACCTTATCTGAGTACATCATTCTGGTCGCTCCTCGGTATCACGCCGCGATTATTGGAGAGGTAAAAGAGGTGCAGGGAAGGAGGGGAGAGGAGAGCAGTAGGAGAGTAGCCGGTATATGGCAATGATACATATTTTCTCTAACCCGGGTCCGTGATTTGGAAGCCGAAGACACTGGACTACCGCTCTAGTGAGAATTCACACCAGAAAGAATGATAGATTGAATCCTGTAGACCGCGGAGCCCTGCAATGAATCTAGCGCCAGGGCTAAATGCTGCTAAGTACCCAACAGTGGGGTCTCGTTGCAGATTTTCATCTCTATTCTCTAATAAGAAGTCCGGTGGTCATAGTGACTTCAATTATATACACCGTATAGTACAATTTGATCTCTCACGGTCAACGCAAACCACAGACGTGATAAAGAATAGGGCAAATGTCTCGTTCGAAAGACCCTCAATGGCTGTTGAATTGGTAGAATTGGTACGGAGTAGAATTGTTCAATCGATCGATTATCAACGGGAGCTGGAGGCGCAAGCCAGCTGTAGAACGGGTGTTTTGCATTCGCTAGATGCGGCCGGGAGATCTATGGCAGACCAGAGATCGAATTACCCGTATGATGCAGTAGACAAAGAACCGTAGAATAAGCTGCACGGAGTAAGTCAAATAATCCGCCGGAGCTTCTCATTCCCCGGTTAGCTTATGTATAAATATAGTTATCCCTACCTAGACTTAATTAGTATTATTATATTTGAAATAGTGCGCTATACACGTTCTTCATCTCGTGTACCGGCATAATTATATTTCGACCTGCTTCCAGCTACCATGACAGTAGTATACGACGACATAGCTTAGGAGTAGGGTGGACATCTACGGCGTATGGTGTACGATGCCCTGTGTCCACATTAAAGAAGCGATACATACCCCATAGACGGCTAGATAGAAGCGACTACTCCGTAAGATCGACCACTGATCGCTGGTTGACAGGACAGCAAGCGTCGCGAAACTTCATGTGGATAATCACAAGCTCAGGCAACAGTCGAGGCGGGTGGCGAGTGGCAAACCGCTTGTCCCAGCCATAGGGCTGCATCCGAGACGGTCGGAGCAGGCCTGTCCGTTTCACCCGTTGGCGAACTAGTCCAAGGTGAATCCGACCTTAAATCAACGGTCAGCCATGCTCCGGGCGGACCCCAGGTTTGCCCCGGGTTGAGGTGAGGCAATAGACATGGAATCTTATGAAGGAAGTGCATAGAATAATGAACGATGAGAAAACCGGAATGCAGCGATCCACTCTAACCTCGATGTGGAAGATTCACCCGCTCGGGGCGACTGAGTCAGCATTCACCATCCCCTTCCACCAGTCAGAGTGAAGATTTTGTTCACCGCCTGCAGGGGCCGGGAAAACGTTGGGGATTCAACAGATACAGGGCCGTCGGTCTAACCGGAAACGGAGGGGTCTGGGCAGGGCGTCGCCATCGAGCGATTGGCCCAACAAGACGTGCCTGCTTGATCTGGAAGTCATTCTCAGGAAGGTTTTCCTGTAGATACCTCAGCTATACTCTGTTTGACAGACGGAATTGTTGAACTCGGCGTGCATCTCACTGCCAACCTCGGAATCAGATGATTGTGTAACTCGTAACTCCAAGCAGCTGATTGCAGCTGATTACAATCACCGGATTCCTCGCTCTGTCTTTCTACTTCCCCATCCATCCGGCTTATCCCAGCATCCTTGGCCGCGGTCCGCCTTGCAGTGCACTTCCTCCCCAACCGTCATCCTGTCGGTGGACCTCCGACGCTCCATCCTCTGCCAATCTGCGTTTCCCTTTTTCTTTTTTTCTCTGCCCTTCGCCGCAGGTTCCCCACCCTTTTGCTGGTCCGGTGTTTTCTTCCTCGGATCTTCGTCCCCTGCAAATTGTTTGCCTCCCCTTCCTCTCTTAAAATCAAATCTATAACCCTTCCCTTCCCTTCCCTCATCCCTCTCCATCTCCCTCTCCACCTCTCGATTCTCCCTTTCTGGTTCTGGTCATCAAGACGATTGACTCGTTTGACCACCTCATAAATTGCGAGAGCTGCGAGCTCCAAGGGAAATAAACCACCTCTACATATCACCGGCATCATGTCTACAAAGCCGGCGGATGCCACCCGGCCTCGCGCTGCTGGTGACACCAAGAAGGTTCATATTGCCGACACTCCTCTGACGCGGCAGAACTGGTATAAGCATGTCAACTGGCTGAACGTCACCTTCATCATCGGTATCCCGCTGTACGGATGCATCCAGGCTCTCTGGGTGCCTTTGCAGGTGAAGACCGCCGCCTGGGCCGTCATTTACTACTTCTTCACGGGACTGGGTATCACTGCAGGTAGGTTCTGATAAGCCTGGTGGCGCTTCTGGTGCTGGGATGGGAAACTAACATGCACAGGATACCACCGTCTGTGGGCTCACTGCTCGTACTCCGCTCGTCTTCCCCTGCGTATCTGGCTTGCTGCCGTTGGTGGCGGTGCCGTCGAGGGCTCCATCCGCTGGTGGGCTCGTGGCCACCGTGCTCACCACCGCTACACCGACACCGACAAGGATCCCTACTCCGTCCGCAAGGGTCTGCTCTACTCGCATCTCGGATGGATGGTCATGAAGCAGAACCCCAAGCGTATCGGCCGTACCGATATCTCCGACCTGAACGAGGATCCCGTCGTCGTCTGGCAACACCGCCACTATATCCAGACTGTCATTACTATGGGTCTGGTTGTACCTATGCTGGTGGCCGGTCTGGGCTGGGGTGACTGGTGGGGCGGCTTCGTCTACGCTGGTATCCTCCGTATCTTCTTCGTCCAGCAGGCGACTTTCTGTGTCAACTCCCTGGCCCACTGGCTCGGTGACCAGCCCTTCGACGACCGCAACTCTCCTCGTGACCACGTGATCACCGCTCTGGTCACCCTCGGCGAGGGATACCACAACTTCCACCACGAGTTCCCCTCCGACTACCGTAACGCCATCGAATGGCACCAGTACGACCCCACCAAGTGGACCATCTGGATCTGGAAGCAGCTGGGTCTGGCCTACGACCTCAAGCAGTTCCGTGCCAACGAGATCGAGAAAGGTCGCGTTCAGCAGCTCCAGAAGAAGATTGATCAGAAGCGTGCCCGCCTGGACTGGGGTGTTCCCCTGGACCAGCTGCCCGTTATGGAGTGGGATGACTACGTCGAGCAGGCCAAGAACGGCCGTGGTCTTGTGGCCATTGCCGGTGTGGTGCACGACGTGACCGACTTCATCAAGGATCACCCCGGTGGCAAGGCCATGATCAATTCGGGTATCGGCAAGGACGCCACGGCGATGTTCAACGGCGGTATCTACTACCACTCGAATGCCGCCCACAACCTGCTCTCCACCATGCGTGTTGGTGTGATCCGCGGTGGCTGTGAGGTTGAGATTTGGAAGCGCGCTCAGAAGGAGGGTAGCAGCGAGTACGTCCGTGACGCAACTGGTCAGCGCGTCGTCCGTGCTGGCGAGCAGGTCACCAAGATCCCCGAGCCTATCCCCACTGCGGATGCCGCTTAGATTCGTCGGTGTTGATCTGCTTCCCCTCTCGTTGCTTTCAGTCTTGTCATTATCAGCACGTGGGCGTTGATTCTGTTTTTATGTTATTATTTCATCTGTAAGGAGTTGCCGGAGTTAGGCGGGGGATCTCAGTTTGTGGTTTGCGTTGACCGTGAGATCTATGTGTATTACTTCAAAAGCTTAATGTGGTTTGAACCACCGCCAATAGAAATGACGATATGCCTCATTTTCATTTTTCAAAGTAAATTTTCACGAACTGTCAAACCGGATTGCGGGGAGGACAAGAGGTCAACATTAGGGATGCTGGAGGGGACTAGCGGCGTCGCTAGCAAGTCGACTAACCCGAGTGGGTCGGGAGCTTGTCTTCCAGAGTTTTTCTTCTAGCCTGCACTGTCATTTTTATAATTAGTGTTTAGAATATATGCAACATTGAGTTATCATTGTGAGAACCGAACCCTGTCAAGAAGTTGGAATGGTGGCTCTGAAAGTACCCCATAAGCAGTCCATGCTCGGATCGCCAACGTCCTTTGAAGGATAAACACATTATCTATGTGAACGAAACTCTTTAGTTCCTTAGTTGACCGTTGTGTAGACATTATATTATTCATTATACACCATGGGGTAACAAGTGGCTGTTGGTGGCAGCATTGTGCATTGACCTAAGACGATTGCCTGAGATGCCTGAGATCATGGGATGCCCTGATGCCTGACTAAAGGCGGCAGGGAGCTATCCCCAAAGCAGTAAGCGGGCAGTAGACTGCAGGTTGACCGGAGGTGAACTCATTCGACAGCTTGTTGTTGTTCACTTCTTATTGATTCTGAACAAGTCATTCTGCTTCCAATTACCCCACTTTGCCCCCCTCTTTGACCCTCCGTCGTCACCATAGCTCCTCTTCCCGCTTTCCGTTCCCTATATCTACACCTCTTCGTCCTTCTCTTGGGCGTTCTCCTCGTCACCGTGGCTCCCCCTCTCCGACTCTCCACCCCCACCTTCCGACTATCCTCAGTCTTGAGCCATTTCCGTGGCTCGCGACTGCCTGCTACTGTTTCGAATCCGGCTTTGACCGATCTTCGCAGATCCCTAACCACCGCCAACATGGCTCCTGAACACCTCCGCCGCCCGCCTCAGGCCCCTCCCGTCTTCACCGCAACTGCCCAGTCCATCGTCGATGACGCCAAACGCCTCGTCGAGACCTCCCGGAAGGTCCAGGATGGCGTAGTGGCCAACGTCAAGGCCGACACTGCCGCTTTCTCCTCCGTCATCAAGCCCCTCGCCCAGGATGAGAACGTCATGGCCCTGGAATCCCACATCCTCGGCTTCTATCAGGCCGTCTCGACGGAACAAGAGCTGCGCGATGCGTCCTCCAAGGCGGAGGAGCTGATGGATGAGTTCTTCATCGAGAGTGCTATGCGTGAGGACGTCTTCAAGCTGGTGGATGCCGTGTTGAACAAGAATGAGACCCTGGACCCCGAGTCCCGCCGTCTGCTGGAGAAGGAACATAAGGATTTCATCCGTAACGGGCTAGGTCTGCCCGCCGGCCCCAAGCGCGACCGCTTCAAGGAGATCAAGAAGCGTCTGTCTCAGATCAGCATTGAGTTCCAGAAGAACCTGAACGAGGAGAACGAGGGGCTCTGGTTCACCCGCGAGCAGCTGGACGGCGTGCCTGACGATGTCCTGTCCGGCCTGAAGAAGGGTGAGGGAGAGAACGAAGGCAAGCTCTGGCTGACCTTCAAGTACCCCGACCTCTTCCCGACGATGAAGTACGCCAAGAACGCCGAGACCCGCAAGACGGTGATGATCCAGAACGAGAACAAGTGCAACCAGAACGTCCCGCTCTTCCGCGAGTCGATCATTCTGCGTGACGAGGCCGCTCGGCTGCTCGGATACCCCAACCACGCCGCGTTCCGCATTGAGGACAAGATGGCGAAGACGCCAGAGACGGTCAACAACTTCCTTGGAGATCTGCGCAAGCGTCTGACGGCCGGTGGTCAGAAGGAGATCCAGAACCTCATCAAGATCAAGCAGAGTGACCTGGAGGCCCGTAGCGAGTCATTCGATGGCCGCTACTACCTCTGGGATCATCGATTCTACGATCGGTTGATGCTGGAGAAGGACTTCTCGCTGAACCAGCAGCAGATCGCCGAATACTTCCCTCTCCAGACGACGATTGAGGGCATGCTGAAGATCTTTGAGGAGCTGTTTGGGCTGGTGTTCGTGGAGATCACCGGCGAGGACCGCGAGAAGATCGCGCCGTCCGGCAAGGGCAGTGACATTGTCTGGCACGAGGACGTGCAGATCTTCAGCGTCTGGAACGACGAGGGTGAGGGCAGCGGATTCGTGGGATACCTCTACCTGGATCTGTTCCCCCGCAGCGGCAAATATGGCCATGCCGCCAACTTCAACCTGCAGCCGGGCTTCATCGACGCCGAGGGCAACCGCCGCTACCCCGCCACGGCGCTGGTGTGCAACTTCACCAAGCCGACGCCCAAGAAGCCGAGTCTGCTGAAGCACGACGAGGTTGTGACGCTGTTCCACGAGCTGGGCCACGGCATCCACGATCTGGTGGCCAAGACGATCTACTCGCGCTTCCACGGCACGAACACGGTGCGTGACTTCGTCGAGGCGCCCAGTCAGATGCTGGAGAACTGGTGCTGGACGCCGTCCCAGCTCAAGTCGCTCAGCAAGCACTACTCCAGCCTGTCGCCCGAGTACTTGGCCGCGTGGCAGGAACAAGCGGGCGGAGCAGCCAAGCCCTCGGAGCAAATCCCCGACGAGGTGATCGAGAACCTCATCCGCACGAAGCACGTCAACGACGCGCTGTTCAACCTGCGCCAGCTGCATTTCGGTATTTTCGATATGACGGTGCACGAGCCAGAGAGCCACGAGCACATCAAGAAGCTGCCGATCTCGGCCACTTACAACCAGCTGCGCAAGCAGATCACGCAGATGGATGGGCCCGAAGTTCTGGGATTGGGTGACGAATGGGGCCACGGCGAGGCGACGTTTGGACATTTGATCGGTGGATACGATGCGGGCTACTACGGATATCTCAGGTATGCTTTATTTTCTTTTCTTTCTATCTTGCTTGACTGAATGCTAACGATCCGCAGCTCGCAAGTTTACTCGACCGATATGTTCTACACCGTGTTCAAGTCCAACCCCATGGACCCCAAGGCCGGCCGCCGGTACCGCTACCAGGTGTTGGAGAAGGGCGGTAGCCAGGATGAGATGACGACGCTGACGGAATTCTTGGGCCGGGAGCCTAAGACGGATGCTTTCTACAAGGATATGGGATTGGCTTAGATACCAGCAGTGGATTAGACAGATTTGTCACAATAACACCTGTAAATGGGCGAGAAATGAATACAATCCATTCCCAAGATCTGGCCGCACTGTATATTGCAACCATGGAGCTAGAAACCTAACTAAGCCATGTCAACTTACTGCTTTTATCAGTTACTGGTTGACTCGGTTCGTGGCTGACTACCGAATTCAAATCCCACATACGTCACTATCCTCCTTTTGGCCATTCCTGCAGATTGGCACTATATACGCAAGGATCCAGTCATATAGTTCATGCATTGAGACGAATGAACATCAAGACGATAGGATAGGAGGCAATGTCCAGTCCATACCCATGCTCATTCATACTCATGCACTCATACACATGATATAAGTAGTGCTTACCATCCTCCCGTCCCCCAAGTCCCCTCATCCTCAATAATACATCAAACACAGTCCCAAATGGCTCACCAGGTCCAAGGAACAGCGTTCATCACCGGCGCCGCGTCAGGTATACCCTCACGCCCCTTGAAACCTTTCCTATCGATTCACCCACCTACCTAGACCACAGCATATCTAGTACTCTACTATATCCCCACTAACACCAATCACCAAACCCGTAGGAATCGCCGCCACCACCACCCACAAACTCGCCCAAAACGGCATCTCGAACCTCGCCCTGGCCGACCTCAACGTCCCAGGCCTCGAGCAAATCAGCAAGGAACTCAAAAGCACCCACCCCGATCTCCGAATCCTGATCCTTCCCGTCGACGTCTCCTCCGAAGATTCCGTCACGGCGGCGGTGCGGAAAACCGTCGGCGAATTTGGCCGCATCGATATCGGTGTGAATTGCGCCGGCGTGGCGCAGGAGATATGTCCTACGCATGAGACGCCGAAAGACACCTGGGATCGGATGGTGCGGGTCAATCAGACGGGGGTTTGGTTGTGTCATAGGGCGTTGGTGGGGGCTATGTTGGGACAGGAGTTTGTCTTTCCTTTTTCTTTCCTCCTTCGGTTCTTTGGCTTTCTGGTGTTTAATTAATTTTTGCCCCCTGTGATCTGATTTGCTGATATATGCTGGGTTGGATTGATTTATCTAGATCTTTAGGTCCGAGGCACGGCCGAGGCGTTATTGTTAACGTTGCTTCATCGTTGGGCGTCACGGCGGCGGATATTGGGTCGCCGATTAGTTGTTATGTTTCTTCCAAGCATGGTACGTCTTTCTCTTTCTTTCAGCTCCCTTGGAAGCCTAGGGTTGCGAGATACTAACCAGCTCATCCATAGCGATCGTCGGTCTAACCAGAACCGTATGCTAATACCCTCATCCCCTCAACTCCATAACCCACCAGAGCAGACCTAGCCCTAATGGCTCTGAACACAGGATGGACGACACTACGCGAAAGACGGAATCCGAATCAACGCGCTCTGTCCGGGGTATGTCTTCTCCATTAACACTAACCCCCTTCTCACCCAGTTCTTCGAAAATAACAATGAATAGATTCGTCGCAACACCACTCATCCAACCCGGAATCGACGCGGGGAATTTCGTACGCGACATCGAAGCCCTTCCGATCGGACGGGTCGGTCAGCCGGAGGAGATCGCAGATACGATTCTGTATATGGCGTCGCCGATGAGTAGCTTTATGGTTGGGGCGGCGGTGGTGGTGGATGGGGGGTATAGTCTTTAGGTTTAGGGGGTTTGTATACTGCTCTTTGGGTGTCAGGGAGGGAGGGTGAGTTGTTTCTTGTTTGCAGCTACGTTAGAAGGGTCGCGTGCGTCTCGATTGGGTATGCCGCAGGTTGATTGAGATATAAGGGTGTATGAGAATAGGGTATGCAAGGACCAACACATCAACGATTCTGCACTTTTAGATGCGTTGGTTCGAAAATGCAGTTAAAGTGCAGAGCGAGCGCATGGATGGTGTCATTCTACATGCTCTTCAATGCACAAAGAGACCAGAAAGGTAAAATTCAATCAGGAGGACATGTAAAGTTAGGGACTCGGGTCTTATGCCACCATCCTTGCCATTATATCATTAGACATGAAGGTTTGATCGATCGTTGAATTCCGCGAACTCTATATTGAACCTGATTCCCCGTCTCTGTAGGCATATAAAACCCTAACATGCCCTACCCAGGTATGTGATGATCAATATTTACAACAACGCATACCTAAATCTTTCATTTGCAGACCTCTCTATCTAGTACCTGTAGTACTAGCAAGTTACCCAAGGAAAGAATGTCCCTCTCCTTCACCGTCTACCGCGGCACCTCCGACGGCAAAATCATCGCCGACGTCACCACCCGCGACCTCGGCCACAACGAAGTCTACATCGAAACCACACACTCCGGGATCTGCGGCACGGACGAACACTTCCTTCACGCGGGCTGCGTACTCGGACACGAGGGGATCGGGATCGTCAGGCAGCTCGGCGCGGGGGTGAGTTCAGTCAAGGTGGGAGATCGTGTGGGGTTTGCGTATATCCGGAAGGTTTGTGGTGTTTGTGATAATTGTACTTCTGGTATGTTCTGGTTCCCATCATCGAACTTAGTTCTAGGGCATACTATCGGATATGCCAACAGCCAACCAGCCAGCCATTTAGCGAGTGATGATCTGATCTAACAGGAATGAAATAGGCCTCGACCAATACTGCCGCCACAAACGCGCCTACGGAACCCACGACTTCGACCTGGGCAGTTTCAGCCACGGCGCCGTCTGGGACGCCAGCTGCATCTTCCCCATCCCTGAGGCGTTAGACTCCGAAGACGCCGCACCGCTCATGTGCGCCGGCGCCACGGTCTGGTCCTGTCTCACGCAGAACGGAATCCGGGTGAACGACCGCGTCGGGATCCTGGGGATCGGCGGGCTCGGACATCTGGCGATTAAGTTGGCGTCGGCGCTGGGGTATCATGTTGTTGCGTTGTCGGGGTCGGAGAAGAAGAGAAGCGAGGCGAGGGAGTTTGGGGCGGACGAGTTTCGAGTCCTTGCTGGGGACGGTGGTGTGCAGGGTGAGGATGAGATGAAGCCGATCAAGCATCTTTTGGTGTGTGGGAGTGGTGGGGTGGAGTATACATCGTGAGTTGATCCCTTCTCTCTCTATCTTTTGGACTATACTTCTATTGGTCTAGAACGCTCTCCCTCTCTATAATACCCCTGATATGCCTATAGATAGCTAAATACTATCCGCACGAGAGCAGATTGGTCCCCCTAATGGACACAACCGGCACAATCTACCACATGGCCGTATCATTCGAACCCACCCCCGTGCCAACCCTCCCCTTACTCTCCAAGGGCATCCGCATTCAAGGCTCGTTCATCACCTCGCGGAACAACCTGCAAGAGCTGCTGGAGTTTGCGGCGCGCAAGGGCATTCGCCCCGCGGTGGTGAAGTATCCATTTGGGGTGGAGGGCATTCAGACTGCGATGAGAAATTTGAGGGAGGGGAAGGTGAGGTATAGAGGCGTTTTGGTGAAGGAGGGTGTGGAGAGGAATGGGGTTTAATCTGGAGGTTATAGTTTGTTTTGGACTGGGTTTGATGGATGGGTTTGTTTAGAATGGTGGTTGGTCTGGGGATATAGTAGAGAGGATGATCTTTTCTAGATGGGTTCTAGTAGGTCGTCTCTTAGATTGGGTTGTCCCGTCAAGTAGATAGACACTAAAGGCATCTGTTATAGGTAATATTCATTAACTGCTTACTATGTTAATAGAGCAAAAGTTGGAACAACACAACCTGTCGATCATTACTAGAAAGGAAGTAACTCCACCAGATGGTAATCTAAAATCTGCAGTACCAAAGTTGACACTGAGTTTGGAGCATTTTGAGAATATATTTCGGCTAATATAAGCGTAACTATATAATCAAGTTTACTAACATAATGAATCCTACAAACAGGTTTGAACACAGAAATTTTTGTGTTCCATGCTTTTGAACCAATTCTAGAGGTCTATGTGGATGGGCTATCAATTGTTGAAAATTGCACAAAAGTCATATGCGCTGCGGAATCGTGCGTAAACATGTACTCTCCCAATCCCATACTTTAGAAAAGACACGCAACTCCCGCGTGGAAAACACCCAAGTAAGCAGCCTCATAAGGACCGCCCACAAAGGTACTCAGCAGTTCTGTCACGCTCATTCTCCAGGCAATACCGCCTGCATACTTGTAGAGCTGTAGCACCGCAGGCTCCCCGAACGAGATCCTCTCACCGAAGAGGCGTAGTTTAAGAGATCTGTATTCCCACTGCGAAGACGTCGACATATAGTTCTTCACAAACCGGTCCATGAAGACGGAGTCATTCGATGATTTGCTTAGCCGTGCCTTGTTCTCGGGGGCAAGGGTTTGATATGATGGGTTTGACTGGACGAGTTCCTTGAGGAGAGACATGTCCGACACATTCAATGCAGCAGCTTGCTCATCTGCTTCCAACCCAGTGGCTTTGGCTTCAATATTAAGGCCCTCAATAGGGTCCTTGTATTGAAGGACTCTGCTGTAGAAGCCCGGATCGAGGATCTCGATGGTCAACGACTCGACGGAGCTTTCGTGCGAACAAGCAGGCGAACGCATAATCAACTCCTCGCGAGAAATTGCCTTTGACGGAAGATATTTCACTTCCAAGGGAGATGAACACACTGAAACACAGTGTGCAAGGTATTGATGGAAGAAAGGTTCCAGGCCACTGTACGCATCGTATCAATACCATGATCTCCGTTATGATCCCACGAAGTCTTACCATTCACCCTTCGTAGCCCGTCGCGACTCACTCCCAGACTGAATATGCGGCTTATCCAGCATGCGCATCCATCCCTTAAACTCGATCCTCAATGCCTGATACAGAATCCGCGGCGTAGTCAACGTCACCGGCAAAGTCCACGAATACAGCAAATTCGCAACGGTCCACCAAGACGCCTCCATCGGATCTATCGGGGGACTTCGACATGAAAGTCTAGTCATCATCCTCGGCTGGCCGGTGGTAGTAGAAAGAGTGGTCGTATTGGACATCGAGCCCATCTTATGCCACGCCGCCGGGGTCGTCGGGTCCATGAACCGCTCGCCAATCCACGCGCCGAGTTTCTCGAACGGGGAGCTGTAGATGTGTTTCTTCCAGATGCCTTTGTAGTAGACGGATTTGGGACTCGTGGTCAAGGATTCCACGGTGCGTCTCATATCGAGATACTGTGTTTTTAGGGCGTCGGTGTCCAGCGAGTCTTCAAGGGCTTTGGTGTCTGCGTCTGTTCCTCGGACTTTGAAGAGGACGTTGCGCTTCTCGTCAAACGAGTTGTTGATCTCCATGATCACGGCGTCGAGTTCCTTGTTTTCGGAGTACAGGAACCACCAGGTCACGACGCTGCGCTCCCACCAGAGAAACCGCGGGACGCTGAGCAGATAGGCATAGGGCCATTGCGATGGGTCCTCGTTCTTTTTCTTCGTTAGCTTCTTCTTCTATAATACCAACACAGATATCAGCTGTACCTGATCTCGCAAAAACACATCCAACTTCTCTCTCAGACCCAGATGTTCATCTCCCCGGTGAAGATACCGCTTCGAGTCAAACGTAAACCAGCTGGGCAGTGTCTCCTCCGCATCGATAGACAACAACTTCCCGATCCGACATTTAAGACCCACGGGCACACCGACCATCAACACGCTGTGACTGAAGCGGTTCCAGATCGGAGACAGGCGATTATGCGTCAAGGTGAGAGGGAATAGAAGCGGCTTGCCCACCACAGACACAGGGGTGTCCGAGACGGAGGTGAGTCTGCGCGGATAAAAAGACGCCAGCAGCAGATACCCGATCAGCAAGAGCGGAGAAGAGAGTACAGCAATGGCCACCACCGCGGCGACCCATTTGACGCAGAGCGAGACTCCACCGAGACGGAGACACCCGGAGAGGGCCCACAGGAGAAGATAATCAAAAGAGGGTCTGACGCTGGAGCGTGCCAGGTGAAACTGACTCAGGAAACTGGATTTTTTCATCTTTCTGGCTTGCTTTGGAAAATTTTCGATCTGTTTGCTCTTTGCAAGACAGGAAGATGAAGACAAGGCAATGCTGCCATTGCAGTGGGCATTTTAAAACAACAGCACCGATCAGAGACACCTTCCTCATTGGTGGGAATGGAAGGCATGAGAAATGCAGGGTCTTGCCACTATGACATGTCATGAGGAGTCTCACGCTACGTGTCTTTCTGAAAGAAGAAAAACTGTCTCTTACTTGGGACAAGCTTGGATATAGACTGTGTTATAATAATGCACGATGCAAGGAATTGATTGGACTATAAACGCATGATGATTCAACTATTATTCATGTGAAATCCAGGAGACGATGTTGGAATTTCTAATTCGCTAGAACAGTCAATCTAGAGATCCAGGCTTCTGGAGGGAAAGCCCAATTTCACCGCAAATGGCCACGGTCAGATAGCATATCAAATAGTTTCATACACCCAATCATCATCAGACCTACACCATGTAGACCACCACAAATAAAATGAATTCCATGGATAGATGAACCAATTCTTCCCACTGTCTTTGTCGATAAAATACTGAAGAAGATGTTAGCATCGTTACCTTCAGCGATAGAAAGAACTCACACTCGAGCAGGAGGTGTTCTGAACCGTCTGCTCCAACGCCGAATGAACATCACGATTGAATTGCCGCTCGCTAGACGCCTTGACCTCAACCGAGTGAGCAGATCCTCTAATGACGGGCTCAATGGCTGAGAGGATCAGATTAGTATAGCTGCACTACCGTTAGCCATCTGCTCTAATGCACACCCTAGGGAATAGAGGGAATAGAGGGAATAGGTAGAACCTTTCAATAGACAGCAAAGTCGATGTATGCGCACGCCCGGAGTTTGGACCGATTAGGGTAAAGAAGTTCGGGAAATCGCTCATGGCAATGGATTGGAACGCTGCCTTGGAGCCGTATTGCTCCCAGTGCTGCTTCCGGCTGATGCCGTTTCGACCGCGGATGTCGACATCCCATTGGGTTAAGGCAAACCCAGTGGCGAGTATCTGTAAACTGTTATTTCTCTTGCTCACTTTCGGTGTTCAAGCTGCCCGGAACGCTAGGTGCTAGCTTACGATAACATGCGCGTAGATCTCATCGCCGGATTTGGTCAGGACAGAGTTTTCCGTGATACTGGCAATGCGATCGTCGGTGAGACGGATACTATCTTTGTTGAGAGAGTCGAGATACCCATGGTCGAACACTCGTCTCTAGACTCACGGTTATACTTGGTTCATGTACCGGAGGAGCAAAGCTTACCTTGCAGCCAAACTCGAACTTCGGTGTCAGCAGATCCCAATATTTTTCTAAACACGTAGACACGTAGGTCAGCAGGACTATTATCTCTAGTAGAGATTTTCAAACCAACCAGGTGCTGTATTTCGAACATGATTCGCGCTCAACTGAGCTGAATTCTTCCGAGACAACGACTCCGCTTTGCCTTTGCCGAATTGAAAGAAACCAGATTCCATGTAGAGGAACATCAAAAGACGCAGGAGGAATAGAAAGCCCGGGACGCAGCGAAAGATGATCCTCCACGTTTTCGATATTTCATAATTCTGGCTAGGCATGATATGATGCGGTGTCTGAACACATCAGTAAGATGCCAGTGGATCGGATGCAGCCAACTAACCCGCATGAACTGAGTGACGGATTTCGTCTGATCCGCGATAGCCGGGACGAGTTGCGCAGCGGAGCCTGCAGTGTCAGAAACTGTAATATGGATCATGGGTCATACTCACATCCATTTCCAACAACAACCACATGCTTGCCTGTCAGATCGAGATTGGGATTCCACCGGGCAGTATGCACGATGTCGCCCTTGAAATTTTGGGTCCCGGGAACATTGAAGTCATTCGGATTGACGAGACCGCCAACGCCAGATATGAGGATCTTGCATCGTTGGGTAAAGATCTGTCCTGTTGGCAGATCCTCGAACGTCACGATCCATGATTTTGTGGGCTCCCGCCACCGAGCACCCCTCCATTCCGTACTACCTGTGAAGTGAGAATGCACCCCGTATTGTGCAGCCACGCCATTGACATAGTCTAGGATCTCAGGTTGGGATGGGAAGAGCTTGCTGAAGTTTGGGTTTGGTGCGAAAGAGAGGCTATAGCAAATGGCCGGGATGTCGACCGCGCATCCTGGATCTGAGAGATCAGTTCGTTAGGGCAAGATGGTCACGGGGTGGAATGGGACAAACATGTATTGTTCCACCATGTTCCCCCAATGCCTTCTGTGCGGTCATAGATGTAGAAATCGTCGAGGTCAAAGAATCGTTTTAGTTGACAAGCCATTGTCAGACCGGAGAATCCGGCTCCGATGATAATGGCAGTGGTGGGGGGTTGAGAGTAGATTGTCATGGCTGAGGTTATTGTCTCCCATCTAGGTAAATTGGAGAAAGAACTTGAGATTGTGATGAAAGATACTCTACATCAAGATAATGTTTGTAGCACAGGCGGGGTCCTTTCGGATTAAATCTACCCATGAGCTATCACAGTTCCATATGCCCTCATATGCGTCGAACATGTCATATAATGATTATTTTTAATTACCTAAGAGACCTGTATACATAAGAAAGAGCTTAAACTGCAGAGTAATCAGGCACAAAGTATGCAAATACACTATCAGCAAAGTAAAACCCTTGCTCTGAGACTAGAACGCCACGTCTGTAAGTGGCAGTACTTAACATGCTTCACCACAACTTTGGACCCACCTGACGACAGAACCGGTTGACTGTATGCTCAGAGAAGCTCAGGTGCAGTCTATTGCCACTCCCTTACGTCGGAAACGTAGCTAGCCCAATTCGATAGGCTTTGGTATTCAACTGCCCCGAACTCGCCCGGTCTGCATAGGCCACCAAAAATGGTAGGTGACTCTTGTTAGAGCACAACCTTTTGAGATGGATCTAACCTTCTTACTACAAGGCCCCGAATCATGAGTATACTAGCGTATGGGTATTACGTAGGATGTCGAACTTCCAATGATGTGCTTAATTAGTATCTAACGAATCGCCTGGCTGTGACCACGGGTCGTGTTTGTTAAGGACATTACTTTGAAGACAGTGACTGAAACGATAGCCAGATAACATCCGTTAAACTTATGTAATAATTCAAGAAATCTAAAGTACAGAATCCGTAGTATCAATGCTGCATACTCCAAATCTTGTCCAACAACGCCGAATGGCCCTCAGACTTCACCTCTCCCGAATGTGACTTAAGTAGCGATTCATGTGCCGCCGACCGGGGTCGAATATCAAGCTTAAAAGGAGTGGGCTGGCTGATAATTCCCGGCTGAAAGTCATTGGGTGGCTCAATAACCTGTCCATTCACCACCGGCTTGAGGATCTGGAAGATAGTAAGTGATCGTGCGACTGCCAGGTAAAGATTCGAATCAGCTAGAAAGCGACCAGGACAAGTCCGCCGACCGAAACCGAAAGCCATCTTATGCGGATCGAGTTCGGGCATATGGTTGTCTGTCTGGAGGAATCGTTCAGGTTTGAACGCCATTGGATCTGGGTATAACTTGGGATCGTGCATGAATGCCCTATTGTAAAGGTTCGTTAGCCAAGTTCGGCTGAATCCGAAAGGTGTTCAAGGATGACCCTTACCAGATATTGGGTATCACGGTGGCACCTTCGGGAATTCGATAGCCCTCATAGAGATCGTCTTCCGTGGTGGTGTGTGGAACGCCAAGAGGCGCCACAGGGTTCCAGCGTAGGACCTCCTTAATCACAGCTTCTAAATAGGGCAAGTCGTTTCTGTCATCTGGCCCGGCCATCCTACATCCCACGACTTGGTCAAGCTCGGCTTGAGCTTTGCGCTGAACTTCGGGGTGCAACGCCATGGCGAGGTAGAAAGCTGAGAGTGCGGAAACAGTCTATCCAGTTCGTTAGAGTTGCCTCCATTTTATAGTCAACCGTACGTACCGTGTCCGCACCAGCACCATAGAGAACACCAGCAGCCCAGATAATCTCGTGCTCCTGCAGCGGAGTCAGGGATCCCCCTGCCTGTTCAAGTTGTTTCGAAACGAACGACGGTGTGTGCATGCCAGATGCCATTTGGTGTTGGACAAAGGCATATGGCTTCTCTCCAAGTGCGGTCAACAACTTGCGATATTTTTCGGCCGTGCGTTTGAAATCAGCTCCTGGCACCCAATTTGGAATGTGCCTCACTGTAGCAGATCAGCAACCTAGGTCTCATTGCAGCAATGCTTCAACATACAGAAGGGAAAGCTATCAACGAGCCAAAGCCCCGGCTGACATGCAACATTGAATCGTTCCCCTACTTCTTCTGCCAGCTCAATGAGACAGTCGTGTTCAACGGGCTCCACCGTGTATCCGTAGGTGATCTTCAAAATGTTCGCTCCAACGACACTGCTCGTCTGGTTAGCAATCCTTGAGAAGAAATGAAGCGCCGACGGAACGGAATGGCGTGAGGGCCCTGTTACGCACCTCCGGATATGTTCCAAAACCTCACTGGGATTGGAAAGCACATTCGATAGAAACTGATTGATCTGCACATCCTGCTGGGGATAGAAGGAGGACAACGCCTGGGTCGAGCCGATATGATGGTTGATGCGCTTTCGATGGGCTCGAACTTCGACCGGGTTGCTTTTTAGGGTCACCACGCGGTTCCAACCTCCTCTGAGATACCATACCGATTAGTTGCCATGAACCTTTTACTAGAGTTGATATGAGGTTTCTTACAGCTCAGGGCCCATAACCATCTTCGGTCGCGCAGAGTACTGTGATGCTCTTTTTTCAAGCAGGTCAAATGCAATTTCGGCTTCGTTCAAGATGATTAGAGTGTTCCCTGCCGCTGTGACGGAGCTGATGGGGCCTATGGTAATATTAGAATAGTAGACAGAAAATCACCGTGAGGACGATGAGATATACCGTATTCTTCTTTGTGTTTGAACCAATGTAACCACTCCTTACACCCCTGAGGCGGCATATCGAGCACATTTCCTATCAGAGGAAGCGGCTTAGGTCCAGGAGGCAGTGGAGGTAGTTTTGATAGTTTTAACAGTCTCGTGAGATACCATACTATCGACCCTAAAAAGAGGATACCCAAAAGGTGTATGGTGATCATCGTGGCTCAATCAGCGGTAGTCTTCTTATGATCGATGGACTGCTCCCTGGAGTTGCCTATGTTATCTTGGACAAGGACTTGGAAAGATGAAATAGGATAGATAGTTCAGCAGTCAAGAAGTCGACGTCAGACAGGAAATGTTGTCTGGAAGGCATCTGAAAGGCAAAAGGGATACTGTCATCTGGAAATTATCACGAAGGCTAGTATTCCGCAGTGCGACTCAACCCGAAAAAGAATGCGTGAGTTGAGTCGGTGATGTCAATCCTCCTGATGATATCGCTGGTTGCATTTCCGGTCATGTTCTGCATCCAGTTAGGAAATTGGACTGACTCGTGCCCCACATTGTCAGATCATCAGATGCAAGAAAACTTCTACCTAGGGTTACGATCAAATCTACAATTCCAAGTGATATCATGACCCAGACGTCATTCAGGGGTGAGCTCAACTCTATCATAGCTCCACAGGGGAACCCTAATCTCTTCCCGTTCAGGCAATAGATCTCATACTTCCCCCACGAGTCTATGAAAATTCAGTTAACATTTCCTTTTCTAGTCTGAAGTTATTCCTCTATGCATGAATCCAGATCTGGCAATAGAGGCTCGTCCTCAGAGTGTTGGTAGCCGATACCCTTTAGGTTAGGATCTAGAGAACGGACTGGCAAAAAGAGGAATGCGTTGCACCAAGGAACGTCAAGATGTAGAATTGTAGATTGGGTGCTGGCTGACCGCTAAACATTTCTTATGCCGGTCGACTCTTTAGGAAGATAGGGTTTGCGTTGTCAATCCAAAACTATGTAAGGGATCATGTAAACGTTACTGCATTAAGACACGGACATGGAGGTACCAGAGACATGGACATGAGAATGTCAAAGAAGGGCATCTGATAGTGTAAATCCGAGGATACTTTCACGTAGATTAATAGTGCTGTTTAGGCGTGGCACCATTGAAAGCCTTTTACTAAGTTCTTGGTGTATATCTTCTATTTATCTCTTCCATCCTTACATCCTGAGTCCACCCCATCTTCCATCTTCATTCTTCCAGCATCACATCAGACAAAATGAAAGTCCCCGACTACGCCTACAACAAAACCGCTGACCTCCTCTCCATCAAAACATGGCAATACCTCGCCATCAGCACCGGCAACCTCTCCGCCATTTTCCTCCACCTCAGCTTCGTCCTCCCCGGGAACCTCCCACCCACCAAACCCTGGTGGACAGCCGAGCGCTACCAAGAGCACTACAGCGCACACATCAAAGGCACCCAAGTAGGCGCCATCTTCATGATGCTCGGCGGCGGCCTCTACCTTCCCTACAGCGCCGCCATCACCAAACGCATGCGTCTCATCCCCGCCCTCGATCCCATTCTCCCCGACCTAGTTCTCGTCTGCGGCGCCGCCGCCTTCTCCGCCTTCATGCTCGCCGGCACGTTCCTGTCTGTGCTCACCTTCCGGGACTACGGCGCGGAGATAACCCGCATGCTCAACGATCTATACTGGATGGCGGCGTTCCTACCCTGGCCGGCCTTCTGGGTGAATCTCATCACGCCGTTGGGGTTGGCTTTTGCGACGGGTATTCATATTCAGAAGGAGGGGCCTATGGCGTGGAATGGGGCGTTGTCGTATTGGGTGGGTTTGGCGATGTATGGGATTCAGGTTTCGTATGATTGTTTGGTTATGATGAATGCGGTTCGGAGGGAGGGGACGTTCTAAATTGATTTCCTGATTTGGGTTTTTTGGCCACGGGGGGGGGGGGGGGGGGGCAGCAGCGACATCTCGTGGTCGGGAGGAGTGGGGAGATCACAAATGAAGGTGCTATAACCACGTTGGTTACTAGTTTTTCAAATAAATGCTCTTGTCAATACACAAGACCATTTCTATCTCTAAGTGCACTCAACTCACTGTACTATACTACCTAATGCTTCCCAAGCGAGACCTTTATGCTCGGGTTCAACATGCTGTTCACTCACTCCTCGCTGAGCAAGTCCTTTGCACAGAGCAGCAATACTTGAAGCCAACTGTAGGTATTGTACCTCTGGGCAGAAGACATCGGTTTATACCATGCCTCTGTGAATTACAAATGCTCTGCTCTTGTTCTTTGACACAACAAGCTATTTTTGTTAATCTAGTTGAATTAGCGCTATTTAAAATGAGTTGAATCAACATCTGCTTCTTTCTAATATCCCTTCGCGTTAACGTACGTACGTCTATCTGTAGAAGAATCAGGTGCTTCGAGCAATCCGCCAAACCCTCGCTAAAGGCAAGTTCCGAAAAGCCTTTATATGAAGCGGAAGGTTCCATGAAATCGGCCATGAAGACCACGTGATATTGAAGATATAAAGGGCCTTTCTATCCCCTAGTTAGCATTCAAGCAAGCTTCAATAAGTCAAGCAATTCATTCACTTTTCTTCCACTTCGGTAGCCTACCCCTGGCACCTAAAATTCCTACACTATCTGTGTTGCCATCTCACGTGTTGAGCATTCCGCAAGGCTATTGTATATATATGCCATCGACCTGCCTATGAACGGGACCACGATCAAACTCTGGATCACTTGCGTGATAGTCTTCGCCAAGCAAGATAAATTAAATCCACTTAAGAGGTACGAAAACGAATTAATATCTCCAATGCACGTATCACTCCGCACAAGATTGTTTCTATAGATCCATAGAGTTTTCATGCCTGAAATATCAGGCTACAAGGGCACGCACTAACCAAATCAGGCAAGGACCTTTGACTCCTCAGATTTCATCCAGACCTGCTTCATCTACCTCCATTGAACCTCTCTACCTTTGTCTTCCTGTCTCTCTTTCCCACTTCTTCAGCATACAGACACGCCTCGCTTCTAAAACTCCAATCCCGCTAAACAATCCCTACTCAACTGAACCCGACCTCCCAATCGAACCGCGAATTTACCCTCACCTCACCTTGACCGTCGAACCGCAAGTCCGCAACCACCCTCTTCTCTACCTACCTACCTACCTCGAAACCAACCAACGCCTCGACGCAACAAAAACCCACGCCATATCAAAACAAATATTTGCCGCGAAATAAAATGTCCTCATCACCTACCCCCCCACCAACCGAACTCCCCCCAAACCCAACAACCCAACGCACGCTCCCCATCCTAACCAACCACTGCCGATTCTGCAACCACCTCCTCCTCGCAACAACACAGACCGTATCCGCTCTGGCACGACGAAAAGAGCCCGCGCGAGACGGCGCCCTGATCCTCCCGTTACCGTCCCCGCGCGCGCAAAGCAATGATACAGAGCCATCGGACGAGAAAGGGCAGGAAGGTCAAGGGAGCGGGTCCGGCAAGCCGGTTCAACAACAATATTCGATTCTTCTATCAACGGCGGTGCCGGATCGGAGGGCGACGATGGTGCGACGGGAGGATGGGTTCGAGAAGAGGTGGTTTCTACGGTGTGGGCGGTGTCGTGTGGTGGTGGGGTACTTCTTGGATGCGGTGCATTTTCCAAATGTGACTGCTGCTGGGAAAGAACCGGATGGGGAGGATGAGGATGTGGAGGCGGAGAGAGCCAAGGTGGTTTATCTATTGCCCGGGGCCTTGGTCGAGACGGACGATATGGGCGATCCCGAGAAGATGAAAGCAATCGATCGAGAGTGGGCGGGCTGGTTGCCCTAAACGCTGGCACAACAGAAACAAATCAATTGATACTAACTAAGACTCGTGTATCCCCAAATCCTACTGCATATACAATAAAGAACATTATAACGTAACTAATACGCTCAAGCCAACAACTCCCGGCCTCGGGGCAGAATCGCGTCGTAAGGAGAGAGATCATGAAGAACATCAGGGTATCGTGAAACAATTAGTTGGCCAGGATGGTGCGGACAAGATCTACTGAATTAGCGGCGTTCGAGCATTGATGGGCAGTAAGCTTACCGGTGTAGTTGATCTCGCCGGAGCTGGTATCGACGGCCTTCAGCAGCTCGTCAACCTCTTCATCCGACATCTTCTCCCCAAGATTCGTCAAGACTGGGAACCATTAGTATCCGTCGCTACTCCTCCGAGGACCCGACTTACTGTAGCGAAGCTGTCCCACTCCGATAAACCCGGTCAAATCCTTATCAAACACCTGGAATCCGCGACAGTATTCGTCGGGCTCGCCGGGCTCACGGAATCCACCGGGACGGTTGAGCACCTTCAAGAACGACTCGAAATCGACTGTACCCATTAGCCTCCACCGTCATTCACGCATTGATCATCCGTCCACTTACAGTCCCCTCCGACGCTCTTCTCCAGATCCGAGATCTCGGCGAGGGTGGGATTCTGACCGCAGGCGCGCAGCAGGTCGCCCAGCGATTCCAGCGAGACCTTGCCGGACCCGCGGCGGTCGAATAGCGAGAAGGCTTCCTTGTAGTTGGTCGAGGCCTGGTCGTTATCGCGATGAGGTGAGCGAGACATTTTGACAGAAAGTGAGACGGAAAATGAACGGAATGGAGATGGATGGATGGGAATGAAGAGGGAATGGGAAGGGAAGTGACGGAGGAACCAGACGTCGGCGAACCAGGGAAAGGGACTGGTGGGAAACGAGGGGCGGAATTCTAATTGCAGAGGAACCGATCGCCAGACTTGGGGCACGATGCCACAAACACCACGATTGTGGCACCACTGTCCAAATCTAGAGGTTGAACAATCCCTCTGTTTGACAGGGAATGCAAGGGCTGAGGTGCAATTCCACCAAAGAGACTCCGGCACGTACCATGTTGATGAGGTGGTCAAATGACGATGTTTTTGTTGTTATTCCAGAACCGGTAGGGGTTGCAGTGAGGGGTGAAGACAGGGGCAGCACGAATGACACCACAATCGATAAACAGCGAGACGAGAAGGATGGAATGGAATGTGGCAGAGAACTAAGCTGGAGAAGGAGGGAGAGAAAGAAGAAACAGACTAAGAGAAGGCGCTGGGCCGGGCGGCTTCTACTTTGGTTGTTGTGGTAACCGCGTCGTGGCCTGAATTCGGGGGCTCCACTCCATATGACGATCATCAGTATCAGTATCACTGCCATCACTTTCTATAGATAATGTTATATTGATGGGTTAGACACAGTAAATAAATGTATTGCCTCCTGGTATCATAAAGTACAAATCATCACGCATAATAAATGAACACCTAATAAACAACCCTCATACCAGACTCCCAAATATGTCCATATCAAATCTGCTATGTCCCTCGTAGTTTATCGATGCAGCTTCCGAGCAGATTGGCTGCTTCCGCCAAGAGCTCCCATCGTGCATCGAGAAATCCCTGGCGCAGGATGATCAACAGCCCCAGACACCGATTCCGTCCTTGCATCCCCTCTAGATCATTGGGCGATTTCACGCCGCCGACCCGTCGCAGGAACTCCTGCATGTCGTGCCTCTGCTCGGCGACCGTTGCCAGAGCCGGTGGTGAGGCAATCGGCCCTTCTAAGGCAAACCCATAACACCATACCACCAACGCTGCAACGTAGATGACCCAGGGCCGGTTGAGTAGGAAGTCGTGACGGCCCGAGTAGCAGTCGCTGCCCTCCTCGTTTCCCCAGTTCAGCAAACACTCGGACAAGAACTTCAGGGCGTAGAAGGCAGCATCACGGGCCGATGCCTTGGTTGCCCAGCGCTCGGTCATCTTCTCGCGGGCGGCGCTGTAGTCTCTCGGGGTGATAGACCGGCCCATCAGACGCCCCGCGCCCGCGAAGATCTGGCAGTCGACAATGTCCACGTGCGACGCCATGTGGGCGAGGCCGTGCAGCACGTCGCGCGATTCAAACACGTTGTCCTCGTCTAGCGGGTGTCGGACGCGATTGTAGGCGTGGTTGGGGAACGGCGGCGATCCAATCTGTCCCAGCGCCTCGTCAAAATCGCGCCGCCAATTGTCAAAGGCCCGCAGCAGGGCCGACCGCCACTTGTCCCGGCCGCCCAGCGCCTGAGGAACTCCAAGCGAGCTGACCTGGAGGTCTCGCTGGTTCATGTGCCAGCTGACGCTGAGCAGGCCGGCCATAATAATGGTGCGTCCGAAGGCGTTTGTACGCACGCGCTGGCCGTTCAGGGTCTTCTTGAGCCCATCAAGGAACATGACCGGCTTGACGCCGTTGGCATGCAGGCTGGACTGCACGCGCGCCACCTCGGCAGCGCTGGTCGCCGACCACAGCGCCTCGTCGCACGGCAGGGGCAGCCTGAGCTCGTGTGCGACCATCTTGGCCGAGTGCCCGAACATGGTGGCGTGCGTCGAGTCCAGCACGAAGGCGGCAAACGCCACGCGCCGGGTGGCCTCGGTTTTGATCCAGTGTGTCCACGACTCGTCGGCCGCAAAGTCGGGCGTGGTGGTCGAGCCCGACGCCGACCGGACCTGCCGGTCATCGCGCAGACTTGCGGGCGAGTCGAAGGCCGACCGCCCGATCAACGAGCTGCCGCGACGCATTAGAGTCAGAGTAGTGTCGTGGTGGATATGGGCCCGCTCGTGCAGCGCACGCGTAGAGTACATCTTCTCGTAGACCTCCAGCAGTAGTAACGCCTGGAAGACCCAGAGCTTGGCAGGCGGTCGGAAATCGGCATCCATGAATATCTCCCAGCGCAAATGCCAGACAATGAAATTCGCCAGCTCAGAGGCCGCTTCGGTCACCTCGGGCCCGTGGATGTGGTCCAGCGTGGACGCGCCGATCGCCATGACGGCCAACAGCAGCAGGTTGGGCGCTTGATCGGCGACGAAGGTCGGACGGTGCAGGATGGGCAGCTGCGCGTGGAAGTGGTACCAGTACGAGCCAACGTACGTTTGCATCATTCGCAGGCTCAGCACGTGGTTGTCGTCGTCCATGTCGCCCTCCATCAGGGCGTCTTTGCGCTTGGCCACGACGGAATACGCCGCCTCATTGAACCGCGTCGCCATGAGGTGCAGTAGTTCTTGCCGCTTGTCCTCCGACATGATTGCGCGCGGCGATCCGGGATCCAGGATGCTGGTCACGCTCATGGGGTGATGCGGCACTACGCCACTCAAGAACGCCCCGTAGGCCGAGTCACCCATGAAGAACTGGTTCTGCAGTTGCGCGGCGTCCAGGTAGTTGGGCACCATAGTGGTCCCGGACGGATAGCCGACCGACGACGACACCGCCGGGGGTTCGTTGAACAGCCACGCGGTGAAGTCGTCGGCCATGGCGAAGGGGGACCGATTGTAGGACTCGCTGCCGAAAATAGGGTAGACGCACGATGTTAGCGAGTCGAAGCCGCCGTCACCCACGGCCCCGGAGGCCATCATTCCGGACATGGAATCCAAGGCGTTCAGGCTCGCAGTTGGACCGAGTGACGTGGGAGTCGAAGACGCAACAGGCGCTAGAGAGATATCTGAATAACCGTTTACGGGCATCTGGAGGCCCGTCTGAGAGCCGTACGTCGTCGGGCTGACCAGGGAAGACCCGGTCAGCTCGGCCGGTATCGAAAAGACCGAGCTCGGGTCATGAGATTGGGCGGCAGAGCTGCGACTGGACTCGGATACGGACGGTCGCGACTGGGGCTCGTTGCCCACCTCGCCAGAGCTCGTCGATCCGGTCACCGAATTTCTGTTTGGAAGGGCGCCACGCGCTTTGTGTAGGTTGGGAGGGCTGTACGCGGTCGGCTGGCTGGGAGGAGAGACGTGGCCGTTCGCGCCAGCAGGCCGTGAGAAGGAGGCGTTGGTCGTCTCGATGTCGCGTTGCGGAAGTAGTTGCTGATAGCCGAACGTCCGGTTGCTACCGGCTGAGGGAGGGGACGAGGATGTCGCGACATTTTGGTTCGCATTGCTGACGGCCTGGGAATCTAATAAGCCCGCAGTCGACGCACGCCCGGACGAGAGGTCGGTCGACGGCGAGACGGCCGCGGGCTGAGGGATGGGGATGGGAATGGGATTGGAGGCCGCCTGCGCGAAGTGATCGCGCTTCTGTAGCTGAGATCCTTGGGTGGTGTGTCGTTCACGGTGACGAAGGCACAGATCCTGTCGCACGAAGGAGCGATAGCAGTCTGGGAAGTCGCATCGGTAGATTTGCTTTGGGGCATCTAAGTCAATTTTAGTTAGCTACATTCCAGGGTTGCATCTACATGTGCCTGGCTGCATACGGTTCAGTTGATGACGGTAGAGATGCTCGGCGCGAGAGTAGCTCTTGCCGCAGCCCTCAAAGGTGCAGTCGTACTTGCGATCGGAATGCACCTTGCGGTTTCTCTTCCTCTTCCGCGGCGTCCCATTGCCGGCGGGATGGGCCTCGTTATCGGAGGTCTCCATCTCACTGCGAGCTCTTCGGTTGGTCTTGGGACCGTCCAACCCCGGCATTGCGCTGACCACCGAAGCCATGGTGCAGCTTGTGACTTGTCATAAATTGCTAATCTGTTGATTCCGATTCATATACCGTCCAAAGTGTTCGCCAACGCCCGGTTACCGGTGGGGATTCAAATTTTCGCTAGGCCGGCCCATCAGCCCACGAGGGTCGCGGACCGATGACCAAAACCGAAGATGACAGGTCAAGGCAGTAATCGGATGAAGCCAGCCATAGACTCATGCGAGACGTGGCGTGGCGTGGCGAGACAGGGACAGACAGAGACGAGAAGAGCGACCGGTGAGGGCAGGAAAAAACGCAAAAAAACCCCGTGGGGAAAACGTGGTCGGGCGGAGTTCGGCCGACTGGGCGATCGCAGGGTGAAGGGCTGTGGACAGGAATAGAATTTTAAAAGGAATTATGACTGTAGAGGAAGACCGGAATGAAGACTCCAGGCGAAAATGCAGACAATCCAACGAGAGGCCGGCGAAAGACGGAGGATGGGCTGATTCCGAGAAATGATGGGGAAGTGAAAACTGGAGGCGGGAAGCCGAAGAGGGGAAATCTTTGGAGTCGAGTGTGGATATGGATGGATGTGCTCCGGTGCCACTTATAGCAGAACGAGGGAAATGGCTAGATCACAGATATTCTATACACTGATGTAGGATAACAGAACAAGTCAGTGATCACATCCACCTAGGTCGATTCCCCTGGACTGCAAAAGCAGAAAATGAAGTCTGGCGGGGCATGACCATGACTCGGGTGAACGCTCACCCGCATCTACAGAGTATAACTAGTTACTACAGGTCCTTCACGGTGAATGCATCAGGTTAACCAACGTCGGTTCCCATGATCCCTGGTCTTCTAGATCACAGTCCCTGGCACTAGAAGGCCGATCTCGAGGATCCCCGTCGCATTCAGGCAAGAGTTAATTTATTCCATCCTGGGATCTCTAATGCACTGCGGCCTCGGCGGTTAGTCCAGATCATAATACCTTGATTCTATCTGAGAAGATCGGCGCATGGCGTCCTCCGCCTTTCTTCCCCAGAGCCAAACCGCAGAGATAACGATACAGAGCTGCATTACGCCGATTCAATTGCCAATTTGTGTTATCTCCACCCTACGAGAGTCGACGACGGGGTCCGCCGAGCGTCCCAACTCACCGGAACCGATCAACCAGATGGATTTGCAATCCTCGTGCGTCCAGCCCTGCTTGGCTTATATTCGTATCTGGCAATGAACTACTATGCTCAGCATGGGAGTAGTTGATGTAGGCCATGGAAATCTCTTGCTGTCACGAGATTCCACCACGGCTAGGCATTGCATCCTGGTTCGCCTTCGTCTTGTCCCTGACCTAGTCGCCTTTTCGCAGTCAATCATCCCGGTCACATCCCTGAATTGGCATCCCGCATCACCAGGAAGAGATTCCCCTTTTCCGTATTCATCTCACCTTTGCACTCCGTTCCAATCGATCGGCGTACAACAGGTCCGGGGATCTTCTGCCCGATCGATAGCTGGCCCCCATCACCACCCTCACATTTTATGCCATCGATATAATTGGCGATAGATACAGACTAAACTTGGACGATGATGTTCAATCTGACCGAAAATCGAAAGTGGAGGTGTCTCGTAGACCAAGTTGTGTGTCCAGTTATTTGACCGATCTACTAATAGGTCGAAATTCAAAGAATATGGCAACTTCAATCAGATGTTATCTGAATTTGGTTGTTATTGAGGAGCCTTGACTTTGAAAATTCAGAATAAGGGATGAGTAGTAAAGTATAGAAAGAAGGGGGAAAGGTGACAAGGCGAAGCTGAAAGATTATACTGGTTTCTAAGGACTATCTGTTCCAGCCTTTGACTCTCCCAGTTTTCGACAAGATACGAAACATCATAGTGAATCAGTCCTGGCTTGTGATTCTGAGGCAAAATGATGAATTATCATTGTTAATGAGTAGACAGAGGAGAATATTGATGTCAAATTCAAACTTTGATTGACGATTTATGATTGCTATGTCGATTACTATGCTGATCTTACCAACAAACCACTCCGAATGGATTGAGCACCTAATACCTCTCAGATAGAGGGCGACGTTTTTTATTTTCTGACCCATCTTCTGAGAGGCTATTTTGCCTTTAGACTTGCAGGAATGTGCAGGAAGTCCGCAATCCTGACGGCTTTGCTGTCAATTCCATTACTCCGTTTCTAACTGCCTACTTTCAACAAGCGCTGATGCTGGAATCATTATCCACCGCAGACTCGGTAACGCTGGTTTATGACCGGCTCATTTCGTTGCCTGAAGCTTTCTGGGAAGAAGCTCTCGACAGCACCCCAAAAAGTCTCACAATCTATACGGGCTTCTGCTCGAACGACTGAAAAATTGGAGCCACGTCGTCGGTTTCATTGTTTCAAGGGCATACTCAGTTTGGTCGTGCTTGTTTGTCGGCCTCTCACATTGGGTAAACTGGAAGTGCTCGCGAAACTGCCAAAAGGGAGCATGAAATAGCATAGGACTACTTCAGAAATACCGCGAACTTAGACGCGTGTCACTGGAGAAGCTCCATCACGAAGTCTTTGAGCGATCTCAAGATGGCATGAATGGTTCCGGGGCTGACGTTTTCTACATTGCTTCGTGGCTTTAAGTTTGCTGCAAGTAATACCACATGCGATAGAGACTACCAACACCCTAAGTCCCATGCTTAAAACCCAATTGTCGTATACCAGACCATCACCAGTCTACCTGGATGCACCCCAGCATGTTAGAACAGTGAGGATTTGTCTGTTTCTCCGTTAGGCGGAGAATCTCCGCATCTCCGCATTGCCCCGGCTCACAATGACGCCGATCACATTCTGGCACTTGATCGTTTGAAAGACCGATTCGAGTCTACGCTCCTTGGCCAATGACCTCATCGATGCTCGGAGCTGGGTTAACCTGGGGAACTACCCCGTGTCCCGCGGGGTTGATCGAGCTTATATACTGACAGGGATAGCCCATTGCTAATGTTTCTTCTTAGTATACTATCAAGAACTGAGATCTTACACCCGAAATCATGAGGATTCAAGACCTCGCAGCCCTGACTTACTCATTTCCTGCCGGAGAAGCAGCGCAAGGCAAGCTAGAGAAACAATGCTCACATCTTTCGGGCGTTGTCTCCTCCCAGCTGGAAGATGTCCAGTCTTTGCACTCCTCGTTCGTCGACGTCCACGGTATGAACGTGTCTGGGACATTGAACTCCATCCCCTTCTGTCGCCTGCAAGGGTCTGTCGCATATCCCAGCAACAACAGCGTCAATTTTGAACTCTGGCTACCAGACAACGAGACATATAACGGACGCTATCTCTCTGGTGGTGCGGTTTCTTTTTCCACCGCAACCCCACTTGATCTAACACAATCTACTAGGAAATGGCGGTTTCGCAGGAGTTATTGACACCACTGATATGCTGAAAAACCTTGAAAAAGGCTTCGCAGTAGCCGGCGGCGATGGCGGCCACAGACAGGCAAACAACGACGTCGACAACGGCGCCACATACCTCCCTTTTCTGCACGACGTGCCTCAAACCCTCGCGTGGATCCGCAACTCTATTGCTTATTTCACTCCGTCTGCGAAAGCCATTACGGGGTTGTTCTACGCTTCTTCGCCGGAGTACAGTTACTACGAGGGATGCTCAACCGGTGGAGCGCAGGGGTTCGCGGCGGCGGAGTTTCATCCCCAGTTATTCGATGGCATCGTGGCTTCTTGTCCTGGGAACTGGTATTCGCATCTTATGTTGTCATTCCTGTGGGGGTGGAGGTCTGCCACTGTAAGTAGCCTTCCCTATTCTTTAGGGAAAGAAGACCACTAACACGAATATTAAGAAACATGCCCGCCTGCCTCAACACACCCTCGACTTTATACGGTCCCGAGTTCTCGACGCCTGCGACGCCCTGGACGGTCTCAAAGACGGCGTTATTGAGAACCCGCTATCTTGCTCCTTTGACATTTCATCGCTTGCGTGTCCTGCATCGGGCTCAAACACCACCTGTCTCACAGCTGCCCAGATAAAAACCTACAATCTCCTCACCTCTGGTCCTGTCCATCCGGATACCAATGGATCCCTCTACCCCGGTTTCCAACCCGGTAGCGAATCCGACTGGACCGGTCAGCAAGGCGAGCTGGCGCAGGATTACGCCGTGCCATTATTGCAAAACTTGATATCCACTCAGTCCCATAATAAATTCAACTTCAGCCTCCCAACGGCCCTCTCGTTCAACTGGACCAGCGATGTCTCTCACGTGGACACTTACGTATCTCCGTTCCTCGACAGTATCGGCACGAATTTCTCTGCGTTCAAGAACTCAGGCGGGAAACTACTCGTCACGCAGGGGTGGTCGGATCCGTATAATGCCCCGACGTGGCCAATGGAACATTTAGCGAGGATTGAAGAGGTAACCGGAGACCGTGAAGAGTGGATGAGATTATTTATGATCCCTGGTGAGTTTTTGGCCTCCCCTTCTTATACTACTGTTCCCTTGATTTCTAGTCTTCATTTCCTAACATCAATTAAAAACCACCCAGGAGGCGGACACTGCGGTCCCTCGCCGCATTATCCATCTATTCCATATGAGCCAAACACACTAGACACCATGATCGACTGGGTAGAAAGAGGGATTGCACCCCGCGAGATGCGCGCAAGCAAGACGACTGACGGGAGCGATCGGACTCGGAAATTGTGTGCTTGGCCACTGGTGGCTAGATATCAAGGGGGTAGGGAGAGATGGAGTGAGGAAGGATTTGAGTGTGTATAACAGCAGGTATAATTTCGGTACGGACAGACGAAGATTGATCAAACAGTTGAAACTTTTCATTCGCATCATATCAACATAAATGCATAACCCGTTCTATAAGGCTTTCGGTATCTATAATCAACTACCTACGAGCTTCCGACCTCGCTCTGCAACTCCTTCAAACGCGTCCATCCCTCGGTATCCTCCCAGAAATCCTTGCCCTTGCCGAGGATTCCACGGACGGCGCTTCGGGACTTGAATCGCCAGTCTTGGGCCACCATCTCGGGCTCCTCCACGCCCTGCTGGCCTTCCTTGTCCATGGGTCCGAACTTGGAATACCCGTCACGCACCAGTTTCTCGGTGGCACGCACGACGTCCATCCATCTTTTCTCATCTCCCATCTGGAACGCACCTTGGGTAGACGAGGCGACGGTGGCGCGCCAGGCCTTCTCGTGAGCTTCGAATGCCTTGGACGGCCGTTCACAGTACTGCTCAACCCGCGCGACGAGAAGCCACAGCGGAGCGGAGTGCGTGATCAAAGGCACCACGGCGTCGTGCACGAGAGACAGGATCTGGCCCGGGACGGTTCCGCTACGGACGACATACTCTGGTGCCGCGTCGCTACCGGCGTTGACGTGGATCAAGAGTTTGTTGTAATCGTACGCCGTAACGAGGTGATCCACCAGCATACCGAGGATAGGTTGGTCGACGCATTTCTCGCCTTTCTTGGCCCCAAGAAGCTCGATGAGCCGTCTCTGTGCCATGACGGCGTCGCGGAACGGGGTGAACGGTGGGGGAATGGAAGCGGCCACGGTGAGAACGTTGTCCCAGATGCGCGCGTCGGTGTGTTTGAGCGAGGCGGCACGGTGCAGCGCCGCAAGGGCTTCTCTCTTCCGCTTCCAGGGATCCTCGGGTGCCTTCTCGGTGGTCGGTTCAACGTCCTCGTCCTCATCGGGCAACCTCTGCACAATTGCGGCGGCCGCCGGGGTCGTGTTTTCGTCGGGCTGGGGCGATCGGAGGATGGCTGCAGCGAGATTGCTCCATGCCTCGGCATCGGTATCGTCGATCTGAACGGTGCGAGTGAACGAGTCGATAGCATCATCCCAGCGCTGCAATTCGAGTTGCACGCAGCCCAGGGCAAACCACGCGCTGTGATTCAGGCGGTTGATGTGCAAACTCTTGCGATATGCCTCTTCGGCCTTCTCCAAAGCAGGCGGTTTCATGGTGAGATAGTGGCGTGCAAGCGAACGCTGTGCTCGGGCGTATCGATTACCCGAGACCTCCCAGGCACGTTCGTACATGGCCGGGTCGGTGTCGATATCGCCCAAAATGCAGAACAGGCGAGGAGCATCCGCCGGGAGAGGGGACAGTTCCGGTCCTTCGAACTTTTCGTTCTCGTCGTCCGCTTCTTTGTTGATGGGTTCGTAGAGCTGTCTGCGAACCATAGACCTCGCCTTTGCCTCTCTCTCAGTAGCGGCGTAACAGAGCGCAGCTTCTGCCCACATCTGCAGGCGCTCATAGATCTCCAGCGCGGTCCTCAGTGCCCCCAGCTCGACCCATCGCTTAGCCAATTCAGCCTCAAGGTTCCAGCGGGTAGAGAAATTGAGAATCCAGATATATTCAAGACGTTCGGCAGCGGACGCAGATTCGGATTCTTCGGGTCTTGGAAGGAAGGTTGTCGGCTGCTCCACGGAGTCGGTTGCCTGGGTATCGGGTGTGGCGGTGTCGGCGATGACCTGGTCAACAAGAGCCTGCATTTGAAGCACAGCACGCTCCACCGTACGAGCGCGGTAACCTTCGATGCGGCTTCGCAGCTGAAGGGCCTGCGTATAGATCTGCCAATTCGAGCTGCCACCCTCGAGGACACGCGTAGCATACGGCTGGGTTTCCTCCCGAGTCAACCCGTTTTCAGGCGTGGTGTTGGTAATGGCGGACGCGAGTGCGAGGAGGATGGAAGAGTCGATAGGGTTCAGGATCGGCTGGTTGCCAGGGTCTAGAGATGCCAAAGAGGGCGAAAGCTCGGACTCATCCTGGACAGTCACAGGCTTGTCCTGCTCCTGACTGTCGGACTTGCTGAAAGAAATAGATTCAAGGAGGGTATCATCGTTGAGGTCGAGGTTCTTGGGGCCCGAAGACTCTTCCTTCTTGTCCGCGCTGGCGGGAGCATTCGGGGCGTTCTCGTCGGCACTTTTAGCCAGGATGACTAGCTGACTGATATCGCGGTCCTGAAACTTGGTGCGCTTGCCCAATCTACCGGTCAACGCAAACTCAAAATTCCGTACTGCAGCAGCTTGTTCCAGATCGGCCCTAGCCTTGGCATCGTAGCCGTGGTGCGTGTGAATGGTTGCCCGTTCCAGTAGGAACCGTCCTTTTTCTTCGGTGGTAGATGGGTTGTTGAGCACGGCCTGGCCAATCTTCTCTAGGTCGACATATATGGCATCTTGTAAGGTTCCAGTAACTTCGGAAAGCATTTTTTGGTGGAAGAAGTTCACTCGCATTCTAGCGGTTCGTGCGACAAGCGGAGGGTTCGTAAATAGGACATCGGAGTCGGCCAAGAGAGCCTTGGCAACGGCGAACAGTTCGACATTGGGAGTAAGCTTGTATGCGGCTTCGCCATCGACGGACAATTCGCGAATGATGTGAGCCCGGACATTCCGCAGGGTGGTCTGGTCGGATCGCAGGCCGGAGGGGAGGATGGCTTCGGCGGGGCTAAACTCGAGGGGAGGTCCGGTGACGTTAGACTGGAGGAAACTGAAGAGAGCGGCCAAGGCGATGTGAAGCAATTGAGAACGCTCTTGTGACTGAGAAACCCCCTGGGCCTTTTCAGCCACGAACTGGGTGAAGGAGATTTCGCCGCGCGCGACTTGGCTCAGGGCATCTTCGGCTGCATCATGTCCCAGCACGGTCCCAGCCAAAGGCAACCGCAAGATAGGAAGGATCTCAGAGTCGGTCAGATGGATAGGGTCAAACTGGTCAAACGGTTGTCCTTGATCGAATATCGTGTTAAAGAACACGGGAGTTGTGGTGTCCGCCATTTTGGACTGGGGTTTGGGGAGAGAAGGAGGGGAAATCCGATCCTCACCGTGGAGGGGTAATTTTTTTTTCTTTTTTTTCGATTTTATTTTTCCCCTTTTTGATCGTTATCGATAAGCATGGCAGAACCGGCTAGAAGGCGGTGGAGCGAGTGGTAAGCAGCTTTTCTTGGGTCCCGGCGGCCGAGACTATCCTGCAGTATATACTCCGTAGATGGAGGTAAACTATACTCAGTAGCATATAGAATCATTCAAAATAGAACTAAATTGAACAGTATGATGATTCAGTTTCCTGCATTTGGACTTTGATGGTTTAATTCACATAGTTTCTCTCATCATCGAAATTGAATGTAACCCTCATCAAATATAAACATCGCTAATGGTTCGAGGTTTTGAGGAGTCTAAAAAGGGGTGGACTTAAAAAGCGACTATGAATAAGAGATCGAAGTTGATTTGAAATGACCGACTGCTAACTAGAAACTACATTTCTCTCGAAAATCCTATGGTGTATACGCTGATCTGATTCCGTTCTATGCCACCCATTCGTGCATGCATATCCGTTTTCCGTGCAGGATTTCGGGCCAAGGCTCTCGCGTGGGCCTACGGAGTAGTGAACCGGCCAACTGTCCGTGCGTCGGATGTCCAACACCCTCAATTTATCTACTGTGTAGATTCAAAGCCAGGGATGCGCGGCTTGACGTTTAGTTTGTTTTCCTCCCATGGCGCCGGATCCCACAGAGTAAGGTCGAGATGTCTCAGTCTTTTACGCGCTTGACATAATTACCTTCCCATAAATATTAGCTCAAATCGCTGTGCTGGAGGAGGCGTTTTCAGCGTTGCTTATAAACTAAAATAGGCAATTAATCAAGTGATCGGCATTCGGCGGTCTTTCCCATTGCATTTACCTCGAGATCAACAGCGCAACTCTGTTTTCATCGCAACATCGAACAGATCGCATTCACACCATGGCTCCCACAACAGTCCTAATCACCGGTGCCAATCGTGGTCTCGGTAAGGAACTTCTGCAAATGTACCTTGCCCGACCTGATCACCTCGTGATCGCCGCGAACCGCAACCCGGAGCATCCTACATCCAAAGCTCTTGCCGAACTACCCATCGGCGAAAACACACGACTGATCGTCGTCAAGCTCGACGTATCCGTGGAATCAGACCACGCCGAGGCCGTCACACAGCTCATCGCCCAAGCCATCGATCATCTGGATCTAGTGATCGCCAACGCGGCCGTGGCCAACGTGTATCCGAAGGTGTCCGAAATCACGACGGCCGAGCTGCAGGACCATTTGACCCCGAATGTGTTCGGTGTGATTTGGCTGTACCAGGCAACTCGAGCGCTCTTAGAGCGCTCTTCAAACCCCAAGTGGGTGTCCATGGGATCGGGTGCGGGTTGGCTTGAGTAAGTGCCAGAACTTTATATTTGCTGGCATGGCAGTTGGGTAATCTTTTTTCTTCCTCGGCTCTAGGAACCAGCCGCCGGTCCCGAGCGCTGCATATGGTCCATCGAAAGTAGCTGTCCACTGGCTGACGAAGAGGATTAATTTTGAGGAGGAAAAGATCAACGCTTTTGTCGTAAATCCTGGGTAGGTTTGACGTTCACAATGTCTGGAAGTATAAGGAGATAGAGCTGACCATGAATGATCCAGTTGGTGTCGAACCGACATGGGTAACCGTGGAGCCCTCGCTTATGGATATGCTGAAGCACCGCTGAAAGTTGGCGAGACTATTCCCGGAATTGTGCGTTTGATTGATGCAGCCATGAAAGAGACGCATGGCGGAAAGCTTTGGAGCCATAGAGGTACGCAGGAGGCTTGGTGATCGTGTTGGGATATTCTTTTTTCACAGCCGTTTTCATGTGTAAAAGTGGCCCGCTGGGCCGGTCCATTCATTACCAGAATCTATAGACCAAGGATAAATGCACGTAGTCGACGCTCACTCGAAACACTACATGGTACTAAGAGGATATAGACCCCTAATCCAACCCCAGAAGCGCACCGATCTCCTTTTTATTCACCTCCGCCGCAGCAAAGTCATCAAACGACGACGTCGTAACCGGAATGATATGCGACTCAATGAACCCAACCCCCTCCTGTGCACAAACCATCTTATCCTTGAACACGCACTCAGACTCCAAAACCGCCCACCCGTCATACCCATGCTGCGTCAACCTTGTAAATATTCCTTTGAAATCTACCTGCCCATCACCTAGCGCCCTGAACCTGCCCGCTCGTTGTGTCCAATCTCCAAACCCGCCATACACGCCTTGACGCCCATCTGGCACAAACTCGGCATCCTTAACATGGAACACCTTAATCCGGGCATGATAAATATCCACAAACGCGCGATAGTCCAAGCCCTGAAGTACAAAATGGCTGGGGTCGTAGAGAATGCAAGCTCTAGGATGATGATCGACTGCGTCTAGAAACCGTTCGAAACTCACCCCGTCATGCAAGTCTTCCCCGGGATGAATCTCATACGCCACGTCGATACCACATTCGTCGAACGCATCTAGGATCGGCCGCCATCTGTTTGCTAGTTCCTGAAACGCCGTCTCTACTAGCCCCCCCGGACGCTGCGGCCACGGGTAGATATACGGCCAAGCCAAGGCCCCGGAGAACGTGGCGTGTGCTGACAGACCGAGGTTTCTGGACGCCTTCGCAGCGTCGTAAAGAACCTGCGTGGCCCACTGCTGTCGGGCCTTGGGGTTACCACGTTTCTCGGGGGGCGCGAACGCGTCGAAGAGACTGTCGTAGGCTGGATGCACGGCGATCAGCTGGCCCTGGAGGTGAGATGACAACTCGGTTAACTGGATCCCATGACGACGGAACACAGCGAGCAGTGAAGTACAGTATTCTGTGTCTGTCGCGGCTCGCGAAACGTCAATTAGTCGAGGGTCGAGTGGGATTTGAATCCCTTTGTATCCTAGGTTTGCGGCCCAGCTGCAGATCCCGTCTAGTGAGTTGAACGGGGCTTCATCGGAGAGGTACTGAGCGACAAAGATGGCTGGACCTTTGATAGTTCGTAGCGGTGCCATTTCTGCCGGGGAAATCTGATGTGTTGTTTGCGATGATTGTGGTTAAGCTCGATATGATAATGACAATGTCTATGCCATGAGTGTTGCAGTACTTCGCAGAGGGGCGGAGATGTCGCTCCCTCGGCCCCGTTGTATGTATGTGGATACCGAGCCCGACCGCAGATCGGATTTAAGGCCGGATCGACCTGCCAAATGTCGAGCCACTGACGTCATAGGGCACCGTCGGACTTACTTCGGTATCTCTACGGTATGTACTTGTGTAAGACGTTCCAGCGCCGGGTGTGCCGTAGCAGTCGAAGACGATGAGAACAATTGAGCTGATTGTTTGGTAACTCTAATGATTAAATTTCTTAGTTGATTGATAAGGAAAGAATCTACTCCGTGGTATTGCCTACGGTGGAGTAAGCAAAGGATGAAATGCTTGGTTCGTTTCCCCAGGAATCCGCACGCCTACAGTGTAGGAAATAGCTTCTGCGTACTCCTGAAGCGGTTGAGAGGGCCCAGTTTGTCACAAGAACTATTGCATTCTTCAAACATTCAAGGGATTACCTTTATATATTGCAAAATATTTGCCTAGAGTTGAGGGACATGTAAAATTACTTATAAGCAGTGTGGTAAATTTCACAGGAAACATGGCAAAACCAATCCCAAAAGTTCCGTCCCTTCTATAGCCCGTTTTAATCTATTATAAGTGCGAACACATCTCTATAAGTGCCATTCTGAATTCGTGCAAGAACACAGTGTGCAGCCAGGTGCCCCAAGATGTATATGTTCTGTTTTCCTCCGGACAAAAGCGATCTCAAGCCGACAAGGCAGTCGCCCACTTGCTCTTCTTGCGTAAGGATGGCCCCCAGTGCTTCAGGATGTAGGGAATAGGCGTCGCCACTGCACTGATGATCCCAAGCACCGTCAATGTCCAGTGCGTTCCTAAATTCCGGTACATCGGGATTCCCACGACCGTCATGCCTCCGGCGGCCAGGTATCTCACAAGTGCAACAAAAGTGAGAGCAGACGCAGCGTACTGCTGGTAAGAGTCGATGATATACATGTATGCAGACAGGAAGACGCAGATGATGCCGAAGCCGATCACCACTGAGGCTGCCAGGGGCGACCACACCGAGATCCATGACTAGTAAAAAGTCAATACTCTAAGTCAAATCGTCTTTTTCGCAGGGTTCTTGGTCTTACGTAGTTGGTCCATCCCATCCAGAACAGACCGATTGGAATCGCGGGGGCGCCGATTTGCGCAAAGAATAGGCGTGATTCCCGATCGAGCACACGCCCCGAGCCATCGTCTCCATCCTCTTTAAGCTGCTTGGCTGTTCGCCGGTAGAGGATAGGGACTAGGATCATTGTCAAAACGATACCGATAAAAAGTCCTAGGAAGCAGATATTGACAAGACCGTCGTTGAGGCCGTGCACTTCTCCGAAAATGTACGGATACCTATTCAGAGTTAACATAGCCCAACCATACCAGATAATGAGTTTATTACCCGTCCAAGAAGGTGAACAGCACGATGTACACCACCGAGAGATAGAAGGTGAAGAAGATCACAATCGGCTCCAACAAGAGAATCCACGGCCGGCTAAAGTCTCGCTTGACGACGGACAGAATGTCACCAGTGCCCGAAGCTTCAATGGCGGTTTTGAATCGGTCGTCTCCTGTGGCCTGCCGGAGGAACCTAGCCTTGTAATAAAGAAGCCGAGGAGCGAATGTTTCGCGTTTGAAGATAAAGATCACCGCTATGACCAGACCGTCAAAGATGAGCATGATCCATTCAGACCATCTCCAACTGATATGAGGACTGTATCCTATGTAAGCCCCAACAACCGGCCCTAATCACGGAAGAGTCAGTTCAATGTTGACTTCGGACCATAAGATGTCAAACGAGACAGATCATACCGAGGATAGGACCACCGAAAGCTGGGATGGCAAAAGTAGGAAACCCAAAGGTTTTTTCCAAGGTACTCCAGATGTCAGAGATCGAGCCTCCGGCTACAGTCAAAGGTGCAGAGCCTGTGATACCGGCGAGGAATCGAAACGCGATCTGTGCGCCAAAGTTCGGGGCTAAGGCTGCTCCTAGGATCCAAGCTCCAAATATAATCAACGTGCCCAAGTAGACCGGGTATCGCCCAACCATTTCGGAGAGAGGGCTGGCAATGAGGGCACCGGCGCCGAAACCGACTAGATAAAGCCCTGTCGCAAGGGACTCGGCCACTTCCGACACACCAAATTCTTTGGAGGCCTCTGTAATGACGGCAGAATCAATGGCAGATGCCATTGTGGTAACCAATGCCACAAGGCAAACCGTCATAGTTGCAGATACTCGTCGAGGATTGGACCACTGTTGAGGATTGAACGGATCATCTGGTACGGCCCAACCTACCTCAAAGTACTGCTCACCGTTACAATCCGACTTCAATGTCACACCAGGGATTTCGGACGGATTGGAGATCTTACTCGGTGATGATGAGTCCAAAGAGGTCTCTTCCTTTACGCGACCTGCGTCTTGGACTAGCTGGTTCACATGTCGTCGTAGGGCGCGATACTGAAGTATGAACGCCATTCTGACTTGTCTGTAAAAGTATGAACCGAGCGCAATGGCTTGGTAGGAGGAGGAGGTCGTATGAAAAGGCGAAGATGGAGAGAGGAGGACTTAAGAATGAAGTGACTGAGGCGACATCAACAAGAACAAAAAAATTTTAGACGGAGAAAATGACGAAAGATAAGGGATCCAGCCGGTTCGCGGGCTCCACCACAACCAGAGCTTTAGCACTGGGCTCGGTGATAGAAAAAAGGAAGGACTTAGAAGCCTGTCAGACTCGGCCCAGTGCAGTGGCGCTCGGCTCTATCAGAACAAGTCCGACAAGCTTTCGGGTTTGGATCCACCGGCGAGCTCGGATCGACCTGCTCCACAGAGCAACCCCGACCGATTTGGATTTATAATATCGCTGGTTGAATTTCCACGGACGATTTTCCTCGATTGCGAATGCGCACTGAGTCTGGCCGTCGACTCTCGGACGACGACTCGGAGAGCCCCCGACTGACTCGGTCTACGATGCTATCTTCTCTCCCCCTCCGCCGTGGGCCATGGAGATCTTCCAGGTTGATCAGTCCCAATCGCAGAGCCCAGTCTGCATTGCCGTCATACTGCTCAATCAGGTCTTTCACCATATGAAGTCGTCTCTCGTAGGCCTTGGTCTCCTCTTTAACCACTTCAAGCACGTACCCATGCATCTGCAACCTGTCCGTCCATTGATTTGCCACGGCGAGTAGACCCGCAGACACAATCAGTAGCAAGATCAGAAGGACCTTCCCCAGCTGCGAAGCGTTACTAGCCAACGCTGCATTGAGGTACACCATGACTGTAGCAAAAGCAGCAACCCAGCTCTCCGGGGCTGACATCTCCTGAAGCCATTGTCCCGAGGAAATGGCCTTGATCTGATTGATATCGCCGACAATCTTGATCCAACGGTCCTGGCTAAGGAGCACGAGCAGATCCCCCGGCCCATCCTCTTCTCGAGCTCCCGACCATTTCGGTTTGCAACGTCGCCGCACAAGAATGACATTGAGAAGCCGGGCGAAGACCAGAATCAAAGTCACAAATAGGCCCCACCAGTCTTTCATCAGGATAATGATGACGAGGACGGCAACGGTTAAGCAGACAGCGATGACCTGTGCGCCGACCGAAACAATATTCGCATTGTCCATTGTGAAAACCGTCTCCATCAGAGCGTTCTTTGATTGTCGGTTTCTAACATCCCTGACTCCCACCGTGGTGAGACACCCGGTCCTGCCGATCTTCTGCAGATAATGCACGGTGGCCGGGTTCTCGATGCGAAACACGTAGCCCGAAGTCAAGGCTGCTGCGGCAGGATGCTCGCCTTTATTGAGCTCGTCGGCATGTTGTTGGAGATGGAACCCCGGGCAAAGGATCAAGCAATCCAATAATGCAGCAGTGCCGGTGAGCGCGGTTCGCTGCGAACTGGTGGAAATATCTGCCAAGGACACAACGCCAGCAAGGTCGAGTGACACGTCTGGGAAGCTGGGGTTGAGCCAAGCATCTCGCTGAGATGAGGCGATGATAACGAGAAATTAGTATCCCGTCCTACAGATGAAGCGAGGAAGATATGTACCTTGTCGGGTAAGTGCATGGTAAAAGCCGTGCGAGGCTGGTCTGTTCGAAAAAACTCACGACGACCTTCCACCTTCGGATGATTGTTTGTTGAAATTTCAGCCGTTTGAAATCGGCGGTCGATTAGCTGCAGTGATATGGGTATTTAATTGGCCAGAATCAGCCTTTCCCCAACGATCGGGCAAACGTGCATCCAAACAGTATAGAGTCTTGTTCCCATCTACTTATTAATATTTATCCACAGACCAACGTCTTGTACTCATCGCTAAAGCACCTTTGATTTACCTAAATCACCTAAAATAGCGTTGAATGAACTCACTCTTATCATTCATCATCGCTGGCGAGATGTCGAATTCTTCCGTGTCCAGAGTGAGCTCCTTCTTCATCGGCAAAGTCGAACAGATGCTGTTCTCAAAGGCATTGTTATCATATACGGGCCACGATAAGCCATGATGCCATTATTTTCCAGCAACCCGAGCGTGTTCCCTCAAAATCTCATTCAACCCTTCTCTCTGCGCGCACTCATCAAAGTGGAAGCTGTGCGCCAAAGCCTCGAGTTCCGTCTCGTCCATCCCCCTAAACAGTTCCGCAAACTCATCCACAAACGACGCCGCTAGAAACGTCTGAAACACCGCCCGCAGCATATGCCTCTCAGTATTCCACGACGTTGGGTACGTCTCCTTCGCCGTCGGACTGACCTGATCGATCCACTGCACCAGCGGCTTCAGCACGGCCTCGGGCTCCGACGAGGGCTTCCGGCCCCAGTTATCCAGCCACAGCCGGTTCTTCTTCTCCAGGAATGGCTGGATCGTCTTATTCCACTTGCTGTCCGGACTGGTGTGGATCATGCCTTGCAGACCGATGTCCTTGTACAGCCAAATCGACCAGTGGATATTGTACTTATCGTAAATGCGCAGCTGTTCGCCAAGCAGGTTGTACCGCTCCTGGTTGACAGCTTGGGCGTCGATCTCGGATTCAGAGGCGTATACGGGCCCGAACTCGCCGTTCCAGATCGCTGTGCCGTTCTTGTTCATGAATTCCGCTTTGCGGAGGTATTGTCGCTCGACTTGCTCTTTTTGTTCTGGAGTGCCTTTGTAGCGCTGACCTGTGGGAAAACCCATTGACTGACGACTGTTAGTACCGATTGACTCTGTAGTAGCCGGAGCGTGGAGAGAATTGATCATACCGAGTAATCATGCATCGCGTAAACACAATTTGGCAAAACCTTATCGAACCCCTTCCACTCCATCGAGAAGGTATTCCCGTCCAGCCAGAGGATGTGGTCCGGGTCGATCGCCCGGATGGCCTTCTCGATGCGCTCATAGAATGCCGGCAACCGTATGTGTTGTGGATCGCAGGGTTCGTTGAGCGGGTTATATCCAGCCACCCATGGGTTACTTCGATATCGAGTCGCGATCTGCTCCCAGAGCCAGACTGTCCGGTCCTGGTGGTCTTTGTAATCCCAAAAAGCGGCATAGTTGGACGGGTTGTCGGAATGCCAGTCGCAGTTCTGGCCGCCGGGGGCCGTGTGCATGTCTAGGATGGTGTAGATGTTATGTTTTGCGCACTTGAATTTCACAAACGTCAGAATGCAGCAGGAGAGGACGGAGACTGCGAGGGACATACTAAATCAACCACCCGATCAAGATGCTTGAACCCCGATTCCTTCAGCACACGCGGATTCATATCATCATCGAGGTGCCGATGGTTGAATGGAATCCGAAGGCAATTGAGTCCCAACCCAGCATAGAATTTGGCGTCCGCTTCTGTGAAGAAATACTCGAGCCATTTGTCGAAAAAGAACTCATATTTTTGGTCGCCCAGGACGCGACGCATGGCGGCTCGGTGCTGCGATTCGTGCCCGGGGTAGCCAGTTATGAAGTTCTCCATGCTGATAACAGGTTAGTTCGACCTTGGCCCTGCCTCTACCTCTACCTAACGTATGTATAGCAGATCGATTGGGGACTTAAAAGCACATACTTGGCCCAACCCCCAAGAGCTGCACCGCGAAGCAGGACTTCGGTGCCATTATTATCGACGACTTTATTGCCGGTGACCTTGAGAATTCCAGCGCTCATGATGGACTGGAAGTAGCAGATTCGATGAATTTCCGAGTATCACGACAGTTTCCCAAACCAGACTCTCCCAATAGTTACCCCGCAGGAGGCATCGCCTTCTTATGCACCGAGCACACGGCAAAATTCAACTCCTTCGACGCATCGTGGGATGCGTCCATGGTGCAGAAGAAGTGGGGTAATGTTAGACAACGGACGTTGATACCAATGCCCAGCACGGCTAAACGGGTTTATTTAGCCTGATTGATGCCATTCAGCCAAGGGCCAAGCCCAAGGCTTTTAGGGGCTCAAGGTGAGTGCCAATGAACTCCATTGACTTTTTTTTCTGACTCTGCTTCTGGGGTGAATGGAATCAACGACATCAAAATGTACACAGAGGTTGGCAAGGGATCCTCGAAAATCCAGCATGTCAGCTGATGAAGAAGACGAGGGCACCGCTCACCCTTCATATTCCTTGTATGAATCGTACCATCAACAAACCCCTACCGGCCAAGGCCATGATATGCTATCTACGTCTATTGTAATTTTATTTCCATCTCTGCATCGATGAGCTGCTCTATTGTCAACAGAAACATGACTAAGCGTTATAGGCGCGATAAAACCCATGTATTTACGATTCCATAAGGCAATTTCAACTATATGCTCGTTGCATTCTCTAATCTTGAGCCAGTCTCCAAAAAGGTTCTCAACCCTGAATCTTCGCCTGGTACACCGACTGCTTAGACGCGTGCAAATCATGAGCCCGACTTTGTTTCTCAGACTTTGTCTCAGTTAACAAGCTAGTTGCCTTGCGAATCATCTCGGACACCTTGAGAATATCCTCTTGATTGATCACCTCCCCTGACCTGGCCCATCCCAGGTCAAACGGCAACCGTTCGTTCTCTGTGCTCCGCGTTAGGATACGTGTTCATCCAACCTCTGGCTCAAATCGAGTGTGACCTACCGAAGAAATACTCCACCAAGGTCCGGTTGACCGTCCCCGAATCGATATCTCCAAAGGCAATGATCGGAGCGGCGATCTCTCCCAGGCTGAATTCCTCCGTCATCTTGGGGAACGTGTAGTTGGGGTTCGTGGCTCTAGAATTAATCTGCCGCGCCAACTTGCTGTTGGCCAACATCTCGGCAGTGAGGACGGGCTCGGTCCAGTAGGCCCTCGACTCGTCGAAGATAGTGCGATTGAAGACGTGGTTGCTTCCGAAGAAGGCGTCTGTGCGGCTGATTTTGAAAATCAATTAGCTTGCGAGCTCTCACATGGCATATTTGAGTGAGTCTCCGGGTTTGCTCGGATGGCTTTGTATACGAGTGTAACTAACCTCAGGCTTGCATCGTGCTCTAGGACGTTGTGCCGGTTGAGATGGTCGCTTGGGGGAAAGAATCAGTATGGGGCTTGAGATGCGTATCTGGCGGGCCTCACAGCGTGAAGTAAGTTGCGTTGGGCTCCGGGTTAGCCACGATAGCCATTTCAAACATCAGATTGGCAAGAGAGGAGTTGAAGTTCAGTCCCGCTCCTAGGCCCTCTACCAACTTCTGTTTGGTGATTTGTCGTCCATCGCGAGGGAGATATCCGTGGTTTGCGAGAGTGTTCATCATGGGACAAGGACCTCGATCTTTGACTCCGCTTTAGCATGATATAGAGAGAAGCAAGTTTGATATGGCTGCACATACAGTCATCCTTTCCAGCTGGCTTCCAATGTGCCGGGGAGCCATTTCCAAAAGATGGTCTGGCAGCGGCCAAGGCAAAAGTTAAGGCCGAAGAAAGAAGAGTCAACTTCATATCTCTGGATACAGCGATATTACCGAGTCAATTTAGGTTGGAATGAAAACGGGATATTTGATAGCTGATACTGCCTAGGACCAGGCCAACTTTATACGTTGTCCAAACCACGGTGCCTGTAGTCCCTCGGTCGAGGCAACACATTTTTGGCAGCATGACGATGTCGATCCATATCCTGAAGGTGAGTGACTCCACTGGGAACTGTCCAATATGATGGAGGATAATTCCACCCCTGTTTCCATTCTGCGGGCCAAAAACATCCAGTGATTCAAGTTGAATTGATAAACGAAGCCCGGCATCTGGTCCTCCAACCATAAGGGGCGGTCGTACTCGTATCATATGCCGCTTGAAGATGTCGTATTGGTAACCCAATTGGGCATTTAGAACGAATATCAGGATTGATCGTCGGTGGACTCGGTTCCAGGTTACTCCTGCATTGCCATGCAAATCCAAGGGATTCAGAGCTTTTCCTCGACGTAATCCACTTGACTTAGGAGGCGTGTTTGAGGGACTGTCTATATCACCCAGGGACATCGTTATTGAAGCTCATTTCTAGTTGGCGTTGCTGTCTCGGGTACTTGCGCCAAGTAAGAGTGACAATAGGCTACAGATAGACTCGGTTTATTTCATTCAATTATCAATCCATTATGTGCCATTGGGGTATTTGCAATACAGACATGGATGCATAAACATATGCAGTAGACCAAAAAACACCACAACCCCTTTGTATGAACATGAATTTGGGCTAGATTCAAAATAACAGCAGAAGCAAACATTGCTATGTCGTTAACTCTCCCAAAATCGTTGAGAGTGGCGATATGCATAGTATTGGGTCGATTACCAATCCTGACCACGGTCTTTCATAAGGATTTCTATAGCCTCGTCTTCGGGGACGGGGTGCTCATTCAGCTCTCGTACGCATTGTGTGAGGCCCTCGGCGGCTTCGTCCACCTGCTCGGCGCTCCAGCCGGTGCAAGCCATGACCATCCGTCGATAATTCTGACCGAGTACCACGTTTTTGGACTTGAGGAGATCAACTTCGTTGAGTATATCCTCGTTGAAATCCTGGTAACACTTTATTCGTTGCTGAAGCACCTCGGGGGACAATAGTGACTGTAAATAGGATGTCTGTTTGTCGGAAAATCCTGAAGCAGGATCAAAGTCGTCAGGAAACATAGCTTCAAACTCTGACATGTCAATACCAGAGTCTTTATCTGCATCTCCGATAGAGACGTGTTTCAACGGCTCGAATGTCTCGCCATGCGCATTCTTCAGGGTGGACAGAAGGTCTTCAGATGACCGTTCTAGGTTCTTGAACCGCCTTCCGAGCTCCACGCGATCTGACGATTTAACTTTAAGCTCATCGAACTGTTTCTGTTCAATCTGCCGAGCCTTTGCCGATTCACGAATCTTAGAATGCCAATGTTCGAATTTTTCTTGCTTCTTGTTCAATGATGAAGCCAGCTCTTTGTCGATATTGCCTAACGTTTCTTGTACCATCGAGCTGATTTGAGACATGGTTGCTAGGAAGGTTAGTACCAATTCTACCAGTCGCAATAATGAATGCTGCTCACCATCTAAAATTTCCTTCTTGGTCTTCGCGAGTTGATCGATGAAAGTGTCGTTCTTGCCGGCTTGTAGAGCCTGCGAGTCAACCATATCTACTCCGACTCCGTAATCTGCAGGTCGTAGACCGGTGTGATTTGGTATGTGAGGATCAGCGCCGACCTCCAAAAGTTGCGGTACGAGCACAGAACGCGCCCGTCCGGCGAGATTCAGCGCAGTGTCGCCTTGGTCATCTCTAAGATTTACAATTTCTGAAATGAATCGTCCCAAAGTTATCACTTCGCCTTGCGATGGAGTCGTTCCATTTTCCAAAGAGCCGTTGGCAGTGGGCTGGCTTGCCGAAGCGCCGCCGTGACGCACAATGAATTCCAGCAATGCTTCCAGATAGTGTTTAGCGGAGACATGACCCCCACCCCCGGTAGCTGCCATAACCGCAATGTGATGTAAAATTGTTCGCCCGCTGTAGTCTACCATGTCTATAGTCGGAGCCAACACTTGCAGAAGTCGGGGGAAACTCCGGTAATCAAGGTTGTTCCGCGTGCCCACTGACTTTTGTAGAGCCGTTTCACCCGCTCCATTGAGTCGGAATATGCTAACGCCTTTCTCAACTAGAGCATGAACCAGAGGCATGCGCGCCAGCATGGCTGCCCAGTGCAAAGCATTGTTGCGATACTCGTCTAGGGGTATCTCCAGATCCTCGCCGGTCAGCTGCAAGAGGGCTGGATGGGTAGAGAAGTCCTTTGTCCGTTTGTCCAAAAAGAGGGTCATGATGAGCTTCATCTTTTGAAATCGCTCCGGGGTTGTAGCTGGTAGAAGAGGTTCGGTACCACGGTGGTTTTCATCGACTACTGCGGCCGGCATGTCCATGTCTTGGTAAAACGAGTCGTTTGGCTCGGTAGGTGTAGGCTCGTTCATCGAAAGCGAAGGGTCATAGTTAATGCCGAAGGAATGTGCAAGGTTGGAGGACGACCGGATTCGTTTCCGAGGAGGTTCCACGGAATCGTCATGTTCAAATGTTGCGGTATCGTTGGCAGCATATCGCCCATTGTTGTTCGGTAGGTTGCTGGCAAACCCACTGTCAGACGCCACGCTATACATGCTTTGTTGACTGCCGAACGGGATTTGCGATTCTTGGCTGCCCATCTGATTTGAAGGCTTCCGGACGAGGCTTGATCGCCTTCCGTCCACACCCCGCGCGGCAGGAGAGTCAAACCGAGCTTTACTCATCGCATTGACAGCCGTCGCTGCAGTGCGGGAGATGTTCTGGAAAAATGTCCCCTGCTGCGGTTGGGAGACACCACGATTGTCCATGCCACTATACAGACGTTTTCGCTGCGCTGCCATCGCTTGTTCTTTGGTGGGCGTGTCGAGCGTATCATGAGCGGCGCCACTGGTACCAGTTGAACCCATGTCGTACTCAAGGAGCGGTCGGAGCATCTCTTCAACGTGGTATTCTCGACAAAGCTCCACACCCCTTTGGTAATTGACCCACGTCCCTTGGTATTTACCGTAACCCCCTTGAACCTTCTCATGCTCGCCGGCAGCAATTTCCTTCTCGAGGGTTTTGGTACGTCGGGCTTTGTTGACTCCAGCGACTTTGAGGATCTGTGTTGCGTTCAACCAAGAATCCGAGCGCCGCTTCATTACCGCAACTCCGTTGACCTCCATTTCGTAGACGGAAACATTCGAGTAGACGGCCTAGTAAAAAGGAACAGTCAGCGTGAGCCAATCTAGAGTAGTGCATAGGACAGAGGTTGATACCCTATAGATTTGGGGTTTGAATTCATCATGATACTGGATCAATGCGCCATAATTGGTGATTTCTTCAAACCCTCCGAAACTTGCCCGAGGGCCATGGGTCGGGTTCTTCGAATAGTTGAATGAGGCCGGGGGCTGTTGCGACGACCCCTTGGGGGGAGGTGTGGCCCGGGGGGTAGAGGCCACGGATTGGGAGGCATTGAAAGAACCTAGTTGCGACTGCGAAAATGCCATGCCATTTGACGATGCGACGCTGCTTTGGGAGAAGGACGGCACCGGTAGGCCGTGCTGCGGAGGGTTACTAGGATTATGATTGGAAGACATGGCACCGGAAGACCAGTCCAGGCACTTTGCTCGTGGGACTGTGAAACGGCGTCAGTACAGGTGATGAACAAAATCCTAGCGGCCGAATAGTATAGCCGTCAACAAAAATTATCCCAAGACAGGGAGAGCGAGGGAGAGGGAACAAAGCATGTGGGGAAAATGCACCTTATGCTAGGAGGATCGGCCGGAAGAGTCGCGCGAGGCGAGGGCGCGTGGCTAGGCGCTCCAATCGCGAAATTGGGCCGACCAGACCAATGCAAACTCAATGTGACCAAACACCAGTGGGGAATCCAAAACTGATGAACGGATCGCGGTTCAAGGTCCCAGACGGCAAGATGCAGGGGCAGACAAAGAAAGCAGACATGAATGGGAAAGACAAGACGAGAGAGAGGAAGAGCCGACGAAGTCGCGGGGGTGGTGTCGTCGGCGCGTTTTGGGTTTAGCGCCGTTTTCGCGTGACCGCCCATTGCGCATTTCCCTTTTGGGTCGCCGCGGCGTCGGATTTCGCCTTCAGAAAAGATCGAAAGGTTTGATTGACGTTGACGACTGTCCGCCATGGGCGCTCTGGGCACTCTGGGCACTCCCCTGCCACCGGCATGGCGTTCTGTTTACCGTGCCCCTCTGACTCCGGAATGGCGTCACATATACCGTGCTATCCTACGAGAATGCTCCTACCTCCCCGACCCTCTCGCCCGAGCTTATCACCATGACTTCGTCGTCCAGCGGTTCCGACAGCATTCAGAGGATCCTCGAAAGTCTCGACACAAAGATCCTTATCGACAGAACCAGCTGCGCAAGGTGGCGACGCAGACGCTGTCGCTGTTCCGGCGGGCCAACGAGGGGTACTCGCGACCGCTTGAAAAAGTCCTGCGGCTGGCTTACGGACGAAGGGGCAAGAAAAGAAAGGACTTGCTCGATACCCTAATCCACCCCGAGTTTCCTACAGACCACATGGCCCTCGAAGAGTTCCTGTCAAAACCAAGCATATTCAGCGACGGATGGGAGCCACCTGCGGTCATGATAAGTCTGATGAAGTCGCAAAGAAATGCCGGCGTGGCCGCTCAAATGAATCTCCGAGCCATCAAGCAGCTTGCGCCCGACATCCCCAAGGAGAACAGCTGGGGCCAACCGGTCTCCGAGGCTCGTCGTCGAAATATCCGGAAGAAGTGGTTTTATCGTGTACTACCGGACTTACTGCCTCCACTGCCGGACTCGGACGTCCAGATACTAGAAGGGCTGATTTCGGGGACTTATCCGTGGACGGCACCGACGCGGAGGAAAGCTGTCGGTGTTGTTCCAGAGACCGAAAAGTCCCTCATCACGGTTCTTTTGACTGAAGGCCCACAGAAAGGTGAAACACACAGAAAGTACGCCGCTGGCCGGCCACATACAATCACGCGGCGATTCATGGAGAAGCACTGGAGGCGCATCTCGTCTCTAGTCCCGCGCATGAAATATGACCCAAATACACAGAAGCACAGCTTTACTTGGGAAACTTTCTGGAGGAAGCCCGGGAAGCTTGCCTTGGCACCTAAGGAGGGGAATGACGGGCTTTTTGAAGGTCTTGACGCTCATGGAAAGATCAAACTATAAGTCACCAACTCGAAAACAGTCTCTCAGTCCTTGTTCTATGAGCTAGCTTTTCCAACACCACTCGAACAGTAATCCGCCTATGATGTCTTTGATGTTCTCTGGCGAAGCTCAGCATCCCTGTGGCATTCTACCATGAGACAGTGGGCCATCGAACATTTTCCCAGGTACTCAAACCCAGGAAATGGAGGTTCCAGCTCTAAAGATGACTTATAGCTACATGAACGCCAGTGTATTATCACAAATGTAGAAGTTGTACATAATAATTCTAAACCCTGCCACCTATATCTGCAGAAATAACCATTCTAAAATTATAATATCTCACTGCATCGTCCGTGTATGTTCAATTTTCTCAATTGGGAGTCGATTCTCCAATAGCGTCATGGCTCATGGGTCCTCGAAATAGACAGTTTTTTGAGAATGTTTCACAGTCCAGCTGTGTTGCATCATGATCCACATAATCAACTCACTGGCCCTCATATTGATGTGCATTTTCTACTACATCTTTCCATCCCCAGGCCTCTCGAAGTCGCTCTTGCATCGCCGTCGTTGGCCAGTAATTGTAATCTCGACTCATGTCAGCCAGGATTTGCATCAAAGCCTGCTGTTCTAGGTGGTCAGTGAACCGTTCTCCGCACGATGTGATAGCGATCGAAGCGGTCAGAAGAGCTGTCGGCGACTGGCGATTTGATAAGGCGATGCCGCAAATTTCACGTACTGTGGACCGAATGGTGGAATCAATATGAGACATGGCGAGTCGATGTGCGAGTCCGATGCGAGCGGTGTGCGGGCTGTACGCGGCCAGAAGGATGTTGGTGAGTCCGATGCTTTGAATTGCCACGATATGACAGTCATCTAGGTACCACATCTTGGGAAATAGCTCGCCTCGGTTATGGTCAGGCTGTTCGAAGTATACGGGTGAAAATGAAGAAGGGCAACTGCGAAGCCACCTGTTTCGGCGTTCCACAAGGTCTTCGTACCCGGTGTAGCTCCGTTGGTACTGATCGTTGAAGCAATACTGGACAATTTGTGCACATATGACTAGGAGGTAATTCACCCAGACATAGTCCGGCGAATTTTCTTCGGGTCGATACCTTTGACATGTGTCCAGGGGAAGTCGGAAAGGACGTTGTTGAGAGAATGCCATGTGAAACTCCTGGCGGAAGCCTGTCCAGAACACAGCTTGACGTAGCCCTGGTGATGAGATGGCCGACGACGCCTGGGCCTCAAGGAACACTTGAAGTCCTCGGACAGCAATGTCATTGGGGAGATCGATGAACGGACCTATGGAGGTTAGTGCCGGGTGTGAAGTCCCAGGGGTTCTCTTACTATCTAGCTCTTCAAAGAACCTCAAGGCGACGACCGCCGCTAACAGGTTCTCGTCCATGATGGCATCCGGCTCGTCGCTCACAGATCTCAAGTGTGCAATGCACCTGCTGTGATAGCTCAGGGTGGACTCTTCACCGATCATAAGTCCGCGTTCTAACCCATATTTAATGGTTATCTCACATTGCCGGTGCCTAGGAAGGGTGCTGAAATGCCTTGCTGACGCAGAAAGCAGAGCATCTAGAAGAGGTGGGCAAAATCTCGCGCGTTGTGGAACAACAACAGCGAAATGCCGTTCGGGGTCACATAAATCAAACTATGAGGTCAGTCATGGAAGATGAGGTAATGGAGTTGACAACCAACCCATTTTGCTAAGTTCTCTACGAAGTACCGCAGAAGGCATGCTTCTTCTAGACTGAGCTGCGGCTGTGCAATTTGTCTGTCAAATAATACTGGCCTTGGGCTCTGAGAAGCCCCAGATAAGGCGCCTGGCGAGCTTAGCTGAGACAAAGGCCGATATCTGAGATTGTTTGGGCTTTGTACAGATGGGGATGCTGCATTCCAGGCCGTTATACTGGGGTTTTCTGGACTGCTTCTTGGGACTGTTTCAGCGAACAATACAGTAGCCGTTTCCTGAGGCCGAGATGCATGTTCTCTGTATAGAGCTGTCAATCCAGGCGTTTCGTCGACATATTGTATCGCACTGGCTTCTTTAACGTGAGTGGCTATCCTTTCATCAAGCAAGGTCCTACTGACTTCGATCTTCACGAGGGGTAGAGGGCTGCTGGCTCGTGCTGTGGAAAAAGTGCAGGCGGGGTGCAGCTCGAATACATTCTCGCCCGGACCGCTGGCAACGTCCGCATTTTGGACGACCATCGTCACCTGGAAGAGATCAGCATGATGGAATTGGGTTACTTGATAGAGGCTTACATTTTACATGGTGTTCTGGGAAGGGATGAACATAAGCACTTGGTGGATGGAGGTAGAAGTGTGGACCTACTGCGGCAGTTTTGACTGAAGCGGTTAGCGAGAAAACAAAGACAGAAGATTGGACTTACCAGGGTTCTCGCCTGGCGCGCATTCAGAGGATGGCAGCCACAAGATGCGCTGAATTTGAATGGACCGTCAAAAGGAAGTGGAAGAGGGAAAGATGAAAATGGTGGGGTTCGCCGACACTTGCCTACCAATGCGGTAAGCCTGACCGATGTGGGCCGAACCGTACATTCATTCATATTTGCGTTTCATTATCTATGATTCTGTATTAATATTTACAACCCGTCGCCTGGATGCCATATCTTCAACCATCTCCGATCTATCCCCTCCGCGCCTTTCTCGTAGAACCGTAGGTCTGTACTCAAGCGAATCCTCCCCTCAGCGTCTTCATTGCGTCCACTGGCGTGGATGCTATGCGGATCATGGAAGACAACATCTCCCGCCTCGTAGTTGGTAACTAACCATTTGTGTGTCCCAAACTCTGAGTGAGCCAAGGCGAAGTCCTGTGGTGAGCGCGATATCATGCCTCCGCCATCAGTAATCATGTTCTTGTTGTATGCCGAAATCCGCTCTTCTTGCGTCATGTCTGCAGCTCGTCTGGTGAAGTCATTCTCAATCGCCTCGCCAAGAGGAACCGAGTTGGCCAGATAGCAGAGACCTCCGCCATTGATAGAGATATCACCTACGTCAGTTAGCCGTTGTAAATGCAAAATCTAAGGAGCGCACTAACCAATCGGGACCCATGCAGTGAGGAAGAATGCGGAACCACCTCGCAGGAATAATTTATCGTAGTGGATGCCGGTGCCTTTTCCAAGAGGGACATTGTGTCGCAGCATGGTGCGGTCTAGTATGACGTGTTCCTTCCAGCCCATCAGGTCACGAATGAACTTGGTGAGGGCTGGATGCTCGACGAAGGCGCGGTATTTGGGATCCGAATGTGAATCAATAAGGATCTTTTCCTCCATAGGGTCAGCCGGCAGTCCTTGACCACCAATGCCCTTGTGTAGGTCCGGGTTGGAGGATGCGTTGAAGATCCCCTCGCGCGGGGAAGTACCGGGGGCCAATAGAGACGTGCTGGCATATGCTCGAAAGTAGCTGCACCGTTGTGTTGGTTAGAACTAGGCGGTCCTCGTGTCGCAGTCTTCGGTGAAACTTACTTTTCACGGGCTTGCAGCACGTCTTCGCGGGGAATAACACCTTTTACGAAAAGGTATCCGTCTTCTTTCAATCTGCGGCGCATCTCTTTGACAGGCAAGTCAGGAGGCGTGGGTCGCAGGAAGCCAATCTGGGACAGATCAACGCGACCTCCATTCTGTCCCAGACCATGTGGTAGGTGTTTCGACAGTTGTGGTAGGGCGGACTCTGGATCCTCCGCTGTAGCCATGTTGGTTGCACTGGACGCGGACTGAATTTCCAAGTTCAAGTGGGATGCAGGCCGTAATATAAGCCACAAGGATTCGGTGGATCAGCTGGTCAGCACTCTCGGTAACAGCATTCTGCACAACAGCACGAGTGCCGATGGATCCAGTGGAGAATCCTTGTTTGTAGACCTCATTGGCATCTACTCCGTAGACAAGAAAACAACAGGTGGATTGGACTAAGAGACATCGCTTTGCGTAGTTTGTTCCGCCAAGGAATGGATAGTCTGGATCATTTTTGACGGCTTGTCACAAGCAATGAATGATTCCAGCTATAATTCATGCCTTCATTTCATGTTTTTCATAGTCCGAGTGTGATTGAATCAAGAAAGTGAGGAGGAAGCAGCAGCTGAGTTTCTTCGAAGCCCCACCGTTGCTGGTGTCGATCGCTTCCTAACCGGAACAGTACCGGCGAGGCTAACCACATTCATCGGCATCTCGCCGACCATCCAAAAGAGTAAAAGGCTACTTGCAGGTTGCACGAGGTGCATACTCGAAGCATATAAAAAAGGGCATCAAGTATCATGACAATAACAATGATGGAGAGACAGAATATTCCGTGGACTCATTCTCTGAACAATGTATAGCCTTACACTTGCAGCTGTATCTCTCTTCCTTGTCCTCTATTACTACGTCCTCCCGGTGATCAACTATATACGAGACCCCAAGGGTCTCCGCAAATACCCCAACCTTAGTTTCTGGTCAGGCATATCAGACCTCCCTCTGATATACGAGTCACACAAAGGCTTTCGGTCCCGCTCACTGCTCGAGGCGCACAAGAATCACCCGGTCATCCGCATAGGGCCGAACTCCCTTTCCTACTCAGACCCTGCCGCGATCAAAGACATCTATGGCCATGGCACGAAATGCACCAAAGACATTTTCTACGCTGAGCTGGCAGGCTCTCACTTTCACCTTGCAGACGTGGTAGATAAAAGCGAGCATGCCCGGAAACGCAAAGTCCTCTCCAGTGCGTACGCGCTCAAGAACTTGGAAAACTGGGAATACAAGGTGGCCGATATGTCTCGCCGGCTCATTAAAGCATTTGATGCTCGATGCACCGAGCCGCTTCCTCAAGGACGAATCCCGGATGAGCAAGACCTGACTGTTGACTATCGCATGTGGTCGAATCTCTTTACGATTGCCGCCATCGCCAATATCGGCCTCAGCGAGGATCTACGCTTCCTTGACCAGGGGAATGATCTGGTTGCCTCGGAAAGTCAAGATGGAGCCGTCAAGACGGTGAATTTCCGAGAGTGTCTGTATGCAACGGCGTGGGCTACTTCAAACCTGATCTGGTCGTACGATTGGTATCAGACTTTGTGCAGAGTGAGCGGACTGGTGTCATTTACCTACCGCCAGAAATGGAAGCTGAACAAGGACTGGGACGGCATCGTATACAACCGAGCAACCACGCGCTGGAAGCGCTACGAAGCAGGAGAGAAACTTGATGACTTTTTTACCGCTCTCATGACCGACAAGGCCGGGGCCCCGTATAACCTCGAATGGGGCGAAATTGTGGCAGAAATGAGCATTATGATGAACGCGGGATCTGACACGACCGGCATTGCACTGAACAATGTGATGTTCTCCCTACTCCGAAACCCCCGTTGTTTGAAGAACCTGCAGGAAGAGCTCGACAATGTCCTGGACGACGATGAAGTTATTGCTCCCTATGACAAGGTCAAGCATCTGCCGTATCTCCGTGCCTGCCTCGATGAGAGCATGCGGATGTTCCCACCGGTGTCGTTCAACCTGCCTCGCCGCACGCCTCCTGAAGGAACAAACATTCTCGGGGACTTCGTTGCGGGCAATACTTCCGTCAGTATGTCCGCGTACGTGGTGCACCGTGATGAAACCATATTCCCGGATCCCAACGTCTATCGCCCGGAGCGTTGGCTGGGCGAGACAGGCAAGGACATTCAACCTTATTTCGTGGCCTTTAGTGCTGGGGCTAGAGGCTGCATAGGTCGCAACATCAGCTATCTTGAGCAGACCGTTTTACTTGCGTCTCTGATTCACCGTTACGAGTTTGCATTGCCATTCCCAGATTGGGAGCCTGTTCGAAGGGAGACAACGAACCTCAGTTCAGGCCCAATGCCCTTGAAACTATGGAGGCGAAATGGAGTACAGAGTGAAAATTAAAGAACAAACTCTAGCTCAAATTGAATTTCATGATTAGTTACTGACTGTCATGGGAAGGGTTTTAGTATCATGTGGTGAGTTTTTCCCATACGATAGAGGGCCAGGTTCTTAGCACCTAGTATACCGAGGAGAAAAGACTATGCTTGGAGATAGATCAATCTGAAATATTTATCCCGTGTCCCGCGGATTTGATTTATTTGATATGCGAAAAGAGTTAGAAAATCGATAGATGCAGCGGCTGACCAGGGAGAGTAGGCTCCAATTAGTTATTTGACTGCAGAATATGATCGGCGTGATTAGGATTCAGGGGAATGCGGAGATGCGGAGAGGCCCTAGCCCTTCTAACATGCTGGACATCCTGGGGAATGTCCAGAAGGACTGAGGGTAGTATTCCATAAGAGGATTGAGCTTTCGGCTCATCCCCAGAGGTGGACAGAGTAGTAAGCTAGTGGTCCCGGCTCCGGCCAAAATTGAAGAGTCATTTGATAGTGGCACTGAATAAACCCTGCTGGATTTGCGGTATAAGCCCGTTTGGTGCGTCTTCGTGTAGGTAACTATAAAATATCATGATCTTATCTTTCTTACTACAGCTAGTGTGTGTAAACAAGTCTGCAGTAAATGCCCTGTAGGGAAATCCTGCCGGCATCTTGCACGATGTAAAGAAGCAACAACGGAGAGAAATGTGGATGGGAACCATGTTATCATTTCCCGTAATGCGTTGAATGTTTTGCTTTCTACCACTCCTCCATAGAGGTAATAGCTGCGGGTTTCAGTTACCTATTACACTCTGTCTCTCTCTCTCTCTCTCTCTCTCTCTCTCTCTCTCTCTCTCTCTCTCTCTCTCTCTCTCTCTCTCTCTACCTAGATAAAACACCCCCCAAGTAAAATGATATCCAAAAGACCTGACCGGAGTCACTTCCAGACACAAATGTTTGACCACGGATAGCATAGGACGACCCGGCGTGAGGTCGACATTCAGGAGGTACCCACAAGAGTCTTTCCGTGCCGTCCGCTTTCACTATCCAGCCATTCTCCAAATCGTATTCGACGTCTTTGGGCTGCGGCGGGGTTGAGATACAGGGTCTGTCCCGATGATTACTAACAACCAGGCCATCCTTCCAAGACATATCCTGGAATGCCCGGCCGGAAAGTATAGTAGGTATTTCTGTTACTTGTTCCATGTCCAAGTTCCAAATCTTGTTGACACGACCGGAGCTTGTTAGCAGCTGTTCACCGTCGGGGGAGAACGACACAGTAGTGTGGTGACCACTTTCTTGGCGAGTATGTATCGTACTCCTTGTGCTGGGATCCCACAGGACGACTGTCCCGTCTTCCGCAGAGGATGCCGCATGCTGACCAGAGGGTGAAAATGCGACGGCATTCACCTTTTCTGAGTGGGGCCGTGGAGAATACCGCCATCTGGCAGAAAGATTAGATCTTGCACCGTATCAGAACATTTGAAGCTCTGCATAAGAGTCCAGGTTGTTGTGTGGCGTATTTCAATTGCACCATCCTTCATCCCCGTCGCTAATAGCAGGTTGTTCGGAGAAAATGCGACACTTTGACCAGGATCAGGCTTCGTCCACTCGTCAATCCACGTGGCTGTATTGATAACTTTCACTCCATCATGGGAACAGAAGGCCAGCCATGAGCCATTGGACGAGAATCTCACATCCTGGATTGGATTGTATGCCTCAGGTTGGAACTCAAGCCTTCTCTCAAGGTTTCCCGATTCTGAATTGTACAGATGAACCTCGCTTGTAACAATTGAGGCAAGCAGCTGACCGTCAGGGGAGAAAACAACAAATGGCTGGGTATAATCAGGCAATTCGATGTCATAAATGGACGACCATCGAATGACAGAGGTGACGATATCCCATAAATATGTCCCGTTTCTAGTTGCTGAGGCCAGCAAGCCATCCGACGGAGAGAATGCACAGCAAGCCCAAGTATTACTCTCCGCGTGTCGCAAGGTTGGCTTTTCTTTCCATTCCTTGGTATCCCATAGCCGCACTGTTCCCTGACGTTTTGAAGCAGCTAAAAGCTGGCCGCAGGGAGAAAAGTCCACGGACAAACCCCATGGATTTTCAAGGGATTGTACCAGAGTACCCGTAGCTGTGTTCCATACCATTACCGATTCACTTGATGATGTTGCCATAAGTTTACCATCTGGAGAGACCGCCACGGTCTCTACGGCACCAGCAGCTAACGTTAGTAATAAGGCACTCCAACTGTCTCCAAGTGGCTCTACTCCCAAGACCCAGCAAGGCATCTCCTCTCGAAAACATCTCTTTATAACACTGAATTTCGGTGCGAATGCAAGCGCAGAGACATAGACTTGCAGTGGCGCTTGCGCTATGACAACGAGAACTTTATAAGGAATCTTTTCCCATCGAGTAGGAATCGTAAAACTTCTTTGTGTTGGCCGTTCTAATTGTAGTTCTTATTGTTAGCTCAAAAATCAGTAGTTAAATGATATCGGAAGGCCAGCATACCGTAAGCATGGGAACTAAAGTGCTGATCAAATCCATGGCATGCGGTATGGTTCCCCGCAAATTCAATGCCTCCAGCCAATGTAAAAAGTGTCGGCGGAGAAACATGTAGATACCGTCGAGATCAGAAACCCGCAGGCCACCATGTTTAAAATGATAGACCCAGTAATGACAGGAATATTGAACTGGATCCAATGGATTCGAAACTGGCACTTGCACCTCTTCAGTCAGCACACCGTGATTGGGTAGCTTGTACATGTTTCGCTCCAGGCAATCATTCATGCCATCTAAGGATTGCTCAAAGATTTCATGATGTAGCTCTTCAAGAGACCCTTGTCTAAGTCGCAAACGATTTTCGCGCAGATAGTCTTGTGCTGATTGATGAATCAGAAAGACGATATCGCGCTGGATTACCAAAAAAGAACTGCAATCCTGAACAACGTATTTCACCAGACCTTTTGGCAGTTTGGCAAGCAGTTCTAGTTCGCCTAGTGTTAGAGGCCGACAGGCAAGCATGACCACAATTAGTACGTCTTTGCAATAATCGAAACGGCGAGGTGGATCCAATGTCTTCAATCTCTCGAGCAAGAACTCGTATAGATTGTGGAGTTGGTTCGGAATGCTGTGGAGAATTTCGTCCCAGAAAGCTTCAGGCAAGGAAATGAGCTGGTTGATGACCAGGGATACCCAGAGAAAAGTCCTTCCTTTGTTACTCTTCAGTCTATCGACTGTTCGGTCAACAAGGGCGATATCCCCCGTCTTCCGCTCGAGATCAGGCCTTTTCCGGTCTATATACATGTCTATAGGCCCAGAAAGTAAATGGTCGTCAAGTCTGATAACTGTTTCGGGACAATCGCTCAAGTTTCTCATCTTCTCATTGATTGCGAGCAAAGGCCGACTGGTCACGAGTATCTTGATCTTCGACGCTGTCCCATCTGTAGGGATTAGCGTCCTTATGATCCGGAAGACATCTTCGCCCGCGTCTATACATTCGTCCAGAGCATCAACCATAAGAATAACCTGGCCGAGCTCATTGTCATGTATCATGTCGTCGAAAATGGGTAACAGGCTGGTGAATGCCATGCAGTCATTGAAAAGTGCACTCCCGGACTCCTCATAACTAGGCCGTAAGTATCGTACAAGGCCCGGGTTTTGGACGAGGAGGAGCCACATGAGAGCTCGCAAGACTGCTACGCCCTCATTGAGCTCTTTGCCAGTATCCTGAATGAAAAAGTAGATGATTTCTTTGTCATGCACGCCAGGCAGATTACGCGCAAGAAACTCTTGTATGAGACCCACAGACAGCATTGTCTTCCCAGTTCCTGCCTGTCCATTGATCCACAAGAGATTGGGAGAATGCGGATTGTCCCAGTCGACGAAACTTTTGAAAGCTTCGCTATCGAGGACCCAGTCGTATAGTTCCCTGACGGATATTTCTCTTCGATCTTCGATGTCACGAATCTCAGCGCGGGGATCAATTCCGCGTAGGTGACGCATGCACTTTCTGTCCAATCTAGTCTCAGTCTGCCCCTGGACTGTAACGGACAGCGTTCTGATCTCGTTCAGAATCTGTTCGTGCTTGTATGCCTCAAGATCATCTCGAAAGTCCTTTTCCGAATCAGTGATCTCGGACAAATCACCATCCCAATTATCCAAGTCAACGAATGTGCGTAACAAGACCAAGAACTGGTTACGGTAATAGAAACAAACGCTTTTGATCTGATAGAACAAAAGCGACTGGTAAAGTTCGAGAGCCTTCGTGTCCAGTAACTCCCTGATTTGTTCTAGAGTCACAGTGTTGTTGTCTGGAGAAAGAAGGCTGTCGATAATTTTGGAATACCAGTGAATTCTAGAGTTGACTTGATTCACTCCGTCGTACAGAATCGTCAAGGATTTTGTTGGTTTCATCAATATCTATGACATCAAATTCATGAGCGGATGCCTACCCAGCTTCAGAGGAAACGCAACTTACATCTAGGCTTGAGGTAACTACCGCCCAAGGTAAGGCAGTCTGATCCAAATTCTTCATGGGAATGTTAAGAATCTCTCGAATTGGGGCTATTGCGTCCTTGACTTTGTTTGATTTCTCGATCAGCGTTTTGCTCCTTTCAGTCTTCTCCAACCCCTTTTCAATGACGAGTCTCAATCGGGATTCATCCAAGGATATTGCTGGAGGAATGGGGTCGTTCCCATTGTCAGGCGTGGACGTTTGAACGAGGCCGTCTTCCGAAAGAGTACTCAGAAGCTTTTCATATTCTTCTATATACCTCAGCCTCTCCGGGTCCTCCTTGAGGCTGTTGTAGGCCCTGTACCAGAGATCGTTGTGAATAGCAGCTGGAGACTCATTGGCATGGGCAATCTGGCTCGAGGTAGGTTCGATAGGACCAGCATGACTGGTGACGCTCAGGGTCTCTGCTTGACATTGGCCTTCAGGTGTGCGCGACGTAGATTCTTGATCGCTTCCGCCTCTCCTGTCACGGCTTCTCCCGACATGTAATCTCTCACGTAGTCTAAAACGACTGGGCATCTTTTTGTTGCTTTCCTTGCGTTCTTAACGACCAGTTTGATTCGTGGTTTGCGGCGGATGACACACAGTTCAGTTCAGAATGCTTGGAAGAGGGATTCAGGAAAGGAGAGAGTAATAATCATGCTAGTTTACTTCTTTCCCCTCATCTCCAGTCCCCACTCCTTCCGAAACACCAAGATAACATTGCAACCATGAACGCTCAACACGGATTGACCCAGACTCTCTGTCACCGCCAGTCAGGCTAAGCAAACGAACACACGGCATGATTAAGACATTCCTCTATCCAGGCCTTTGGGTAGGCTGAAGAGAAAAGTGGAAATTAAACTGTCGCCTGCAACCAAATAGTCGGATGGCTAGCATGAGCATGGGAAGGGGCCGAATCTAGATTGGGCAGAAATTACCCGCAGCGCCACCCGTATAATCGTATGTCGATCGATTGATACGGAGGGCACATACTGTGGAAAGGAAGAATAACGAACGAAAAGAAACGCCTCTTCGCTAGACCCATGCAGAAAGCCGAGTCAGGGATGCGACCAGGGTGGTTGGTTGCCTAGCGGGCGATAAGACAACACAAGTAATGGACCAGGAAGCTAGACACGGCGTAGGTTTCGTTTGATGGGAATAGACTTCGGCGCCACGAGAGACAGAAAGCTGAAGGAATTTGTCTTTTCTGCCTTGGCGATTGCGAAGCCATTTCGTATAGTCGGGCCCATCGGCTACTATCATGTTGACGGGTTTGTCTTCCATCTCAGAACTAGCTGCTTGGCTCTTGAGGTTTCGTCCCAGAGGGTAGGTGTATGTGTTTGCCTTGGACTGCGCTGTATTGTCTGAGTAGTCCTACACCAATTATGATGTCGGCCACCAGGGGTGCTTCTTCGCCATTGCAAACGAACGAGGGTGTTGAAAGGTCGGTGGTTGTGTGACGGTCGGTGGCAGGTGCGCTTCTACCATCTTCCGCCTTTGGTTTATGTCATTGAACCGGAACGTTTAACCGTTAGACTACCAAAAGACTAGAATACCAAGTCAGCAGACTTGGTACGCGCATCGCTCTATATAGTGGTTCTTCGTGGTCAGTCAGTTCGTCACAGGTTGCACCTGCCAACGTCTTCCTCATATAGACCCAGAAGTGGTGACACAGGCGTTTGAAGTGAATGAGGACAGGATGCGACCTGGCAGTTGTTCCAGTGTATGACCAGCGCATGGAGTTCACTGTCTTTCCTTCAAGGTAAAGAAAATGCAAATCACAACACATATTCAGGTGCTCATATCATTAGTCTTGATAATTAAAGGCCTGGAAACAAAGCATTGGATCTCCAATTATCCGCGAAAAGTCATTTTTCAAGAGAAATGACACTTGAAAAATCAGACCTTGAACGAGATACACCCTATAATTCTGGTCAGGTTGTTGTTGCTGATGCTGGTGTTGATTGTTGATTGTGCTAGTGAGCAAAAGACCTAATCTTCCTCTGACCTACCGGAGTTAGCCTGCTAGAAAAGCACAAAGCACACTCAGTGAGTGTTGTGATGGACGAAACTTATCAGTATTGATGGAGGGACACCGGTCGGGGTCGTCTTGGAAAGCGTCGGGTGTGGTATGGACTTGTGGCAAATGAAACAAGGGGAGAAAAAGAAAAGTGAAGAAGTGCCATTCAGTGGAAGGTTCGGTGAGATAATGGATGAGAATACGATGAAATCGGTAAAAAGAATGATCAAATCGATGGATTGTGAACTCCTGTGGTAAGTGTCTGTAAAGCAAGAAGGGGGAAAAGCAGGCAGAGATCCAAGTCGATCGACATCTCCTTCCTAATCGGTACTACCTACTCGGTCAAGATAATCTTTCTGGTCTTCCTCTAATTTGCTATTCCGTCAGCCCGTCGACTGCTTTATGTTGTCCTAGCGCTGCACCTAGCGGCCCGCATCCACTTTATCACTTTCGGCACTCGGGCCCGTCATTTAAAGTTGTTTATCGACGCTCTTGTTGCCTTAAGGGAGAGCTGCTTCGTCACCCTGAGTGCGAGGCGCCTAAGTGTATCCTTTCTCAGCGGCTCAGGAGTGCAGGCGTCAATCGGGGCATAGATTCTAACGAATGATTGGATATATGGGGGTGCTCTTCCCCTACCACTACATGAAGTTGAAGATCCAATCTTAGAAACAAGTTTCTTAAGATATGATATTATTTGCACTGTATCCACAATATCTGGCGATTCTTGCATCAATCCAGGAAGGCTGAGAGCTCTATCTTTCTCTCTTGTTTGCCTCTGGTCACACGTGAGAGTCTGTTGTTCCGGTTACCGCAGAACTTTCAGATACCTATGCTTGTCTCGCTGCAGCACTCCTGGAGAAAGCCTCTATTCTGTACTGCGGTCTCCGTTCGTCGGTAGAAGTCCACGCACCAGGCCTGAAACAAACGGCCTCGACTAGGGCCTGGAATACCGGGGAGCCTCTGAGTTCGACGTGTATGTCTGATCGAGTAACCAGGTGATCACGTCCGAGGAGCCTAGAATATCTATTGTTCGCGAATATCTAGAATATTCCGGTATACCTTTAGAAGTGCGATAAACGTAATAGATTACATGCTTTCTAATCGTCGCAGTCTCGTCGCAGCTAAAAACAGAATAAAGGTTAGAGCTATTAGACAGTATATATTAATAGAAAAACATACCTTGTATCGATCCATCCTTTGTCTGTTTCAAGCCAATAGTCAGAGCTTCTTTGGCATGTATTGGCATGTATTGGCAATTTCAAATTAGTCCCCCTTGTATGGGCCTTATTAAGATAAACGAGGCAGTCATCTAAATTATCCGCGAAAGGAGAAGCAAAGAGCTTCCTGCCAGGATTCCTAGCTCGAAGGAAATTTATTAGCTCTTCAACGTTGGAAAAACGGATGATCATGTGAAAACAAGCAAGAGCGTTAGAACTTGAGTGTCAGGACAAGATTGGACACTGACATTTTCAATTTTGTGGCCTAGATCCACCTTGCTTTCGGCCATCCAAGCTAAGCAACTTTCGGCTTTGACTGTTCAAGAATGCGATGAAAATTTACAAACAAACAGGACTTTGTATGGTTGAAGATAGGGAGAGGAAGAGTAAGGTGAGAGGTGGGAAAGTGGGAGGTGGGAGGTAGGAAAGTGAGAGAGAAGAGGCGAGGGACTTCTTTCTCGAACCTCCGTAGGGAATGGGACTTCTTTCACTATATCGGAATCCCGGCGATGGATGTTCTTCGTAAAGGTGAATATAGTTCTAAGTCCCTACTCTTCAAAGGTAAATGGATTCGGGGTGCTGTACTTTGCAAATTGATGTATAGAATTGTTTCCTTGGCATAGAACCCTGATCACTAAGTATTATCAAGACCTTGGCTAGTAATTGGTGTGAGTTCGTTCTTTGGCCTCTTCGACTGCGTTGAAGTGTCTTTTGGTTCTAACCAAAATTTCAGATACTTGCCTACTGTTTGAACGGGCCAGCTTACCGACGATGTTCAGACAGGATCACGTGAACATCGCAGTATTTTGATTAAGACATTAAAGCAAAGAACCATGAGGCGCATGGACACTACAGAGTAGACTGACTTGGACTGAGATTTTTTGGAACTTGAATGAATTCATACGTTCATAACTTCTATAAGCAACATTACATAATCCGGTAACCAATAACTTTTTACCGCCAGAACACTTAGAACTCCTCGTCGGAGAAGACCTCCTCTCCACGCTTTCTGCAGAATGAATTAGTAAAAGAACAAAAGCGATTTGCATTTTGCATATTGATTCCATGGGATTCGAGACGTACCTGCGGGCAGCGCGCTCCTTCTTCTTCTTTCGGAGCTCGGATCCGGTGAGCTTCTTCTTCTTCTCGACCACGGTCTATACAGATTGTTAGTATAAGGCTTCAATGATCGGTTCTGATCCATTCGGGGCAAATTTCTTACCTTATTACCCATGGCGTCAGTGATTTCGGTCTCCTCATCCTTCTTGTCAAGACGAGGGCCAGAGCCTTGACCCTGAACCCAGTTGTGGCCGGAGGGGGTCATCTTTCCGTCGACGACAGCCCACACTTCCTCGGTCAGGTTCTCAGTGAACTCACGAGAGTGGGTAATGATGACGACACCACCCTCGAAAGACTTGAGAGCCTTGGACAGGGCACCAAGGGAGTCACGGTCGAGGTAGTTGGTGGGTTCGTCAAGGACGATCACGTGAGGACGCTGCCACGAGCAGGCGGCGAGCACGACCTTGACACGCTGACCACCGGAGAGACCGCGCATCTGGGAGTGAGAGACCAGCTCGGCATCCAGACCGAACTGCTCGCAGTGGGCCTCGATCTCCTTACGGACCAGAGGACGGAACTGACCGCTGGCCAGAGCCTCCTTCTGATCGACCTCAGCAACCATCTTGGCGTGGGACTGGATGATCTCGGTACGGGGAATCCAGGCGTTGTCGCTGGTCATCATGGGAGTCCACTTCTCGCTCTTCATGCCGATGTTGTCACCGAGCAAGAACGAACACTCGTACTCGTAGGTGTTCTTGAACTTACGACGAGAGTGAATACCGATGACACGACGGGGAGTACCCTCGATGTTGTAGATCTTGTCCATGGCCTTCTCGTCCTCATCGGTGACGATCTTGTTGGCACGGTCCATGGTCTCACGGTCCTCACCGGTCTGGAAACGCCACTGAATGTACTCGGAGGGTGTGCTGTCGAGGTGGTTATCGATGTGGGCGAAAGCGTGCTGCTTGATGTAGGCAATACGGATGTTCTCGTGCTGGTAGACTTCACCGGTGGTGGGGATCAATTCACCGGTCAGAACGTTGACCAGAGTAGATTTACCGGCACCGTTGGGACCGATGACGGCAATACGGGAGCCCAGCGAGATCTGGAAGCTGATGTCCGTGATCTGGGGACGGGGGGTGCCGGGGTACTGGAAGGACATGTCCGTAACCTTAACGATAGCCTTGGCCTTAGTCTTGACACCCTCAAGGAAACCGGGCTCGGGGAACTTGAACTCCATG